TCCTTTTGGAAAAGAAATACTCTTTGCCTCTTATCACAGGCATGCACTTCCTCAAAGTTCCTGTTTTAGAAGTGTATTAATTGAAAACGCTGTTTGTCAGAGGAAAAGACTTCTGACTGAAGTTGTAAAACAAAGAGAATAGCCATCTCATTTAATCCTTTGAATAAGGTTTTGTTTCCCATTGAAGGAGGGGGAAAAACATCCGGAGGGTAGCAACTTCCTAAATGAAAATCCAGGATGGATTTGGATTTTCCTGCAAATTCTATTCCTACACCATTTTGGAAGGATTCATTATTTGCTTTGTTTTGATGGGAGTTTTAGTCAAAAATTGATAAATTTGTTACATACCTGCCAATAGCTGCGTTTTCCCTCATAGTTACAGGATTTAATTAAATTAATCCTCTTCATTCCACCTGTTATGTTGTTATATGCAAAACAGAAAAAAACTTCCTTTTCCCCCATCAAAGGGCAACAGAATAATAACAATGAAGTATTTTTTTTACTACAGGTAGCACTACCAATTTATCAATCACTTCCTTTTTTGTCTACAAAGCATTTCATGATTTGAAGGTGAAAAACCGACGTGATGGAAATTAGGAGATGCACATGCTTAAGCATGAAAAATTGTGTTGATTCGTAGAACAATGAGTAGGCAGTGCAGAAGCACCTATAGCTGAATTCAAAAATAATAGTTCAAAAGAGCACAACTATAATAGTTTTATTAAAATACAGCATAGGCCTTATTTTGGCACAACTTGTCAAGCATTTATTGGACTTATACCCAAAGAGACTCTAACCTCTAAATTCATCCACTTAGTTTATTTTTTATTTTTTGCACTGCACTTGCCTGCTTTCTCCCCCCCTCTTTGGGGGGGGGATGGGGGAGGGAGAATAGAATTAGTTTTGTTTTAAATCCCAAGCTGCCAAAATGTCTTCAGTTTGGCTTTGTGGTATACTGTACATAGCCTGAAGTATAAATTATTTAGCACTCACACATGGTCTGTCATGTCTTGTTACTTAAGTGCAATACAGCTTTCATCTGTGTATACCCAAGGGGGCCGTCCAATTGACAGCTGGTGATGTCACCCCCATTTGGCAATCCCCTTATGAATGGAGAGGGAGGGTGTTAAAGCTTTTTCAACAGGGCTTAGCGTGCTCCTCCGCCTAGTTTAACTCTGTGTAACAGATTTATTTGGACTCATCACTGTTAAGTTCACGGCAGGTAGCACCCCTATTAATTGGGTTTTTAAACAAAATATGGCTCAAAGGGCAACTGTTTCCACTTAACAGAAGGCACAGCAGATGAACTCTGCTGCCTCCATCCATTTCCATTCCAGATTGAGCTAGTTTGAGTAAAGATCCTTGCCAGTCCCATTACTAGAAAGACTGGAGATGTTGCTTACATCATTGATTAGCTATTAAAAATGGGAAATAATGGGTGATAGCCTACTAAGTTGCACTCAGAGTAAGCCCATTGAAATGAATGGACTTAAATGACTTAACCTTGCGGATTTCACTTCACCCAATCAAAATAATAGTGTGTGTGTGTGTGTGTGTGTGTGTGTATCATTTCCTGAAAGTTGAAGTTAATATTTTGTGGTTTGGTTTTCAGGGTGTTGGCTGTAGAATCGCATTGCAATTAACACCAAAATGCATGTTTATTTGGATAGTGGGGGGGAGAGAGAAGTAAAAAACTCATCAATAGGAGATATTGTGGAGGTGTGGCATTGGCACTGTGAAGGTCTATGGAAAGAAAAATGTGTTGTGTCCCATGGAGTTACGTTCTTCTAGAAACAAAGATTGCTCCATTCAAATACAGGACATCTGGGAATCGTAAACATGTTTTGTTTTTGTTTTTTGTCAAATGAGTAAGGAACAATTAAAACAGTGGCTCCTGGGAAAAACCTGAGGCATTATTTATAGCCATGGGGGGGAACGGACGTATTCTGCAGATGTGAGTTTTCAGGACTAAAAAAAGGGGTTTCGGTACACAGCACACATGTGCAGAATCTCACAAAACTAAACAGAGTTCTGGTTTCCTTATTTCCTTTCCAATGAGTGCAAAGGTTGGATACTACAGTGAATGGCAGCAGGGAAAGCGAGTACTTGTGCTGGTGGAAGGCAGTCTTAGCTCTGTGGGACTCCAAGCATGGGCACTTTGTCTGCCATTGTTTGACTAGATCGAGCCCCAGATGTTCAGTTTTAATTTAATTTACCCTTCACTGAGGTTCTATTTGACTCGAGTTTTTTATGCAATTACCAAGGATTGGAAAAAAGAGTCCCCACAGCAAAAGAGACAAGACTCAGCAGATAATGGCAAATTATTTAACAACCGAATCCTGTGCTGCTGCTTTTGCTAGAATCAAGATTGTGTGTCAGCCGCAAAAGGCAATAATAACCCCTTATCCCAGGCAAGTGGAGCGAAGTCATTCATTCAAAGCTATATTAAATAGTTAGATAGTTATTCAAAGCAGTAATATTAGAGAAAAGTGGCCTCTTCAAAAGCTCTTAGGATGAGGTGGCTATCATCCCTTATCGCCACCAGCAGCTCATTTGGTAGCACAGACACTCTAAGTAAGGTTTCCTCCACAGAACTGGTGTCTGCTTCTGTATGCGTGAGTCTGAGGGGCTGAGCTATACCAGGTCCTATGGCCTATTGCTGCCCTGCAGGCCCATGACTAAGTCTGTTGATTTAGTAGGTCTATTCTAAATACAACTAATGTTGGATCTAACCCTTGGGTTTTATGAAATGGGTAGGGAACCTCCAGCCCAGGAGTGGATGGGGAGAAGCTCTGTCCCTGCCTTGCTTGTATTCATTGGCACCTCTCCATGCATACAAATATACATGGATAGGCACACTGTAGAGTTGTTATTGTCTGTTTATCCAGCTGGAGGTGAAGCCTGCCCTTGTGATGTTGCCCCCCTTGCCCTCACTTAGTTCAAATTAATGGAACATAGGAGCAGCCCAAACATTAAAAAAGGACTGGCAGATTACCAAAGTACGCTAGGGGCTGAACCCTTACCTCAGGCTGACTCAGTAATCTATATATCATCCTGCTATATATCATCCTGGTAAGGTGGCGCTGTAGGTTAAACCACAGAGCCTAGGGCTTGCTGATCAGAAGGTTGGTGGTTCGAATCCCCGCGATGGGGTGAGCTCCCGTTGCTCGGTTGCTCCTGCCAACCTTGCAGTTTGAAAGCACATCAAAGTGCAAGTAGATAAATAGGTACTGCTCCAGCGGGAAGGTAAACGGCGTTTCTGTGCACTGCTCTGGTTCGCCAGAAGCGGCTTAGTCATGCTGGCCACATGACCCGGAAGCTGTACACCGGCTCCCTTGGCCAATAAAGATGAAAACTGCAACCCCAGAGTCAGTCACGACTGGACCTAATGGTCAGGGGTCCCTTTACCTTTTTAAGGAGGGTTTTACCACAATGGCAGGTGCATGTTACTGAAATTAATGGGCATTCATATCCATCTTTTAGTTTCACTTTTAAAGATATATATACACACATATGTCTGTCTTGTTGTTGCATGTTTAATTTCTTCCCATCTTGCAGCTCTTTCAGATTCACAGCTCAATCCTACCCCTAACCCAATTCAGAAGTAAGGCCTATTGAATTCAGTGGGTCTTACTCCAAGGTAAGTGGGGTTATGATTGCATAGTGGTATCAAATATTACTCTTAGAGCAGACCTGTTAAAATAAATGGACCTCAATGGGTGTACTCTGAGTATGACTATCAGTGTAGGTTATACTGTATATGCCTATTCACTGCAAATATATGCATGCCAACTCAGAAGAAAGTCATGTTGAATTCTAGGCTCCAATCCTGTAGTTACTTTAACTTGGGAATAAGACTCATTGAAAAAGTGGCATTTACTTCTGGGTGGGTACGTTTAGCTTAGTTCACAAAATGTATATACTGTTTTGATTGCAAAACAACAACAAATAAATAAACAAAGCAGTTTACAGTAAGAATAACGTATACGGCATTGTAAGTCGTTTGTGGCGGCATACTATATGTTTTTGTGGAGAAATTAAAAAGATAAAGGACCCCTGGACGGTTAAGTCCAGTCAAACGCGACTCTGGGGTTGCGGCGCTCATCTTCCTTTCAGGCTGAGGAAGCCGGCATTTGTCCACAGCTAGCTTTCTGGGTCGTGTGGCCAGCATGACTGAACCGCTTCTGGAGCAATGGGAACACAGTGACAGAATTGCATGGAAACGCCGTTTACCTTCCTGCCGTAGTGGTACCTATTTATCTACTTGCGCTGCCATACTTTTGAACTGCTAGGCTGGCAGGCGCTGGGACAGAGGCAACAGGATAGCGGGGATTTGAACCACTGACCTTCTGATTGGCAGCCCAAGAAGCTCAGTGGTTTAGACCACAGCGCCACCAGCGACTGCGTCCCATTGTTGGATCAGGCCAACAGTCCACCCACCCCAGCATCCTGTTTTCAAAGCAGCCAACTGCATAGCTCATGCATAGCATGAGACTCTTAAATCCTAGCGTCGTGGGTTTGAGCCACACGTTGGGTAGAAAGATTCCTGCATTGCAGGGGGCTGGGCTGGATGACCCTCGTGACCCCTTCCATCTCTTCCAATTTATAGGAGTCTGACAAGAAGCCAAGCACAAGTGCTCCTTCGATTCCTGACGGCGGAGGGAATGCGGCTGAAAACAAATCAATAGCCGACTTATCCTGCACTGATCTGTACAGCCCTCTTTTAAAAGCCACCCAAGTTTGCTGCCTTCACTGCCTCCCGTGAGGGAGAGAGAGCAATGCAACCCGCCCCGCCCCCCGTTTTATCTAGGCGCCCTTTATTTTATTTTTTCCTGAATTTCCCGCGCCTGCCTGCCCGCCTTTCCCCCTCCAACAGGCGACTACTCCTAAGACAAGGGAGAAACGGGAGGACACGTTGAGCGGAGGAACTCGGGAAAGCTCGCGAGAACGAGGCCGGTTCCCGCGACGCGTCTCCCTGAGCGAGGAGGGAGGGGTTGAGTGAGCAAAGAGCGGCCGGGAGCGCTCTCGCGTGACGTAGCCGCCGTGTCCTCCTGTGCGTGCTTTACGTGCCCGGAAGCAGCGTGAGCGGACACGCGGAGGGACTCTGGGGAGAGCAAGTATCGGAAAGGAAAAAAGCGGGGTTGGGGGAGTAGAGAAAGAAAGAGACAGGGTGGTACGGAAGCCCGTAGGGGACAAAGAAAAGAAATAAAGCGGCTCTGGCCAACTTTATTGCCGGAGGTGGCAAAATGCCCGGCGTTGCCGCCCGTAAGAACCAGGAACGGAACCGAGACAGCGCCATGGAGCAGCCGCCGGCTGATGTGGGTCTCTGAAGGGGGCGGGGTGGGGTCTCCTACTGCTTTATTGGGAGGGGGTGGGCTCTGAGAGGGGGGGTTCAAGGGGGCGGGCTGCAAACTTCAAAGGCCCACTGCCTGGTCAGAAGCCTCCCCCCCACCCGGTTCCTTTTTCTTTCCGCACCCCCCCCATCCCATTTCCTCATGCGAAACTCCACTGGGAAGGGTTTGGAAGGTGCCATGTTATACCTATGCACGCAACTCCCTCCCCCCTACCCCATGAAGACGCTGTTTGCTATCAGGTCACACAGGTCTTCATAGCTCCCCGCTACGGGTTTCTCTCAAACTCCCCCCCCCCCACTCATTGTGCTGTGCAAGATGAGAGCAGCAACTTTTTGGGGGGGTTGGAGTTTCCTCACACGCACACAGTAGGAGCGTACTTACTCACTTAAAAAAGAAAGAAAACAGTCATCCAGGCATTTTTGAAACGCTGCAGAAAGACCTGTTTGCTAGAAGCAACAGCACAATGAGTTCCTGTGTGAGCACTGTGTCGCCAAACCTTAAATGAAACTGCTGTCAATGGGGTGTGCATGTGCGCGGCTATTATTGTCCGTCTTCAGGTTAAGGGGTGTCTTACGGAAAGGTGAATGGAGGGGCTGTGCAATTGTTGGCACGTTCCTCAGGGTTAGGGGTGGATAGATTTCAGCTGATGAGCTGGGAGGACATCCTGCTAGGAACAGGGCTGGACAGCGGATGTAGGATTCAACCCTGCCCTCCTGCCCACCACCACCAGTGATGCCAGTTGATGGGCAGGTGGTGTGATCTGGGGAAAATGGTCTCATAGGCCAAGGTGCAAGCTCTGGGAGGCCAAGGTTGGCCCGTAGGCCATAGCTTCTCCACCCATGCTCTGTGGTGTCAAAACCTCTATTCTGCTCACTGAATGGGCATATGGGCCTGTTACAGGAGGCTTGCATCATAGAACGGGGTGGATACATACACTGTACTAATGTCCTAACAAGCTGAAACATGATTAGCTCCTTGTACTCTTTATCAAGGGTAATCTATTCTGTTCTGAGCACCTATATTTATTATGGCTATATCATTTTTATTAAGAAGACCTTTGAACATGATCTTGTTCAGAATCCTCCTTAGCAGAAAATATGCATTATATAATTTGTGTTATGCGCAAACTATCTTTAGTGTCTTCTGCTTTCATAAGTATCTATTATTTATACTTGTTTTCATTGTAATTATTAATTCTTGGAGCAGGCAACTGTCTCCACAGTTGATTTAACAGCACAGTCCTAACTGTGCTTACTGAGAAGTGTCCTGTTGAATTCAGTGGGTAAGTGGGATTGGTCTTGCTGCCTAAACTACTTAGTTCAAGCTCATCTGCTCAAAAATTATTCCCAGTAATGATGAGCGGCCCCTGAGAATCAGCTGCTGCATTACCTCTGCTCATGCAAATAGACTTTGAGTATCACAGCCATAAAGGGCAGCTGTACAATGCAGGTTGAATCAGCTCTTTGGTTTGTGGAAGGGTTGGCGATCCAGTGGATGCTGACACTCATGAAAGAGAGAGATTTTTGTTGATTCCCTTTGCAATTTGATGTTCCACTTCCATGGTGTTCCAGAGGGTCCTCCAGTGATCTGGAGCAGGTTTTTGGGCTGTACAGGACAAAAATCAACCCCTTTCCTTCCTGTTAGTAGAAAATTCCTTGCACATGATCTCTGGAGCAATTGTAGCTTGAGAAAATAAAATATATTTCATTCTTGAGTAAACTTAGCTGATAGAGTGATTGGGTAGCATTTGTAATTACATTTTATGTTCATGTCAATGTTAGGAAAATTGGAATTGCCTAATTCAATAACCAGTTCGATATATTTCCCAAGATGAGGCCATCCTAATATTTCTCTAGTGGAACTATCTTAGGTTTTCCCCTCTAATTGTTATTCTGTCTTGCCTATTATTGCCCACTGTGGCTGGCAGCAGAAACAACAAAGAGACTTGTGGCTTCCTAAAGATTAACAAATGTTTTTAATTCATTCGTATTGTGCAAATTTATAAACAGGTTCACAATCTGAGACCATCAAAGTGATATACAACAAGGCAAAAATAAGATTAAATATAAATTCTAATAACACATAAACCATTCCTACAGATGCACAGTTAATGTTTCATAATCAATTAGGTCACACCTTAGGGGAAACCATCTTAAACAGAAATGTATTCAGTAGGTGCCTGAACGTCATGATGTTGGGTGTCTTAACTAATTTCAGCTGGTAATTGATTCCAGAGGGCTGGAACTGCAACACTAAAAGTCCAGTTTCTAGTGTAACCTGAGCATACCTATGGGGCATGCAGTACTCTCAGAAGCAGCCCATCTGAGAAGCGCAGTTGCTGGGCAGGGGCATATGGGGGGTGGGGTTGATCCTTTAGGTAACCTTTCTTAGCATAACCTTGTTTCCTGAGATACCAAGGATAGAAATTAGGATCATTTATTTATTACACAGACGGAGCCTCAAATAGTATATTGAAACAGAATGAGGTTGCAGCTTTAATATTTAGTTACTGGAGTGTTTTCTTAGTCTCGCATTATTAATCTGAAACTACACTAGAGTAAATAGGATGAAAAAGTTTGGAAATATAGTCTAAATTCTGGGAACACTGCATTCCTTGTATTCCCATTTGTGCACCTGTTAGGCACAAGCCTGAGTAAATAATGAACTCTGTTCCATGACTTAAAGTCTGGGTCTGGCAGATCAACTGGGATATTGAATGCCATAGTCCAATTCCTCCACGAAAAGCAATCTATTCCCATAGGTTTATAGCTGGTGGTTGCAGCTGAGTTATTTGAGCTTATATCTGTTATGGCGATGATGCATGGGAAGCATGGTGATTTCACAGTTGTCAAGGCTCAACTCATTCTGTGATAAAAGCGTAGTTTGAGAAAGTTGATCCCTAGGCTGATGTCACTCACATGATGTTTTCCCGTGTGTGTGTGTGTGTGTGTGTGTGTGTGTAATGATCAGTACTAAAGGCAATGTCACGTAGCATATAGTGCTGAATTTAGCTTGTGGTGTACATTTTAAAGTAACTTGATAAAAAATGAATGTAAACTTGATGACATATACATATTCTAGACTACCAAAAGCAAAGTGAAAATTGGCTCTTTTTGGAGATTCCAATCTGTGTTTAGCACTTGACTTCTTATATAGAACATTGCCATCCATTAAGAGCTAGCAATGCTCAAATGAAGTGTGTCATTTCAGATTTGTGCACACAACATGCAGGGTTTTTTTTGTTTTTGTCTTATTTGGACTCTGGCTTGGTGTAAAAGCTTTTAGCATAACACACTGTTCTTCCCCTTTATAGGATTATGCCAAGGAAAGGTATGGAGTATTGCCGCTGATCCAGTCTCAGGAGAAGCCAGGTCAGTTTCAAAATTCTGGAAAGCATACAAAAACCTATTGGGTTGTAAATACCACAATCTGCAAGATAGTGCTGATAGTTGTGTCAGGTCCAATATACAGATAACCATTTCTAGCTGCAGTGGAGCCAGTCTGTCTGAGGGAAAAAAGGTAAGAGGTTGTTTCACTTCATGCTTGCAGTTAACAAAATACTGTGGAACTTCAGCTAAATTTAACACATGACAAAAAACAAACAAACCCCAGTCACACTTGCTATGTGCTAAAAATCTGAGAGAACAATTGGCACATATTAAGACAAAAAATATAGAGGCCCCTTTCTCTTTGTGAGCTAATGAATCCTGTTTGCAGAATGCCTGTGCAAGGACTTCTGCTTGCGCAGATGGGGCTCCCCCCCTTCTCCCTCCCTCCTTGCACCCCCCAAAATCTGCTTTGAGGGGATCAGGAGAAGCCCTGGAACATCCCACGGGAGGAGGAGAGGTGGGATTGCTGAGTCTAGAAAGCCAGAATGCTTGCCATGACGGAACAATTGCCTTAGCACAACGTTAGATTCCTTCTTGAATCTTTGCTTGCAGATCTAAATTTCAATGAATACAATTGGACTGATTTCTAGGCATTCATAGGATTGCAGCCATGGTTTCTTGTAATCATACATCAAGTACAGTGGTACCTTGGGTTAAGTTCTTAATTTGTTCCGGAGGTCCGTTCTTAACCTGAAACTGTTCTTAACCTGAAGCACCACTTTAGCTAATGGGGCCTCCTGCTGCCGCTGCGCCGCCGCTGCACGATTTCTGTTCTCATCCTGAAGCAAAGTTCTTAACCTGAGGTAATATTTCTGAGTTAGCGGAGTCTGTAACCTGAAGCGTATGTAACCTGAAGCATATGTAACCTGAAGCATATGTAACCCGAGGTACCACTGTATGGGGAAGCCATCCAAAAGTTGTTTAACTCCCCTTGGCCATAGTGGCCAACGGTTATGGATGATGGGATTTGAAGTCCATCAGCTTCTGGAGGGCTACACCTCCACTTGTTGGCCTCTGTCTATCTCAAGAGACAGTGCTGTATGCCTCCGGCACCAAACTGACACCCTGAGATAAAAGGCTGGGCAGTGTATATGGAGGTCCTGTGCTGCCCATACGACAAGACTTCCCTCTCAGCCTTGTAGATATGGTCAAAAGGAAAACAGAGTAATATGCTGGGCACCATTTTAACTGCAGGAGTTGCCAGAAGGAGGTGTACAAGGCGCTATCCAACCATCTTAGGGACTCCATTCCGGATTTGTGTAGGGTTTACTCCCTAGCCTTTTCTTCTCCTGAATATATCTCACAAGGTATCAGAGGTTTAGGTTCAGAGTTTTCCTTCTCCTAGATGGGCTCCCTTCCCAGCTTGACGAGCCCAATCTGCCCTTCACTTCCCTCTACAGCTCATGCAGAAACCACCCTCTTGACCATTGGACCTACTATTGGTCTCATCCGCTCAATCCGCTGGAGCCTGTCTTCACATGCAGGGGAAGTCCCTAACTCACTGAGGATTTGAGAGCCATCAAATACCCTCACCTGGTTTAGCTGGCCAGTCGAAGCCGTTTCCTGGGGTTTGAGTGCTGTCGCGTGCTGATGGCTTCTAGGAGCCACAGGAGAGAGATGAGTGCAGGGTGGGGACCAAAGATGGGACAAACTATCCCAGAAAGAGAATGACGTGTCCCTTACCAGGGGTACTACCCCTCGCCTAACACTCCACACCCCTCCTCTTACGTAATTAGAAAAGGAGCATTAGATATGCACAAAACGTAGCTAATAATGGCCTTTTTTCAATTGTTGGGTGTGGCCCAGCAACTCACTTGGGCTAATAAGACAGTTTATTTGTACAGTGGTACCTCGGGTTACATACGCTTCAGGTTACAGACTCCGCTAACCCAGAAATAGTACTTCGGGTTAAGAACTTTGCTTCAAGATGAGAACAGAAATCATGTTCTGGTGGCGCGGTGGCAGCAGGAGGCCCCATTAGCTAAAGTAGTGCTTCAGGTTAAGAACAGTTTCAGGTTAAGAACGGACCTCCGGAACGAATTAAATACGTAACCCAAGGTACCACTATATGTCTACAAATACATCAAGCCACTCCTGCGCACTTGCCTGTTTCCCGGGTAGGCATGTTTATGGCTTCAGTTCAGCCTTGCAGATAAGTCCATAATAGATATTACACTACATGAATTTGTATTTGGGCATAATGCCAGCCTTTGAGAAGTCATGTTCTGTGTGCGAGCTGGGAGTAATCCAAGCACATATGTGTTGGGATGTATATTGTGCTGCGTTTGCAAAATGCAGCTTTGAAGAAGAAACAAATTGAGAGGTTTGGTTCTCATTTTTGAGAGAGAAAGAGAAACATGAGGGGAGAAATTGGGCAGTGGTTCACTGCATCATGTAAAGAAGGAATTGGAAGGAATAGAAAGTTGGATAGCGCTTTAAAAAGGTTGATTAAGTTGCCATTGTGGATTGGAGAAAAGGAAAGCATTCAGATTCAATGTTTAAAGAAACAAGTTATTAGAACTTTCTTCTTCTTTAAAAAAAAAACACCATTAAGGAAAAGCAACAGATTACTTCACCTACTTGTGCAAAAATACTTTTGTGCAGTATGTTTCTCTTTAGCAGTTGCTTTCTGATTTTTTTTATAGAAGCAGTGCAATAGTTGAAAATAATTATTTGGACCTTGTCAGAACATGTAGTCAAATGTGTTTGCCATCTGGTTTTAATGAAAGTTGGGCCATTATGTCTACAGTATTTTTTTAAAAAGTTAATCTAATGCACATTTTGGGTGATGCCTTGAACATTAGGGACTTATGAAAAGTGTGATACCTCATTTTCTCCTTTTTATTCATGTCTGGAAAATGTTGCCGCTTTGTAATAATTTTAAATCGTTGATGTAATTTTGTCTGACTAAGGCTTCGCAGATCTGTTTCAGTTATCGTTAGCATTGGTGAAACTTGAAATTGGATTAGAACTTGTTACTCAGTTTCATCGTTTTTTATTTTTCCACCTCAAGGGCATCAACAGTGTAGTAGTGTATCCCTTTTACCACAGATCCCTGTTTCAGAGTAATTTGTTTTCAACAGCTTAATCCAATGCATGTTTCCTAGAAAGTAAATCACAATGTGTTCAGTGAGTCTGACACTATCTGTTAAGTGTGTTTAGGATTTTCTGTCTAAACTACTTAGAGAAGACAACATCTCCCCTTCATGGAAGAGCAGTGGTTACCTCTAACCATTCCCAAACTTATTCATATCAACAGAATTACCTCTGAGATTCATGGTATTCTTCACATAGAACTTCCTTAGAGTCATCTTATCCTTTTAAAAGCTTAAATGAATCTGCAGAACCTAAAAGAATTATTCTGAAGAGAAGCCAACCTCAGCGTATAATATAGTAGTTGTATAGCTGTGAAGATATTCAGAAAGTGAAAAATTAACAAAACAGACACAGCCTGGAATAGGAAGACACTAAAGTCAGAAGTTGGAAAGAGAGAGAGAGAGAGAAAAAAAACTTAGTGTGAAAAGAGCAGACATCTATGGTACTACACAAGGTAGTTGTGCTTCCGGACAGAAAGAACCAACTCCAGTACCTGAAGCAGTGGTTTTCAACTAACACAGATATTAATAGTTTACAAGATTGCTTGCCTTATTAAAAAGGCAACATTATTTATTATTTATAAAATGTGCATACCACTTAGCATGAAGAGAAATCTCTAAGCGGCTATCGTAAAATGTAATTTAAAAAGTCAATATAAATTCATATAAAATGCAGGAATCAAATAAAATCTTAAAAGCTAAGTAAAAATAGAATAAAACTGAGCAACGTGGACCTTGGCATGGGGGATGAGTTGGGTTTTCGTTGTGAAACGGAGCAGCTTTCACCAATGGCATCCCTAGGGCAGAGAGTGGGATGGCCTGTAGCCATCTGGGTTTCCCCACCACTCCAATGGATATCCCATCCTCTCATTTTCTGACCATGACATGCAATCTTTGTATGCACAGTACTTCATATTCTCTCTATCCCCCACCACAGACTCCTTAACTTGCGTACCTTCTATAAAGCACTACAGTACTCAACTTAACATTCATTCATGCTGCTCCACCTATTCCATTCCCTCCTCTAAAGCACTGGTCAGATTATTCAAAGGGGTAGAACTATGTGTGTGTGTGTGTGTATGTGTGAACCAGTAAACCCTCATACCCAGGGAGAGGTACCATGCATAATGTATTGCTGTCATTCAAATGGGAGGTTAAGAGAACATGTGCCCAGACTTCATATCCAGTACCAAGTCAGAGATGGTGAACTGACTGATGCTGGGAAAAGGCATCCCTTGCCACCAAGTTTCATTTCTGCCACGAATGCATTGTAAATAGTTTTCCTTGTACATAAAATCTACAGGGTAGCTTTGTTGCATCAAAATGGCTATTGTTTCCCCTTCCTATGAATATAATAGCTAACCAAGTAATGTATTGCCTGCAGATCGTGTATTGGTTCGAATAAAGGACTTGACAGCAGAGAAAGCCGATGACGTCGTCTGGGTTCGTGGGAGGATTCATACCAGCAGAGCAAAAGGTAAGCTTAGCTCTTCCAAGATTGCCATAGATAAGCCTTTCTCAACTTGGTGCCATCCTGATGTTATTGGACCACAACTCCATCAACCCTGATCATTGGCCACGGTGGCTGAGATTGATGGGAGTTGTGGTCCAAAATTATATTGAGGGCACCAGGTTGGGGAAGACTGTCCTAGACTGTTTATGCACCATTTATTTATTTAGATGATTTATGTACTGCCCACAGCTTATGACAAATCAAACTATCTGTGGATCTGTCCTTTATTAAAGGTCCATGAAAATAACACAGTTCTTTAAAAACATTTTATTATGGGTCAGGAAGGGTCAGGTTTTCTCCCCTTGTCCTGATGCTTTCTAGAACTACAGTGGTACCTTGGGTTACATACGCTTCAGGTTACATACGCTTCAGGTTACAGACTCTGCTAACCCAGAAATATTACCTTGGGTTAAGAACTTTGCTTCAGGATGAGAACAGAAATTGTGCTCCGGCGGCGCGACAGCAGCAGGAGGCCCCATTAGCTAAAGTGGTGCTTCAGGTTAAGAACAGTATCAGGTTAAGAACGGACCCCTGCAATGAATTAAGTACGTAACCAGAGGTAGCACTGTACTCTGAATAGCAGCTTAGGGAATTTTAAAGAAAATATTCCAGCCTGCTGTGTCAAGGATATCTGTGTCAAGGATATCTAGATATCTCCCTGGCAGAAAATGGGGTGGAAGGGTACCCAGCAACAAGCTGAAGGCCTTGCTTGAAATGATAGCTAGGCTGTTTACTCAGGAGTAGATTGCTAGGAGATGGCCCCAGACTGCTCGCTTGGAAATAGTTGCATGTGTTTAAAGGTGCTCTAGATTCTTGCTTTCTGTGTCTTTTCCTCCTGGATTTTTATGGAATGTTACACTCTTGAGAACGGTTTGCCAGAAATGCAGTAGCCAAAACTTTATTTCTGTTTTCCATTTTGCAAAATACATGTGCCCGTATTGCTGCGTTAGTTCTTTTTCTATAGTTAAACATGGTAGAAAAAGACCCACAGGTAAATACGGTGCTTTCAAGAAGGCTGTATAATGAAATACTTACTTTTAAATGCCTCTAATGTTATAAAGTACTATTTTGAAGTAAAATTTAAAACCATTGCTGAAGTATCAGCCATCAGGCATACTAGAATTTCTCTTTTCAAGTTGGATAATCGGAATAAAGCTAGTTTGTGTTACTTCCTAAGTTTTAAAGGAAATGGGAAACCCTGGAACGAATTGGCCTTTCATGTAGCCCCGCACAAAATATGTCAGCTCATTATATTTTTTAAAAAAATTGTTCTTACAGTGGCCTCAAAGAAATCCTTATCTAAGCTTGAGCTCCATGGCATGGCTTGTTCAGACAGAACCACCTGCCTGTCATTTTTCTTCACTGTGGGAGCACTACTTCTCTTGGGGATCACTTTCCATTGCACAAGTTTAAATATGCTTTGACCTCTTCAGGTGACATACAAGTCTGACAGATGTTCCATTTGTTTGAACTTCACTTACCTCATGGTTGAGAAACCATACATTTAAAGAAAAAAGGCTTTCCGGAACAAAATATGACAATAGCTTGAGGAACTGGAGTTGAACTCTGCTCCCCAAAATCTTTGACATGCTTGATAGAAATGCTTCTTGTATTGGGCATAAATAGGGAGAAAAGAAAGGTTAGTTACTAAATCTGGTCAGTTACCAGATACTAAATCTGGTCAGTTATCCCAGTTACCAGTCACTATAGTTTCATACTTGTTCTGGGGGCATAAATGTTAACAGTAAATGTTAAACATTTATTTTAAAGGTCCCAGGGATTTTTGTGTTTGTGTGTGTGTGTGATTTTCAAAATAATAATAATATACAGTCATTCCTTGGTTATCGAACAGCTTGGTTCTCAAACGTTTTGGCTCCCGAATGCCGCAAACCCGGAAGTGACTGTTCCGGTTTGCAAATTATTTTTGGAAGCTGAATGTCCGAAGGGGTTTCCGTGGTTTCCGATTGGCTGCAGGAGCTTCCTGCATTTTGGTTTCCAAACGTTTTGGAAGCCAAACAGACTTCCAGAACAGATTCCGTTCGACTTCCAAGGTACGACTTTACTAGCAAATGTTCATAGTGGCCTGAATGGGTGTGCCAGCTTTAACTTGCATATATGTGTTTTAAAAATGGAAAGATGTGTAATCTTACACAGCCATGAAGCTTATCTGGGATGGTTGGCATGCACACATGAGTGCCAATATTCACTCAGAGTTAGATAGTTGAAAGAGCGGCACTGGCTAGTTTATGGTTTTAGTATACAAAGCCCTAAGCAGCTCATGACCAAGTTATCCAAGGGAGCATATAGACCAGCCTTTCTCCTGTACAGACCAGCCTAGTTGCTGTGATCTGCGGAGGAGGTCTGTTAACAGTACCATGGCCTGTAGAAGTGCACCTTATACTGGTGCAGGGGAGATCTTTCTTCGGCAGGACACCTCCTTTGTGGAATGAACTGCCCATAGAGATCAGGTGGGCTTCAACTCTGTGATGTTTTTGCTGACAAATGAAAACATACCTGTTCATCTGGGTAATTCCCTGACCATTAATTCCTGTTGCTCAACATTCCTGGCCACTGTGATTGATACTTTTAACTTTACAGTGGTACCTCGGGTTACATACGCTTCAGGTTACATAGGCTTCAGGTTACAGACTCTGCTAACCCAGAAATAGTACCTCGGGTTAAGAATTTTGCTTCAGGATGAGAACAGAAATCGGGTGGCGGCAGCAGCGGGAGGCCCCATTAGCTAAAGTGGTGCTTCAGGTTAAGAACAGTTTCAGGTTAAGAACGGACCTCCGGAACGAATTAAGTACGTAACCAGAGGTACCACTGTATTTTATTGATCTGGTTTTAGTGCTGCATCTTGCTGTTTCACTTGTTTGTGAACCACCTTGATAATTCTCAAAATGAAGGATGGTATAGAAATAAATGAATAAATATATTTCTTAAAATGGTGACCTTATTTTATTTCAGAATTACCCCCCCTCCACTTCAAAATGAGATTCCTGCATTGCAGGCGGTTGGACTATATGATCCTCATGGTCCTTCCCAACTATGATTCTATAATTCTCAGTAGAATTAAGAACAAGCGAACAACTTGGACAGTGACCCGTGTTCATACGCTGGGCTAAACCAGGAGTGGATAGCCTCCCCCCCCCCCACTTGAGAGACCATAATCCCACACCAGTGGTAGGCAGAGGCAGAGCAGATGATGGGTGGAGCTAGAGACAAGTTTCTGGATTAACTAATCCAGAGTAAAATCCACCCTGCTTCAATTTTCACTGTGGTTGCCTTACATTAGAATTTCCGCTCTTGTGTGGTTAACTTGGAAGTAAAGCCTATTGAGTTTGATTCAGTTGCACTCAGATATGCAGAGTATTTTATCTTTAGAACAACAAACCAATAAACCCCCTGTTGTGGAAAGCAAGTGAAAGTAACCCCTTTCTGACTTTAGTGTGCCGCACACACATGCATATATGACAGAAGCATACAAATTTGATCTTGGAAAGTTGAGGGGGAAAGTTCCATAGGGAAGAAGCAGGGGGAGGGAGTTTATTTCTTATAAAATGAACTACTTCCAATTATATTAAAACTGCATGAAGGGAGGGGAAACACAGTAAGTAGCCAGGAAAAAATAAGTAGGAAACAAACACAAATGAAGGAACTCTATGGGGATGGAAGGATGGGGGCAGCACAAGGCAGCTTCAGGAGGCTATAGGGGCTGCCTAAAATGAGACGGGGTTCAGATTTCCCTCCTGTGTGCTGATGTGAAAAGTTTAGTTTCATATGAATGAGACCAGGCAAGCTTCAGGTTTGTGATCTCCCCCACTTTTGCGTCATGACTGCAAGGAGGGAGTTTTCAAAAGCTTTCGCTTCTACTTTTGCCTAACCACAGCCTGCCACGTTATCCAAACCGTGGTTAATTTCAATTTGTTGCAGACAAATTAACTCTTGCGCAGTTGTGGAAATGCATAATACCGCATGGTGCGTTCAGATTCTCCTAAAAAGCCAGAGATCTTAATGAGAATTCTCCCAAGGTTTGGAAAGACCCAACCTGGGGGCACTACTGCCCCAGCCCCTTTGTATTTGTCTCCCTCTTGCACCCCTCCCTCGCCAGATTTGCAAATTGTGACAGGAGGGATTCAAAATGTACAACACCAATGCTGCCTAAATTTCCAGATCATTTTTGGGCCTGCTTGAAACCACCATTGTCCAGAGGAGCACTGGTAAATTCATTGTTAAAATAAAATTTAAAAAGCCACCAGAGAAATGAATCCGAGTGAATAAAGTGCTACACTTCACAGCGTCACATGCTCTGAGCACAGTCTGGAGTCATTGGTATGGCTCAGAAGGAACAGATCCCCCCTTAACTATGCAAATGAGGGTTCCCCCCCCTACTGGTCAGTGAATTTTATATATATATGTGTGTGTGTGTGTGTGTGTGTGTGTGTGTAGCGGGAAATTAGAATGCTGGAACAGTTTAACCAGCCTTCAGCTTTAGGCTGGGCTACTGGTCTCCCTTATTTCCATTCTCTTTCAGATTTATATGTTTGTAAAAGGGTGGGGAATGGGCAGGTGAGAAGACTGGTGCTGAGGGCTTGTCTTGGGATGGGTAGAAAATTTCTGAATGGGCAAGTTGGTTTCCTTATGCCCCTTTCTAAAAATCTTTCTATCCCTCGTACCGTGTCATGATAAAAGAATCACTCAAGAGTCTGAAAATGTATTAACGTACACAGCTGAGAGCCTTTCTGCAAGCTTGAGCATAACAAGATATCATACTGTGCAATAATAATATTTGTTGGGGGGCCACGGGCTAGTTGCTATCTCTCAGGTTAACTGTGAGAAAATATGGAGATAAACCCATTTGTACTTCTCGGAGGTGCTTGGTATAAGGATGGGATTAGAAAGTGACACGTCTGATTAGGGGTTGTACTGCGTAAGGCAGAGAGATGACGAATTTCCCTGTCTGCCTTATGTTAGCCGCAATATTTGGCCCAAACCACTAACTGGTAGGAATCCAAGCTGTCAAACTAAAAATGAGATGTGTGATTCAGGTTCCGTTGGTGGCAAGCATTGGAGGAACTGATATGAGTCTCGGTAGAAGTCCACTCGCCAGTTCATTGCAACATTAATGTTATGAGTCAGAAAGCTGTTTCAAAAGGTGTTGAGTTGCATATGGAAAATTCATCTTGTCTGTTTCGCAGAATCGCAAAAGAGTGAGAGTGTGTTTTAAACAATAGTCATTTGTTCCTGTGGACAATTGGATTTAAAACAAGTACCCGTGAGTAGAAACGGAAAATTGGATCAAGAAATATCTTAATTTGGCATCGAAGCGGGAAGGTTCAAAACAGGAAGTCCGCCTTCCGCTTTTTGTACATAGACTAAAGCAAAAATTTTGTAAGCTAAAGCCTGGAAAGCCATCAAAAAAGTCTAAATTTCCTTCATGTAGAATTACTGAAACCCCCTTGGAAGCAGGAGAAAAGAGGGGGGGGACTTTGTTTAACCCCTGCAGGAGAGGGAGTGAAGAAGGATAAGTTTCCACCGTCTCTAACCTGGGAACGGGGTGTCAGAGACAGAAATAGTTGGAGAGGTTCATTGACTGTGAATGGAATACTTTGACAGAAAGCCAAACAAAAGAAATAAACTGATTCCAATGTTGCCTTTTGCATTCTAAAGAAAAAAAATATCTGAAAAATATCTGAAAAATGAAAGTAATTTTCCTTTGTTGGACTTGCCTTAAAAAAAAAATGGATACAAATAGAAATTGTCTCCTCTAGAGGGAGCTTGTTAAATTGTTGCTGCAGTATACTTAAGGATTCAACAGCTGTGAGATTAAGATCGTGGGACCAGTCTTTTTTGACCTTGACTAAAGATGAGCTGGGAGGAAGATTGGGTGCTTGCTTTATGCAAGACAAGTGCCCTGCTGGAACAGATGCATGAGAAGATGGATTTGATGAATGAGAAAATGGACTTGATGACTGTTGTGGTTAATAACTGTGGACAAACAGGGAACATTGATACAGAAACCATTCAGGGACCAACTCATGAACCTGTACTGACTGGGCAAGTGCAGAAGATAATGGAGGAGGATGCGGTTGCATCTCAAATAATACAAATGGAGAGACCCGAGGCCCTACAGGAGCATAAGCCGATGTCATTGAAGATTGAAGTTGGAGCGGGCCAGGGGGAGTCTGGAGCTGAGGAGGTTCCTAACTTTGGAGAGACCTTGAAATATGCTTTTAAATACCTTTTGGATTACATTGATGACTGTGGGGAGTGGGACTGTGGGGAATGGGCGGGTTTGATGAAGGGAGATGGAGAATTTTGGGTTGGAATCCCCCAGAGACCTACTCCTCAATGAGAAAGGAAAGAAATTAAGAAAGAGACCAACAAAAGACAAGGAAAAGGGCAAGTATAAACAAGAAGAAGAAGATGATCTGCAGAAGGGACATGGAAGAGACTTAAGGGCCTCGGACATAAGACTTCCAGGTTGATGGACTAGATGGAATGGACAGTAAGGACTGACACGACCCGAGACCAGGAAGAAGAGACGTTGGATGAAGATTGGAAGAAAATTTATAAAGAAAATTTTTATTTAGGGAATTAGCCTAAAATCAATGAATATTAGGGAAAATGTTGGAATGAAACTATATGACTCTAGCAGAAATGTTATCAGGAGTTATGTATATTTGAGTATTAAGATTCAAGCTTTAAGGTACTTTATGGTAAGATAAGGTTAAATAAATTAAGGTAATTTGAATAACAGAATATGGGGAAAGATGGAAAGGATTTGTTGAGCTAATCATTAGGTTAAATTATTAAGATAAATTATTTAACAAAAATTGAGAAAGATGGAAAGAATTTGCTGAAATAACTAATTAAATTAGAATACAAAAAGGGAGGTGTGAGGAGGTCAATGAAACAAACAAATGGAAGTTATAGATATGTAATTTGGGATTTGTGTCTTTTTTTCCCTTTTTTATAATCTTTTTGCTGTATTGTTGTATTGGTTTTTGGGTTTTTTTTTCTTTTTTATGTATTGTAGTGTTGTTTTTTATTTTCTGTTCTTTTCTATAATTCTGAAACTATTAATAAATATTATTTTAAAAAAAATAAACAATAGTCATTTTAATCAGAAATGGCCATGATCTCTGACACAGATACTTGGCAGAATACCACATATATATTTCTGAGTTAAATAAACAGAGGTATTAACCAGGTTTCATAATAGGTTTCCTTCCATTTCCCCCCCTCTACTGAAAAGAGAAAATGTGAACAATCCTGAGAGACAGAAAAAGAACACATTCTCAGCCAGTGGAGGAGTGGAGCATACAGGCAGGGACTAACTTCTCCTGAAATAGGTGTCAAAAACACTTCTTCAAAAAACCAATTAGTGGATCCTGGAAGGGGAGGTAAAGGTAAAGGGACCCTTGACCATTAGGTCCAGTCGTGGCCGACTCTGGGGTTGTGGCACTCATCTCGCTTTATTGGCCAAGAGAGCTGGCGTACAGCTTCCGGGTCATGTGGCCAGCATGACTAAGCTGCTTCTGGCGAACCAGAGCAGCGCACGGAAACACCGTTTACCTTCCCGTCGGAGCAGTACCTATTTATCTACTTGCACTTTGATGTGCTTTTGAACTGCTAGGTGCGCAGGAGCAGGGACCGAGCAACGGGAGCTCACCCCGTCGCGGGGATTCGAACCGCCGACCTTCTGATCAGCAAGTCCTAGGCTCTGTGGTTTAACCCACAGCGCCACCCGCGTCCCATAAGGGGAGGTAGCCTCCTTATAAGGGGAGTCAAACCTCCAGGCTTGACTCTAGCAAGCAAGCCTAAGACCCTCTAGCCTGTATCTTACACAGGGGCTAGAGTGCATCCTCCTTCTCCTAGTAGGCTCTAATATCCGAGGGGGAAGCACCACATTCAGAGGGCAAGCGACTGATCCCATTCTTCCTGGAATCACTCAGATTGCATCTGCAGCAGTGAGACACAGAAGGGACCAGAGATGTAGCTCCCAACTACCTCTGTGTCACAGTGCCTTCAGGCCCCAATGCGCTCTCTTTCTCTCCCATTCCCCCCACTAGTCACTGACAGGCAGGAGCAATCAGAGAAAAAGGCTGAATAAGACCTTCCAGGGGAAGATAACAGGAGAAAGGTGGTGAGGCATCCTGAGAAGGATGAAAGCAAGTTTTGCAATACGGATGCTGGAGGCATCCTGAGAAGGATGAAAGCAAGTTTTGCAATAAGTCCTCTCAATCTTTTTATCCATCTGTTGCAGAGAGTTGGGGGAACCCCCAGAGCAGATTTGGGAGTGGGGTGGGAGGAAGTGAGGAAGCAGAATCCTGTTGCTGTGAGCAAAAGCCATTCCGCCAGTGCAGTTACCTTTTAATTTACAGCGCAGTCCTTTGCGTGTCTACTCAAAAGGAAATACCATTGAGTTAAGTGGCGTTTACGTCTTGGGCACATGTGTATAGGATTGCAGCCATAGAGATGCCCACAAAATTTTATGTATATTTGCACCCACTTCACAAAGACAACTGTTGTAAAATAAGAATAAGTTGTTTGATCATTTCAAGTGTCCTAAATACATAGGCTGCAATCCAAAGAGCTTATTTGGCTTTTTTTTAAAAAAAAATGAAATTATTTGGAACTATGAAAAGGTTATTGTGAGTAAAAAATCTGTGCCAAAGGATGCACATGTCTGCCTGTAGGCTTTGCTTTGTGAGCGTTTAAAAGTCTGGCTTAATTTTAAAGTAGTAGAACATATTTTTGTATTCATTCAGAAAGATCCCAAGTAACGTGCCCTGAATACACCTGCATTGTTCCTTCCTCTTTCTTTTCAGGAAAACAGTGTTTCTTAGTCCTACGTCAGCAGCAGTTTAATGTCCAGGCTCTGGTGGCTGTGGGAGACCATGCAAGTAAGCAGATGGTAAAGTTTGCTGCCAAGTAAGTAAGCAATTATATCCTGTTGTCACAGTAAACAATGGTGGGAACCCAGGCTCCCAGTGGTTGGGACCATTTTCGCACATTAACATCAATGCCACGTTTGTTTTTAAAATGTAGTTATTTAAATTGTCAGCTCACTATAGTGTTGAATGCATTACACTTACAAAGACAAAATGGAACACAGCCTTGAAATTCATTCTGAACTGCTGGGGGAGCATTCTGTCTCCGCAGACAGCTCCTATTTACTTTCAAGCTGGCTAACAAAAAGGTTGGCAGGCTGAACTCGGACACATTATTTTGTCGGATGTTTGTGTGTGCATGTGAACACAGGCTCAATCTTTTTTTATTTAAGCATGAGATCTTTACTGTGTAATGTATTCTGCCTCATTTAAATGCAAAGTGCAAATTGAAGGTATTTAGAAGTTCAGCAGTGCAATTTTTTTCTCTCCAAAAGACAGAAAGGGTTAGGAACCTAATTTGCACTCTTGTAATCTTCATTACTGGAACTAAAACTTGTTCTGTGTAGCATTCCTGCCCGCCCCCTTCCTCAAGTCCCCCTCCCCCAATTGTAATTGGCTCTGTTTCTATTTTAGCAAGAAGCATTATGGTCAAGGCAAGGGTTTGCCTTCTCTCCACAGGCGCCTTTAAGATTGGGGTCTGAGTTGACAGCTGCCTGGGTTACCAAAGTAATTTGGGAATGAGGGCAGAAAGCAAGGTACCCTGGAAACAAGCTAGGCAACAGAACTAGATTGTGGCACTAGAGCAGGCTTCCAGTTCTGATCTTAGAACTCTCTCTACGTCTGGGCCTTGCATTGTGTGTAAAGTTACACTACTGAGAGTGGGTGGGTTATCCTTTGCACCTTTTAGTTTTGAGACCACCGATTGGTTTGATCCCTTACACGCCTATGTAGCAAAGTGGCCTTTACAAGAACAGAACATGTTTCTGTGTCCAGCTTTTGACTTGGTACACCCAGGCTTTAAATTATGAGTCTACCTTAGTATGGAGAACTCAAGATACTTCTGTTCTGTTTCTCAACATAGCTTTCGTGGCTCAGGGGTGGGCCCTAAATGCATGCCAGAAGGTGTAGACAGTTCTGATGGGGTGGAGAGGAAAGTGATGCATTGTTCTCCATAGAAAAGTTTTTCAGAGGTCCAAACCGTTCTGGAAATTAAGTTCAAGGCCATAGGGAGCAGCACAGTCAGTATCACATTAGCTTACTAGTATTTAGAGCATGTGTAACATGTTCTGTTAATTCTTTTAGTGTCTTTGAGATTCAGTTTTTTTCCTAGTTCCTGGAGAACATAATTAGAGAAATGTGGGTTTTCTCTTTATTTGGTCTTCCTAAATGGTGCCCTCGCTTTGGCTCCAACTGTGTCGTGAGTCCTTGATTGACCTTCCTAATGGTTTCAGCTCTGCTCTGCACCAGGCATTTCCTATTGTATCCTCTGTTCATGCCTTCATACTGAAGGTTTTTCCCCCTAACAAAGCCATGCATTTTGCCTCTAATTGTCAATTTGTCATCTCCGTCTCCCTTAGACAACTGCTCCCTAGGCAACTGGTTGTGCTCCCCAGTTCTTTTTTGGCCTTAATTTGGAGTGCTCCCCACTTAACACTATACACTTTGAATTAGCCAGTGTAAAGAATCAAATCAAATCAAAATCCTACCGACTTGTAGTGATTACCAAAAAAAGTTGATGCCAATCTTGATTGCTCACTCTAACCTCTCACCACCTTTTGTAAAAGAAAAAGAAGCTTGACTCAAAAGGAGTCTGTCCAAAGAGGAAGGCATGCTAATGAACCCAAACCCCCTTCACATCACATCTGGCTGCTTCACCCTTTTATTTCTTTACAGCTTTCTATAAAATAGAGGAGAAAATAATAATGTATACAACGCTGCATTTGGAGTGGACTTAAGCATTTATCCCTGTTCGAATGCTGTCAGTATTTCTTATGTGTATATGAATGAATGACCTTGCCTTCATTTCACATGATCTGGCTCTCCTACCCATTTCATGGGATCTATCCGAACACAGTTTTGAACACCTAGCTATATATGAGAGGCATCTGCAGTTTTCGAGCATCTTAGGTTCATACTGCTTCTGCTTCTTCTTGTACATAGCCAAACAAGTATAGTTCTCCTTTTCTCAGTGTTAGCACAGAGCTGAGAACTTTCGTAATGGGGGGAACTATTGATATGAAATGTTTACCTGAAAATACTCCAGCTTTCATGCCAGAAGCTCTTACTCTGAGCGATGCGTTTCTGCTACTTAGTCATTAGAAGAAACATTTTCTTGATCAAGCTGAAAACATTTAACATGCTACTATTGACTTTGAAGTGCCAGCAGAGTGACACTGCTTAACTCAGTGATGGCCAAACTTGGCCCTCTAGCTGTTTTGGGACTACAATTCCCATCATCCCTGACCACTGGTCCTGTTAGCTAAGGATGAAGGGAGTTGTAGTCCCAAAACAGCTGGAGGGCCAAGTTTGGCCATCACTGGAATGTAATGTGTAAGGAACAGTGCAGAACCTAGCCATGCTTAAACCCAAGACACTGAGATCTAGTGAGCATGTGGCAAAACATGTTACATTTGTTTTTCCACCAAACCTGTGCAAGAAGGGAAGATTTCATTTCAGAATCATATCCCCTCTCCTCCCACCACATGCTGTTCTGTGCATAACATCCCATATAGTTTAGCAAGCTGAGAAATGAGACTGGGGTTGGTGCCTCCCCAAGCCTCTTTCCCCTTTTCATTCCTGCTTCAGTGAGCTGGTCCTGGTTAGTGTAAACTACAGCTCATTTTAACCCTGAAAAGATTTTGAACCTGTTTTGAACACACTACATGATGCTGGCTAGTAAACCAACATTAAAACGGCAATGCCTTATTATGGACATAGCAGGGAATTGTAGTTTAAACCAGCAGAGACTGATGTGCCGAAGCAGACGCACATGGTTGTGAATGCTACGTATGAAAGGGCCCACTAGACCTATCCAGTTGTTTAGAGGAAAGCTTCCTGCACAGCTCCACTTTCTTGCCAGTCAAGCTGAGCTCTTGTGTATCAGTGACCATGGAGCAGTCATGTCAAAGCCACTCCCCGCCCGCCCCCCGCAACCTTCACTGAATTTACTGGCACAGTTAAAATGTTGAAGGTTTAGTGCTACCTTTCTTAAGAGGTGACATCAATCGATTGCTCTCTTTGTTAGCCTTGCTACTGCTGAGTTACAGTAAATAGGATATTGGAGAAGGGAGCAAAGGATTGCCAATTGTAGCTCAATATATAAGGTAGCAGGAACTGATCTCAGGTAGCAAAAGTTGACATGTTCATTTAGCATGGATTAGTTTCCTAGAGTTTTTACTGTTAACCAGCCTATTGGGTTGGATAGTAAATAACATTCAGCATAGCCTAATATGCTGCAAAATAAAACTTTGTTGTATATTTTCAAATAGTAGGCAAGTTAACATGTAGCGAAATGGGTCACCAGTACTACAGTTTCTTTATACATATATTAGTATTTTTTTTTCATTGTTCGTTGCAAATGAAACTTTAAACTCAAACAACAATTTTGGAACTTGAGTCATGTAAAGTATGTTCAGCTTCAGCAAACAGAGCTCAAATTCATGAATACCAAGGTGTTTTATGAGACTTGACTCAAGCAATGGGTACTTTTGAATAAAAGGATTGAGGGAAAAACCCAAGAAAACTATTGTTGTAAAAGTCTTTGGCCATAAGCAGTTAAAGTGTTACCTGGCATAAACTAGCCATTGATTTAAATTACTGACCCATGAAACTTGTTTGATAGGCCTGCATGAGCTCACTTAGAAGTGGTAAGTACCCACTTCTGTTCTTGTCATGATTGAAGAGGTCCTCCCTGGAGCATCAATAATAGATCTTAGTGTCTCATTTTGAAAAGAATATATGCTCATCAGTTTGCAATTATGTTGTATTTCAGAGCCCTAAATAAGTTAATGTCAGATTTTGGATAGAATGTAGCCCAGAACCAAATCTTTAAATGAAAATGGACAGATGAGGACAAACTGAAATTAATATGGTGGTGCACTTTAGGTCAAAAATTGGTAACCTACATATGACTATAGCCCAATTATGGGATGCCACATCTTGCATGTGCCCTTGGAGTTGACCGCATTTGAGAGAGCAAAAGGAGGCAATATGGTCAGAACAGATCTTTTTGTTGAATCAGGCTCAGGTTCAGGGATGCTGTTATTGTTTAATTCAAAACAACTAAAAAAGCACTTAGGTGTCAGCTAAAGAAAAATAACCTTCGTGAACTTTCTGCAGTATGGAAAGCTTTCTATCAAGAAACCTGATTGAAAGTGATTCATTACTAAGCGGTGACTGTGGGTTTGATCTTGCAATACAAAGTTGTTGAAAGAAGTTTGCTCAAATGCAACCAGACTGCACAATCAATGTGGTTAAAGCAGAAAGTCTTGACTAATACTTGGATAGCTGAGCTTGAACGTTGCCATGTGCAGAAACTGAGTGTTGTTGGCTTTGATGACATAAAACTGTTTAACAGTGGAAATGTAGGTTATCCAGTTTAAGTTCCTGAAAGGGATGCAATGCAAGCACACTTGCGTATTTATTGAGCCTCATGACCTAAATAATTTGACCATTTGGAATAGCGTGCCTTCGTGGTCTAGTTTGAAATCAAGTGATAGATTGCTCCTCATAACATTTTTTTTTAAAAAAGAATCTGATTTGGACACATCCCACATTGAAGCAGGATTCTTTGGGCAGATTTGGGGCTTGTTTTAGATAAAGTACCCAAAGCAAGAACCTCCAGTGGGACTGGGCTGCTTCAGCAATGTTAAAAGCATATTGCAGACCGTGTGCCTGCAAAAATTGAATCCCCCATCTCGCTCCGCTTGCCATATACAAAAAACACCAAGGTGGGGAGAAGGGAGAAAGGGAGCTTGTGTGACTGGCATGTCTAACTTCTCTTGGATGGAATGATATTCCCAGGGATCTCCAATCACAGTGCTTAGGGGTATTACTATATATTTTTTAATTCCACATTAATTGTAAATGGAAGAGATGCAAAGCTTTATTTTTCTGAGTTGGAATTTAACTTTGGACCCTGATAAGCTTCTAAATTGTTTCAGTCCAGTCTAGGGGTCTGCACAACCACTTGATTTGGTTCAGAACCCAATTTGGAGTGTTGGAGAAGAGCCCATTTGAAATGGGCACTTCTCCAAAACACCAAATTATGTTCTGAACCAAATCATGTGGTTGTGCAGGCCCCTAGTACCTACAGACAGTGATAGAGTGGGATAAAAATGCATGCTCTGTTTTGAGTGGAGTAGATTAAATAGGTATGAACCAAGGGACGCATTGCATGTAAACCTTTTCCTATGACACTATAGGTGACTGTATAGAATAGCCATACATGCAGATTTTATACTCTTTTCTTCTTCAAAAGATATTTCTGAGGTAGGAAAAACACATGCTTCCCACACTAAATTATTATTATTATTATTATTATTATTATTATTATTATTATTACGCCCATCTGGCTGGGTTTCCCCCAGCCTCTCTGGGCGGCTGCCAACAAAATACTAAAATACAATAATTCACTAGACACTCTTGTATGTTGTTGACATATAGTTTTTGAGCAGTCATCTGGAAACAATGATATTAATGCCTTTCCCCCGGTGCAAAATGCCCATATATATTTACTTGGAAGTAAGCTGCGTTCAGCAAAAGTTCCACTTTTCTTTGCTACTGACCTTTGTAGTTCCTCTTTGCTTCTTTCTCTGAATTGTTTTCTGTTTGCTCAGGGGCATTCCTAAACTGACTCTTAAATCATTAGTTCCTGTACACAATCGTTCCTAATTTCCTTTGAGTCCAGAACAGTTATTTCTTGGAGTTTAAAAAAAAAGGAAAAAAAGATCACAGTTGTGATCTTGCTTTTCTGACTGCCCTGATTCTTGGGCAGGTTTGGGTTGACTTTAGTTTTATGTTGTCTACTTTTATGTTTATTAATTTTCCCACAGCCCACCAGTGTGTCTTAAACTTACAAAGCACAAGTGCATTCTTAGGATCTCTTTAGGGTAGGCATAATAGTTCTTTGTTAAGTGATCCTAAGTATATACTGTTGCTTAGAATATATAGAAGAAGTGCCATGCTATACTGTATATGCTAGCCAAGTTAAAACACATTGATGTGTTGCCACTGTATAAGGTTGAGGTTTACGTGCTCCACCATTCTTTGAAGGAGTTTAGGCAGCCCGTTGGAAACTGACAGGTGACCTGCGGTTCACTTTCTACTTACCTCTATTCTTTCCTATCCGTGCATGGAAACACAGACTCTGACTTCTTAATTCTGACCCTAGGTGGGAGTTGGTTGACACTGGATTTTTTATACTTGTTTTTGTAATCCTGGCTATCCTGTTTTGACTTTTCATTGACACATTACTAAGTGCTACAAAGTATGCATGGGAGAATACACAAATTCAACCAAGGCCCTTGTGTACCATAGGTTTGAAGCAAATGATAAGATGTAGGTAATCATTTTGTTACTATTACTATACCTATTCTGGCATGTTCATGACCATGAGCTGCTAGAAGTGCCCTGTTCAAATCTTCCCACAGTCCTAAATTCCCCAGGAAGATTTAGAGCAAACCACACAGTCTCCTAAGCCTTTAACAAAGGTTTAATTTCCCAGAATTAGGGAAGATCCTATGTTCAAACAAGCATGGAATCTCCCAGTATGGAAGCTGACTTCTACCTGTGGTAAAGGAAGAAAGCTTTCGCTTGATAATTTCCCACTGAGAATCATGGGTGGGTAAATAGCAGCAGGGCAGACCCTCAAGACCCCCCAGATTCTGAGATTATGAGAGACCACATATTAGCTCTAAAATACTTTTCATTGATTTATACAGCTCTGCTTTTAAAAACCAGTCAAGTGTGCTTTTTCTGACCACCGGAGAAGCAGAATTTTATACTTTTTGTTCATCTATATAGCACTTACAAACTATTAACTCCTGTGCAATAAGACCCTGGCCTCTGTTGATACTCTGATCTGTGTTCTCAGGCTTCTTGTTAAGAGTTGTAGTCTGCCCATTAGTGCTCTTTTACGTTCTCTCATTCTTGCAAGATCATTACTGGGGTTGGACAAGCCAACAGCTGGCAACGCTGTACAGTTCAACCTTTCTCTCCCTCTTCCTCATGACCTCTGTCTATCTCGACAATGGTTGGGCCTATACAAACATTAACTCCCATGAAACCTTTCAGCCACCACTATTTTCAGCCATAGGCTTGTTGGTATGAAACATTGAAGACAACAGCTGGAGTAGATGGTATGAGGAGTAGGGAAAGGGCACTTCACCAGAATTGGATTTTTCTGTTGATGCTCCTGATAAGTATATAAGTACCTTCTTAAGGTTTCCGTTGCTTCAGTTTGGCAACTACTGGGCTTGGAAAAACTACTGAACCTCTGCTGAGAAATCATCACCTTATAATATAAGCAGTTTGAGAGAAACCTTGACCTTTCCAAAAATCAACGTTTTTGATATTAGTATGCCAACACCTACTATCACGAATGGGAAACAGAGGATCAGTGAGTCACTTGTAGGGACTGCTTGAATGAGTAAAGGAGAGGAGGGTGGAATTAAAATCAGCAGACTCTATTATTTCAAATCCTTTCGATGTCCTTATTAAGAGCAGGCATTGATGGCTTTGACAGAAACCTTCTGTTTCAGTGAGGCTTGGCAGATCAAGAAATGACAATGATCTTTAACAGTCTTCATGGGAACTTTTAATTTGCATAGTGTGATTTAATGGTTGACCAGAGAACTCAGATTTAAACATCTCATTCTCGTTTCCTGATGTTGCTGACATACCACAGGGTCGAGTGTTTGCCTTTTAAAGTAGGTGGGATTAAAGAATTTGGAACCTCATCAAGGCTTATTTACTTGAATATTGTGCGGTGTCTGTTTCCTCTTAATCTGTTATTTGAGTCTCTGCAGTCTTGGGTTTTCTTCTACACCCTCCCTGGCTCCTGGACAAACAGCTAGCTATTATAGCCAGATGTGTGTTAATGTCAGGTCCATCTGACACCATGGCTGTGTCCCTTCCTGATCTTATTAAAGTCATCCCATTGCAAACTTGAAGAACAGTTATGTGGTATGGATCTGTCTGTGAAAACTGTTTGGAAGCTTTGTCTGGTACAGGATACTATTGCCTACCCCTGTAGAGAAATAGTGAAGTGGGCGCATAGTCGATTGATGTGGTTAGCATGCAATCTACCTACATTGCCTCTCTCCAATTTCTACTGATCCCCCCTGCCCTCAGGAGAAGCATTTCAGGGAGCACCGGATGTTGCAGTTCATAATCTACCTACATAAATGTTGGAGACAAGCCAGTAGGTTGGACTGAGACATCACAGTTAAGATTCAGATAAACCATAGTCTGGTATAACAGGAATGAGCATGCCATACTCCAGGCTCGTGCACTCCCCTCTACTCTGGTGCAGGCATGAGGATTTGTTTGGAAATCTTTGCTTCTTTTCTAGATCAACTGATCTAGAAAAACAAGCTAGCTTGTTTTTGTGAGCATAGTTAATATTAACCACAGTATATATTGATGTATTTTTACTCAAAATTCAAAGCAGAAACTTCCAATCTCATGCCAGAGGAGAAGGGAAATGTCTGTAAAGCAGTGGCCAGGGGGTGGGGGAGAAAAAGGTAGGATATTTATTGTAACACTAAACCAAACATAGCCCAAAGAGGCGCCTGGTTCAGAAGCACAGACATCTACCAGTGCAGTGTATTGGGCTTTGAGTTTGATCATGGAAGGGTCAAATCCTTACTCGGCCATGATGTTCACAAAGAACTTGAGTGAATCTGTCCACTGGATTTTTTCAGCCAATAGTGGTTAAAGCAAAAGAAATATAAATACACCCCTTTTCATTGGAAAAGTGCTGTCAGAATGAAATGCATCTAAAAATATGAGATGCTAGGGTAAAAGATATTAATGCACTGGTAATTTTATCTTTCAATCCCCTTTTTAAAATGAAGCTTCTGGCTTTTTTGACTGAAGACAAGCCTTCTGTCTCCACCCTACAGATAATTTTGAGATTTTTTTGTTACTAAGAAGAAAAGCAGCCTTAGCATTTTTCTACTATTGCTTTCCCATGCTTGAGTTTACCAACAAAATCAAAATATTCCACTTTTAAGTTTATCTTTTGTCCCGTCTTTATCTGCATCTTCCTTTAAAGTGCATGCTTTAAAAATACACCTGACAATCTGGAAGAACTGTAGCCTTGCTCATTTGCACTTAGAGTATTATTTCTGCTTAATGCTTCCCAGACAGATGATGTAATGATTGGATCTGAAATGCTGACAAAAAATCTCTTTAGGGCTATCCTCCATTTCAGCCATCAACCCTGTTGTTAATTTATCACAGCTGAGAAATAATTTCACTAATGTCCCCTGCTTCCTGATGATGTGTTCTAAATCACTTTCTAAATCTCTTTACAGTGGTACAACATTTAATTTAAAAATAAGAATAAGAATAATAATTCCACATTGTGGCCATCAAAAATGCAAATGAATACTCCCAACTGTGACGCAATTATCATACCGACTTTTTTTTTTAATTGGCAGCATCAACAAAGAGAGCATTGTTGACATCGAAGGTGTTGTGAGGAAAGTACCGCATAAAATTGGAGGCTGCACTCAGCAAGATATTGAACTGCATGTTCAGAGGGTAATATTTTTAGAAGGAAACTAAAAAATGCTATTGTGTGATGTTGTTTTAAGATTTCTGGTGATACTCTTAAGTACTGTTCTTCTTGGTGGAGAGTTAGGCAAGCAAATAGCAAAAAGAAGAAATAAAATGATTTATCCAGCATATGCAATTAAAATAGCAACATGAGGTAACTATAAAGCCATTTTATTTGTATATTAAAGGAAATATTCATTTCCATGTGTTCCTTAAATGGTATCTTCTAGATTGTGTTTAAAAATCTGTTTTTCTCAAAAGAAAAATATGCAGACAGACCTGGGGTTTTTTTGTAGGAATGAGCAGTTCACATTTTCCCCAGAAACCTATTCAGAAATAGATGGATAACCCAGCATACATAAACATCTGCTTCTAAAGTGTAACACAGCACAAGACATTTAAATCGTATGTGTCTTCCAGGCAATCCTGAAAGGTGGAACCACTTACTATTTCTGTAGTAGTAGTGGAAGTGGAGAAAATTCAGGACCCCCAAACTTTTAAATGTTAATCCCCATGTTGTGGGGGTGGTTGCTTGAAAGGCAGTAAACATTATTGAACACACTAGAGTGTTGGCCATATTTTTTGTCCCTCTTTTCTGGGAGGCTGATGACTTGCAGACCTGTTTCATAGATTGAGTACGACTTCAACCCATGCTGTAAATGTTTGTCACAACTTAAATTCAGTCACCTGCAGCTGGAGGACAAAAGTCAATTTTGAGAACATGGAATGCGAGGTGTTTAAGCCAAAGATGACAGACTCCAGGCTTAGCTTTCCACGAATTGCTGATCATGGAAGGCTTTTGATCCAGGAGTAGCGGTGGGGAGAAGTTATTTGCTTATTTCACCCTTCCCCTGCACCCACCTGCTCCCCGCTCTCCAAAGCAGAGTTTAGGAAGGTGCAAATGTTTGCAGGAAGAAGGGGCAGCTGGCCAGAATCCCCCTGCCCAGCTTCAGTCCCACCGTTGGAAGTTTGGATCCAGTCAACTGAAACTGCTTCCTTAGAAATCACATGTTTACTCACACTGTTGATAAAACACCTATTTCCCCCCTCTAAAATATCTCTCAGGTATTATGGATGTTCTGTCGGCGTGCTAATTTTTTGGGTACTTTTTCACCTTTTAAAAATACAAGCATTAAGTTGCAATCCTGTTCTGAACATCAGCTGCCTCCTTACCCATGTTACTGCAGTGATATATGCCTTTAGACTTCTGTCAGTGTAGCCGCGAAGAATATTGGGAATTAACATACTTAATCTAGCATCAGAATGTGAGTTTTCAGAAAGATCAGCTATTTCAGGCCTAATAGCTAGATCATTAAATCGGCTTTTGAGATGGTGGCTTGGTTCATATGTTTTGCTACACCAAACTGTGGCTTAGTGTGAATGTACGAGTGTGTGGATTTTGGAAGAAGAGATCATGACCACTTTGTTCCTCCCTGGTCTTTCTGTTGCACTGAGCTAAGCCATTGTTTGGTGTGTAATCTGAACCCATGTTTGTGGTTTAGCTCTCTCCAGCCTAACCATAAGTTTGTCTATGGCAGGGGTCAGCAACCTTTTTCAGCCGTGGGCCAGTCCACCATCCCTCAGACCATGTGGTGGGCCAGACTATATTTTGAAGAAGAAGAAGAAAAGAAAAAGAACGAAATTCCTATGCCCCACAAATCACCCAGAGATGCATTTTAAATAAAAGCACACATTCTACTCATGTAAAAACACCAGGCAGGCCCAACAAATAACCCAGAGATGCTTTTTAAATAAAAGGACACATTCTATTCATGTAAAAACATGCTGATTCCAGTACCGTCCATGAGCCGGTTTGAGAATGCGATTGGGCAGCATCCGGCCCCCGGGCCTTATGTTGCCTACCCCTGGTCTATGGTTTAGGGTTCATGGTTTGACCAGGAGAAACAGACCATGATCCTGGGTTCAAACAACATGCTTCATGCTTGGCTTAGTGCAGTGTAGCAGCAGAATGATCTGGGAGAAGGAATGTGCAAACCAAATCAGTATCACTGTAATCAACTTTCATAGAATGCAAGATAACAAAGTTCTTATTAAGTGTCTTTGATATTGCACTGAAAGTAAAACCAAACAAATGTCTCTCTTTACTTTTCCCCCTTGACTTATTCTATATTCTTCCAGAAAATCATTATGCAAAGCTTGTTTCATATTTCTGCCAAAAATATACTTCTGTAAATCACACTGTTTCTCAGTACTTCTATGCTTCTTTTTTTAAAAAATGTTTCTTTCAGATCTATGTGATCAGTTTGGCTGAACCCCGACTGCCCTTGCAGCTGGATGATGCTATTCGGCCAGAGGTGGAAGGAGAAGAGGTGAAAATAACTTTTTTAAAAGTTAATGATTAAACAAGGGCTTGAAATCTCAGTAGCTACTATTCATAATTTATTTTTTAAAGCCTTGAATTTTGTTATCATCCAGCATTAATGTTGTTATTGTTGTTGTTGTTGTTATTTACACCCCACCCATCTGGGTTTCCCCAGCCACTCTGGGCAGCTCCCAACAGAATATTAAAAGCAAAACAAAACATCAAACATTAAAAACTTCCCTAAACAGGGCTTAACTGCTCTTTTACTCAAGAGAACAAGGTTGGTACCTATAGTAATTACTCCTATTTCAACATTTTGTACACAGATACTTAACAAGCAGATAGATAGACCTGAAGTTTTCCATGAAGAAATTATTTCGCAAGCATAGCAGGTTTTGGATAAGATGCCCTGCATTCATTGTCAGCCTGTCTAGATTTCCCTCTCCAAAGATAGTCATCCTGAAGGAAAATCGTTCTTTAAAAGTCACCAGGAAAACTTGTCACAGGCCAAACATGTCAGATGTTCCAAAACTTTATTTGGCCCTTTGAGAACAGTCTCTGAAAAGGACTTCTCCAGGTAGCCTGCTGACAGAATCAGCCAGATGGGATGGCCTGTCCTGATCTCCCTTCTGTAGCCAAGGATGGTGATGGAACCAGCATACACCTGCTATTTGAATTATGTTCACCTTACACGTCTGGCTTTGTACTTAAGCATCATGCCAGGAGCACAGGAAGCTCCCGTTCGGAAACATCCTTAGTGAAGGCAATATGATACATGCAGACCACACAGCTGCTCCCTCTTGGTGCAGAAGTGGTTCACTCAAGCTGTGCTAGACACTTGGCAGGTGTCTTTATCTCAGGCACTGAAAATCTTAGGTGTGAGCAGCTGACGAAGTTTCCCTCTGAATGTGCAATGAACCAAAAGTTTTGTTATGTTACAAAACATGCATTGTTTCTCTCTCCCCCCCCCCCCCTTCTGCACGTGTGGTTTTCAGTGTGTTTTTCTTTTGCAACTCTTCAGGAAGGAAGAGCTACTGTAAACCAGGATACAAGATTGGACAACAGAGTGATTGACTTAAGGGTAAGAACCCCTTGTGTTGGCCTTGAAACTAAGCAAATGGTTTAGAAGGTGGGAAGATTATTTCTCAGGACTCAGAATTCTGGGGGGTTTGTATGACCCATTTGCTGTAAACTTGTTTCACTCCAGCAAAAGTCAGCGATAATGGTGGTGCTAAAAGTGACCACTTACTTGTATTCCTGGGATGTGTAACATGAAAAAACTGCCAGTGGAGAGATGCTTCAAATGCCTTTGAGTTTGTTACATCAGTGGCAAACACATACACCTACATAATACACAGTGGCCTCTTTAGCCCAGTTTTTTAAGAGTCGCAATGAATTTTTGCCATCAAAACATTTCTGATGAGAAAACTGATTTTTCAAGGGGTGAGAAGCCCTCCGGGAAAAAATGGTATCAACTTTCTCATGCTTCTTTGCAACCACTGTTCCGGTAATCTGCTGCTGCCTAGATACCATTTCTATCAGGCTGATGTTTTGGTACTTTGCTATGCGATCCTGGTTGCCCAACCGAATTGCATAGTAATGTGATGACATCGGGGATGTTTGGAGCCAGCTAAGAGCTGGCTGCATGATGACACCTGAGAGTTGCATTGCCCTTCCCTTGAAGCTCTGTTTATAGTAGAACATGGATACCTTTTGAGAGAAATAAAACATGCCATGTCACTAGTCAATCTACGAGTCATTCTCCTGTGTACCAAATGCTCACCTGGGTCAACACCATGTGCTTCAACTAGGGAGTGTTGGCCCAGAACACAGAAAACATACATGAAACCTGTCCCCGCTGTTGGGAGTTCAACTTGGCCATTCTTTGCTCGTTGTTATTTGAGTCTCAGTGACTAGTTGCCTACCAAGACTTGAGGCGAAGGAACGATTCAAATGTAAAATGTATTCCATTCCCATGCATGTTTTCTCAGAAGCAAGATCCATCAAATTCCATGGGTCTTATTCCAAGTTAGCATGCCTGTCTGTGATTACAGACTTTGTTATGCTAAGGCAGCAGTTCCTAAGCATGCTTACCAGTGAATATTACAGGAGTGTCACGACTAAAAATCTGCAGTGAGGCATTTCATGGTACACAGAAATAAATACCTGACTGTGGCCTGTAAATTACTGCATAATCCTAAATCATATTTAATATAAAGCAAATATTCTTGTCCTGGGTGGGAGGTGGGTGGAGAAGTTGCTTTAGCACCTTCAAGACAAAACACTTGTTCATTTTTTTCTTTTCAGTTGTATAATTTTTATTGATGCTTATAGCTTTAATAATGTTATGTGAACTGTTTTATCATGTTCACTTGAAAAAGGGTATAGGAATACCTTTAACAATGCCAGAAGAAGGACTAAATATACATATATTACATTTCACTAGTCTGGGCATTTCCGTCCCATGGCTGAGAACACCTCCCCCCCCCCAACATTTGATGGACAGATGGCTTCCTTCCTTATTTAAAACATCTGGTACAGTTTATTTTGCTGGTGCTTTTCCATGATGTGTTTGCTCCCTGTGACACACCCTTGGGAAACCGGGTGATATGATGTCTGGTAGGTTGATAGATTTTGTCTTTTGGCAAGGATGGACTCTTCGCATGTTCTTGTTCTGAACCACTCACTTTGCAAATACACATAGAGTGTGTGTGTGTGTGTGTGTGTGTGTGTGTGTGTGTGTTTATATGGATACTGTTGCAGAACCCTCTTTTCTTCATGAATAATTATCATTAGTTTTTCGTCTAAAGTGAATGATCCTGCACATAATAATGGTTATCGTACTACATGGTTAGAAACTAGGCAAACAGCTGGCTGTCCATGTAAATTTGATCAACCACCGTGTTTGAATCCACTCCACATTGTAATACAGTAAGGGACAAGATGACTTCTGCCATTGTTTGCGCATGAAATAGTGTATGGAAAACTATTAGTACAAATAATTGCCCCAGAGTTGTTGCCTTCCTGTGTTTGTGTAGCAGGATCAGCCTAACTTTCTCAGTCCACCTCTGATTCCATTAGCAATACCATCATCAGGGTCATAAGTAAAGGCTGCAGCTTGAAGTGATTTGCCTGCCCACAAATAATGAGCCCAGGCATCCAGTGCCAAATAAATGGAACATTTGTAGGCTGTAGCTCTTTCTGCTGCAAAAGTATATATGTTAGAGAGGATAAAAATGCATCTTAAACCACCTGTCAGAGCAACCTTATCCATGATTGCTCTTGATATTTCTGGAAGTGTCATCTCTCTTAAAAATCATTGTGTGCATTCTGTGAAGAAATACAGGAGGGGGAAAAACCTGCTGATGCTGGTGGTTCTGCTTCATTGCTCCCCTCAAATATCTGTGTTCTTAAGAAGCATTGAGCTCTTTTTAATGAAAGAAATACAATTTTGGGGAAAGGCCACTGGAAGATGAGTTGGGCAGCGTGGATTGCTGGCTTCAGCATAGTGGAAGCTGCTTATTCAGTTTTAGATCTCATAATGTTGAAAATTTCTGCCTAAGCTTGAATGTGCGCAGCAATCCCAGATAGACACAGGAGGGGATATTTTATTTTCTCACATTGCCAGTCAGCTGTACATACCTTTGTTTTAAGTGACTTTATCAGGCATGGGGCTTTTGCTCATTTCATTTCTTGCTTGAATTTATAAAATTAGAGGTGACTGTGCCCAGGTTTGTGCTGAAATTATGTACATCATCTTGAAAGCCCCTTCTCAGATATCCTTGCAGGCAGGCAGCATTGCTCTGTGTAGAGTCAGAGAGCATTCTGAACAACCCCAGAGGTAATTTTGTACCTCTTTGGTACTTCAGGTTTGAATTCTAGATCTCTAGGTACTGGGCCTAAAGCTTTGACTCAGATTAAGACCTGGAAAATACTTCAATACATAAAGTATTTGGTGTCATTATTAGCTGTGCAGTGGGTGATAGGTTGTTGTTTTAAAGCTGTTCTCAGCTTTTAAAAAGAAGGTTGTTTTTTTAAAAAGGTAGACCTGGTTTTAATTGTATTCTATTATTGACCCATCTCATTTCGGAGAAGGAGCAGACTGTAGATCTAAGAAATAAATAAATCCCCATATTTCTAGACTGATCCCTGATGTTTTAAAATAGGACTCACAACTAAGCCTTAGCGATCCCTCACTTGGGGTGGATGGGGATGGGACCACCTGAAAAGTGAAATGTAAACAGAACGGTTAGATATAGATAAAACATGTAACTGGAAGAAGAAGAAAATAGCAAAGAAATACTTCTGTATCTTGCAGGTGGGGAAGGATATTCCCAGTCTTAAAATAGCTAATGAATCCTGTCCAAATAAAAACCAAGAAAAGGGTAGGTGGAATGAAGTGAGGGCAGGAGAGAATGGGAAAAATGTGTAACTCTACCACCCTCAGTTGTTAAGCTGAGAGGTTTGAGCAGGCCTAATTGTGGCTCCTCTGTGCATTTCACTGTTCCTTCAATGTGGTGTTAGTGCTCACACCTGTCACAACTTTGAACTTCAGATTGAATGAGTAGACAACTCAAGGCTTTGAGGTGTGTTGCAGGATTGCCTCCTAACTTGCAACCCCCCCCCCTTTTTTTAAGCATGCCTCTTTCAAGTGGGCCTAGTTCTTACTGAGATGGTATGTCTTTGTCTGGACTGTACAACTTCAGACTGCAGGTAGACCAAGTTGTCTACATGCAGGGAAATCTTGGTATTTAAGAGTGCTATATTATGGGAGAGCACCCTACCTGCCGTCTTAAGTGGTACAGCCAAGACACAGGCATACCACTTTGGTGAGAACAAGAGTTTAGCCTTAATGCCTGTATTTACAATCTGACAGCACAAGAAGGTTGTGGTATTTTTCCTTAAGCTTAAACAAAGCATTTGTCTCCGCATGGATATGTGTGTTCACATACAACAGAGATGTATGTGAACAGAAAGATAAAATATTGCCTCCGGCATCCCAAAAGCAATATTCATTTTCACATTTTATGAGCAATAGTATATAACATTGACACTAGAGTCTCACACATTATTTAAGACTTGTTTTTGAAGCTTAAACTTCAGGAATGTGTTTAAGATATTCTTTATTGCTTTAGCACAGTCTCCAGTTCCTTATTGTGCTACTGTACATATACTGTGGAAGAATTTAAGACTTTCAGAATAAGATAAGTTTTCTCCTCCTCCCTTCAATCCGTTAATCCTTACACTTCTTTGATTGCAGATTCAGTTAACTGCATGAGGAAGAAAGAGTAAATGCATAGGAATGACTTTTGTCAAATATGGTTTCCTAGTCTCTTGTTTTCCTCGTTTGAAAGTCAGGTGATTGAAATGGAAATTATATGTAATCCCATATCCAGTCTATAGCTCTCCTTCTCTTTAGATTCAGAGGAACTGACAGAAGCTTTGCAGAATGATATCAATAAAATCACTCAGATTTAAAATGAAAATCCCAAGTCCTGCAGTGACAATTCATTCTAGAGGAATGATAGGAATAAACATGGATACATGTGCAATTTTGTGGATGGGTTTTTGTTTAATTTCCCAGTGTTGACAGCTCATTTCTCCTCACATTTGCCTCTACTGACATACAGACATATCTTCTGTCAAACTCTTGACCTCAACACTTCCATCTGGTCCAGGCATCTCCCCACCCCCACCTCCGCTTTTTAAAGTAACATTCCAATTTCTCAGAAGTTTAATCATTCAATAAAACAGCAGCAGCTGTGTTACTCAGTTAGCTCTCCTTTCAGTTGGACATGAGCCTACACTTATAAATTAGATGGCCTTACTTTCTTTCTGATTTCTTTGTGTTTGTTATCTTTTATAGCTTACATTGACAGCGTTTACTGTTGTTGTTGTTGCTGCAGCAGCAGCAGTAGTTGTATTCTATGCAAGCATTCAATAAACACTGTTGTATATACATATAGCCGGATTTCTTAAATCCAATTGTTAGAAAGGTTTCAGAGACTGCATCCTGTGTTTTGTCTGAGGAAGTTGAATGGAGGCTCTCGGATTGTATTTATCAGATTGGGGCTGGGGGGCTGGCAAAATCCCTATTGGCCTGCTGCACTACATTTGTTGTGCTTTAATACAATACTTTAGACCCAGTGCGGTTTAGTGGATAGAGTGCTGGACCTGTGGTTGACATCTGTGGTCATGAAGCTTACTGGCTGATCTCAATGTGGTGTATACAGTTATCCCTCATTTTATCCGCACAGTAACTGTGTGAGGTAGGTTAGCCTGAGAGCAAGTGACTGGCCAAAGATGGGGGGAAGGTAGGATATGAATGTAGTTCATTTAAAAATAAAAATAGATGTCTCTGTGCAATCATAAGCACACTAGTATACCACGTAAACTTGGCTTTAAGTCCATAAATAGGTAGCTATGGCTGTTATAGCTAATTAGAAAGTTTAAGATAAGCTGATCTAGGTGACTTGGAAGCATGGTTCTCATCAAGCTAGTAAGATTTGAATCCTTCTGCAGGTAGAAAAGAGGATTACATTTGATATGTTTCATTTTTAATGCACTTGCTACTATTGTAGATTTTATACAAATCCAACACTTTTTAGTAAACATCGTAGAGCTTCAGCCTGAATAACTGGCCACTGCCAACACAAGTAAAAATAAATTTATTTTAAAAAGTGACTTTGTAATTCCAAGAAACAGTAAACCTAAAGAGATTCCTATATCTAGACCAAAGAAATGAAGTGAAAATTTTCTAGTTTCTGACATGCCGTAAGTAGTAGACAATGGAATGAAAAGGCAAATTGATATCAGAGACTTGTAGCCTGTGATTCAGAGATTCCTATGCTATTTCTTGAAAGTGGACTTCTGTTAGCACATGAAGCTCAGTCTTTAGCCACCGTCAACAAGGGAGAACCAAAATTGTTCCCTTCTTTTTTTATTATTATCTAAGGCTTCATTGTGACACTGTGAAACAAACAAACAAAAAGGTTTTGCCCCAGTTGAGTTGACGTAAATGTTTTGGTTACATATCTAATCTAATCTGGGAATTACTCAGTAATAAATTAAGTAACAGAAACAAGTTCAGCCTTTGTTTATTGTCTGTTCCCTAATCTGCATCTTCACTTCAAGGTCAAAACCTGCTTAAGGTTCAACTTCCAGTCTTGGGGATCTTGCAGTATATTTTCTTAAGCAGTGATTATTTGTCTCCATCAAATTGCTTTTCCACAGCTTTTGTTGTAGGGTCCCATATCAAGAATTTTAGTTTTAGGGCCTGTGGCAGCACATTGTGCTACTTTGCTAGATATGTCAGCTGAATTTGAGGATTAGATAGTAACTCAAGATTCCTTTTCTTTCCTAGTTAAAGATAGAGCTCTGCTGTACTAAAACTTAGCCCCTGGATTAGAATTCGTTGGCCAGGGTTTGGTCGATGGAGGTTAGTTTGCTATTTAAGGGTCTCATTGTTAGAAGTCACCTAAAAATATATATTTAACATGATTTGCTTTCCTTAAACTTCAAGTAAGGAGGAAGAAATAAAAGAGCAACCAAATGCTGCTTATTGACAGAAATCTGTTAGTTCTCTGGGTTAGGCCTTATATAGGGACAGACCATTCATCCATCTAACCTAATATTGTTGACATTGGTCTTGTTCACATGTGACAGTGAGCCAAACTATGGCTTAATGAGATCTGAGAATGTGAGGGCTCATGTGCCCCTCACTTTTCTCCACTGGGTCTGTGAGAGAGAGATTGAAAGCATCTGCTTCTGTTTTTAGCCCTAGAAATTTGCCAAAGCCTAGTTGCTTGTGAAGATGTTGAACAATACACAATGGTTAATTTTTTTTACAGCAGAACTATTTTTGATGGTAAACTAAAATGCAGTGTAGATCTGGCAGCACTTAGTAATAATAATAATAATTTCACTATACCCTGCCCATCTGGCTGGGTTTCCCCATATACTATACTGTACTGTACTAATCATATACTGTACTAGCCTAGTTAACAAAATAGCTCATTAGATTGTATAATACATTCAGGCTGTTGTAATGAACCCAAAAGCCAAACTCTGTATTCAGTCCATTGCTCTTATTATTTAGCAAGACAGCAAATTATCAAGTGCACTCCAACAAACATGTTGTGCAAGCATTTGTATATATTTTTAAATGTAGGCTAAATATATTATGGGGGTGGTTGTGGTGAGACTAAGCCGCTGGTGGTTGCTTAGTTTTCACTCTCTTCTACGAGTCTTTTTGTTTTGTTTGTGCAGAACACAGTCGTGTGTGCGTCACATTAAGCACATCTCATGCTGTGCTTCCTTGCAGCTATGCCTCCTGTACTTTGCGTAGCTTTGTTAGAGATGAGCCTGTATGTTTGTTAGAGATGAGCCTCTGCACTTCAAGCCAGACTTTATTTCCACCAATCAGCTGAAAACAAAGTCAGGTTGCACTGAACCCTCTACTTTAGGAACGCAGTGTGACTGTGGTTAAGATCTCACGTGGCTAAAAACAAAACAGCGGGGTGGGAAACCAAACCAGCAAGATGGTACCAGCCACTTTCTCGTGCTGTTTTAATTAACTAGAATCTGTAACTTTCCAGTGAAGAAATGAAAGCAAGCTTTGGTTTAAAAAATGCAGTCCGTTGTGTTTAAAATAAAAACGAAAAAGCAACTTTATTTGAAAACAAAAAAAAACCCGGACAGATGTATCACATTTGTATTCGTTTCTGCACATCTGTGGCTTGGCGTCATGTCATGTGAAAAACCACACATCTCAACCTAACTGAAAAGGTAGGCATCTTGAAAAGTTGCAGTAAACAGAACAGTGACGCACATCCTTATTTAGGAGGCACGGATGGTGGGGGGAGGGGAGGATAAAAAATGCCATTACTGTATAGACACATGCAGCTGTATGTTGCCAACGCAGTTGTGGGTTTGCTTTGAACTATTCTTTATTTTTTCTTCACAATAAACCTCAGGGTTCTTGATCTGCATAGCATGCTGGTATGTTAACTGTTTTGCAAGCAAGCAATCTGTGATCTCTGAGGAGTATCAAGCTTGTCTCTGTTTTGGAAGAAGAACTATTGTATTGGAGGGGAGAAATGGCAGAGGGTTCCCCCACACACACCCATCACTGCATTAGATTTTACCTTCAACTCTGTATTGAGCTGACTTTTCTTTGCTGTGTGTGGGTGACGGGAGTGGGTGACTTTGTATAGCCTCTCTCAATATATTTTATCAATTTGGTTTTTTCATCTAGTTTACATTAAGCATTATTTTTACTTCTCTATATTCATTATGGATGAGTGCAACGACTACTGTGGAGCGGATTCAGCTATTGGTAGCAGAATGCTATAATGTTGTTCTGTAGAAAACAGTTGTACCTTTGTAACTTTTCTCTAAACGCCTTACCTATATATCTATATATGATGAATAAAAGCTAATCAACCCCTTTGTCTCAACTGTTGGTACAGATTTTTAGCAGTTTCTCTTGCTCTTTTTGTGCAAACCTCTCAGAAAGTTTCCTCTGCAGGCCTTTGGGTAATAAAAATTTCTCTTGAGAGAACTGTTTAATGATATCTGTTGTCCTGATAAAATTCAAACAGTGTCCAACAGCTGAAATAAAGCTAGAAATCTTAGTGTAATATCTTCTCTTTAACAGACCTCCACTAGCCAAGCTGTCTTTCGCCTGCAGTCTGGCATTTGCCAGCTTTTTCGAGAAACACTCATTCACAAGGGGTTTGTGGAAATTCAGACTCCAAAGATTATTTCTGGTATGTACTGGTTATTTGTAATGGATTCAAATAAATTCGCAATTTTGGAGGCAGTACACTATTGTGCAGGTGGGGGGAGGGGGGAATATATCATTGAACCAGAAAGTATTACACATTAAAACCTTTTCTTTAAATAAATGCTGCTATATCCTTTGGAAAAACAGAAGTTGGTGCACTCCCCAGTAATCTCGGGGTAGAGAAACAGGCTTATTCCTTAGCATTTTGTGTAGTTTTTCCATCTGTTTAACCAGTCTTGAAGCCCAGAAAAATGAGCTAGCCTGCAGAAAGGCTTCCTAGGCTGCTTGGGGCTGGCAGAAGAGAGACAGATCTATCTTTCCCACAGCAGCTAACTTTTGTGTTTATGTATTTGGTTCATATGGGGGGGGGGCTTCTCCTGTTCCTTTCTTGGTTTGTTTGCTGGACACAGGGTGGATATACTGCTTCATTTCTCCTTTGCCAGCCTGTTCACTCCTCTACACAGAGTTCCTTGTCACCGGTGGCTACTAGGCTACTGCTTAAATGCAAGGCTGCTTTAAACCAAAGGCTATATAACAAGCATAGAAAACAAACCATATTGTGTAGTGGCTGGCAACAGCCAATTCATGTGCTCACTGGGACCTACAGACAAGCCACCCACCTGCCCCCTCTCACTGCCATTGGCTGTGTGAAGCCAAAATCCATAGTCTGGAAAGGAATGGAAATAGTAAAATATGGATTGCAACGCCACATTCTTACTTCAGTTCCTCCCTTTCCCTATAAAACCCCACCTGAATGCCTCATGCCACATTCCTCCTCTTCTGGAGCAGGCATTTTAGCTTGCCTTGGTTTTAAGTCCACTTTAGCGCCATAGAAAGGGAAAGAAGGTGAGAATTGGGGTTGGAAGGTTGCAGAAGGCTTGGGCCTGTCAACCCTAACAACACGGACCTAGGCGATACCAAATGTGTCAGGCATTATTACTATGGCCAGCCCTTTTTTTAGATAGTGTGTAGTTGCTTCAGGTGCTGGGGCGGTGGCAGCAGTCCCTACAGCCATTCCTCCTGAACTCTGAGGCCATTCACCTTTGCTGGACATTAGAGCTGTGTATACCCTCCCTAGAACGCTGCTGTTGGGTCTGTCTGATGCTATCCTATTGACCGTGTCAAAGTAAGATTCGTTTGCCAGGCAGCTTGTATATGTGGAGTGGTGGTAGTGTTGGAGGGGAAGTGCCTTCTTGTATTTTACCTCAGTCAGCAAAATGGCGCTGGCTGGTGTCTTCTGACCCTGGGAGAAAGTGTTTAAACACTCCATTTTCATCTCTGAAAGTGTACTTGCTGAATTGTCAGTTGCATGCAATAATTGAAGGAATCAAGAAAAATACACCACTTATGTTTGCTCCTGCTTTATAGATAAATGTATTTATTTTTCAGCTGCCAGCGAAGGTGGTGCCAATGTGTTTACAGTTTCTTACTTCAAAAGCAGTGCCTACCTTGCACAGTCCCCACAGCTTTATAAGCAAATGTGTATCTGTGCTGACTTTGACAAGGTTTTCTGCATTGGGCCAGGTGAGGAAAGCTCTTTGTTTTTTCCCCTTTCTTACTAATGCAACAGTCATGTCTCTGGAGCCAGCGTGCACTAAATGTTCAGGTTATGCACGTACTGAGCATTGCGAGGCCTTTTCCTTTCTAATCTGCAAACCAAACAAAAGTTTCATGCAAAGGCTGCTAATCCATATGGCAGTTTGACAGGGTTTGCAGGCGGAACAAATGTAATATTTTCAGCTGACGCGAGAACAGTGAACAGAGCAATGGTGTTCTCTAGTGGTTGTTGGAAGTATACAGCTGTTTCCTGGCAGAGAAAAAGATGACTGCAACTGTAATGGTTAATCTCTTGATGAACTTAATAGAAGCCTACAAGCTTGGCAGCCCTAGAGGTTTTATTAATATGTATTGCTGAAAATCAATACATCCTAAATTAGATGGTGCAAAATATTTTCATGTTCTGGTTTTCCACATCATAGATAGCATGTGCTTATCTTCCCTCTCCCCTTCCCTGAGCTATAAACTACAGGGGAGTACTGTACTCATTTTTGTATTGTAGAGCAATCCGTGCACCTCATATCCCCAAACATATTCTTGAATATAAGAACCAAGTTCTGCACACCAACGCTGCACTACTTTAGCTCCTGCCCCCTCCTATTTCTTTTTGATGGAAAGAAATTGCACAAAGTATTGGTTGACACAGAGACCCTGGATCATAGGTACCATAATATAAAATGTGGGTGGAGATAGAGATAAGAGCTACTTTTCCATGGCAGGAGAAACACCACCCTGTGTGATATATGAACTGGGGAAATATTCTGAGATAATACAAAACTATTTGTAAGTCTCACTGACTTCATTGTTGGCTTAAATTGTTTCTTGATGGTGTTCAAAGAATCTACATGCACACTGGTGTGTGTTACTGTTCTAAATCTTCACTAGTTTGGGAATAGCACAGACTATGCAGTTTTCAAGGTAGAAGCTGCGCTCTCAAGTCGCAAAAAAAGCACCCTGTATTTGTAGGGGTTTTTTTGTGCTTTAGCCCCCAACTCAGAGTATGGATAGCTGTTGTTGAACTGTTATCTCCCAGGGGAGCCAACAGCACCTCCTTGCCAGGATTCAGAGTCACTTGCAGAAATTTTACTACCACAGTGACCATTTTGGTGTTTAACAGGGGTCTCTCTGGCAGGAGATTAGAGTCCTGTTTCAGATAAGAGCTATTGTTCTGTCTATTTAAAATTTGGTGCTATAGTGTCTGTCTGAAGCTAGTCTCTACTGAGACCCATTTGTTCGGGATCTTAAAGTAATTTATAACGTTCTCCCCCTTTGTATAGTGTTTAGGGCAGAAGACTCTAATACTCATAGACACCTGACAGAGTTTGTTGGTCTGGATATTGAAATGGCCTTTAATTACCATTATCATGAGGTGGTGGACGAGATCGCAGACACCATGGTGCAGATATTCAAAGGACTCCAAGAAAGGTAAAAAGTAAATTACATGGCTATAGAAACCATAGAAAATGAGAGGCTATTTAATGTTGTCTGGAGTGCCAGTGCTAATGTGAGAAAGAGAGTTTGTATCATGTCTTACAGGCAAGAGTCATAAAAGTACCCTGATGCCAGATGGATATGTACGGTAATCAGGATAACTTTTGACTATCTGTACACCAAATTTCAGTTTTTTCTATCTTGCAAGAAATACAGTTTTTGATACTGAAGTCTGCTAGCAGGGCACAAGCATAATCTTGCATACGAGGAACCACATGAGTAGAGAGAAATTTCTTTTTCTTTCTACTGATGGACCGTAAGTCAGTGAAATAATAGAATGGCAGCAGGTTAAAGACGAGCATAAAATCATTTCTTTGTTTCTCTAATGCAGTATGAACTGTTGGAATTCATTGCCTTGATGGCTTCTTAAAAGGATTAAATAGATTCATGAATAGGCCTTTCTTGGTTATAATAGCTAAGAAGGAGCCTCTGTGTTCATAGGTGTTATGCCGCTGAACAACATAGGTGACTCTCAATTCATTGCCCTGTTTGTGAGCTTTGTGGAGCATCAAACTAGTCAGTGTTGGATACAGAGTGCTGGGCTGTGTGGTCCTTTAGTCTGATACAGCTTGTGAATACTTGTTCTTGCCCTGCTGAACTGCCTTTCAGATTTTTTCTCATACCTACACATATAGTCCTTTTTGGCCCCTAATAGTCTTTTTTTATAGACCAGGGGTGGGCAGAGAATACGCTTACAATTAAGGAACAAGTGCATCTTCGTCCAGGAATCTGTTTTCAGGGCCAAAACTGAGCACTCAGTTCTTTCACACACAAACCCATTCTAGACCAGGGGTGGGCAGAGAATAGATCTACTGGGAGATCTCTGGAAGATCTGAAGTACATTTGATACTTGATTCTGAGTTGTGTAACAATAGCAGCAACTTTTGTTTCCAAGCTAGGCTGCTGAAACAAAGATAATTGGGGCCGGGGGGTGGGTGGTTTTGCAGGAATGGGTTGGAGTGAAAGAACTGAGTGCTCAAGTTTTGGCCCTGAAAATAAATTCCTGGACAAAGATGCACGCATTCCTTAACTGTAAGCATCGAGCCCTCTTTCTAAACTACTATTTACACTTGGATTTTGCTGGTGGAGTTCAGGTTTCTAGGGGAAAGCCAAAAATATCCCTTTGGCATTAAATCCATTTGCCCCCTATTCTAGACTACAGAAAGGTAATGATATATATGCCATGGGAATGATGTACTTGGCCCATTTTAGGATTAGGTTGTAGGCCATGAACTGTTTCCTTTCCCTGTTTTCTTACGGTTGCTTGGGTGTTGAATATTTCACCTCCCGACAACAGCTTCCTGGGGTACGTCAAAGGGCAACCCATAGGTTTTGGGGATGGAATGGTAAGGCCATAAGGCTGCTCTCGGATGTAAGGGCTGCCACATAGCCATGTGCATTACAGTTAGTATTGTTGTTACAAAGGCTTAGCATGGTTTCCCACTTTGACCTCACACCTCATACAGGACAGTTTCATAACATTCTGGAGGGTACTTAGGCTTGTATTTTCAGAATTCTTATGCCCAGCTTGAAACTGTGGCCAGGAGCAGCAACAACTTTTTGCAGCTTTTTGTGGAAAATAGCAATTTGAATACAGTAGCACATTTACTGGTAACCCCTACAGTTGGCTACCGTAATGCCCTCAAGACAGGATGTGGCTGCCTGGAAATGGCAACTGGTTCAGAATACAGCAGCCAAATTGATTTTCCACTATAACCTGTTTATATGAGATTCATGGTTGCAGGTTGTTTCCAGGCTAAATTCAAGTGCCAATGCTTGCCTTTAGGACCCTTCATAGTTTAGGCCCAGGATACCTGAGGGTCTTGCATGTGCTCCTTCTTACTCCCTGAGATCTGATGATGAAAATCTCCTCACATTTCAACCAATCTTTTTTGTTGGTGAAGGAAGTCAGAAAAACGTAGATCATAAATGTTGCATGGTGTCAGAGTGAGCTCTTGTGGCGAAGAAGGATAGTGCCTGTTCTCTTCTGTGTTTTTGCTTTTGTGGAAAATGGCATTCTTTTTTACATGAAGGTTTCAAACGGAGATCCAGACTGTGAGCAAACAATTTCCATGTGAACCATTCAAGTTCTTGGAGCCAACGTTGAGACTGGAGTACCGAGAAGCTCTGGCCATGCTTCGGGAAGCTGGAGTAGAGATGGGGGATGAAGATGATCTCAGGTACATTCATGTTGGTGGGAAAGATTAGTGCCATATCTATTGGTATTGCAGATGTAACCATTTTGGGACTACATTTGGATTACATGTCGCTGTGAAAACAGTTCATACATTTGCTGGAATGCCAACACAAGCCTGTCACACTTTTCCAGCTATAGGAATTGCCACCATTATGCACTCATGTACAAAACAGAGAGACGCCCCATTAAAATAAATCTCCTTGTTAAGAATGTGATGTTTGAAGAGCACCTTAAACGTTTGTTTCTCACCATTGCAGGTAGTATAAAACATCTGTTCCAGAATCCAAGCTCTTAAGTGGAGGGAACAAACCTGGTGGTGCAGTATAGCCGGGAGCTGTCTATAAACAGGTCAACCCAAATCTGTGTGGCCCTGAAGTCTCTCTCTTGTCCCTTAATTCATCCTAGACCACCCAGAGTAGTGTAACAGCTGCTTCTTTCTGTAAACAGTGGTCTGTTTTAAAACAAAGAAACAAACTGAAAATCCTTGGTCCTGGGATTACAATAGTTCATTCTGGAACATAAAATTACTTTAATGGAAAAAAGTTGATGTGATTATTTACCAAAACAAATCCAGTCCAGTTAATCAACAGATGATGGAAAGCCTTCTGATTAAATTTGTCTTCTGCACAAAATAAGGAAGTCTGGCTTCCATGTTTGTGAACTATGTTCATTATAGAGGCTTGAACATCCTAAGAGTTTGGTTGTATGTATGGTTATTCAGAAATGCATCCATTGGAGTCAGTGGGTCTTCTACCCATTTAAGCATCCCTAGCTAATATTACTTGGACTTAACATAGTTTCTGTATAATGAAGACACACAATTCTGTAAAGCAGTGACAGCTTACTTTCTGTCAGCTTCTCCAGATGGTTATGTGTCTCTTTATAGGCTCACAATATCTCAGGAGTAAACAAATGTCCCGACCACCATACTGCAAAAGAAAAACGTGTAGCGTTGGCCCTTTTGCTATAAGTATTATAGTAGTTTCATTTTTAAAAAAAATCTCTGTGGTGCTTTGAATTGCCTGAAGCTAGCAACCAGTGATCCTAGGTGGAGTGTGCCTAAAGATGCCAGTTGTGTACTGAAGAATGGAAAGCATACAAGGAGGGCACTCCCACTGCAGGAAACAAAGTGTACTATACCAGTGCCAATCTTGGTTCTCACAGACACATTTAGCAAAACAGTTAATTGTGTAGGCACTACTTTGAATGCAATATGTGGAAGTGGAGTATACAAATAGTGACTGCATAGCCACCTCTGCATAACATACTGCAGAGTCTGGTCTGGTCCCTGTTAGTCATGTGGCCAAGCAGAGACCAGCAGGGAATAAAGCCCACTGTAGGCTTGGGTGGTAAGCAATAAAACCAGCTACTCCTGATCCAACATTTGGAGCTTGTCTGGCTCCCATGACCAATAATACAGTATCACATTCATCCAGGGATGGCCTAAAACAATTGAATGGCATGAGTGGATCTACACACGTATTTTCTCATTTGTGGGATTTGTACAGCTTTTCAAAGATCAGTGCATAAAGACTCAGAAACACGAACTATAAAAAAGCTGCTTTAACCTGAACCTTAAAATCTTTGCTTTCAGTACACCAAGTGAAAAGCTCTTGGGTCGACTGGTGAAGGAAAAGGTAAACCTTTTAAAAATTACTTTGAGTCGTTAATATAGCAGTAAAGTGTATTTTTGGAATAAGTTTGAACAGGTATACTTGACACAGGAAAATGTTAACATTTGTAGCAGGTCATTCCTATAGAATTTTATAGTGTTTTTAATATGCTGTCTTAGAACCTGCGTGATACTATCAAATTTAAATTCCTTAAACTTGTTGGAATTAACTGATTAGCAAAATCATGGGTTGTGAAACCCCTCAGATTTTTAGATATGTATTATTTAGTTGTTGTTTTTTAAAACCCCTTTCCTTGAAAAAAAATTATCTTAATTTTATTTATACCTGGTCTTTTGCAGTATGACACAGACTTCTATATTCTTGACAAATATCCTCTGGCTGTAAGACCTTTCTACACAATGCCAGATCCAGCAAATCCTGTAAGTAAATTGTTGCATGCTTATCAGGGTTTTGATTGCTGTGAAATATGATGGAACATTGCAGGCCACTTTAAGGTGTCAATAGGGGACTGGCCTGGCATGGAGTTTGTGCCACAATTATACCATATTCATGTAGTAACTTTAATGTCAGGTGTTGAGTAGGTGTGGGTCTCATAATCTGAACTGATCATTGTCCTTTGCACAGGTTCCTTCAGGAACTAAAACCAATGCTAGCAGCAGGTGTTTGTTTGTTTGTTTTTCTTACTACAAGTCCCATGATCTCCAATGGAAAAAGATGCTGCTATTGTACTGACAGTTTCAGCAGTTTTGAAAGCAGTGGACACAAGGGAAGGAGAGGCCTGCCTTCTCCGTTGGAAGTGGGATGGGCATAATCTGCGCTTAACAACGGCCAAATTTTGCATACCGCTTACCTGCTAGCTACTAAAATGCAATCTTTTTTTAAAGAAAACATCCAACTCCTATGATATGTTCATGAGGGGAGAAGAAATTTTGTCTGGGGCTCAGCGAGTTCACGATCCTCAGCTGCTGACTGAGAGAGCTTTGCATCATGGCATTGGTAATATTTCAGATATATATATAATCCTGTGTTTCACTTTCAAATCAATGCATGCAACAAGGATATGAAGAGGAGAGATTAGAGCAGGAAATGGAAGCCTTATTCTTTGTATAGAAATATAATGGTTAGATCCAAATTTAAGTTACTTCCCATTGAAATTAAGCGGTATCTAACTTACTCTGTTGATTTTGATGGGCCCTAAGTGTAGGATCTTAGTCTGAATACAGCCAGGTGTCTTAGCAACATATAACAAATGTGTCCAACAGATTTTCAGCCACAAACAACTTTTCTAAGAGTACCTGTTCCAGGGAACTTCCCCCAGGTCACGAGTTTCTATTCTGTACAATATTTGTCAGTCTCGCTACAATTATATTTCAGTTCCATCCATCCAAAAGCTCAGGGGACCATCAAATGTGTTGAATTGTCAGGTGGACTTAAATGCAGGGGATGCACAAAAGTGGATTTGGATACCTGCAGGTGTTTCAGGGTAATCATTTTATCATTTGGTAAACGTGCAGTTGTTAGTTGCTGAAGGGAAATCAAAGAATATTGTCCCCAGGTAGGACGTCATTTACAGAAAGGACAGGTGGGCCTGGGGGCTGGTGGACCTGGTGCCTTTCCCTGTACTATATTAAAGCCAAAAGCAATATCTTGCTGTTCTGTGGATTTACTTTTTTGGGTGGGGGTGTAACCCCTTAAACAGAGCTGCTGCTCATATCTTCTGTTCAATTTTTAAACAGCAACAACAGGATCAACACAGCTTTGGCTACTAAGCACACTGGATTTGTGCAAAACAATAATAGTCTGTTGGGGTTTTTTTGGGGGGGGGGAGCTGTCCAGAAACTGAACTACTTTGGATTAATGTGTATTCTTTATATTTATGCTGCATGCTTTTGCTGTGCTGCTAACGAGAATTGGACGTGAAGCAAAATAATCTATTTCTTTTACAGATTTAGAGAAAATTAAGTCTTACATTGATTCCTTCCGTTTTGGTGCACCTCCCCACGCTGGTGGTGGCATAGGTAACGTAGCTTATTTTATTTTCATTGTATTCTGGCCCTGGATTATCATCATATGGAAGGACAGTTTTACAACAAAGATGATCATAGCATTTGAGCTTAATTTGGAAAGCTAACCTGGATTTACCGGGGATGTGTATGTTTGAGAAACATCCTAAGCTTCTTATCTCTGAGATTTATAAAACAATCCATGCTTTAAGCTTTCCTTTCCTTTTTACAAGACAACTAGCAAAGGAAATGATCGGACAAGATTCAAAAGCCCACAATCAAAGGAGAAAATCCTACTGCTTGTTAGCAGTGGTGTTTCCTTCCCAGCCCCCCTTCCCACTAGTGGGGCATTGAATGATGAAGAAAGAAAGCAGTTGTTTATTTGATGGAGATTTATCCGTACTGTTAATAGAGGTAATGATATAAAGTCTAGAATACTCAGTGCGTTTTGATGAAACTCATTTAATTCTCCCCCACCTCCACTGGTTGTATATGGACAAACGTGAACATTTTTTTTCCCAAGTACAAAGCTGGCTATTTACTTAACACTTTTTCATTTACAGGTTACGCAACTTGCTTTATATGGCAAAACTTTGCTGATTTTGCAGGCAGTAATTAGCACATGACAAACACGAAATAGTACAGTCATATTTCGGGTTACAGGCGATTTCAGGTTGCGCACCGCGCCAAACCCGGAAGTACCAGAACGGTTACTTCTGGGTTTCAGCACATGTGCAGAAGCGCTCAATCGCACTTTGCGCTTGCGCAGAAGCGCCGAATCGCGACGTGCGCAGATGTGCAGGTCGTGAACGTTGCGGGTTGCAAACATGCCTCCCACACGGATCATGTTTGCAAGCCGAGTGTCCACTGTACAGCCATGTTACGCTACTCAAATACAGCAAGCAATGGGATACTATTCCATTGCTAACTGTTCTGGTGTGGCTTCAGCTGAGAAGGAAAATTGTTCCGGGCTCTAGCCCCACCAGCCTCACAGACTTTCACATTTTGAAGGGAAATGCAGGTTTCCCAAACCCATCTTTCCCTCATATTGCTAATTGAGGGGACGACCAGGGAAGCATTTGCAGAATAAGAGAAGGTGGGATTAACCTACCTCACCTCTGCTTCCTATCCTCTTTTTATCTCAGCCAAGCTCTGAAACCAGGTTAAAGGCAAAACAGCTAGGGGTAGATTTACGGAGAAGAATCCGTGAGCCTGGGAAAGGTTAATCAGTATATCCTGTAAGTGCCTCCTGCATTCTTTTCTTGGTAAAAACTGTGCTGGATCCCGTCTTTGCCAAACTAAAAAACCAAACAACTTCAGATATCAGGCTTTCAGATTGGTGGTACTTTTTGCATAAGGCTGCTTTAAATATTAATAGAAATAGAAATTACATATTTTGAAGAATTTGCAGCACTGATCCACACAGTGGATTTTGAGCTTAGCCTCCTACGATGCAATGGTTTGTGCTGCGGATCTAATGAGCATGTGGTAGTGTTTAAGGGATGAGAGCTCTCTCAGCAGAAGCTAATGGGGCAGCCTGCTGTGCATATGCGGCTTTGGGGTGTGGTGATGCCCTCCAACAAAATTCTTCTTAGCAAGTGTGGCAGCTCAAACTGTGTTTGCTTCTGTTTGTGATGAACTGCAAGCTTGGTGTTTCATCCAAACCCAACAAGCTGCCTTCCAGTCATGGGTTGGTTTGTTTCAATTAACCATGGATTAGGGTTTGGATGACCTGTTAAATTGCATTGAATTAAAAACTAAAGTGAAAACTTTCTATCCCCTCATGGCTGTACAGCAGAGGAGCACACTGAGTACAAAACCTGATGTGACTCATGAACCACTCTGTTGGTTCATGTATATCTGTATATCTGTATATGTTTACACCACTTGGTCTTCTAGCTGATGAGACTGGATTTAATTTTACAGGGTTGGAAAGAGTCACCATGCTGTTCCTTGGACTGAGCAATGTCAGGCAAACGTCCATGTTCCCTCGTGATCCTAAACGTCTAACGCCTTAAGAAGACCAGAGCGAGTTTGAAAGTTTGCTCCCTGCTCTGAACAATATAGCATAAATGCAGTATGCAACGGATGTACATCTAACCTACTAAAGTGCCACAATAGCAAATGTTCCACTAATTTATTACTAATAATGAAGCCAACCATTTTAACAGATCTGGGTCATGTTGCAGAAAACGTAATCTTTTTATGAAACATATTTGAAGTTAAGGGTACTGTTATCATCTTGTACTTTACAGCTTTCTATACACTTGAATTTTTAACAAATTCATAGTTGTGTAATAAGGGGAGGACATTTGTTTTTTTAAAAAAATGTGGCAGCAGAGTAGAATTTGATCAACAGTAGTAAGAGAAATTGACAAAATAGCGAGTTGGAAACGGATTATTTTGAGAATTAACATGGGAAATACTGAACTCTGATCTTACATACTTATAAATGCAGGTTGCAATAAAACTCCCTAACTATTTTGTGTGTGTCTCTTTTTTTCTACATTGCAGAATTTGTATTTTTTTGTCAGTGTGCTGTCTTGCTTTTCAATACTAGAAGATAACTTTAAGCAGGGCATAATTATCTTGATTCCGGCTGAACAAAGAACTATGCTAGGAGCCTTAATAACTGGCTTGCCTCTCCACCTCCGTATCTCACAGGACTATTGAGGATAAAAAGAGATGATCATGTATGTAAGCCTTAAGAGAATGTGCTTAAAACAGGTGCGATTAACCTCAGGGCCACAGCATGGCAGGGGCACTCTTGCTGAACTACAACTCCTATAATATTTGACCATTGGGCTTGGGGGCTGAAGCCGGTGGGAACTAGAGTTCAGTGACATTACCCATACTTTCTGAGATTGTAAGTCCTGGAACCTGAGATCCCTGAGATTGTAATACTGAAACCTGCTCTCTTGTAAAGTGCCATGCACACTGATGCTGCTGTAAAATACAATAATTTTGTCTTGTGTTTTCAAATTGCAACTAAAAGAGCTAATAGTTACAGTTCTGTGATGTTTTTATTTATTCAGGAGTGAGATATTAAATAATAATAATAATAATAATAATAATAATAATTATTATTATTATTAAACTGCTGGCCAGATTTTTAAGTGTTTCCAAGCAATTAAGCCGTGATGTGAGATTTGACGGTGGGTGGTACCAATGTATATACAGAATTATGGTATCCTAATTTTCAGGGGCATTACCATTAATTAAGGGTCCTGATGCAGGAATCAGTGTGTGCAAATTGCAGACACTTAAATAGACTTGGTCAAATGACACACTAATATTTTGTTTCATACCTTTTTTTGAGGATTATCACTCAAAACAAAGGTCTGGGCAAAAAATGGACAGTGCAGAAAATGAGGACTATGAAGTCATCCAGTTGAGAAACCAGGTTAGGCAGCTTAGCTAATGGGCCAGCTCTGAGTACTAAGCACTGGCATATTCCCAGAAACCTTTTTTAAAATGGGGTTGCCTGCATGTGCACGTTCCCAGCTGTATTTGTTTGCTAAGTGGATTATAAATAACGACTTATTACCACAATTTTATTGCTGTTAAATCTGGTTCCAGAAAGAGTTGTTTGTTCAGCTAATCCAACAGGAATCGATCAAATTCAATTACCTTTTCCCATGCAGAGCTAGTTGTATCTCTGGATAATAGGCTTTATTGGATGCTTCATCCTAATACAGAGTCGCTCACTGATTCATGCTGAAAGGTTTGGAAAATGATGTTTTAGGACAAATGAATTTATTGCAGATTTCTGTTTGTTTTCTCACAGATCATCCCTTATGCCTTCATCCCATGTGTGTGGAAATGTCTTTGCTCCATATTGCTATTCTTAGTATGTTCATTTGAGTAACTCACACAGATAACAGTAGTTCTTAAACAGTGGTACCTGGTGCCCTGACAGTAGACAACCTATGAATTGGAGCACATTACACCCATTAAGGGGGATACTGCAAAAAATGGCATCTCTGTATCAAGGTCTTCACTCCCTCTTTACTGAATAGATTAGCCCGCTGTAAGGATGGCTGCCACATGTTGTTTGTCTTAGTGGTCCTAGTTAATATTCCTAGTAACTGTATGCAAATACTTCTGCAGAAATCAACTCTAAACATGACACTCGGGGCAATTCCACTTCCATCCTCATGTTGAATGTCATGTGCCGTCATAGAATCATATACAGTGGTACCTTGGGTTACAGACACTTCAGGTTACAGATGCTTCAGGTTACAGACTCTGCTAACCCAGAAATAGTACCTCGGGTTAAGAACTTTGCTTCAGGATGAGAACAGAAATCGTGCTCCGGTGGCAGCGGGAGGCCCCATTAGCTAAAGTGCTGCTTCAGGTTAAGAACAGTTTCAGGTTAAGAACGGACCTCTGGAACGAATTAAGTACTTAACCAGAGGTAGCATTGTAACATGAAAAAATACATAACTACAACGTAACAAAAGTAGTCATAGACAATAAACATTAAAAATACACAACCAAACTTATTTCCACATCAAGCACAACAAAATCTAAAATAAATTGAAGCATACAATTGATAGGTACTATGGTAATTCTATATGTACCTATTTGTGACATTAATAAAATACATTAGTTTCTACTTAAATTCATTTGAGGATTACTTCAAATGTTTCCACTTGGAAATAAATAAATTTGTATTTACTTCAGTTTGATTAGTAGGGTTGTTGACCATTGGGTATTCTGAGGAAATAATGCATTTACAAATCTTTCATACCTTTTTGAATTGGCTAATTGGGTTGATCAATGTGTTTGTTGTGGAAATAAATGAATTTAGATCATGAAGGAATAAAATTATATTTAATATGCTTTGCAACTGGGTTGTTGGGTGCTGGGTATATTGGGAATATATGTAAATAAATGAATTTTGCTGCTTCTTTTGACTGAGGTAGTCTGGGGGCAAAGGCTGATAACAAGTAGTCCATAGGAAAGCCTTAGCCTCATGTTGGCTAGATACCTCCAGGCTGACTCGAGACAAAAACGAAAGGAAACCAGCAGGTGGCTGAAAACAACTGCATTGCAGATTTGAAGAGCGCGGCTGTGTGGCGCTCGCGTCCTGCTTTCGTGCCTCCCACAGGGCTTGAGCCTCTGCAAGAAGAGTAAGCCGGGTCAGATGCGCCACTGGTCCGATCCAGCGTGCACTTTTGTCTACAGTCCTACGCACAACTGCCTGGGAGTAAGCGTCCTTGGAAACAAGCAGCACTTCTGAGTAGGCACGTTTAAGAATTCGAATCCTTGCATTCATAAGGGTTGGAAAGGGACCTCAAGGGTCATCTAGTCCAACCCCATACATTGCAGGAATCTCCGCTAAAGCCTCTATGGCAGGTGGCCAGGAGATTCCCCTTCTGCCAATACCGACCAAAATTTCCTGCGGGAAGAACCTCTGCCACTTCTCAGTGCAAGAAAACACACACAGACACATACATATATATATATATATATATATATACACACACACACACACACACACACACACACATATATGTGTGTGTGTGTATATATATATTTTATATATATATATATACATATGTGTGTGTGTGTATACATACATATGTGTGTGTGTGTTTTCTTGCACTGAGAAGTGGCAGAGGTTGTTCCCGCCCACTTATTACGTATTCAGAACGCCCCCGCTCTCCCCGTTTCCCGCGCCGTCCCGTTTGGCGCGAAAAAATTTCCCGGGCGAAAGTTCCGGTGGGGCGTGGCCTCGGCCTCCGAGCGCTTCTGGTTGGCGGGCGCTGTCACGAGGGCGCCGCTAGTGGCGCGAATTCTCCCCTCTGTCTGAGCCGGAGAGAAAGAAAGAGAACTTGTCCGCCATGGATTTAGCCGCTGCGGGGGATGCTGGGCTGGCGGCAGCGGCGGCGGCGCCGCTCAAGCAAATCCGCGACGAGGTGGCCGAGAAGTGCCAGAAGCTGTTCCAGGACTTCCTCGAAGCGTGAGTCGTAGGAGCTGCGGGGGGGGAAACGGGGGGGGGAGGGGAGCGAAGTCGGGCGCTTGGCGGTGGTCGTGCGCTGGGCTTTGCTGGACTAGGAGGCCTAGATAGCCACCCTCCACCTGGGAGCAAGTCCGGCGCTCATCCGCTTCCCCGTAGCTTTTGCACTTGTGCTTTCCCTTAGTGGGGGGCGGGGGGGGGGAGAGTGTATAGTATTTATCCCCTGACATCGTGCTTCTCCTGGCCCTAAGACGCTGTTGTTTTTGTTTTGTTTTGTTTGGGCAAGTGTGTTTGATTGCTGGGATTGCGCCTCATTCCCAAATGTCAACAGGTGTGCCCTATTTATTTGGGGGGGAGGGGCGTACGGGGGGGCGCAGTTGCCCGCCCTAAATCAATCAAACAAACAAACAAATAAAACTTAACTACATAAATCCTGGCCACGCCCATGGAGAGAGGGATAAATATTTAACTCTGCTTTAGTTTTGTGCCGGTTTTAATTGTACGTGTTATTTATTTACTGCTGTAAGTTGCCTTGAGTTAGGGTTTTTTTGGGGGGGAGGGACTAATAAGTTTAATTAACAAGAGTAGTAGTAGGGGTTTTCCTTTGCAGTATTCAGCATCCGCTGTTGTCTCTTCCTGAATAACCTCAACCTTTTGAAGTGCTGTAAAACAGCTTTTCAACAGCCCCACCTTGTCTTTGCTCAAATGTAAATCCGCTGCTGCACCTTAAACTCTTTTGAGGCTTACTTCTGAGGAAGCATACATAGGCTCACTCTGCATAGCTGCAATCCTATGCACACTGTCAATTATTTACTACTACATTTCTATTCGAGGACCTCTAGGTGTTACGCATGGTTCTGTTCCTGCCCCATATCTTCACAACAACCCAGTGGGGTTGGGTGTGCTGAGAGTCAGTGACTGGCCCAAGGTCACCTAAATGAGTTTAGTGGTTAAGTGGAGATTTGAACCCTAGTTTCTCAGGTCCTAGTCTAACACTAGGCACTAACCACTACACTATTACAAATCAGTAAAATCCAATAGAGCTAAATGATTCTTGCATCTGAGTAAACTTGCATAGGACTAAAAAGCTTGTAAGGGGCTGTACTGTGGGACTCCTTGATAAAAGGCAGCTATTTTTTCCTCATTTTTTCACTGATTGCATCAACCCTCCTAACTGTAATCATTATTTCTTGTAATCTGATGACCACACCACTGGGGTCTGTGTATTTTTTTCTCATATTTAGATGCTTCCTTCCTTTTCATGTGGCATAATTAGTGAAATGACAGGGCTCTTCAGTATTCTGTGTGCAGCTTATACAAAATGAACATTTTTACTCGCAGCGATAACTCAGCTTTTCATTAGGTGTTCAGCAGCAGCAGGGGTTCCCTCCTGTCAAGTGATGGTGTCTCATTATTAGCTTTTAAGCCTTTCTCTTCATAGTCTTAGCACAGAGTGTAGCATGTGCGGAGACTCACTATTTAGGAAACAATTCCTGCAAACTGTCCCTTAAAATATTGCTATTTTCAGATTTCAGAACAGTGATGGAGAAGTTAAATACTTGCGAGATGCAGAGGAATTGATTCGCCCAGAGAGAAACACGTTAATTGTGAGCTTTGAGGATCTGGAGCAGTTTAATCAGCAGCTTGCTACCACAATCCAAGAAGAGTTCTATAGGTAAGAAGGCTCCAGTAAACATGCTTTATTGAATAGTTGGCTCCATCATAACTATTTTACCCATCCTGGGTTTTATTAGAGGAGTTCTAAGTCAAGGCTGGGGAACCTGTGGACCTCTGGATGATGTTGGGCTCCAGCTCATGCCCCATAGCCAGCATGGGCGTTGGTTAGGGATGATGGAAGATGTAGTTCAAAAACATATGGATGGTCACAGGTGCCCCATTTCTGCTCTAAGTAACATTAAGAAAGAAGGGAATATGTTTTCACAGTTAAAGGTGCTTGTCATTCACAGCCCTCTGGTGGTGGTTTTTTAAAGTATAGTCAGGCATACGAAATAACGTTTGCAAAGTTGTTACTTGAACAAAAAGCCAAACAGATTTGTCAGACAACAGTTTTATATTTTTCACTTGTTTTAATATTACTGTATTTTACCAATGTACTTTTCAAGATATTTTAAAGGATAGAAATTCATGATGTATGCTGCTACTTTGATCCAAAGGGTATAAAATAAAGATTTGCATCACTAAAACTTGTTTTTCTCTTTTAGAGTCTATCCTTTCTTGTGTCGAGCTGTAAAAACCTTTGCTAGAGACCATGGAAATGTTCCCCCCAATAAGGACTTCTATGTTGCTTTCCAGGACCTACCTACCAGACACAAGTAAGATACATTGATACTGTAAAGATGTAAGCATACAAGTTAGTAAGGTAACTCCAAATAAGCTCCTTCTTTGTAGGATGTTATTTACAATTCAGGAGCCTTCAAATGGCCTCCATTAACTTGTGAGTCATAGGCTACCCATGCCGATTATACCATCATTTCAGCTATCAGACTATACTGATAGCCAACATGGTTTTATCAAGTGGAGTGATGCTAATGCATACAACCATACTCCCATCAAATTTTTCTTTTTTAGTGAGGGGAACAATACACTTATGCCTTGTGTTCTATATAGTTAAAAGAAAGTGTGCAGGAGATTGCCATGTGGGTATGCTTCAGAAATATGGAGAGAAGTTTTTTTTCAGACTCTGATGATGTTTTGCGCGAAGACATGGATAGCGATTTTGCAGATATGAGGCCTACTACCTGTGCTTTAGACCCTTGCCCGTCCTGACTAAGAAAAGTTGCCCAATAAGAACTAGCTGTGTGGGTTAATGTTGTGGCAAATGCTTCTTTCCATTAAAGTATGAAACCCATTGGGTCTCACGGTGGCATCTTAGCTCCAGGTTTCCCTTAATGAAATGGGCCTAGAAAATCAGTTTCAGCCTGGCTTCCAGCCTGATCATGAAATGACTTTGCTATCCTTTGTAGGTGGTGACCTTTGCCAAAAATAAAATGGGGAAGTGTGTCCTGTTGATTCTGCTGGACCTTTATGTGGTGTTAGACACTGTCAACCCTGGTGCCTTGTCTGTTTACAATATTTCAACAAGGTATTTTTAAAAGTTACGGGGAACAAGATTTAAAGTCAGCAGCTCAGGTTCCTAAACTTCTAAAGGTTTGATTACGTCCTCTGTTTAAATGTCAGGGAAATCATCCCACCATATTCAGTTGGCTTGCACCTAACTGCTGTGAGCAGAACAGGTACTTCTTTGTTCTTAGCTACAGAACAGATTGTACTTGTCAGTTCTGGTTCTCTTTGGACAACAATGGACCATAATAGGCCATGCACTTGCTATCTGATTTTCCGAAATGTATTTTAAAACAGATGAGCTTTTGAATGTGACTTCGTTCTTTAAACAGAATTCGTGAAATGACGTCAGCTCGAATTGGATCGCTAATGCGTATTAGCGGGCAAGTGGTCCGCACCCACCCGGTTCACCCAGAGCTCGTAAGCGGAACATTCCTGTGCCTGGATTGCCAGACAGTGATAAAAGATGTTGAGCAGCAGTTCAAGTACACACAACCCAACATCTGCAGAAACCCAGTTTGTGCCAATAGGAAACGGTTCCTTCTGGACACCAACAAATCCAGATTTGTTGACTTTCAAAAGGTAATTCAGCAATTGTCAGAATTTGCGCTGGGTTTGAAAACATGATGTGATGTCAGGTTAGTCTTCTATACTTGACTGGTTCAGCTGTAAACTTAAATAAACCATGGTTTGGCACCACATGAACTGTAATTTCCTCCCTGCTTTCACGGGTTTGTGGCAAACCATTGTATGCCGTTTAGTCTAAATTGACAAACTAAAGTTTATGCTTGCCTTGGAATCCAGAATCAAAACATGGTTTAAAGTCTTGGTTTGAAGGTCACAAATCTTAGTTTGCTGGTTTTGGACAATATAGTAAACTAAACTATAGTGAAAGGATGGGAGTCTTGACATGCAGGAAGGAGAAGAAACTCAGGTGCCTGACAGTATAGACCTGTTGATGTAGTATTAAACAATGATTTAGCATTATGTCCTGTGTCTCTAAGTGTAAAGTTTTGCTCTTACTACAAGTGGCGAACATTTTGCACAGGAGATCCATTCCTGGCCCTTGTACACATCAGTGGAGCACGCATAAGTCCACTGTGCCCTGTTCCACTCCTGTCTTGCCTTTTTCTGGGTCCGACCTGTGCATCAGCAGTCACATGTCAGTCGGATGTACAGAAAACGGTCACCACCTGCACTTGAATAAAATGTAGCAATTTTTGTGTTTTTCCTGTGTGTAAGTGAAAATCCTTCAAGTGAGGATACAGTGGATGCATCTTACGAAATGCATTCTAGCTTATGCCATATTAAATTAGTTTGTCTTTAAGGTGCCACAAGGCTGCATTGGTTTCGTTACAGCAGGATAACACAGCAGTCCCTCTGGAATATCTTATGGGCAGCTCTTGTAAATTACTGCCATTCGTCTTCCAGAATGCTGTATTCAGACCTGGAAGTTGTCTTGTCTTCATAATTGAAGTGAATAGAGTTCACTCATGTCATGCTACCACTGGAGGGAGGGGATGAAGTCAGATTTCCCCAGTAACTTCTCCCTGCAACTGCCTGCATAGCCAGAAAAGCTGCTTCAGCAGGGTGCAGGACCCTCTACAATTAGCATGAGAGGTCAGGCACACACACACACACACACACACACACACACAAACCTTGCACAGATGGAAGGGGCCTGGCCTTCCTTTCACAGGAGGTAAGCTCACAATCGAAACTAAAGTGTGCATATATTCAACCTATTAAGAATAATTTTCTGTAGTGAAAAATGTATTTAATTATCAGGTGTTTTTCAGAACCCAAAGAGCAAGATGCACCTTGTAAATTTAGGAATCTGTCTCAGCTGCTGTAGAGATCAGCAATGGCGCTGAGAAGTGATCTCATTGTGCAGCCTATAGGGACCACCTATCTCTAGATATTTTTTCACAGTATTAGAAACATTCTTGACTTTACCATTTTGAACCACTTGTGTCTTGTTGCTGTACAGACCTGTCACATTTGTAAAGTGCTTTCCACTTGAGAAGAAGAAAGGTGTATCAACAAAAATCTGCTTTGAATGCGGGCTTAGACATTTGTCATTGATGGAAGACTAAGAGCTATATTTGACAGAATCTTTTGCTGCTGGTGTATTGCTTCTTTGGTGGTTGTCTTCTGTTGCTTTGATTGGTACTTGTCCAGTCTCTGTCCTAGGGGTTGTGGATTTGTGTCTCGTCTTCTCCACCTTCATGTTGTTGGACTGTAGGTCCCATAACCCCTGAGCATTTACTATGCTGACTGAGACTTATGGGAGTCAGAGTCCCAACAACATCTGTAAGCCCACTGGTTCCTCACTCTCTTCTTACCCCATCTCAGTTTTTCCCACAGCCATCAGCATGGTAGAAAAACAAGCTTGCACTTCTGACAGAGCTCCCTGTGAGATTTGCCCTTTGCCTACTGAGGGTGATCTAGACATTTAAGGGAACCTGCTTAATAGCTGTGCTGTTACTTTTGTTTTATGGTGATGCTCCATGATAGCTATCAGAAAGAGCCTGAAAATTAATCAGGTACTGTATTTGTAACCGTTACCAGGGCTCCTAGAAACTTGATGTTGGTAATTAGAAATTTCAAAAATTCTGGGTTCTTAAAAAATGTAAGGCACTTCATTAGGAATGCAGCATCATTATCTCCCCCCCCCCCCCCGGTAGTCTTCATGCTGGAAACATTTGGGTTCCGTTTTGTAACATTTTCAGGTAAACTAGTAATGATAAGATAACTTCTTGCTTCTTGACAGCTTGCTTTTCCTATCTCATCAGGTGCGTATTCAGGAGACACAAGCTGAGCTACCCCGGGGAAGCATTCCTCGCAGTGTTGAGGTGGTACTGCGGGCTGAAGCTGTGGAATCGGCCCAGGCTGGTGACAAGTGTGACTTCACAGGTTCCCTCATTGTTGTGCCTGATGTGTCCCAGCTGTCTACCCCAGGTTGGTTGACCCTGAGCAGAGCAGAGCAGTGTGAGGGACTCCTTCCTTGTTAAGAAAGGGCTTGTGTAGGACAACCTTCCTGAAACTCTGCAGCTTCAGTATACTTCAAGCAAAAGGCTAGGCTCAAATTATTTTCTCTGTGGTGGGAGCTTGTTCGGTGCAGGCTTTGCTATTACCACCTACATTCCAAAGTGAAGAGCTGTGCCTTTCTGCCTTTTTCAAATGTGTAATAATAATAATAATAATAATTTATTTATATCCCGCACTCCCCAGCCAAAGCCGGACTCAGAGCGGCTAACAACAGTAAAAATAGCACAGTTTACATAAAATCACAGTCAATTGAAATACATTCTAAAATCAGTTCAGAATCAAATTAATGGCAACCATTGGGCTAGAGTTCTATGAAGATTACGGAAGGAGAGAGGGGGTCAGACTGTGCCTTGGCCAAAGGCCACACAAAACAGCTCTGTCTTGCAGCCCCTGTGGAAAGATGTCAAGTCCACCAGATCGGGGCCACGACCGAAAAAACTCTGGCTCTGGTTGAGGCCAGCCTAACCTCCCTGTGGCCCGGGATCTCCAAGATGTTTTTATTTGAAGACCGTAAGGTCCTCTGTGGGACATACCAGGAGAGGCGGTCCTGTAGGTACGAGGGTCCTAGGCCTTATAGGGCTTTAAAGGTTAAAACCAGCACCTTAAACCTGATCCTGTACTCCACCGGGAGCCAGTGCAGCTGGTATAGCACCAAGTGAATGTGATCCCTTGGCAAGGAGCCTCCATGAGGAGCCTCGCTGCGGCATTCTGCACCCGCTGGAGTTTCTGGGTCAGTCTCAAGGGCAGCCCCACATAGAGTGTAGGCTGAAAATGACCACATGTTCCTGGAGCAGAACTTAAAAAAGCTCTTGCTCTTATAGGTGTCCGCGCAGAAACTGGCTCTCGTGTGAGTGGAAAAGAAGGCTACGAAACTGAAGGTGTCAGAGGACTTCGTGCACTTGGAGTCAGAGAGTTATCCTATAAATTGGTCTTTCTAGCATGTTACGTTGCACCAACGAACCCAAGGGTAAGCCTTACTCAGGAAGAGGAGCTTCCAGAATATTTTTCTTGAAGATATTAATGATGGGATTTGGTTCTCTTGTCCCCAGGAAAGGTGAGCGCCTACTGTGCCCTTTCAGTGTATCATTACGCCAAGCAATAGAGTAAAGTGGTGGATTTGACCCTTTTTGGATACTCTTATTCAAGAACTAGAACAGCGGAGCAAATTCTGGGCTAGAACCTTCTAACCTCATACGCTTGGGGGAGTATTCTCCCAGCTATAACCCGAAATATTTTATTGCATTCTGCCGCCACATGTTGAATGTTTAGATCCATCCCTAAATGGTCTCATTTTGGAGATATTTAAATTGAAGTCCTCTTGTGACATACTTCCCACCTTTGCCTTAAGGCAGGGTTAGGAAACCTGTGCCCATCCAGATGTTGCTTAATTACATTCCCCATCACCCCTGAGCATTGGGCCATGCTGGTTGGGGCTGGTGGGGGTTAAGAGTTCAACAGCATCTGGAGCCCCCCAGCGTCCCCTTCCCTGACTTAAGACATAAGTTATTTTCTAGTCTCTGCAATATTTTTGCATTTTTATATATTTTCCCTCAACCCTCTTTGTTTTAGTTTGGTGGCAAAGAGCTGCGAGATGAAGAACAGACTGCAGAAAGCATTAAAAACCAGATGTCGGTAAAGGAGTGGGAAAAAGTGTTTGAAATGAGCCAGGATAAAAACCTTTATCACAACCTTTGTACCAGCCTCTTTCCAACCATACATGGTAAGATCTAATTGTGGAGCCATAGTAATGTTTGCTATCGTTGACTAATTTTCTAGGTCAGCTGGAAGCTTTCAAATTAAATTCCTATTGTCTAATATGTATTCATGTCAATTAAAAATGTCTTTTTTTGTTTTGTTATCCCTTCTGAACAGGAGGTATCAAAACAGTGAATTTTGTTTCCTGTATGTCATTTGTGGCATTGTACCCAAAGAGTAAGATAGGAATACAGCAATTGAGAGTTGCGTGCAGTCATTTTAAGATTATTGCCTGTTTCCTGGCCGTTTTTGCAAATACATAATGCTGCTTTTCTGTGCATTCTTTTTTCATGGGACCATGGAAAGAAGAGCCCCTAGTTTTGTTTTACCTTCTAGTTCAAACCTTGCTGTGAGAACATGATCCTGTAATTGTGGGTTTTAATCTGTACAGATAACTTCTCTGGCTTTTCCTTATTCAGTAACCTCTGTGCTCTAAAAGTTGATTATAACCCTGGACTCTGATTTATAGACCGTTTAAGATAGCTTATTCCTATTGATTGCTGTGTTATCTTGGTAATCACTCTGTCTAACACAAATAAATTCGAACTGTAATATTTAAGTATGTTTCGCAATCACGTCCCTTGTTTGCATTTTAATGCCATATCGGGGAGAAATGACGAAGCAGCTATGATTTTGAGACTTTCCTGTGGCTATCCACCAGGCTTGTCAGAGATTTAACCAGTCCCTGAAGAAACTTGTTTGAATTTTGAATTACTGTCTGAAGCCAGCCCATAACAGCAACTAGAATCCAAGCTTTTCTCCTGCGTTGTGTTCTTAGAATTGACTCTAAATGTGAGCGTCCCCAAAACTAACTGTTAGTTATTGTGATGCAGGTAATGATGAAGTTAAGCGAGGGGTTTTACTCATGCTGTTTGGTGGCGTTCCTAAGACAACAGCAGAAAGCACTTCACTTCGTGGTGACATCAACGTTTGTATTGTTGGTGATCCGAGTACTGCCAAGAGTCAATTTCTAAAGTAAGTTTCTTGCCAACTAGCGTACGGTTAACTTGCATTGTCACTAGGTAGCTGGTTACAAGTACTTGTTCTTGTATGTTGTGTTCAGGAGATTTAGTCTTTGGTAAGAGGATATAGGATTGCTGCCTCTGTAAAACAGTGGCTTTATGCTGATTTCTGTGTTGGTCTTTTCTATCTCTTTACCAGTTATTCTGGTTTTGGATTGTAGTTGTATTTTGTTGTCTTTTAAATTTGTGATGCACCAAGAAGACATTGTTAATTGGGTTGTAGAGACTTTCAAAAATAAAAATAAAATGACTAGAATATATATATACACGCACACACACACATACACATATAATAATTCTTTATTGATTAAAAATTTACATATCTATACAAACATGTGATATCTCTTTACATATGAAGAAAAATAAAATTAGGTAGTAAACAGAAAATTTATAAAGTAATAAAAAAGGAAAAGAAAAGAATAAAGAAATTACAAAGATATGAAATTAAAAAAATCAAAAGAAGAAAAGACAAGAGAAGACAACACTATTCACACAATAAAAGTGTTCATCGACACAATCCTTCCCATTCTTCTCATTATACTGTCATATAAACATTTTTTTAACACAGATTTGTGTTGTATAATATCATTTATTTCTGCTTTGTATATATTCCTCTAATCGTTTTCTTTACAAATATCACTCAATTTCTGCTAATATGACTAGAATGTATTAAAACGCCTAGGTGAAAAATACTGCTCTTAACCCGGCACTGAAATGGTAACAGTTTTGATGCCAGGCAACCTCCTTGTGGGGAGAGTGCCCTCCATTATGTCTGCTGAGAAAGCCCCCCACCCCACCCCCAGTAGATGCCCTCCATTCTCCTGATGGAACGAATACAGGGAGAAGGGCCTCTGCAGGAGATCTTAAACACTGAGCAGGGTGCTGCTACTTGTTGGAACAAAAACTACTTTCTTGAAGTAATAAACATTGTAATTACTAAATAGGCTTGCTTTCCCCCCTTGCTCATGGCTATCGAATAATCAGCTAGGTAATTTAGAGCCCCGCAGCCTGCAAAACTTTAAAGCCAACTGTAGTGTTTGTGTCGCACTTTCTGATGCGAATTGCTGAGTAGCCTGCCAATTTGAACCAACAGGCACGTGGAGGAGTTCAGCCCCCGAGCTGTCTACACCAGTGGAAAGGCCTCTAGCGCTGCTGGCTTAACGGCTGCTGTTGTGAAAGACGAAGAGTCCTATGAATTTGTCATTGAAGCTGGAGCTCTAATGTTGGCAGATAATGTAAGTTATCCAATGCATAGTATTTAGTAGCTCTGAAAGGAGGGAGCCCCTTTTGTTTTCAAGTGCGGAAGTACAGTTGTTGAATCTGCACTCTCTTTTAGGGAGTCTGTTGCATTGATGAATTTGACAAAATGGATACGAGGGATCAAGTTGCCATTCACGAAGCTATGGAGCAACAGACTATATCCATTACTAAAGCAGGAGTTAAGGTAAGTGGCTGTGTATTGCTTGAACTTTGTGTATCCTTTACTCAGATGGTATTGGGAGAGAGATTTCTTGGCTTCTCCAGTGACCTTTGAGCCAGATCTTCTTTCCATCCTTCCCATTTTCTGTCAAATAGTTTCATTCCATTAGAAGAGCTAAGGAACTTCTTTTCTTACAACTGAATTCTTCTAGAAGAGGGTGGCAGTCTGTAGTCCATATCCAGAACAGGATATCTTCCTCTTCCACAACCCTACGTCAAAATTAAGCCTGGCAGCAGCAGCAGCAGCAGCAACAGCAGTATTGCTGCTTACCTGGACCAGTGCAGGGGCCCAGAGGATGGTAGGAAGTTAGTGGCTATGAGAGTCCTGCAGTAGTCCCAACCTCATGGTTTTTCTGCGCCACCTCATCCAGGAAAGCAGCAGGAGCACTACTGTTGGAAGACATCTGCACAACACCCAACTTTCCATGCTGGTCACTCCTGTTAAACATTTCTTCCAGAAATCTGTCCCACTGTGAAAAACTGGATAATTGGGCTATAATCCTTTGCAGGCTTTTGGGGGGAGCAAGCTCCATTGAACCCAGTAGGACATGATTCTAAGCAAGAAAGTTAACAATTGGGCTGCAATATACATCAGGTTAGGGACGCGGGTGGCGCTGTGGGTTAAACCACAGAGCCTAGGACTTGCCAATCAGAAGGTCGGCGGTTCGAATCCCCGTGACGGGGTGAGCTCCCGTTGCTCGGTCCCTGCTCCTGCCAACCTAGCAGTTCGAAAGCACATCAAAGTGCAAGTAGATAAATAGGTGGGAAGGTAAACGGCGTTTCTGTGTGCTGCTTTGGTTTGCCATAAGCGGCTTAGTCATGCTGGCCACATGACCTGGAAGCTGTACGCCGTCTCCCTTGGCCAATCAAGCGAGATGAGCACCACAACCCCAGAGTCGGTCACGACTGGACCTAATGGTCAGGGGTCCCTTTACCTTTACGTTATACATCAAGTTAGGTGTCCATAATTTCATGGAGTTAGTGGCTTAAGCATCTGATAATTAGGAGCATGTTGATGGCCTTAAACAGCAGTAGAATGTATTCCTTTTAAAAAGCCTATCCACATAAACAATGAAGAAAGAAGCCTGCAATGAAATATGCTGATTCTCGCCTTTGTTATAAATGTTGCAGGAAAAATATAAATGCTTTAGTGTTGTCTTACACAGTGTTCCTGGAAATCATTTTCCTGTTGATGTATTTTGGTAGGGTGGAGGATATATTTTTACATGATTGATCAAACTGGCGCCCAGGCACCATTGAAACTGCTATGTTTTCTTCCCCAACACTTTTTCTTTATGCAATTTGTTAACAACTCTACACTGCTTAGGAAAAGCAAACAAACATGTTCTTGTTTTAACAGGCTACTCTGAATGCCAGGACCTCTATTTTGGCTGCAGCTAACCCAGTTGGTGGACGTTATGATAGAGCAAAGTCTCTGAAACAGAACATAAACCTATCAGCCCCAATCATGTCTCGATTTGATCTCTTCTTTATTCTTGTGGATGAATGCAATGAGGTAATGTGTAACCTACATACTGTATATTATGCATTTTAGATTCAGAAATATGCAAGCTATAAATGCAGTTGTCTATGAATTCTCTTTTTTTGCCCATTCATACTCTTCCCATTGGTGCATTTTAATCCCTTCCATTGCCATATGTGTGTCTTTGCTTCCCCCACAACCATTGCTACATTTCTGTCTTAGTCTGCCCATTGCTTACACAGTGGCACATATGGGGTGGGAGTGGCGTAACCTGAACATCTTACAACAATGTGGCAGATGCAATTTCATCTTGGAATCCAAGACATTAACCCATGGGTAGGCAACGTAAGGCCCGGGGGCTGGATCCATCCATCTTCTCAATCTGGCCCTCGGACGGTCCGGGAATCAGCATGTTTTTATATGAGTAGAATGTGTCCTTTTATTTAAAATGCATCTCTGGGTTATTTGTGGGGCCTGCCTGGTGTTTTTACATGACAAGAATGTGTGCTTTTATTTAAAATGCATCTCTGGGTTATTTGTGGGGCATAGAAATTCGTTCATATTTCCCCCCAAAAAATATAGTCCGGCCTACCACATGGTCTGAGGGACGGTGGACTGGCTGAAAATGTTGCTGACTCCTGCATTAACCCAATAACAGAGTTAGCTGCATGGACACCCATGCCGTGCATGGGGGGGGGGGCACTGTGGCATCAGCAGCGAAGCAGGCAATCCCCTGCACACTGCAGCGTCGGGCGAGCGATCCCCTGAATGCTTCGGCGGCAGGGCGGGCAATCCCCCCTGTGTGTGACGACATGCCTTTTTGTCACACACCCCTCAGGAATGACATCCAGGGCGAGCAACCCCCACCACACACCCCTTCCTACGCCCCTGCATCAACCTCAAGGAAGTTGTGGAAGGAAAGTTCCCCATCTCTCTTGTGTCCACCTGACTAAAAATCCTCTTTAGAGTGTTGGGGTGCATTATTGAATAATGTAGGATGATGTGCAGGAGATTGCTGGAGGAAGGGAGAAACATCCCAATATATTTTTGTATATTCTCTCTCACAAAAACACACCTCGGGGTAGCTGGCAGGTAGTGGGGGCACTGGTGGCTGTGATGCAGGAGAGGGAAAACTTTCCTTCTATGAACTCTCTCAGGATCCAAGCTGATGGAATTATTTGGAAGCTTGTGCATAATAGAATATTTAGTCCTTTTAAAAAGTGTGTAAAACAGATTGCTTCTACAACAGATGGTAGTTTTTTAAAAAAAATAATCCTGTTTTAGTGTTCTCTTTTTACCTCTAAAGACCCAAATGAACTCACTGACTGGACTAATTTGGTATCTATTCATGTATTGGACAGCTCAGTTTCATTTGAGCTGCTTGCATTACCTAAACAACCATCGAGATATCCTCAAACGTTTTGGAAGTTGCTGGGTGCATCATTGTTATTCTGTTGTTTTGTTAATGATTTGTTATAACTTTAGTTCACGTATTCTGACCAAAACCTACCCCCTTCAGGTTACAGATTATGCCATTGCAAGACGCATTGTGGATCTTCATTCTAGGATAGACGAATCGATTGATCGCCTGTATTCACTAGATGACATCCGAAGGTATCTTCTCTTTGCCAGGCAGTTTAAACCCAAGGTAATGAGACAGACTTCAGCATTAGGTTGGGATAGCTCAGTCAATAGAGCGTGAGACTCTTAATCTCAGGGTCATGGGGATTAGACTCAATGACTCTTGTGGTCCCTTCCAACTCTACGAGATCTGTGATTCCAGAGAGTTTGAGCACAGCATGGCGTGAGAAACTTGAAATGATACCGAATGTATAGTGGTTACTTTGACTTCGACATAGTTGTTGCTAATGCTCAGGCTCACGTACGAGCATGCCTGGTTAATTAGGATGTAGTGTAACTGGTATCTACTTCTGTGGAAGCGATTTGGAGCCAGTTGGGTTTGCCTAAAGTTTAGTGTGTCTGTTGTTTGATGGAGCAAGAAGTGTTCAGGTGAGCCATTGTGGTGAAGTGGTTGGAGTGTTGGGCAAGAGAGACCAGAGTAGGAATCCCCACTCAGCCATGAAGCTCACAGGGTGACCTTGGGCCGCTCACTCACAGGGTTGCTGTGAAGATAAAAAGGGGATGGGGGACAGATTGTGCATGCCACCTTGAGCCCCTTGGAGGAGAGATGGCATAAATACAATAAATAAATAATTTGGTACTGTATTTTTGTGCCGCTTTTGTCAATGACAGTAGACAGGCACGTTTTAATTACGCAATAATTTTTTTTAGACTGATTCTTTCTTGTTGTTCATTGCAAATAAATGTCGAATCCATATCCAGCTGTTGATCTAGTTTGTAATGGAAGTTTGACTCTCCCGCCCCAATGAATATATGAAGTTTATAAATGGGAAGTGGTGCACAGTTTCACTATAGCTTTCCACATTTTCCCTTCATTCTCCAATAGATTTCTAAGGAGTCGGAGGATTTTATAGTTGAACAATATAAGCGCCTTCGCCAGAGGGATGGTTCCGGCATTACAAAATCGTCATGGAGAATCACAGTGCGGCAGCTGGAAAGCATGATTCGGCTGTCGGAAGCAATGGCACGGATGCATTGCTGCGACGAGGTAGCTAAACTTAATGGGGCAGCATGGAGCAGGACAGAGCTTTGACCAATGCAGCTGTTCTTAACATTTTTATTCTGTTTAAGCATGCCCATGGTTCATTCTCATCATTTTAAGCATACATTTTGGGATTACTGTCGCTTGAAATGAAAACCTTTTATATGAATGTTACATGTTCAGTTTGTAAATAGTCCAGTGCTAGCTTATGTTTCTACATAGGGGTGGAAATGCTTATCCCTCAGAAGTTTTTAGCTGAAATTTTAGACCAGCTGCAAGTTTTTGTGTGGCCCACAAGCCTTCAGTCTTTAAGAGAGAGAAAGAGAGTTAAGTAAAAGACAACAACTTTATGAACTGTATCTTTAGCTTTCTTCATTTATAGAAGTTGGTGGTGTCTGGCGTTTGACTGTGAATCCAGTGTTAGTGGAGCCTTCCTCCTTGGCACAGGGAAGGGGGATAAGTTGGAAAGTACTCTTGTTGCTTCTATGGCCAAGAGATGTTTTGGAGCCCATCAATCGTATTGTGTATAAATTTTTGCACGTGTATATTTTGCTGTACACGGCCTTGGATTTTTTTTATATACAAGTTCATGGCATGTAATTTTTTTAATAAATAAATAATGTGTGTTTGGACAGGTATTTCTTTATTCATCTTGACTCTTCTTAAACATTTGTAAAGGTCCATCCAAAACATGTGAAGGAAGCCTTCAGGTTATTGAACAAATCCATCATCAGAGTTGAAACTCCAGATATCAATTTAGACCAAGATGAAGAACAAGCCATTGATGAGCCTGAGGCCCATGATGGAGTTCAGAGTGAGTAATTTGCTGATGAACTATAGACTATATCCGACTTCCACAACCTGTGATGCCCTCTAGAATGTTTTATAATACAGCTCCTATTGTCACCGGTCATTGGTCATGCTGGCTGGGGCTGTTGGAAGCTGTGATCCAGAACATTCAGAAGGCACCAGATTGGGGAACACCTGACAAATGTTTTTACCTGATAGCCTCATTGAAAGCTGTTATGATAAAGGTCGCAAAATAAATCTCTTAATAATAAAATAATCCTTGGAACTTGCTTGTTTCTGGGTCCAGTTCAGGTTCTAGTTTTGTCCTTTGAAGCCTTGCACAGCCTAGGGTTCTGCCTATCTGAAGGATATATACACACACACACATATATATATATATAAAACACACACACACACACAGACACACACACACACATACACACACACACACACATATATATATATATTTCCTCCAGTACTCTTGAAGCATAGTTAAAAACAAGCTATGGTTTAGCGTGAAGAAAACCAAAGTTTCTTCCTGGCTTTATTGCTCATGGTTTGTTTTGAAGGAGAAAAACTAAACGCCCAGGTTCAGACTTCATGACAAGTCAGGCTCTGGCTTGTTTTCTTGGCGGTGCAGCAGCAACAGGAGGCAGAGTGGAGCAGAGCATCTTTTAGCAGTGTGTGCTACCATGCTGTGCATTTGCCTTAAGCCAGTAGGTTTAAGATCTCAAGTGGAACCTTTTTAGTGCTGGAGCTCTTGCTTGGCATTCCCTGCTTGGCATCTTCTCAACAAGTATTTAATCCACCAAAAAGCTTTTAAATAAATTGGATTTTTATTTGAAACCTGTTTTGCTTTTTATATGTGGTGGACTTAGTGTGGACTACTAAGAGAACCCAATTTGGACCCAATATATAAGCTTTAACCACAATCATGTAATCTGTTACCAAGGAGTAACTCCCATTGAAGTCAGTAGGGCTTAACTCTGAGTAGATATGTGTCTTATGGAGCAGTAAATCAGTCAATACTGTGCATTGGTCTAATCAAGATAATAGACATCGTATCGTTCATATTTATTGTTTTGAAAATAAGAACTATGCTCTGAAATCCTTATGGCTACAGAACTGAAAATGATAAGGTATCTGTTTGGAAGACCCCATAAAATCTTAGCCACCTAGAATATATAGATAACATCATTTGATATGATAAGAGAAATGCAAGTGCTACACTTTCAAAATGTTTGTTCTGGGTAGAGGGGGGAAAGCAGGCAATTAAGTCATTCATGATGTGCTTCTATTGCTGCCTCTGTCCCCACCTTGGCATAATGTGAACAAAAACTTTCTGTGCTCAGGAGATGGAGACACTGCAGTTGTTAATGGCTTGGTGAACGGCATCAATGGACATGCAGATGATCTGAGCAAGGATGTGGCACCAAAGGCTTCCCTAAGGCTTAGTTTCCCTGAATATCGCAGAATCTCAAACCTCATTGTAATGCATCTGAGAAAATCGGAAGAAGGTAAGAAATCGTTGTCTTGGTGCGTGCGGAATTAAGTACATGCTTAGTAATCACATTGCATGTTCTTTGAAATCCAAGTGCAAGCCACTGGGAAGGTCTCAGATTTGGAGCGTGTGGGGTTATGTGGTTTAAGCCATCCCTCCCCAGCTACAGTCCCCATGAAATCATCTCCTTCTCCCACCCTCCGACTTACCATTACAAGATGATTTCCCCCTAATGCTAACTGTAGCAAGAGTTGGGGGAGGAAGTAGGGTTGTGGACAGCCTGCCAAATTTGATTTGGGGCTCAATTCAGCAATTTGGATCAGCAAGTTCTGCTCTTCCCCCCACCCCCAAAAAAATATAAATCCTGGATTGGAAGGTCTTAGCTGTAAATAATAAACAAAGTCCAGCTCCCCTTCTATCCTGCCAGCAAGCGTTTTCCTTATATGGTGTCTTGACTTCCTGAATCATTTTTGAAACATTTTTGAGGCAGTCAGTCTGGGATTTCAGAGTGTTTTATCATCGTCATCATCATCTTGCTTTCTTTTCTTCCTGCAGAAGATGATGACACCTCCTTAAAAAAGAGTGAACTTATCAACTGGTATTTAAAGGAAATTGAATCAGAAATAGATTCTGAAGAAGAACTGATAAATAAGAAGATGATAATAGAAAAAGTGATCCACCGTCTTACACACTATGTACGTACACCTATACCTGAAATTGTAAGGTTTTTTTTGAAGTAAAAATCCTACTTTAAATTCCTTGAAGGATGTGATGATAAAAATAATGTGGTCTTTGATTAGCTCAGTGCATATAGTGCATAAACTATATGCATGTTTACCTTGTGACACATGGCACTGTGTTAAATCTGTCTTGCTTCCAAGCAAGTATATATAGAATTGCATGTCCTGTTGTGTTTAGTGGAGCTTAGTTCCAGGTAGGTGTGCATATGATTGTAATCTAAGGTTGCAATACTGCACATACTTGGGTGCGAGTTCACTGAATCAGTAGTACATTCTTCCAAGTAGATATGCAGAAGAATGCACTTGATGGGCTGTTGGTGGTAGCCTTTAATTCTGGCGCACATAAGTTTTGTGAGAAATGGAGATGAAGAGGGCATGATATTAATTGCTGAATTGGAAGTACAGTGGTACCACTGGTTACATACTTAATTCGTTCTGGAGGTCCGTTCTTAACCTGAAACTGTTCTTAAGCTGAAGCACCACTTTAGCTAATGGCATTTTCCTTTGAAATAAGTATGCTTGTGACTGGGGTGTCTTACAACGTGTGACCTAGGACTCTTCAGAACATGGCCTGACTGAGGCTCTCTGTATTTCAGGACCACATTCTAATTGAGCTCACACAGACAGGGCTGAAAGATTCCGTGGAAGGACAGAGCATTGATGAAGAAGACCCTTACCTTGTAGTTAATCCTAACTACTTGTTGGAAGACTAGGGATTATGAAACAATTCTACAGTCACAACGCATCCATTCCCTATTGGAGACCAGCACTCAACTGGCTAATTTTATATCTTATCTGTCTATCACTTTTGTACATAGTTGGATACCCAAAAAAAGCTTTGTCACATAATTCACCCATCTTCTCTTTTTAATTCTCTTTTATTAAGGGAAAAGCTGCTCCATTCCTTTCCAGAAAAAGGGCCCTGCAACCTAACAGGGCAGCTGTTTAGAACAAAACTTCCATATCCTCAGCTCCTTTTATGCTTTTTACATACTTTTTTTCTGCATCTCTGTAGCATAATCTTATGTTGTAGGTTGACTCCTATCTTAATTTGTGAAAAATAAAGTATTCCTTATATACAAAATGATTTCTTTTTCTTTTTCGCTACGGAAATAGGCCCAAACGCCACTTTAAATAGGATTCTATAAAGCTGTGGCTCCAAACCAGATTTGGGATCTGTTGTTCAATGCTTGAATTAGAGGCTTAAATGTTTTGGACTTGGTATGAATATGATGATTTCACCCTCACACAGAAACACATTAAGACCATGAGTAGATGATACATTTGGCACGTGAGGCTCTATCCCAGGCCTGCACTTGGTTTTATTCAAAGAAAGAGTAGTGATACAGGGATGGGAATGCAGGCCATGGCATGCAAGGGCAGGTCTGACTTCCCACACATGCTGTTTTCCTGACCACAATCCTCACCCCCAGCTACTTGCTCCCAAAGTATCTGGGTGGCAGTAACTTGGGGTGAGAAAAAGGCAGAGGAGGAAGGGTCCCTTGTCGTTGTCATCCCCCTGCCCCCGCCCCACCAGTGCCAGTTCCTGTTCTTAATTTAAAATGGAAGACAAGCCCACACTATAATCATAGTTGACATGCTGTTTATTCTGTGTTTAAGAGTTTCTGCATCCTGTTTTTTACTATTTTCTTATTCTGATCTCGGAATAAACTTTGGGTAGAAAACAAGTTTTTTTTATGGAGGGGAACGTTAACTATTTTCCTTCCAATTCTCTGCACTTGTGTTAGCAGCTTAGATTTGGGAGCCCTGCATTTTAGTATCTTCTGGTTATCTAAATGTGCTTTTCCAATATCTGCATTCAGGCCTGTATTGTTAAGCCCAGCAACTTCATTTCTTCAATACTCTGCATATGATTCATTAATAATAGCACCTTCAGTGGGACTTAAACCTTTGATTGTCTTATCTTTGTGTACGTTGAGGTTAGGGAACTTTGCATCTTTGTGATTGCACAAGTTGTTAATTTTATTATCTCTGATGTAGCATAAGGGTAGCACAAGTTCTTCCACCATTGCATTAGCAGATATGGCACTGGTGTACAAGGTGTGTTTGGTTTTTCTGTTTCCTTTGCCTTGCTTTGGAGTAGGCTGGGATCTTGCTCAGAAATTTATTTTAGTCGCCGGCCCTCTTAGCGATGACTTAGTAAGTAATTTAAACTTCCAAAGTGGACTTCTAAGAGAACCTCTCAATTCTGCAACGGGACAGTCAAACTATCTTTGCAATGGGCCTTCCTTCCCTTCTCTGCCGCCGTACTTCGCTGAGCTCCGTGCAAGTGGCGTGACCCATTTTAAAGTCTTCTTGCCTTGGACTCGCATCCTTCCAGAGGCAAATGCCCGAAACCCCAACCGGACGAACGTTGAATGCTACAAACAACTTCTGAGAACTCTCAAAGCGGCTGACATCGAACCAGTTTTAATTCTACATCAGAAACGTTTGCCGAAGTCTTTGGAAACCCGGCTTGCTTTGAGCAAATCTGTGACTTTCACCGACCTTTTCGTGGAATATGCAGAATTTTCCTTTGCATCTTTTGGTGACTTGGTGGACACCTGGCTCACTTTTGGCAGCCTGCCTGAGGACGTGGAGCGCTTGTCTCGTGGAGATCCGCTGGCCCTCCCTTGGCAGGTGCTAGCTTCAGCACATGAGAAAGCTTATGAAATCTACCATGAAAAATACGCAGCAGAAGGTAAAGAAAATGGTAGGGAGGAGGGAACATGAGATGTGGCTCCTCTGGATAATGTAACATGCACTATGCGTATGGGGTGTGCATGAGAATTAAGTGCATATGGAAGACTGACTTCTGTGCACGTACTGATACTGCACAGGCCTTGGAAGTTCTGATCGCTATCTTGCACTCCAACAACATAACTGGGAGGGGAGGGACGTCTTTCATTTAAGAAAAAAAAATCCTTTGACTTCTTCTGTCTTGCCCACCAGGCCTCTTAGATGGGCCCAGTCATTGTCCTGCGCTATCTTTCTAAGACTCCTGCCAAAATTATTTCTTGTCTGCTGAACAAATGGGCCAAGGAGCCTTATAATATTTAAGAAGGATGCGGAGAGATCACTGCTAAAATCAGAACAATATCTTCATTCAAATCTCTCAGCCCACACTTTTTCCATTAAGGCTTAAGTGCAAAGAACTTGTTGTCCTCCTCCTCATGGTAATAAACAGAAGTTCATTCAGATTAACACACATTACTTGGATATATTACATGCAGCGTACTCCACCAACCTTAGAATGTAAGCTTCTTGGGGCAGAGATCAGTTTGTAAAGTACATGAATGTTGTCACTACCGCATTGGCCCGAATATAAGCCACACTCAAATATAAGCCGCACCTTTAAAATTTGGGGGGGGGGGGGGAGGAAAAAAGATAATACCTGAATATAAGCCGCTCCCTTAAAATTCCACAGGCACTCATGCCCATACCGTTTTACCATATGTCTGTTTCAGCAGCGATATCGTAAAAGCTCATTTTTGTAAGGTCGCGAATTTAAGCCGCACTTTTCACAGTCAGAATTTGGGGGGAAAGCGAGGCTTGTATTCAGGCCAATACAGTATATAATGAGAAAACTATAAAGGAATTCCTGGAGATTGCTTCTAGTGAAAGTATTCCCTCTCCATTCCCCCCCTCCTTGCATTGAAATTTCGAAAATAAAATTGACAACATACTTTTTCTCTCATTTACAGATGGGAAAGTGTCCATTTCACTAGATGTTAGTGATGCTGGGCTGGTGTCAGCAAGATCTTTATTGACTTCAATTCTGGTGACGCCTTTTATTTTCTTGGGAGTCTTACAACAGCATATCCAGTAAAGCCAGAGGAAAGAAATTATTTCAATATGTAATTCTTTTGTGAAACCCATTGCCTCTTAGATGGTTATAAAAGGGGGTTAGACAAATGAATGAAGGGTAGGCATATCAGTGGCTTGTTTATTTGCTTGTTTTGTAAGATATCTTAACTGTTCTTCCCCATAAGCTCCCTGTGCAAGTTACAACTCTCTGGAAGTTATTTGCCAAAGCAGAGTTGCCTCTTTCTAGATAGATACATAGTTGTCACTTTCTCATAATTAGGGGTTGTGAGTGCTGCTGTGGCCTAAACTACTAAGCCTCTTGGGTTTGCTAATCAGAAAGTCAGTGGTTCAAATCTGCCCAACAGGGTGAACTCCCATTGCTCTATCCCAGTTTTTGCCAACCCAGCAGTTTGAAAGCATACCAGTGCAAGCAGATAAATAGGTACCACTGCGGTGGGAAGGTAAGCTGCATTTCCGTGTGCTCTGGTCTCCACCACGGTGTTCCGTTACGCCAGTAGCGGTTTAGTCATGCTGGCCACATGACCCAGAAAGCTGTCTGTGGACAAACGCTGGCTCCCTCGGCCTGAAAAGTGAGATGAGCGCTGCACCCCATAGTCGCCTTTGACTGGACTTAACCGTCCAGCGATCCTTTATTTACCTTTTTACCTCATAACAACCAGAGGTATTCCCTGAAAATATCAACCCACAGACCCATTTTTCATTTTCATATATAGTTAAAATATATCTGTTTTAACTATTTTCATATATAGTTAAAATATATCTATTTTAACTATTTTAATCTATCACTCTTAAAGATCATTTACCAACCTTTCATTATTTTTCAAAATGGCATTTTACATGTGAGGGGGAAAAACCAGAAGCATGACATGCACGATGATTCAGAATTTCTCTTATCCCTCACCCCATGAAACTTCAGTTAAAGAGCTCTCCAAGAAAATTGGTGATACATTAATGATTCTTTATTTGAGAATGAGGCGGAGTTAATTGTTATGTAATTTACGGCGCACTATGTCAGTCATTCCGTTAGGGAGAGCATTTTGGCTAGTCAGATGGAATGATCCCCCCTACTCTTGTGTGCTTTTCTGGGTGTCCTCGCAACACCCTCCCCTGAGCAGATTTTAGGGACTTGGGGAGAGGAGGTAGGAGCCCCATTGTGCTAGCCAAACTCTTGCCCAATTGAATCCCACCTAGAAAATAAGGAAGAATGTCAATAGAGGAACTCTGGTTCCAAGTATAAAGTAATAATAATAGATGTTGCTGCTGCCTAAAGTGTAACTTCAGTTATTATAAATGCTATATCTCTCTGTGACAATGCTCTGTTTTGATTCCAGGACTCTCTAGACTTTCTCTCTCTCAACCTTCAGTACAACTGTGAAAGTGAAGCGGCTTTCCAAAAGTTCCTGCATGAGCTACAGGTAATTCTTAGCAATTGTACCAAGTGTTCTATATGGATGCTATCTGTTATAGATGGACATGGGAGGTGATGTCCCACAGTTTTGACAGTCCTCCTTGATATAACTCATGCATTTTGCTTTGCTTTTTCTCTTATAGCATATGGGGACGAACAATATGGGTATTTTGCTCTTTAGTCTCAAGTTCCACGAGTGTTCCTCCTTGCAAGAAAACCGATTTGCAACAGTGGCTTCCATTTTCAGTGGTAAGTGTCTTCTGTAGGAAGGAACTGTGGTCTTGTGGCTTGCCTGTGTGGTATTTTGGATGTGTGGGTGTGAAATACAATACAGGCTATGTTGTGGTCCGTATATGTATGTATTTATTTCAACCCTTTATATATCACCTAATAGCATGGTCTCCAAGTGGTATACAATAAAGTTACAAAAGATTTACTGAGCATAGAATTGGTTAAAGTTAACAGTAAAATCAGAAAAACTACTTTAAGCACCTGCTGAAATGAAAAATTTGCCTTCACCAATTTTGCCTGGGTGGGGGGAGGGGGCTGCTATCTGATCTGTTGTGAGAAAGTTCCACAGAATTGGGCCCACAATACTGAATGCACAGCTCCTGGTGGAAATGAGCCAAGTCTCTCCCCACTACCGCCTGTCCCCACTCTTACTGTATGAGAGAGACCTTGTACTATTTACAGGAAGTGGGGCTTCACTGAAAAAGGACTATAGCATAGGATGTTACTGGCCTAATGTCTGCCCTTTTCCATTGTGCTGATAAACTTCTCTTCTCTTCCTTCATCCCCCTCCCCCCGCCCCTCTATTTCCAGCCATTTCTGAAGTTCAAGCATGGGCAATAGGGTATGATGTGAATTGTGTCATGAACAGCTCGTCCGTTCAAGCAATTTGGTACAAAATGTTTATTTTTAATGTTAAATTAGTTTGGTTATGAAGCTGTGCTACTTGCATAATTAAGACTGCAGTTCTTACACAGGAATATATTTGTGTATGTGTGTGTTTCTGCATGCATACGTGTGTGCATGTGTATACAAGTGTCTAATATAGAGGTAAATTCTAATGATGGTACTCTATGGTATGCAATACTGTTACCTTTTTTTGTTGTTCTTGCTAACATTGGCAGCCATTTTGTGCTGGAACCAATGTCATTTTTATCAAGGTATGAGTCCCAGCTTTTTTTTCCTTTTCTTTTTTACTACAAAAAGCACTTGGTATATGAATATTTAATCAGGATATAGCAAATAAGGTTTCAGCTGTGTCATATAGATATGGAACATAGACTAGCAGGCTTTATGAATCTTGGCTTGCTGTATGTTTAGCTGAATAGTTAGAGTTTCTTTTATTCAGGGATAAGGGCTACCTTCTGTCATGAGCAACCTTCTGGGAGCCACATGGCAGTGGTGGTAGTGGGCGGGGACAGAGCTAAAATTGAGTGGAGCAATCAATGTGACTCTAACGTTGCTAAGTTCCAGCTACAGAAAGCCAGAGGTTCCACCTATTTCTCTATCCAAGAAGGCAAGAGACATTATCACAGTTCAAGGACACAGTCTAGCCATGTGAAAGCCATTGAGGAGGGTGCAGAGAGCAGGGGAGAATCCTGAGGGTCACATAGAGAGGTCCAGCAGTTCACAATTAGTCCCAAAGCCTATGATTCCCCATCGCTAATCTATATACATATAGATGATAATTGTTATACGGATTTAGGCTTGCCATATTAAAAACCCCCAAAAAACTGGATAAATTTCTGTAGGTTTGATACCCACGATATTTGAAATCTCTAATTTCAGCCTGATTTGAATGCTTATCCATCCTGAATAAAAATTTAATGATAATAAAAGTTTGATTTATTTATTTAACTTACTGCATTTCTGTTCTGCCCTTCCTCTGAAGATCACAGGGTAGTTTACAATACAAAAATACACAACATAGTAACAAATAAAACAATGACCCCCTCCCCTATTTTGAAAGGCCATATATTGTTTAATTAGCCAGAGGCCTGGGAGAAGAGGAATGTTTATGCCTGGTGCCTAAATTTTTGACATATTCTCTCTTTCCTTTTTTTAGCTTGTACACAGGAAATCTGGCCAGCCAACCAAAGGCAAAGGAAACCCTGATACCTACTATTGCTCCACTTTCATCCTATCAAGCAGTTTGGGAACGATTTGCCAGCCAACCTGAGCTGGAGAGAGACTCCTTTTTGCTTGACCTTTTCCCTAACAGTTTTCTCTGGGGCACATCGACAGGTTCCTTCAATGTGGAAGGAGCCTGGAGAGAGGGTGGGAAAGGGGAGAGCATTTGGGATCAATACGGGCACCAGGGCCATGCCCACATGAATCAAACAGCCGATGTCGCATGCGATAGCTACCACAAGCTAGATTATGACGTTTATCTCCTTAGAGGCCTTCGCCCAAATATTTATAAATTTTCTATATCCTGGCCTAGGGTTTTTGCCAATGGGAGTAAGAGCAGCTTGAACCCTCAAGGCGTAGATTACTACAACAAACTGATAGACAGCTTGCTGGATTCAAATATTGAGCCCGCGGTGACCTTGTTCCACTGGGACCTGCCACGAGCGCTACAGGATCTTGGTGGCTGGCAAAACGAGAGCATCGTCGCTGCCTTCGCAGAATATGCAGAGTTCTGCTTTGCTACTTTTGGGGATCGTGTTAAATTCTGGATTACCTTCCACGAACCCTGGGTCATTAGCTACGCTGGCTATGGCACTGGGCAGCATCCTCCAGGAATTACTGATGCAGCCGTGGCATCCTATCAGGTACTGACAACAAGTGCAGCAGCTTGGGCCTAATTTTATGGGTTGTGTTGACTCTACAAATAGAAAAGGTGGACCGTTGCCTCCTAGTCTGTGGCTAGTTCTTCTCTCACCAGACTTAGCCCCATATCTGATTTTGCCAGAGGGCATGAATGGAGTCAATGGGCAGATGAGTCTTTTAAGTCTGGTCAAGCTACCGTGTTCTAACCTATAATAGCAACAATCTGGCAGCAAGTGTGTGAGCATGCAGTTGACTCTTCAGTTGGTCACTGTTCTTGTTCAGAGGATGGCTTTGTACCCCCAGATGTTTTGACTTAAAACATCAGATAACATGAATGAAAAAAATTGAAATTGGCTGGATTTGTGCCCTTTTCATTCTGAAATGGCTCTCTTTGGCTTTCTTGCCTACCTTAATGGTATTGACATGATACATTCCAGAGAAGCGTCTCTGCCAATGGAACTGTGGTGGCACGGAAGCTGTTCTCTCGTGGCTCTTATGCCGTTTGGCTTCTTCCCATGTCAGAGAATTGTCCCTCTCAGGGCTTGGAACAATACTGACAGGGAAAGGTGTCACAGCATAGAACAAACTCCTTGCATGTTACTTCTGGCACTACAGAGTAGTATTGGAAGTGGCCGCAGTGTGGTTAGAGAGACACTGGTTGTGTAACATTGGAAGGGACCCTCAGAAGCATTTTCATGCACTGTGAAAAAACAACAACCCATTATCTCGCTCCTGATAGGGGCCACAGTATATTTGGCATCCTATATATTCAGAAGTGGGACGCGGGTGGTGCTGTGGGTTAAAACACAGAGCCTAGGACTTGCTGATCAGAAGGTCAGCGGTTCGAATCCCCGCGACGGGGTGAGCTCCCGTTGCTCGGTCCCTTCTCCTGCCCACCTAGCAGTTCAAAATCATGTCAAAGTGCAAGTAGATAAATAGGTACCGCTCCGGCGGAAAGGTAAACGGCGTTTCCGTGCGCTGCTCTGGTTCGCCAGAAGCGGCTTAGTCATGCTGGCCACATGACCCAGAAGCTGTACGCCGGCTCCCTGGGCCAAGAAAGCGAGATGAACGCCGCAACCCCAGAGTTGTCCGTGACTGGACCTAATGGTCAGGGGGCCTTTTACCTTTATATTCAGAAGTGGTTGTCCAAACAAGCATCTTTAAACCCATATCTACAAGTAGACTAGGAATCTCTTGGATGAGCAGAAGTAATTTTTCTCTGCATCCACACCTGACAGCATAGTGCAGTTGAGCAGTGTATCAGAATGTTTGTGCACCACTTAGGTATAAGGAGGAAGAAAAGAGTTTTATTAGGGTATTGGGCTTCAAGGGGTTTTAAAAGTTTAAAAGGGGTTGGCAAAGATTTCCAAATATCTGGTATCTTATAATGAACTTCTAAAACAAATGTATAAGCAGGTGGTACAATGAGAACAACTGGCACATTCAATATTTCCTGGCAGATTTGTGAGGATTTCGTAACCATACCTCAAAACAGATAATTGGGTAGATGTCAGGACATCTTCAGGGAAGAATCCCAGGGATTTTTTAATTGCCTTACAAATACCACACAGCTATCCATCATGTGACTGTCCTGCCATGAGACTGGCTGATGGACAGTTTCTGAATACTTGCAGCACATGTATCAGCCTGTAGACAGCCCTGGATTAGCCTGCTCTGGGAATAGTTTCTGCCACGTGAGCATATATTATGTTACCAGTTACTTGGAACATAGGCTAATTTAGATTTAGTTGTTGTAACGCTTTGGCTTCCAAAAGAAAGGAGTTGGGGGAAGAAATGGAATCTTTAGCGGACTGGAATTGAAACCAGTTTAGGACAGATACTTTTATTGATACTACAATGCTATATGCTACAGCCATGTTTTCAGATGTTGGGGACTGGAAATGTTTCAGCAGCAAGCAAATGAGTGAGAAGGTAGTTCTCTTGCTTTTGAAGGAACTGTTTCCTGCATTGCAAACTGTAGTAAGTGTTCCTTATAACGTGGTGCAAACTTGATTTTGAGCTCAGGTATGACAAAAAGCTGCTATAATTACCTGATCTCTGTAAGCCTTGAGGTGTGGGGTTTGGAGCCTGGGCCCCTCAAATTTAATTTGAATGTTATGAGGAAATGTACTGGGCTGCAAATATCAGTGGTGTTTAGGTATAAACCTGTCTTTCTACTTGGTCCAGCAAGCCGAGGCATAGTCCAATGTTGTACCTTCAGATGTTGTTGAGCTACAACTCCACCTCCCCATTCCTGACCTTTGGCCATGCTGACTGGGCCTATTGGGAGTCCAACAACATCTGGAGGGAATCCATATTGGCTACCCTTCTCTGCTGCAGTTGAAACCAGTTCTCCAAAGTCTCAAGCAGAGGCCTTCCCTAGCATTTACAGTGGTACCTCGGGTTAAGTACTTAATTCGTTCCGGAGGTCCGTTCTTAACCTGAAGCACCACTTTAGCTAATGGGGCCTCCTGCTGCTGCTGCGCCACTGGAGCACGATTTCTGTTCTCATCCTGAAGCAAAGTTCTTAACCCAAGGTACTATTTTTGGGTTAGCAGAGTCTGTAACCTGAAGCGTATGTAACCCGAGATACCACTGTATATAGATCATGTAAAGGGTGAGATGTGGGGGCTGAACTTGGCACTTGCTTCATGAAAATGATGCGCTCTACCAGTGAGTTATACTCAGTGGAATAATACTTTTTCCTTCCTTCCCATAAAAAAAGGTGGCTCATGTTATTCTCAAAGCTCATTCTCAAGCCTGGCATGTTTATGATACCCAGTACCGCCCTGAACAGCATGGGAAGGTGGGAATAGTATTGAATTCAGACTGGGCTGAACCCAAGACCCCAAGCAGTGCTGAGGATGTGAGAGCGGCAGAACGCTACTTGCACTTCATGTTGGGCTGGTTTGCTCACCCGATATTCGTCAACGGCGATTACCCAGAAGTCCTGAAATCGCAAATCCAGGAGAAGAACCAGCAGTGCTCAACTCCCGTTGCCAAGCTCCCTGGGTTCACCGATGAAGAGAAGCAGCAAGTGAAGGGGACGGCTGACTTCTTTGGCCTTTCCCACTACACTTCCAGGCTCATCAGTGCTCCAGTGAATCATAGCTGCGCTCCAACCTATGAGGATATCGGAGACTTTTCCCAACACGTAGATCCTTCTTGGCCGCAGACAGCCGCACCTTGGCTCTATGCCGTGCCTTGGGGGCTGAGGAGACTGCTGCTGTTTGTGTCCAAAGAATATACTGGGACAACAAGAGTTCCGATTTATATAGCAGACAATGGCGCGCCGACAGATGACGGAGGCGATCTTGTTAACGACACCGTGAGAGTGGATTACTACCGGCTTTATATCAACGAGGCTTTGAAAGGTACAAGGGGCTTTTATGAATTGGGGAGGGAAACAGGCATGCAAAAGAGAATTGAAAGAAAACCTGTAAGGATGAAGTCAAGTTTATTGACTTAGCCCCCTGTTCCCTTTCAACACAATATCCTCCAAGATCTTACCACATTCCTGTCAATCTCCAGCATATGGTAAATATCATGCCCTGTCCCAGTGGGGAAAGGAATGGAATGAGTAGATATGTTCACCGTGTGAAAATGGCATGCAAACGTCACTTTTTAAATGTGATGATTTCCGTTTGTTTAAAAATGGTTTGAGACACTGACCTAACTAATCGGAAGCAAATTTAATACTTTAATTAAATGTCCTCAAAATAACAGTTTTGCCGGGTAATAGGCATACAGTGTTAAAAAACAGCTTAAATGCAGTATATGAAATACACAGGTTGCTTACCTAGGCTGGCTTGGAGGACAGCACCTGAGACTTGCTTAGCTATCCCGTTTTGTCCTGCCTGCTTAGAAGATGCAGAACTGTTTTGCTCTGCCCCTCCAAACAGGTCTGGATGCTCTTATGAGTTGAGCCTGGTGGAAAAACGATGTAATTAATGCATTCATCCCAGCCAGAGTATATTTTGTCACCCCATGATAAAAGACATCAAGGAATGCCTAGTTTGTAACCCCTGAATGCCTGAACATGAGAACACTAGTTGACACCTTGCATCTTCATTACTTTTTGGTCACTCCTGTATCAATTTACTGATAGGAGTGAGCCGTCAAAGATTGCATGCCACAGACAGAATTTTCACATCGCTTCACTCACAAGGCTTTTCAAGAGTCAGGCTGCTTCAACCTTGGACATTTACTGTGGAATTTACATGTACTTATGTCATCTGCATGACATAGTGATCAATACACCCTCTTCCCACATTTCCCATTACCTTCCTTTTGTGTGTGTGTGTGTGTTGTTGTTTTTTGTTTTCAGAGCTCAGAAAATCTGGCCAGTAGTTGTTGTTTTTTAACACACTGGAACAGTTGCACAATTTCCCCAAGATATAGATAGATGACCTATCGCGCAGCTGTTAGCAAATTGTTTGGCCAATTATGTGCTATTTAGATTGTTGTAGCCTCTGTGGTTCATCTCTTCCCCCTAGGAACCAGTTTTGTCGCTTCAACCCTTTCCCCTCCAAAAAGAATTGTCTTATATCTGGTTCTTTTCTCTCTCTCACTCCTTCCCCTGCCATTAAATTGCGGGTGTGGTGGCTGGGAAAGAATACACAATCTGCAGTGCTGTAAGTGAGGAGGGAATATATAAACATGATCCTAATGTAGAGCTGGGATGCAGGTGGTGCTGTGGTCTAAACCACTGAGCCTTGGGCTTGCTGATCGGAAGGTCGGCAGTTCGAATCCCCGCGACAGGGTGAGCTCCTGTTGCTCGGTCCCAGCTCCTGCCCACCTAGCAGTTCGAAAGCACGTCAGAATGCAAGTAGATAAATAGGTACTGCTCCAGCGGGAATGTAAACAGTGTTTCCGGCACTGCTCTGGTTTCGCCAGAAGCGACTTAGTCATGCTGGCCACATGACCCAGAAAAACTGTCTGCGGACAAACATTGGCTCCCTCGGCCAGTAAAGTGAGATGAGAGCTACAACCCCAGAGTTGTTCACGACTGGACTTAACTGTCAGGGGTCCTTTACCTTTACCTTTTAATGTAGAGCTGGGGAAAAGAACTGCACACCTGGCTACAGAATGCCACGTAGATTCCAGACGTCTGGAAAAGATTTGCTGCTCCACTTGCTGCTCAAAGCCATATAGAAATGATTGGCTGCTAATTTATACATCTGGAAGTATTCTTCCAGGTACTGTATAGCCAAGTACTGTATAGTTGAGTAAAAATGAGAATGCATGTGTGAACCGGCCAAAGTCCTTGAACTGCTTAAGTGCATTATCACTTCCCTATGCCATTTTGTATATTGTCTCTTACATGCAAATGACTTTAAAAGGAAATTTAAATGTGCAGATGAATAGCAATAATAGTTTGCACTGACCTGCGACAATATGGGCTACCCTCTGAAAATTCATGCCGTCGCTGCAATGCTGAGAGAAGAGGGTAGTTGTGGTTGTGCTATGTATTTAAACAAATGATTAAAAATCTTAACTAAATTCTATCTCCTTCATTGACAGCTATAAAGCAAGATGAAGTTGATGTTCAAGCATACATTGCCCGGTCATTGATTGATGGCTTTGAAGGCCCAGCAGGCTACAGTCAAAGGTTCGGCTTACACCAAGTGAATTTTGAAGATGCAAACAGACAAAGGACACCCAAAGAATCTGCCTATTTCTTCTCCACCATTATTGAAAATAATGGATTTCCTAGCACGGTCTCAAGAAAATTTATCCAGCCGCTCAGAAAGGATGTTTCCATACCTCCACGGCTGCCTAGTTTACCAGCTTCTGAAGTTCCTTCAAAGGCAAAGGTGGTTTGGGAGAAATTTTCAAAACAGACTGATTTGGAAAGAGACACGTATTTTTATGGCACCTTCCCAGAAGATTTTCTGTGGGGTGTTTCTTCTTCTGCCTACCAAACTGAAGGAGGTTGGGATGCAGATGGGAAGGGACCTAGCATCTGGGATAATTTTACCCACATCCCAGGGAATGTTAAGAACAATGATACAGGAGATATAGCTTGCGACAGCTACAATAAAGTAGATGAAGATCTTTATCTGCTGAGAGCCTTAAGGGTAAACACCTATCGCTTCTCCCTGGCGTGGCCTCGGATCTTTCCAAATGGAAGAAACCATTCTATAAATAACTATGGTGTCGATTATTACAACCGGCTGATTGATGGTTTGCTGGCCCGGAATATCACACCAATGGTCACTCTCCACCACTGGGATCTGCCCCAAGCTCTACAAGACATTGGTGGCTGGGAAAACCCTGTGATGGTTGAACTGTTTGATAATTTTGCAGACTTTTGTTTTCAGGCATTTGGAGACAGGGTCAAGTTCTGGATTACTTTCAACGAACCGATTGCCATCTCTGTGCCAGGCTACGATACGGGATTATTTCCACCAAATGTAAAAGATAATCCAGGCAATGCATCCTACAGTGTTACTCATGCAATACTAAAGGCCCATGCAAGAGTTTACCACACATATGACCAGAAATACAGAGAGAGTCAGAAAGGTGTGATCTCTCTGAGTCTCAACATGGATTGGGTTGAACCAAAGACACTAAACGATCCTCGGGATGTAGAAGCTGCTGATCGCTACCTGCAGTTCATGGGAGGGTGGTTTGCACACCCAATTTTTAAAAACGGCGATTACCCAGATGCAATGAAGTGGAAAGTAGGGAACAGGAGTGAACTACAGAAACTACCATCTTCCCGGCTTCCAGGTTTCACACAAGAAGAGAAAGACTATATCAGGGGCACAGCCGATGTCTTCTGCCTGAATTATTACACTGCCGGAATTATAAAGCACAGCACCACCAGGCTGAAACCATATTCTTACGAGTATGATCAAGAACGAGTATTGGAGATTGACCCTTCTTGGCCTAGCTCAGCATTGGAAAATATGCGGGCAGTGCCCTGGGGGCTGCGTAGGCTGCTAAACTGGATCAAAGAGGAATATAGCAATCCTCCCATTTACATTACTGAGAATGGGGTTGGGCTAAAAGCCAAGTCTGATGTTGATGACACCAGCAGGATCTTCTATTACAAAACACACATTGATGAAGTTTTGAAAGGTAAAGATGTTGTAATAACCCAATAGGTTGAGGTGGTCTAGTTTTAAGACAGGACCCCTGACCATTAGGTCCAGGTGTGACTGACTCTGGGGTTGCGGCATTCATCTTGCTTTATTGGCCGAGGGAGCCGGCGTACAGCTTCTGGGTCATGTGGCCAGGATGACAAAGCCGCTTCTGGCGAACCAGAGCAGTGCACGGAAATGCCGTTTACCTTCCCGCCAGGTACCTATTTATCTACTTGCACTTTGACATGCTTTCGAACTGCTAGGTTGGCAGGAGCAGGGACCAAGCAACGGGAGCTCACCCCGTTGCGGGGATTCGAACCGCCAACCTTCTGATTGGCAAGTCCTAGGCTCTTTGGTTTAACCCACAGCGCCACCCGCGTCCCTAGTTTTAAGTTTTAAGATACTGGGTAAAAATAGAAGTTTGCTCAATGTAATCAGCTAAATAATCAGTTAGAGGTCTGTGTAGACTAGTTTTAGTTTTAGATTCTAGATCAGTCGTTCCCAAACTGTGCAGAGTCAGCACAAAATGCTTATACGCCACAAGGCATCATTAAAAGAACTCTGAGTGCCAAATTAGACAACACATACCAGTTATGTGATTGGGTTTTTTAAAGTATATTGCTAGATCAAGGGTATTGATCCAGAGTACAAGAGAAGGTGGGTGGTAAAAAGGGTTATAGCCCTTCATGCTAGAGTCTGGATCAATCAAGGTTGTGCTCCTCCTGAAATTTACTTTACACGCCCATGTTTTTACACTGAACCCAATTAAATAGCTTTAAACATATTAGGCTACTTGTATTTATATTCTGATTGCTCTGAAACTATTCTGGACCCCTCAGGCCCCCCTATTTTCTCTACAAAATGTCTGGCTACAGGCCTCAAACCGTGGATTATCCAAACAGCTACACGTGAGGGTTGTTTCTGCTACATGCATTAAATAGTCTGGTCATCCTCAGTCTTTGTGTCACAGTCAATAGCGTTTTAATAAGTACGAAATGTCAGTAAAGTATGCAGAAGTCCTTTTTTCTTTCCTTTCTTGATAATGGTTTTGAATTATAGTTATAATAAATATATTTTTTTATCTTTCCTAAAGTATATAATTCATAAGGTTTTTAGTAAAGCCTGGTTTGGGGATTTGCTATCCTTGAAAATGCATGAGTATGAAGTAAGACCTGAAACGAAATACAGTGGTACCTTGGGTTAAGTACTTAATTCGTTCCAGAGGTCCGTTCTTAACCTGAAACTGTTCTTAACCTGAAGCAGCACTTTAGCTAATGGGGCCTCCTGCTGCCGCCGCCGCAGCACGATTTCTGTTCTCACCCTGAAGCAAAGTTCTTAACCTGAGGTACTATTTCTGGGTTAGCGGAGTCTGTAACCTGAAGCGTATTTAACCTGAAGTGTATGCAACCCGAGGTACCACTGTATTGTACAAATTCTTTACATTTTTTTATATTATTATTATTATTATTTTGCTTGTCAGCACCCATCTCCTGCTCTTGTACTGGGAGGAAAAGGTGGTATGTGATTTAAATAAATAAATAATGCTTGTGGAAAGGGAGTAAGTTTAGTGGGACTTGTGAATTGGCAAGGATTGTCTGTTAATATGCATGTGAACATACAATGGGCAATTAGTGTATTTTTTCACAATTCTGCTGTCTTGCTCATCGTTACATTGTTAAGCAAGTGTTTCTTTCTCTTTTAGCCTACAAGCTGGACGGCGTGAACGTTCGTGGCTATGTTGCTTGGTCTTTCATGGATTATTTTGAATGGTTAAATGGTTACGAGCCAAGATTCGGCCTTCACCAGGTTGATTTTGAAAATCCGAACAGGCCAAGAACTCCAAAACGTTCAGCGATATATTATTCTGGAATCATACGTCAGAATGGAATCCCTCTGCCAAAAGAGGAAGAATTCCTTTATGGAGAATTTCCGGAGAACTTTTATTGGAGTGTGGCATCAGCAGCATATCAGGTTAGGCCAGTTGGTCCCCACCCACCAGACCACTTGAAAATCGCAGAGCAGCTTAATGATTTTTCTGCTTCTGGTGGCAATTGCAATGCACTGTGCTAGATGCTGTATGATACTTAATTGCAGTTAATTGCTTCTTTTGTTCCTTACCTGTCATATTTTATTGTACTGAAATTTGAATTCTGTAATATATAAATATAGAGGGACGTGGGTGGCGCTGTGGGTTAAACCACAGAGCCTAGGACTTGCTAATCAGAAGGTCGGCGGTTCAAATCCCCGTGACGGGGTGAGCTCCCGTTGCTCAGTCGCTGCTCCTGCCAACCTAGCAGTTTGAAAGCACACAGTGCAAGTAGATAAATAGGTACCGCTCAGGCGGGAAGGTAAACGGCGTTTCCGTGTGCTGCTCTGTTTCGCCAGAAGCGGCTTAGTCATGCTGGCCACATGACCCGGAAGCTGTACGCCGGCTCCCTCGGCCAATAAAGCGAGATGAACATCGCAACCCCAGAGTCGGTCATGACTGGACCTTATGGTCAGCGGTCTCTTTAGCTTTTACTTTTAATATATAAATATATAAGAAATAAAAGGAGCAACAAGAAGCAATAAAAATGCAAATAAGGATTTAATGGCATGGATGTGCTAGTCTTCAACCACAGATTTGCCGTCATGCCACAGACCACATGAATGAAACTCCAGGTTTAGGTAGTCTATTGCTAGACTGTTGCTTGTTTGTGGAAGCTATTCTAAACCTTCATTTTGTGAATAATATGCCAACTAAGCAAGCTGAATGCTGTCAGGCTTGGGGACCTTGATCATGGTGAATCACTAAGGTGAGAGCCAGGGTGCTGTAGTGGTTAGAGCTGCCTCCTCTCCCCCAGCTGTTGCCCTCCAGATGTTTTGGTCTACAATTCCCAGCATCCCTGACCATTGGCCAGTCAGCTTGTGGCTGAGGAAGTTGTAGTCCAAAACATCTGGAGGGCACCGTGTTGGGGAAGCCTGGATTAAAATGGTGGACTAAGGTTGGCAAGACCCTAGTTCAGATTCCTACTCAGCCGTGAAGCTCACTGGGCAACCTTTGCCTAGTCACTCTCAGCCCAACCTACTTCCACAAGGTTGTTGTGAGGATAAAAACTGAGGCTGGGGCATGTATGTTGCCTTGAGCTGGGATACAAATGTGAGAAATGTTTGTTTCCTTAAAGATTGAAGGGGCATGGAGAGCGGATGGGAAAGGTCTCAGCATTTGGGACCAGTTTGCACATACGCCTTTGAAAATCAGCAACGATGAAAATGGAGATGTAGCTTGCGACAGCTACCACAAGATGGAGGCAGACTTGGCTATTCTGAAGGACCTCCAGGTGACTCATTATCGCTTTTCCATCTCCTGGACTCGCATTCTTCCCGATGGGACCACCAAGTACATTAATGAAGCTGGCCTGAAATACTATGAAAGGCTTGTGGATGCTCTCCTTGCGGCCAATATCCAGCCTCAGGTAAATGATTGGAGTTCTGCACGCAGGGGAAAAGGTGTAACATACGTTATCAGTCTGATTTTTAATTAGATTATGTTTATCAGTGTTCACTGTAGAACCTGGCAATATCTTCAATTCTCAGACATCTTCAATTAGCTTGTGTTAAATGGTCAGAGACCATTTCATAGAGGCTGACACAAATGCATGCTGCCATATTCTAATCAGAGGAGTCACTTATAAGCTCTACCTATTTTAAACTTGTGCAGAAGATAATGTGGGCTCAGGGTATTTATATAGGATTTAACAATTATGAAATCTGCCATGGTTTTTAAGAGAGCAGAGAATGCAGTGTCTTTGCTCCAGAAATCTAAGTTTCTGCATTGGATTTCTTCCAAGTATCCACAAGGAAGTAGAATAAACTTTTATCAGGAATTCATTGTCCGCTCCCAGACTGTAGCCTTTTTCTGGACACCATTAGGCATGGCAGGTCCCATCTGTGTTACACCTTCCAGGTCATGCCGCAAGAACTTCTGAAAATACATCCCATATTGTACTCCTTTCTTGATTCTCGCTTTCTTTGACTGAATGAGGGTTCAGGGAAAGGTGGAAAAGGGAGAACTGAAAATGTTACGTTCAAAGTCTTGATAGCCTTGTAAAAGGTGTTGTTAATCCTCACGTGTTTTCTGGAACTAGTTTGCTTTCTGACCATCACAATCCAGGAATTGTTGTTGAGTTACATGTGGTAGATCTGCATAAAATGGCTGACTGTGCCTAATAGTTAAATAATGGACAAACTTCACATTTAGCTTTACTTTTGCATGCCCCCCCCAATTGCATTGCCCCTGTTTCCTACTACAATTAAGTGGTTGGTTATTTTGACAAAATGGCAGGTGTTTGTGAATGTCTTGTCTCCATCTCTAGGTAACTATATACCACTGGGACCTCCCTCAGGCCCTTCAAGATGTTGGAGGGTGGGAAAATGAGACTATAATCCAGAAATTTAAAGATTACGCAGAGATCCTTTTCCAAAGATTTGGAGAGAAGGTGAAATTCTGGATAACCCTGAATGAGCCCTATGCCATTGCTAACATTGGTTACGGTTATGGAGTCTCAGCTCCAGGTAAGGTGTAGGTTCTCATTGGCAAGAGCAATGCTCTGCAGAACCAAAGGACACTGATGATCTGACCTTGTGTGGTTATTTGTGAGAACACAGCTTTGTGATAGATGCCCAGTGAAAGTGGGAGACAATCTGATGCCTTTCTTGAAGGTGTCTCCTGGTTGAAAGCCAAATTGCCTAGAACTATTGAGAAACGCTATCAAAATGCACCATTAATTGCTGCTTCAGCTGAGTCCAGTGCTGCAGAATAATGCACTTCCAATCATCTTGTCTTCTTAGGCATCTCTGCCAGACCAGGCCGAGCCCCTTACATAGTGGGCCACAACTTGATCAAGGCCCACGCAGAAGTATGGCATCTTTACAATGAAACATACCGCCCAAAGCAAGGAGGATTGATCTCTCTTTCCATCAGCGCAGAGTGGGCTGAACCCAAGAACCCTGCCAAGCAGGAGGACCTCGACGCTGCCAGGAGATATGTCCAGGTAATGTGATGACTCCACAGTAAACTTCTGTGTACCAGTTGCTGGGAAGAGTGCTGTTGCACTCAGGTTCTGCTCACAGGTTTCCCTTTGGGGCTTCTATGGGGACAGAATGCTGGACTAGGTGGGCCTTTAGCCTCCTCAAGTAGGCTCTTGTATTATGTCCTTAACTCTGCTTCAGAGACTCAGCAAAACAAGATGTCAATCCTTCTAAAGGACCCATGGTGTTGATCCTTGGGCACCATATTTCATCTGAACACTCAAATCATAATGTTCACCACGATCCTGACCAGTCAGCTGCCATTGTTTGGATACCTTGGGGGGTGTTGCACTATCCTTTAAAAACAAACACTTGGAGACAGGGATGAGACTTTGCCTTTTGGGTCAGTCTGATGAACTGGTAACTATTGGTTCAGCCAAGAGACCTGTTGCCAAAGCGTTGCTTAATAAGCATCCCTTTTTATTTCCCTGTTGTAGTTCTTTGCTGGTTGGTTTGCTCACCCTATCTTCAGAAACGGTGACTATAGCGAGGTGATGAAAAGGAGGATACAAGAGAGAAGTGTTGGCCAATCGCGGTAAGTGTCTGGCGGGACTAACTGCAGCAGCTGGACCACAACCACGGGTGGTCCATACTGTTGGCTCATGTCACTTAGAAGCGATTCTTTCTAAATTGTTGAAATAAAAATAAACCACACGTTTTGAAGGGCCACCCTGGCTGTGTCCAAGAACAAATCTATCCTCCCCAAAGTAGTTTTCCTCTGCTGCTGTTTTCCTCCTGGTGTGCACTGCCCTCTTCGCTTAATGCCGCAGGCAATCAGCAGCTAAAGCACAGTTGTGGGTAAACTCCCCTTGAAACAGAACCACCCTATATTGAAAGTTCCTTCTCCTACATCCAGGGTATGTTCAGAGCCTGTAATACTGTAGTACAGCAAGGGAGCAGGAAAGGGTGATGATTGAGACAAAGCAGGGGACTAGTCTTTTAGAGTACCTGCTCTTTGAATAAGGTGAAGTACATGTGGTCATCATTACTGTTCATGTTAAAATTTCCAGCTACCAGCTGTTGCTTTTAAAAACAATACTTTCGCTCTGAATGACAGTGCCCTGTTTTTTTAAAAAAGTAAGTATGATGATAATTGAAGCTTTCCCTTTTGTTAAATGCATCTATGTGAGCCTCTCTCCCATTTTGTGTGTGTTGCAGACTCCCTGAATTTACTGAAAGTGAAAAGCAGAGGATTAAAGGCACCTTTGACTTCTTTGGTTTGAACCACTATACAACAGTATTGGCATCCAACTTAAACTATTCTTCTCTCTTTACATCCTACGATGCTGATAGGTAAGGTGTGAGCATGACTTCATACTGCATCAAAGCATGCATACTTTTCTGGAATCTGTGCTTTCACTCTGTGCCTAATAATCTTGGTTGGGCAGGCTGCAGCTGATGGAAATTGTATACCAAAACATCCGGAGGGCATCAAGTTGGTGATCTACTAGAAAGTTTTAAGGCTGAGTACCCATTTTCCTCTCTAAGCCCAGTGCATTGCACACTGCATCACACTTAAGCCCCCAACAAAAGAGGTTACTGCTGACCAGTCTTCATGATTGATATCTAGCTGACTTTAATGGATCAATACAAATAACCTTTCCCCACATTATTATCATGTTCTTTTTTGCAGGGGTGTTGCCTCTATAACAGACCGCAGCTGGCTGGGCTCTGGTTCCTTTTGGTTGAAGGTGACCCCTTTCGGCTTCAGGAGGCTCCTGAAGTGGATCAAGGAAGAATACAATGACCCACCTATTTATGTGACCGAGAATGGGATTTCAGAGCGTATAGACGGGGGCTTCAATGATACTTGGAGAATACACTATTTAAGGAGTTACATCAATGAAGCTTTAAAAGGTACGTGGTTTCCTCTCTGCATGGTTCCCAATCACCCCCCAAATGTTTGTGACACATGGATTTAAATTGATCTGTGATCCTCTGCCCTGCCCTGCATTCCTTGCAACAGAGTTGGTGGTAAGGCCCTTCTGTGCCTGTATCTGCATAGGGCTGGGCAGAAAGCAAGACTGGTTTCTAGTGTGGGAGTTGAAATGTCTTCTGGAGCTGCCCCAGGACTTTCACTTTCTATTGACTTCAGGAGTGAAAGACTAGTCTGCAGAATCAAGACAGAATATGTTGCTTAATTCCCATTGACACAAGATCATACTCTTACGCCGGATTAAGTCCTCTAAAATGGTTACCACTGTCTGGTTTCATTGTTGTCATCGCCAGTAAATATGAAGACATGAGAAAAAAATCCATTAATTGACAACTTTTTGATCACCCAGATTGTGGATACAAAAAGAATTTGGGATTTTTAAGGTGCAGCCAATCTCTGTTAGGAATGGATACTTTGTAAAGCACCTAGTGTTAATAAGGGGTCTTTGGTTTTCACTCCCTGTTGATCATTAAAGTATAGTGTAAGCATGTATAGGGCTGCATTTTAAAACTCTTCCCCCCACCACCTTAACAGGAATTGTACTTGATGGTGTTGATCTGCGAGGCTACACTGTATGGAGCCTGATGGATAATTTTGAATGGGCAGTGGGCTTTGCTGAAAGATTTGGGTTGTATTACACCAACTTTACAGACCCAAATCTATCCAGAATTCCAAAAGAGTCTTCAAAATATTATTCATCTATCATCCGGTGTAATGGCTTTCCTGATCCAGCCACTGGGCCTCATTTGTGCCTTGAGTCACAATCTGGAGGTAGGTAGATTACTAATTGCGGAGTTAGGTTATTTTTACTGTACCACTTCATGGATTTTCCTAAATGTTTAAAACTTTTAACTTCGCTTTTATAGAAAACTTGCATATCGTGTTAATGACATCTGATTCTGGAAAGTAAGGTGGTATATGGTAACAGAAGTTGGCTGTGTAAGAAAAAAATCTTTGGTGTAATGTCCTTAAATGATTTAGTCTAGATTTTTACAGAAAAGTTGGCCGAATGGCCTGAATGTATTTTGGAAGGCTGGAGAAGCAAGTAAAAAAGATTTAAATGGGGGTGATCAGAAGGTACTCCCTGCTCATAGTGTCATTCATGTGAATTTCACTTACATTTCTAGGTACTACTATGGCGCCAACAAGCAGCAGTGCTCGGCCTATCGACAATTCAGCCATGAAGGTGCAGTTTTTGGGACTGGACTTGACTTTGTCTAATGCAGAAGTAGGCCTTTATGTACTCTTTTCCCTATTCTTAATGTCTGTGCTAGGCATTGCTCTTTTTTCATATCTTTATAGAAAAAGGACCAAAAAAGCCAGCCAAAACAGTTTTTAAATATTGCAGCTTGCATTTAATTAGTTTATCATGCGATAGTTTTTTCTTCTGCCCATGTTTAGAACAGGCACACAATTATTTTAATCAGTGCTTTTTTTCTAGCAAAAATAGGTGCCGGTACTCAGCATGAAGTTGTTACAGTAAGTGCTATACTTTTTAAACAACAAGAAGAGGTGCTGGTACGGCGTACCCTTGAATACTCCCTGAAAAAAAGCACTGATTTTAATACCTATTGTTGACGTTAATATTTTTATTGCTTGAATTGTTACGTGCAGTTCACCCTGGGAATAAGGGGTGGGGACAATTTTAAAATAAATGAACAAGTTGATAACATATTGCAAAGTGTCAAGTTGGTATCAGAGAACTTCCAAATAAGGATGATACAGACGACTTCTTTTTTTGAAAACCTTTATTTGAATGCTCTGAGATTAAAAACTACCAGTATAGTCTTGTAGTTGCAGAAGCACTAAAGGGGAAAAAAATAAGTTATCCAATTTGCAAGGTATTATGCTTCTGCTAGTCAGACTCTCTTGTTTTAATCTGGGCTTCCGATTTGTTCCAAGATTTATATAGATTAAAAAGTGCCTTCAGATGACAACAGGGCTAGTTAGTATGAAATTCTGAAAGCTGATGGAAGATGGGGATTTTTTTACATTCTTTGAGCTTTTGGCAGTAGTTACAGTTGCAGTATCCAGCTACACAATTAACACCTTATTCCATGTGCTATGACAGGAATATGGCATAATGCAGGCAGCATACTCATACAAGCCCACTTGTGCAGCAGAAGGATTAAACTAAATCAAAGGGGGAAATCAATGATTACTATGCACAGTTTACTCATAAAAACTACATCTGTTGGGTTGAATTTCCATTCCAAGTATTGTTATCATCTTCTCCATCATCCTGAGTTCTCAGTCTATAGATTTTGCCTTCTTTTTTGAATTCTTCACCCCGCTTTTCCAATACTCGTTTCCTGACTGCTTGTCTAAATAAAAAAGAAATGCAGTTCGAGATTAAATCCCTACAGTGGCAATGTTTTCTAGACGTCAGAAGGTACCATTCATTCAGCTCCTGATTCAATTCTAGCACCCCTCCACCCTTCTAACAATTGCCTTGTACAGGAGAAGTAACTGGATAATTTGATTCAGTTCACATTAATACCTCTTTCAGTGTACAAAATGTAGTTTTTATTTCTTTCAAAATGCACCCTAGAGTGGATTCAGCTGAAGAACAGAGGGAATGTCACCTATGAATGACTATAGTGCACTGACATGTTTGCTGCCAGTTCCAGACCATCACTTCCTGGCTCATGGTAATATTAATCTGGCACATTCACAAAATGTAATCTTAAATGCTCCTGGATGCATTTCAGAAGCTATCTTTCTGGCAGCAGCTGGCATGGAAATCCAAACTGCTGTTTCAGAAAGAAACCCTACCAAGTGAAGATGGCCAGGGAGCATGCAACACATTGTGTATTCTTATTGCTTACTCCTACACTGCTATTTGTAATCGCCCATCAAAAAGTAGATTCGGATTAGAACATGGTATCCTGTCCATAGAAGCCAGTTTGAGCCACTGATATGCTAGTTATTCATGTAGAGTTTCTCTGTATCCCAGCCTAAACAAGGGAAAACCCTGTCTTTCTCCCAAGCCCTTGCATCTACCAGAGGGAGTGAAAAACAATAATTTAAGAACACTTGTCAGTCCTACCTGCTTGATTCTGCAGTGTTCGATGCTGAAGGGTTTGAGTGATCCTGCTGATGAGGTCTTGCAGTAGGCTGGGAAGGAGGAGGATTCGTAAACAGGAAGTTGCTAATAAATCGCCAAACAGCTATGAGTGGATAAAGGATAGTACCCAGGAATCTCCAAAAATCTCCACTGGAAGACTGGACAACTGCTGTTGCTGGCCTTCCTGCCTGTTTGAAGGTACAAAACAAACAGGACTGAAAACTGGACTCTAGAAAAAACTCCATAAATACACGAGGTTATTCCAAGAAGTAATATTGAATGGTTGTAAAACAGTTCATGGCACAATTTGAATACCTCAATAATCTTTTCCATAAAGCACACTTACCGGCAACAATACTACGGAAGCACTTGGGGCAAGTTCCAGGTCCACTAATTTTTTCCCATAATCATCTTTGGTAAATTCCCTCCTGGGGAACATTGTCGCCAATGAGAAATTGCCATATGTGTTGCCAACTGTCTGTAGTAGAACAAATCAGGTAAGTACTTTGTATTCCCCTTAAAATTTAGAAATAAAAATGGGAAGGACCTTTAACCATGAAATGCAGAGCTTCATCTCAACATAAGTTATTTCAAAGGGGGAAAACAACACTCTTAATTTACACATGGTATCTGTGCCCAACACCTACTATTTTTGTCTTCTGAAGACACAGGACCCAAAAATTATGCAAGAGGTATGCCAGTTAGGGCAAGTTTGAGGACACCTGGAAGCATCCTATTTTGTGGCCAGACCAAAACGAGTAGTGACATGATAAGGTTGTAAAACTTTCATTTAGTTTAACAAATATTCTCAGAACAGTTTACAATTGTTCAGATATTAGGGTAGTTAGCTTGTGTACAAGATGCAAATTGGTGCACACAGAGTCCCCATTTCTCAACTGCCCTTACCACAGTGTGAAATAAACTGAAGACCAGATCACTTAGCTGCTTGTGGTTTGTAGTTGTGTTAATGCAGCTGACCCACATTTATGGTCAATGTTATGCACTAACAAGATCAATAACTGGCATCTTTAAAACCCTCCCAAGCATTGAGACAAAGGGCCAAAGCTGCCACCTGTTTTTTCCTCAAAACGTTCCATCTTTCTCTCAAAACTCCTGAAGAGATTATGGTAACTATACATACATGATCTTCTATAACTTGAAAATAAAACAAATCCTCATTTACCTGTGCAGCAAATTGTCTGGCTTCTTCCAACGGGGCATCCGAAGGGAAACTATTGGTAAAAGAGGATCCATCTGGAAGGCGAAACTGAATTCTTGCCATAGCACTAGGGAAAATATATCAGTTTAAGAATGAATTTTAAGAACAGCTTCCATCACTTAAGTTCCTTTAAATGCTTCACTCATATACCAGGGGATATTAGAGAGGAAGAGTTCATCAACTGCATTTATTTTTAAGTTAGATCAAATTATTATTTGACATCTCCTTAGCAGCAGTAGCACACTAAGAGAATATACAGAATACAGAAGAAACATGCTCTCAGCTGAGGGTTTATCGTTTTACAAAGAGAGGGCCAAGAAGGTTGATTGTATGGGCTGATAAAGGAGTGAGACAACAAAGCAAAAAATGCATGGTGCTACAATAAAGGAGGAAGGTGGTGTGTACAAGGTGAAGGGAATGGGAAGAGTTGGATGAAGGCATGAAAAAGAATTCACCTTCTTTCCCTCTGTGATGCTTCCTTCCTGGCTTCCATTTCAACCAGCTTAGCTTGGAGAGCAGCAGCTTTTGCAGCTTCTGCTTCTTCCTTGGACCTTGCAAAACGAGCTGCTCTTTCAGCACGATCCTTCATAAGAGGACAAAGACATTCACTACATGTTACCATGGCCCAGTCGAGGCTATTTTAATCAGTGCAGTCTCATGGAAAGAAATTACTACCAACCAACTTGTATGTGGTGAGGGACATAATTTGTTCTCATTTATTATATTCAATAAACACTTAACCTTCACATGCCATCTTCATGCTAAACCACGCTTTACCATGCCATGAACGAGCCTAGGTGAGTCTTAGATTTGCCCTCTCCCTCCTCCCTCTGTGCAACTGGGAATAGGAGTTTGGAAGCCTTGTTTATCCATTGTGTTTGAACTGACAAACGATTGGTGGCTTCGGCAAGGTGTGCGATTGTCAGCGGCAGCCAGGCAGATAAGCGATTGTCAGCAATCCCCCCCACCCAAAAAAACTCAACAACTCTGAGCAATCTCCCCGTTTCCTTAATTTGAAGTCCCAAAGAATAGGGGTCGTCTTATACATGGGGGCGTTATACACGGGAAAATAAGGTGTATTGAAGGTCAATTTGCTAAGAACTTACTTTTTTCCAAGAAGCTCACCTAATAAATCATATATACTGTACTAATAGAGATTTCAGTTATTTGAGTGATGCTCCATATTCAACACACAAAGGAGTATCAGAAAAATGAGTGAGAGTGAAATGCTGACTGGCCGGTGGGGGGTGGGGATAGGAAACTGGAGAGAGGGGAAGACGGTGGACAGGAATAGAGTGGCCTACATCCTGAACAGAGAGCACTCCACTATGCAACACTTTGTTGAAGGCCCCCTTGTAACAGATGACTTACCATTTGAATCTGCTGTCTGATGCGCTCCCTAGCAGCTCTGTCTTCAGCCTTTTCTCTGTTCCTTTCTTCCAGTATTCGCTTTGTAAGTTCTTCTTCTTGTTTCCTTTTGTACTCCAACATATCTTTTCCACTTTTTCTTCTTTCTACTTCTTTCTTGATTTCCTTCTGAGTGAAAAGAGAATACACCTTTCCTATGCTTTTAAAGGGATGCGGGTGGCGCTATAGTCTAAACCACAGAGCCTAGGGCTTGCTGGTCAGAAGGTCGCCGGTTCGAATTCCCACAATGGGGTGAGCTCCCATTGTTCAGTCCCAGCTCCTGCCCACCTAGCAGTTTGAAAGCACGTCAAGTGCAAGTAGATAAATAGCTACCGCTCTGGCAGGAAGGTAAACAGTGTTTCTGTGTGCTGCTCTGGCTCACCAGAAGTGGCTTAGTCATGCTGGCCACATGAGCTGGAAGCTGTCTGCGGACAAACGCCAGCTCCCTCAGCCATAGAGCGAGATGAGCACACAACCCCAGAGTCCGCGACTGGACCTAATAGTCAGGGGTCCTTTTACCTTTACCTATCATATAAATACACAACTAATTTAAAATTTTCCTGAAAATTAGTTTAATAGAAAATTCCCGGACATTAAAAGAGAATGAAATTGCTGCTTTAGCCACCTGATAATTGTTATTCCAGCAAGCCTATTCATATAATTAAATATTATTTTTGGGGGGGGATATGTATTATTGATACTCATATTATTTTATGTACAGTATTTATTTTATTAAGCAGCTTATACGTTTTTCAAAATAAAAATAAAATGCAACATTATAAATTCAGTTACACTCTACCTGTTCTTCTTCTTTCTTTTTCTCTTCTCTTCTTTCTTCAAGTTTTTTTGTCACTCTAAATTTAGAAGAATACAAACACAAGGTGAAACCTTATTTCTGTGTGGGGAAGTGCACATCAAAGTGTTATACATGACTCTGCCAAAAAACAAAACCACCCAAAACTGAAAGGCAGTATATTATAATACAGCAATTCTGCTTTCCAACAGCAGTTCTATTACCATTATTAATTTTATATTTATTAAATTTCTATACTGCCCTTTATCCAAAAACAACAGGGCAGTTTACAATATAAAAACACAAAAATATGTATCATAATAACAAGCAAAAACAATAACTCAGTATTATCATTTATCAAATTTTCAGTTGCATAAAGTACTTCCTTGCCTGCACTGCCAAATACACAGGCCTGGTGAATTAACTTTAGTATGACAGAAAAGGGGTAAGAACTTTGCCATGAAGATGCATAAACTAGAAAACTGTGGGTAAAAAACAACACCTGCATTCTGTGCTGTTGCAAAGCTGGAGAAGGGTTGGCTGGCAGCAAATAACAAAGCATGAGAGCCTGTCATAGACCTAGAAGACGTTCTGCCAAAGAACAGGTTTCAAAAGGCGCTTAAAAAGATCTGGACTGTTTCGATGGGTAATTTAAACTGCATTGTAGCTCTGCACTACAGTTGAGAAGTGCAATCCAGATGACAGATCAGTGTAATTTTGCAGATCAGTGTAATTTTGCCTTCTCCTGTGCTTTTCACATTCTCTTGAAATGGCTTCTTCTCACACTATCTGCCTTTTAAGCCTTGGCTTGATGATTTGGCCCTTAAGTCAGACTCTAGAAGTAATAAGTAATGATAAATGGTGGCAATCTCCTCTTGAATTGATGCAGTCTGATAGTTATGGATGACACAGTTATTACAGGCAGTCTTGTGCTTGCCACACAGTCCCATCTTTTCTCTGTGTGTGTTTGTATGTTGGAAAAACGAATGAGAGTGCATGTGTGTGGCTGGCTCTGACCATGAAAACTGCCAGACAATCCTCAACTGCTTTCCCACTGCTGCATGCAGCCCTCAGGGCTCAAGGCTGCCTAGCCCTGCTTTCTAGAATAACCAGAAAGTCTGCAAAAAACATACCTTTCTACTTTGGCTGTAAGGTCATCTGTAGTCTGCGATTCCGCCCTTCCGTCACTTTCCACATTTGTCTGGTCCAAATTTACTTCACCTTAAGTAGTTTAGAAATAACAGGTAAGTGAAAAGAAGGAGATGGGAAAGGGAAAAGTATCAACATTTTACCATCATAAGCAATTGCTGTATGAACTCTTACAAAATATTGTTATCATGCCTCTATGAATATTAATGATCCAAACTAGCTCACTATTTAGGATAAAGAACATCTTCAGCTGCTTCTGCACAAAGTTGATATTCTGAATACTTCAACTTTGGATCCAGGTTCTTCACAACAGTTAAGCAATTAACATAGTTTCAGATATCCTTTGCCTAATTAACGCACTGAATTGCTCATTCTCAGCAAGGCCAGTAGCGTACCTGACAGCACTACAACCTCCACTTCACCTGTCTCTGTACCACTCTTTCCTTGTGTTAGAATGAGCAAGGCATGGCTGGCCCTGTCCTGTTCTTGATGCACCCCTGAAGAAACAACTGCAGATGAGAAAGCGTGGCAGGGACGAGCAGCAGTTATGGAGGGGAATGAAAAAATACTTAAAAGGTAGTAGCATAATGAGGCACACACAAAAATGGTAATCACTTAAAGGAGGTCTTTCCCATCCTTTACTTTTTCAACCATTTTAACTCCATATGTAAATACTAATCTTGAATGTAGGCAGCTACACATACTTACCAGCTGAGGATACACTTAGCCTTTCAGGCTGTGCTTCAGCAAGCTCAGCTGTTTGGGACTGAGAGTCCTCTGTGATGCCATTTAAAGATGAGGAACACGGCACAGAACTTTCCATTGCTTCATTTTTTAACGTGTGCATCTAAGGAAGAAAGAAGTGTAGATATCAGTAAAAGGCTGTAATTCCAGAACTTTTGCTTTTTAAGCCATTTTCTAAATCAAAGTGAAAACAACTGCTAGGCTTCAAAGTACAAAACTGATGCTCATGTAGCCTAATCTACAAATAGTAAGCTTAAGAGTGCACTTTGTATGATACTAATACATGGTGAAAGGAGCAGAAACATGGCTGCATGGCTGTCAAAGGCCCTGTTTGACTGCAGGAAGAAAAAGCAACTATTATTTTATGGATGACTTCACTTTCAAGAGTAGTGTGTAGCTAAAGATCTCCTGAAATGAGTACAATAACCCTTCTATTGACAGAGGGAGAGGGAGAAGGAAGCAAAATATGTCATATATTACTATTTCTTAATGTGAGAACAAGTCGTTTTGTTTGCACTGTTTTTCTCTGATGTTGTTTTATATCTCCGGAAAATTGGTGTGTAGCACAGCTCTGTCCCCTCTTTTAGCAGTTGTAGAATGAGAAGAGAGTTCTATAACAAAATTCCAGACCACTTAACTACAAGTCACCAAGTCAAGGAGCCTTGAATATAACAATCAAATTAGTATATAATATTATCCCACAGGCAGAGACTGAAGGCAAACTACTATCACAGGGGTTGATAAGGAAAGATACAACATTTAGAAAAAGATGCTTGAATAGCATATGCCCTGGTACACACTTAAGAGGCAGCTAGGATTAAATAAAAAGCTAGGGTCACCACCTGGCCTAATCTTATGGAAAACTTAATCCAAATTACCAGTTTGTCAGTTTGCAGTAAAATAATCATCATAAAAGTGCCAGTGGGAGGTGTGGACAATAGTTCTATGCCATGTCTCAAGACTAATTACAGTAGCACCTCGGCTTACATTACCCTCGGGTAACGTAAACTTTGGGTTGCAAAAGCGGCAAACCAGTGTTTCACCACGCGCGCATGCGCAGATGCGCTCTACCACACTATGTGTATGCACAGAAGCGGTGACTCCTGTTGCGGAAACCTTGGGATCCGACCAGAGCTCCAGAACGGATCCCACCCACAACCGGAGGTACCACTGCATAGCCTGATCTTAAAGGGGCAAATGAAGGGAAACACATGTGACCTGACCTTTCTCGCTGCATTAAAAAAAGGGTGAGAAACAAGTACATTTCAGGAGTGTTTTTCCCCCCCAATGATTAAGCCCATCAAGAAAAATGTCTTCTAGAAAAGGTCATTATTGCTCTATTAGTACATTTCCAACTTGGTACATAAAACTGGCTTAATTTAGCATAACTATAGTATGATTAAATATTCTTTCATCAAGCAAGAACATATAGAATTCACAATTCTATAGGCATACTGACACAGTGACCTTTTCCGCCTGTAACCCATTCAACAGGAACGAGCTTTTAAACATTTATTTCACTATGCTGAAAAACCAGGTCGGTCACTATTTCTTACCTGCTTGACTTTATGAATTCTTGTAACAAGTTCCTCTGCAGAAACGCTGCCAGCAATCACTTCCAACGGGACTCCATTGTCTCCTATAAAGAAACTGGATGGAACACACACTACAGGATCTATGCAGCAATAGTAAAGGACAACATCTCAATTGTAAGGAAGGCAAAAGTAAATTGGAAAAGAAACATAAATGCAAATGATTATAAGTTATTGCAAACAGCTGAGCAAAGCATATATTGAACTAGTGCCCCTCAGTGAAATGGGGGAGACAATTTTTGACAGTTTCCCCTTCTTTCCAAATATAGGGGCCTTCTGAAGCCGATTAGGGGTGTGTAGGGCTAGAGAAGAAAGAGGAGTAGCTTAAAAGTGTCTGCCTTCTTGATCTGCTGACAGCACCTTTTATCAATGATGGGACACCAACTGGATGCCACCTATAGCAAACTGATGCTACCAGTACAGAAATATCTGAATTCCCCATGGAAAATTTAAGTGATACCAAGCCCATCACTTTTCTGCTGCCTCACCCCTCTTCTCCCAGCTCTAAAGAAATGTGTCAGATTATCATGGAGATAGTTTGCACAAAAATATTTTGAATGAAAACTGAACACAAGTTAGAAGGATCACTTCTAACCTCAAAGCATACACCTCTTTTGTTTTTAAGTGGCATCCTCTGTGAGCCACATCTTGAGATTCAATTAAATCACATGGGCAGTAGTTCATGGTCAAATATTGCTTTGGTCCTACCCTGATGGATCAGCAAAGATTCATTTAGCCCAGCTTAGTTTTCCTAACAGCAGCCAGTCAAATCCCTCTGGCAAACTCATAAGCAGGACCATGAAGAAAACAGCTTTTCCCATGATTTGTCTCTGTCATTGGTACTCAGAAGTAAATTGCCTCTGTACACCAAGGTAGTAGATGCTATTCTACATGTCTTAGTCTAATCGTTTTGGCATCAACTAACATTCCACACACAACATGTTTTGGTAGTGAAGCTCAAAAGTCAATAGCATGGTGGGTTTTATTTGTTTTTCATTGCTCCTAAATTTACTGCAAATCAACTTGTTGTAAAAAAAAATTGAAGATCTATCTTCAGTTTGGTCACACTGTTTTTCTGAAATGGTGCTCATGACAGATAGTTATTCAATAAACCTTAGCCAAGATGGTTACAAGTAGAACAACCATCCCAATCATGGTGCTGTTTCATGCAAGCTGTTTTCTTCATGGAACAGCACCCTCAAAGTCCCGGTTTTTCAGTATATACCATATCACTATATAAACAATTAAGAAAAGCACAGGATGAAAAACCAGAGATAAACCCCCAGTGAGGAGAGCCAGAAATGACTATGGTTTTGATGCCTCTCTGTTGAGAACAGTAATACAAAATTATTACCTATTATTATTATTTACAATATTAGGAAGTGGAGGCGAGAAATACAAGGGGTGTTTCACTTTCACATACTTAGGCTTAGTAGTCAGTTATAGTAACCAGGAAACTCTGCCAAAGGCTTCAGGAAAAGGTGGGTTTGAAGATGCGTTTAGATGGAGTAAGAAAGGTGGCATCACACAGGTATTCTAGAAGGAAGTTCCAAGCATATGGAGCAGTAAAGGAGAACAGACAGAATCTCCTGAGGGAGGAGATCCTGTAGTTTGCACCATACAATAACAAAGCCCATAAATGAACATCTGAGTCTGAAATGATTCAATTTATTATATTTTGTTCAAGGATACAGATTTGGGAGAACTGCAGGCAGGCTTCACTGTGTAGAAAAAAGTATCAAGTTTAGACAATCACACTAATACGAAATGTCATAAAATAATCAGTTACATTGTTATTGTATATCTAACTGTTTAAAAGTCTTGCAGGATCACAACAAATTATTTTTTATTTCTCTGAAACACTACACTGAAATTAACTTACATAAAACAGTATGCAGATTATACAGTGGCTCAGTTCATATGTAATGTTATGCTAAACCATGGGTTAGCACAAATTATGGGCTCCAGGAAAGGAGATCATGGCTGCTTTATTCCTTCTCCAGTCCTGTGAGTTAAGCCAGGCATAGGCAAACTCGGCCCTCCAGATGTTTTGAGACTACAATTCCCATCATCCCTGACCACTGGTCCTGTTAGCTAGGGATGATGGGAGTTGTAGTCCCAAAACATCTGGAGGGCCGAGTTTGCCTATGCCTGAGTTAAGCCATGGTTTGGCTTAGGTGTCATCTGAACATGGGTTCATGGTTTGTCTCCTCCAGACTTTAAAGTCCTCCTGAAAGTATTATGGCTTTTAATTTTCAAAGTGAAAAGTATCAGTTGGATCTAATTTTAATGGAGAATGGAGTAGCACAAATATAACGAGAATAAAGTAAACTATTCAGTAAAATATACACTTAGTGTCTAGTTGGATAACAATATTCCACACACATACCAATTGAATTCCCTTCCAAAGTAACTACATATTGATTATACAGAGGTCTCTTTAAAAGTAAATTACTACTAACAACAAAAACAACAGTAAAAGAAGTTGCCAAACCTTTGGGTATCTATTTTAATAGCTACAAAGCCATCTGTTGCTGCCTCAGTCACTTTCTCATTCTCCCAGCTGGCAGCCATCTCTATGGACTGTTCATCATCCCCTGCGAAAAACAAGAAGTCTTCTTCACAGATGTAAATATAGATTAATTACAGATTACAGCATACTAGAAATGCAATGTTTATAACTTTAGGGCAAGGATGATCACACAACTACAGAGTTGGGATAGACCCAAAGATAGTATAACCCACTTACCAGGTGCCAACGGCTCAACTTTAAAAAAAGACTCTAGACCCAAAAGTGTCACAAACAGACAGCAGGTGCAAGATATGCAAAACCAGCAGCTCCAGATGACCCAAACGAGAAAGACAAGTGACATATAATTATGTAAAGGGGGTGCAACATCAACATGCAGTGCTCCACAAAACAAGGGTCTCTCACAGTTTGGTGTTCATTTAAAACATTTTCGGATCACGTGATCAAAAGATTGTGTTAGAAATATGACTGATAATTACATCAGGAGCTGCAATAGATCAACTTGTATTTGTTATTTTATTAATTTACATATGAAAAAATTATAACTATTCTGTTTGCAACTGCTAACTCATTATGTTCCAGCAAATAAATCTTTCACCACTCTCTAAAAGGCTAATAGCTAGTATTTATTTTATAATCTGTCAATCCTATGATTTTTAAAGGACAACAAAGTGGCCAAACAATGCACCAGCTAGAAAACTGTAACATTTTAGAAGCAATTTAATGGATAATTTCTGCCTTTGAAACACTTATTCATATAGCAATATAAAAGCATACATATTCATGTGCAATTATTGTAAAAGCAAAGTAATAATTTTTAACAGAACAGAGCTATAACAACCCATATAGAAAGACTGCTGACAATCTGCAATGTTCCCCCTAATGAAATTAGGCATGAAGTGTTCATTTATATTTTCATCTATGATAATTCACAATTTCAGCAACTGAAAGAGGGCAGAATTTGAAAGAGAATAATTATTGCCAGTTTAAAGGAGCAAGGGAACGATTAGCAGCTCTTCATAAGTGAAGTAATCAAATATAAGTTAAGTGGTCTGGAAGAGTCTTCTATACCTTCATTCACCCACTATCTTAAATCTAAATCCATTTGTTACTGATGCAATGTTTCTCTCTGTCTGAGATCCTAATGCGTCAGCCAGACTATATCCTAAAAGTTCAAGCTACCAATGTTATACATAGCAGTTCCTCCTACTTCCAGCAATATGATCTATGCATGAGATTACTCCTGTACTTCAGATACACACACACATATATATTAGCTTTCAGCCTGAGCTTTCCCTGGCCCATAAGATTAGACCCTATTTTTGTTTGTTTGAATTCCCTGAATTTGTGTTTTTATATTTTTACACAAATCTGGAGTGGATTCCCTAAGGCGGTTGAATGGCATTTTGTACGCCTCCTTCCAGCAACTCCTGCAGCAGAACTGGTGCCAAACGCATTGCTCTTCTTTCCTTTAGATCACATCAGCAAGGCCAAGGTATTGTCATCTGGGCAGCCCAGGTCCCCCATACACACTCCCAGGCTTGTGTACTGGGGAGATCACTTTGGTGCTGCTAACATAGCAGTTTGACTTTACCCCTGGAGACGCACTCCATTGTCTCCCGAGACAGAGGGATGCCAACAACTTTACAGTAATGTGAATGTTTGAAGCAGCACCAGAATCTGGGTGAAACATTACTTAACTCTTGCTCTCCCCTTCTATTTATAACTTAAGATACTATCAGTTACAAAATGATAATTTCTGAGGGAAACCTTCTATTCACTTCAGGGCCCTTCTTCCTTTATTTTCATGGTGGGGGTTCTTTCCTGCACTGCTTAGCCATTAGCATACATGAGAAGTGGGGGATATGCAGGAAGAGCCCAAGTTTCCAGGAGGACTGATGAGTCGGTGCAGTGTGGACCCTTCCCATGGTATCTGCTGCTTTTCACTTCTGTAGTTGAAGCAGCAGGGTTTAAACTTTGAAAACTTATGATAGAAAGTGTGTCTGAATCCCTTATTCATACTTTTGATAGGAACACACTTCTCATTATGTTTCCCCAAGATGCTCTCCAAACTCAAGGACCAGAGTTTTCAGGAAAGAGTGCAAAGCTGAATACAAATACATAGAACAGAACAGAAGGGAAATGATCATAGGTATGTGATCTGATTTAATACTGTTGTTAACCCACTTGCTATCCACTTGACTTCTGAGTAGCATACTGTATCTCATCACTATTTAATACCTAAAGAGCTTTACAACAGAAAAGTCCACCATATTTTCTGTGCAGATACTGATACTTAGTAAAGTACAGTAGTCTGAGAAAGGGAAGGTTACATTTTTTTCAAATTATCTTGTCAATAGGTTAACTTGTATAATTAAACTATGCTTAAGAACAACTCTGCAGTATTGACAGAGGCAGGCACACATAGGAAATAGCTGAGCTGAGCCAATTGCTAGCACAGCTATAATCTGTGTACTCCAGAATCACTTCCCTAGAGAGAACATGGAAAGAAAAATAAAGAGCTTATGTGTGCTGATTTCCCACAAGGATATTCATCATGTGATGTAAAATGCAGCGGACATGCAAGAAACATACCATGCACAAGCTGAGTACTGTTAATTTACAAAATGCTATATAACTGACTTTGCAAAATTTCAATGCTTTTAAGCAATCATTCCATTGTGCCACGATCAATTCTAACAGTTCTGCACTCTTCTAGCTGTTCATGTGTTTTCATCAGTTTGATGATACTGTTTTTGCTTAAGACTGATCATTCTAGTAATTTTCACTTCAAAGATGGCTGCAAAATTTCAGTATTTTAGCTCAGGGATGAGGGAAACTGCAGCCACAAAAATATTGCTGGACTACAGCATCCCTGACCACTGGCTATGCTGGGTGGGCTGATTGTTTTAGGCCAGCGATGTCCAACCAGTAGATTGCGACCTACCGGTAGATCCCTGACTGATCCTGGTAGATCACAGGATCCTTATCGTGTACAAAAAGTTATGGGGGGAAAGCTAAAAAAACCTCTGTGCAATCCTCCCACAAAAAGCTTAACAACTCTGGGCAACCCACCCACCCCACGCACGCTCCTCCTCCAATGACAATCACTGTGAGTTTTTTTATACTGGGAGTAGTTCACAGTCTCTTGATGGACATGCCTGTTTCAGCCTATCCAGTGTTGTGTTAAAATTTGGAAATACTTCAGATCATTAAATTGACACGGATGACTTCAATTCTTTTGAATTATTTACTATATTTATATCCTACCCTCTCTCTAAGCAGCTTTTTGGTGTATCCAAAAAAGCCAACTTTAGGCAGTAAGTCAAACAGTCACCATTTCCAGTTATGGACAATTTTCCAGAGCTGTAGAGCAGTCTACCAACCACAGTCTACCAACCACAACATGCATACCATTACTATCACTATTCAGAACAAAACTGGATGCCATACATTTCCACATTCCTGAAAACCCATTTACTAGAAATGTATTGGTAATAATTTTTGCTGCATAATGTCCAGGAGCTGTCAACAATTGTTTTACAGATGCAGAAAAATATTTCATTCTTTCCTGTTGCCTTGTCAATTAAGATACATCAAATACACTAAAACAGTGAGATTTCAAAATATGTGTGCATATCCTGAAGCTCCACCATTCTATGAAATGCAGGCCATCTCTGTATCAATTTTTAGTGCAACATGAACGTGACTTCCACCACCTATCTCTAAGGGTGCACCCAGAATACTTTCTAATCCTGTGTCACAAGTGGAATGATTGCATACTATAGTGCAAATGAGGAAAGGATATAGGGTTGCATCCAACTATATAGCTGTAAGCATGGAACAACTTTCGCAAGCACAATGGAACTCTGCCTCCCTTTTCTGCCCTAGGGTTTCTCAAATCCTCTAGATCAGATTTTGAGATGATATGAAGGGTGTGGAAATCATTCTGTGCATCCAGTAATTTAGTTGGATAAAACTCTTAGTGCTCTTACAATAAATAAAAATAACGCAGACTGCAGATTCTAGTGCATTCTATTTTAACATCTGTATATGGTACACTAAACAGTTTAACAATCTATTATTTTGGACTCTAGAAAAACAATGACATGTGCAGGCAGATATTTTGCACACTATAATAGAAGAAAATTAATTTTTTATCAGAAGTGTCAAATATACTGGAGGAAAAAAATCCTGGCATGGACAAATGTAACAAGTGAACACCTAACAGCCTATCTTAGCTAACTTAGCTTCCTGTATGCTTGTTAGTAGATCTGAGGCTACTCTGTATATAAGCTCTCTAGTGTTACTTAACTAGCAGAATTCTCCCAAATGATTGACACACTGTTTAGACTATTCTATTTAGACTATTCTACATTGAAGCACTTCCTTGTCCCTTCTATTTCAGTGGGAAATCTAAAAGTTCATGCACTCTGGCAATAAATCTGCAAGGCCTTAATAGTTATCTGTAGTCTAGTTACTGTAAGCATATGTATGTTAAATATTATTACTATTCATGTGGGAATATTAAGAAAACAGAACTGCATCCAGAATTCATAGCATACAGCTGAAAGGCAGAACAAATTAGGCACATTCTGAGGCATTTACATGATCAGATGCCAGATTTTTCCAGTTATGGTAAAAGTACTTTCAGAATTTAAGACTACACATATATTTAGGAAGGATGGGAGGAAAGAGAGGTAACAAGAGAAATTAGATACATAAAAGTATTTGTGGCAATTCCAAAAAAGGTGACAGCAGGAACGTAAGTGGAAGTTTGCATGGCACAGGCAAAAAGTTACCCTTTATAATTTGCCCTGAGTCTTTAGAAAAAAGTGGCAATAGGGACATGGCAATGACAGTATCAAAGGTATTACGGGTCATTTTTGAGAAAATGTGAGGTAATTGTGGGAATGACAGCCCATTATTGTCCTTTACTATCTTCCTGAAGACAGGTCTCCAGTTGAAGAATCGTAACAAATTACATTGTGGGGAAGAAGTCATACCAGATCTTACAGAAAACCAGTTTAATGAAAGTATAGAGTGACAATAATCTCCAGCGTTTGATGCACTGGTGCAGCACCTCTAATTCCCATAGCCTATATACGGTACATTGGAGACAGGCCTTTTAAAGGTGGTGTCCTGGAAGAAATGTTATGTGACTTTCCCACAGGAACTTCTAGTGCTACAGTACCAAACCAAAATGTGATGACCTGAACCCAACATATTCAAACATGGATAAACTTTAAACCAACAAGTCCTCCCAGAAACTATATGCAGGATACATGGAACTAGCGTAAGTCGTAAAGCACAATGGTGAAATTGTGGCCCTCCAGATGCTGTCAGGCTACAACTCCCATCACACCAACTTCCAACAACATAGGAAGTGCTACAGATACCCCTTTCCAGGGTGTAAAAACGCATGATGCAGCCAGCTTGCTGAAGCTAAGCATGTTTCGATTCGGTCAGTCCTTTCATACATATACGCTGCCTTGAGTTCCATGAAGGAATGCACATTAAAAATTCCTTCTTATCCTACGCAATGAAGGCATTTTATTTCCTGCTCAGCATGACACAGCAAGCACTGCCCCCATATAGGTCACAAGACAGGAGAGAGCACCAAATCAGTGCCAAGCTCCAAGGCACACATATGGCTGCTATGGATACACTGGAATAAGAACAAGCAAGAAGCATTAGGCTGGGCGTACAAGAAATAAAGTGGGGGGGGGGGGGGAGAGAGAGAAGGAAGCACAAGACCTTACTGAAGGAAGCATATAGCCATGGCTTTTTTTACAAGCACTGAGCTAGGGAGGCCTGTTCTGTAACAAGCACTGGAAGGAAGGGAGCCAACTGTGATTACAGGACACGGGGATGTTTCCACTGAATCGCCAGTCCCCTTCCACGCACCAGGACACCCGTAACAGAGAATTTGTAAGGTCAGAAGAGACCACAGGGGTCATCTAGTCCAACCCCCCGCAATGCAGGAATCTTTTGGCCCAACGTGGGGCTCAAAACCAAAAATCCTGGGATTATGAGTCTTCACGCTCTGTCGACTGAGTTATTTGCACACGAGTGCGCTCACGTAGGTATTTCCAGAGAAACGCGGGCGCTCCTCTTAACAACAACAATTTTTTATTTATACCCAGCCCATCTGGCTGGGTTTCCCCTCTTCCCCTCTACCCCCCAATCTTTCAAGAAGACACCTCCCCCCTTTTTTTCTTTTATTTCATTAAAGGGGGAAACCGGCTGAACGGGCGAGCTCGGGTGCTTCTAAGCAAAAGCCCCTCTCCTCTTCCCAAATTTGCTGGGCAGTCGCGAGGGCGAGGCGTCGGACCCAAAGGCCCCGCGGAGGGTGGGATGAAGCCCCTCCGTACGTTCAAGAGGCCTTTTCATAGGCGGAGGGAGCTCGCCTGAGGCTGGGCGGGGAGGGGAGGGAAAGAAGCCTGAGAAGAGAGGCACGGAGGCAGCCGAAACCTCCCCCGCCCCCGCCCATCCTCACGTTACGGAAACACGGGGGTGGGCCCGTACCTCTCACAAACACCACGAAGACGGCGCTGCGCTGTTTGGCGGCGGCAATGGCGGCCGGGATGGTGCCAGGGAACCACAGCATAATGGCGGCGGCGGCGGCCCGTCGGGCCTGGGCTTATTATGCACAAGCGCTCGGCCCCGCTGCCTGCCCCTCCGCGGCCTCCCCAGCGGTCCGTTTGCCTCGACGCGGAGCGCGCATGCGCGTCACAAACGTCAGCCTCGCTTCGGACGCGATTGCGTCGCGCTTCGCTGCACCTACAACGCCGTCTCTCTCTCTCTCTCTCCGCCCACTGAGATCCGCTTCCTGGATTACCCGCCGGAGGTAGGGGAAAAACATTGAAGGGCGCATGCGCCTTAATAATAATAAAAAAAGCCCACCCACCACCAATCACCCTCACAACACCAAAGAGGAAGCGTTTGTGGCAGTAGGGCACGCTTAGATTCGGGAGGTAAACTAGGCTGCGATTCGCGCCTGTAGATTCCGCGGCGGGGTTTTTTGTTTGTTTGTTTTTTTTAGGCGGCGGCTCAGCAGCAGCCGATTCGCGAGGGAGTGACGACGGGAGCGGCGCTTTGGGGTGGGGACAGCAGCAAAAATGAGGGCATGAACTGGAAAACTGCCAAAAATCTTTATTTTGTAGGCGAGGTACTCCAAACTGCACCATAGTATTGGCTAAAAAGTGAACGTGTCAAATAAAAACCACTTGATTTTTATGCAACACTGAATGATTTTATTTGCTAATGCGAACTAAGCACAAATCATGGGGCAGCTATTTAAACCTCCTAAATCCTATGGCGGAAAGGCTCATCTCCAAGCCTATCTGTTGCAAGATGTAGGGTTTGTTTATACAGTATATCTATTTAAAAAACAGAACTAAGATCTGGAAAGTAACAAACGTTGAAAACAAAGCAGACTTTATGGGCTTTGTTTCTCACAAGATAAATTACTTAAACATTCCACTGATTTTCATACAAGTGTGCTAGCCAAAAATGTTTCTACAAAGACCTTTTGGTATCTCTAGAATTTAGCTGCTTTTTATGATTACAGCTGCCTTTTTATTGAAATTGTAAATGCATCTGGACAGGTAGGATAAAACTTCTAAACAATTAAGTACTCATCTCACCAACAAACTTGTTAGCTTCCTAATATCAAAGGCTGCAACACTCTTGTTTTTGGGGTGTGAGAGGAACTTAGGCCTTACAGAGCTTAAGAGTATTTGCTTTTGAGTAAACATGTATAAAGAGTGAGCTGCACTCATTGCTTTTTATGTAGCTGTTTTTTCCAGACACTAAAAACTCAAGTAAATGCAGATGGCAGTCTAATGAGATAGGTAAAGTGGCTTCTTGTATCCTTGAGGCATTTTAGTAGTTATACTAATAGTGAAAACCAGGCACAAGACCAATCTTGGCTCTAATAAATGAGTTTGCCACTGTATTTGCAAGTGACAACTCAAACAAAAACATGCTATTGGCAGGCCAGCTGTCTGGAAGGTACAACCCATAATGCAACACCTGCACTTTTAAGTAGGCTAAAAATGCTGGCTGCCAATCTAAAAAATATAGCATGCTAACTCTGTACTAAAATGCTTTGTTATACTTTGAGGAAATGGCATTAACAGGCAGTATGTACTAAGAACCTGCCTCAACAAATTAAGTCCTTAATATGAGTTTAAGGACAACAATATCTCCTGAATATATTTTCTCAGTACTTAGCCACCTAATATAAATTTCTGCCAATCTGTTATCTGAATTGACAATCTGAACAATTTCCTCCTAACAACTCCACTTGTATGGGCTAATCTTGTGTAGCAGCGATGGCCGCTGGACTACAGCTCCCTTAATCCGACTATTGGTCATGCTGGCTGCAGCTAATAGGAGTTCTAAATACATCTGGAAGGCACTAATTTCACCACCCATTGTACAGAATAAAACGGCTAACTGATGCACTGTGGTTGCATTTGGCTGGGCAGCTTATCATTTTACTGCTAACAATTAAATCCTACTTTCTATTTAGCAGCTTGTAACTCGTTCCTAATTAGTCTTCCATCCAGACAGTTTCCTGGACCAAATTGACTGTAGCCAAGGTTGTACTACCGTTTTGTATGCCATAAAAGTGGATTTGACAACTTTTTTTGTTCAGCACCATATTCCACCCAGTTTATCTCCATGATTCATTTAATGCCACTGTGATTTCAGGAGGAGGAAGAGTAGTGTGGAACAGAGAAACTATCAGAAAGTGGAATTAGTCGAAGAGATGCTGATTACAACAAAGGTTTTTACATTAAAGCTGTAAACCCACCATAGATTATCCCACTAAACTTAATGTACAGTCATACCTCATGTTACGTTTGCTTCATGTTACATTCTTTCAGGTTACGTCCAGCAGCGACCCGGAAGTACCGGAAAGGGTTACTTCTGGGTTTCGTTGCTCGCGCATGCGCAGAAGGGCTAAATAGCACTTCGCGCATAAACACCAAATCGCGCTTCACACCTGCGCAGATACGGCGTTTCAGGTTGCACGCTTTTCATGTTGCAAAGGGGCCTCCGGAACGGATGCCATTCGCAACCAGAGGTACCACTGTAATTTAGTTCCAAGTAATTGTGCACAGAATGGGCATTGTATGACTTTGCTACTAAGGTCTTACTTTCTCTATTTATGGCCAGAACTAATTCAATTTAATTGAAGTCTTACCTCATGCAGAAGTCCAATCTGGTACCCTCCATTGCTTAAGGATGCCTGCTATGACTATCTACAACTGCATTATGAAATATGAAATATGTCCATTTCTTTCAAGCTCACAAAAAAAAGTACACCGGAAAACTTGTACTTGTAAACATTTATTTTTTTTCCAAACTGAAGAAAGGCTTGCATCAGCACACATTGTACAGCCTTGCAAATTATACAGAAATTGAAAAGGTGTCTCCTTTATATGTGCAATGAATCATTTGATGTCCAGTGATCCTCTACAAATGATGAAAAAACATATTTAAACCACTTAAGAAGTTTCCAGCACTTATCAAATGCGATTACTCTTACAGTAAAAAAAGAAAAAGAAAAGAAAACTATATCAATGGGAACACAATTAAAGTGCAAACTTTTTTTTTTTTACTTTTTGCCATTTGGGGGAGTCACATTTAATTTCCTCACTGTGTATTAAAAACTAATGGGCTCCAGTTAAAAATTTTCTGCAGTGCTCATTTCCCCCCTTTTAATACTTATCCTGATGGAACAGAAGCAAGCTGCTCAGGAATATAATTTATTGGCAGTTAAAGGTTCACATCTCTAAAGTAAATCTTGAAACGGCAGGACTGGAGAAGGTCTTCAGTAGTTATTGTTGGATTCCATTACCCTTGGAAGAGGAACAGAGGGGAAGAGAAATATGCTACCTTCCTTGCCCTTTGGCATACTGGGCTAGAAACACAGTGAAATTCCTTAGAAGCGCTTCTCTTTCCCTCCCTCCCCCAGATCACTGCCCTTAAACTGATAGAAGTGTGCTGGCTGTGTGCAAAGGGATTACAAAATACACGTAAGAATATGGTTTTTCCTTATGAACAAAAGTTCGCTGTACAACAGAGCTTTGGATCTGATACAAGAATTCAGAAATATAAAACGAAACTACTACAAAAGGGGTGTTTTCAACAGCATTCTTCAAAGAAGGCTGCCTGTCCGTTTCACATCACAGCAGTATTTTACTTTAAGTTGTTGATGATTTAAATTGCGTGTTAATTTCTGCATCTTCTCCTGGATCACTGGGCTTATTTTCTTCAAAGGCTTTACTGTCACATGACATCCAAGGAGTCTTTTATGAAGACAACAAAAACCCATAAACATCAAGCCAATCAAGTAGAGGAGATAAGGACATGGAAGTGATAAAGGCTGAATGTTCAATGACGTGGCTGTTACTGAGAACTAGCCCTTTCCAGAATGTGAAAGTCGTAGTGCTTCTTGCTTGTTCTCAGCCTAAACTTGTTCAGTGAATTACTTTGTTTCTTCAATGCATTTTGGGCTGCAGACATGGTTGGAAACGTTGCTAGAACCGTGTACGTAGATGCCAAGTCACTAAGTTTGGAAGGTTCAGCGTTCACATTACTATCTCCACTACCACAGTAGTGATGGTGTTGCTGCTGTTGCACCTGTAGGAACTGGGGATCCCGTAGCCACCGAATCTTGGCACCAACTTTAAGAAGTTCCACAAATAATTTTTCAGCTTCTGCACGAGTTATTCCTTCTGGCAGTTCAGTAATTTCTAAGACTTTTCCTACAACTGAGGGGTGGAAAAAGACATGCAGGATTAAAAATGGCTTGCTTTGTAATGCCTATGGTATCCAGAGCCAGACCCACCAACAAGTTTTTGTGCTTGGCTGGCAATCAACCCAGTTCCTTGACCTAACAATTCAATAATGCCCATTGTTATCAAGAAGAAACAAATGAGACATCAATAGCTGTGCAGCAGCTATTTTAAAAACTTACTGAATGGAAAGGTGCAGCATATGGTCATGAAATGACAAGAGCCACCACACCCTCTCAATACCTAGAAAAAAGGTAATCTATTAACTGCCAAGTTTTCTACAATGGCCTGAGGATACTAATGTCAAGATCAGTGTATCCAGTGGTGATTGTCCTTAGGCAGGAGGGAATTTATTAGTGGGACTCTCTGAAGCAGATTTAGGAGGGGTGCAGGGAGGATCACTGAAATGTCTCCTTCCCTTTTCTACTGACAGATTCCCTTCTGAAAACCCACTGCCATAATTAGAGATTACCCAGTAAATTTAAGTGGCTATGGGTTTCAGTAAGTAGTAGCAGTAGTCACTGATGCTTCTAAATCTGCTGTTTCGCAACAAATTGAATGTGAGAACCAGCATTTCCAGCAGGATCCCAAATTATAATATTTGGCTTTCCCCTCTCATGGCAGGAACCCTACAGATAAAACACACACACAAACACACACCCCCCCCCCATCTGCTGGAACAGAAATGTCACTTTGTGATTCTTGCAAGAGTCTTTCACAAACTCTGTCTCCGTTACAGGTACGTTTTAAAAAAAGCTCTCCAATGAGATTTATACACATTCCAGATATGGCAGCAGTTTCAAAACAAAAAACGTACTCTGGCTCTTCATCACAGAGAGGGGCACGTGTACAAAGCATACTATGCAATATCAGCTTAAGATCATGAATGTGATCATGGTGATAGGGAAATAGCAGTAGCTCGCACAATCTGAGCACAGATGCAAAGCACTTTGGACAGGTAACCTATCGCACCTCTTATTGCTGTGGCATATTCTGAATCCATCTCCAGAAGACATTTAGACCTAGAGAGCTGTGATAGAATGGTAACAGGCATAATATACCTTCCTGGTAGTTCAGCTGCATCAAAGTTACAATAAGTCACATACCTGGTTCTCCTGCACCAAGGTCTGTTGAAGCAGCCTTTTTGGCTGGCTTTCTTCCTCGGTTCCCATGTCTGCTTCCAGGCTGACACTACCAGGGAGAGGGGTCAGACATACACAAAGAATGATCAGAGGTTGATATTTACCTCCCACAAGGGATGGAGGGTATGACACAATTCATCTAAGTGGAGCAAATGGTAAACTACTGCTTCCTTTTCTTGAAAATGTTTTACTTGGCAATAGGTGCGGTGCTGTGCCATTTGAATCCATGAAGTGGCACATCTCTCACATTGACAAAAATTACTTGCACTCCAGAAGAACTCGAATAATTGCATTCGAGTAATTGGTCAATGAACCCTCTTCGAGATCCAAACAGCACAGTGTTGGTGCACTTCTACACTCTGCAAGATGGCAGTAGTTCTAGGTGAAGCCTAGATTCTTACTACCCCCAAACCTGTCTTTAACCTGGATTTCAATTTGAGACACAGAGGGCAAACATATACAGAATTCTGTAACACTATGCAGTTTCATTTTGACAATGGACATTTTTGTCTAGCCTAATTTGTAATGAAACTATCTTGGTTCTCCCCACCTCAAACTGGAGCATCACTTATGCATGTTTTTTATTTCAAAATAGCTGCTCCTACTTTTTACAAACATTAACAATTCCTTTTTTTTAGGAAAGCGGGTAATCTCTCTTTCCCATTTATAAAATGAACCTGACTTACAAACAAGTGACATCCAAATTATTGGGCTGTTTCCTACTGTTCCCTACCTGTGGACCTGCTACATGCCCATGTAGCAGAGCTGGAGGATTGTACTGCAACGGCTGACCAAGTAAGGGATATCTGGCATCTCCTGAAGAAGACACATAAATAAACTTAGGTTTCAGATTGCTCAATCAATTCTAAATAATTCTAAACAAATGCAATTAACTGTTTCTGTGCAATGGTATCAATATTCCAAGTCAATGAAACTGCACTGACAGCAGTTAATTAGGATGGAGTCAGTTCCAAATTCATGGGAAGTCAACATGCCTTAGGAGAAACATTAAAATTCAACTCTCCAAGTGAATAAAAAAAATTAAAAAATGTAATCAAGTTCTCACCTTGTCCAGGAACAAAAGGTCTAGAGAATGGGGGCACAAGAGGAAGAGGTGTTAACGTGGGACGGATGTTCTTTATGTTTGACAGCTGACTTGGCGCTGGCGACTGGGCTGGAGAGGTGACAGGACTACCTATTTGTGGACTATGCTGCAACTTTAAAAGAAAACAAAAAAGGAAAGAGAGCATTATGCCTGAGTTTACGAGAATAGATGAAAGCAACCCTTGCAAGTTTGTTTGGTGGGGAGGTGGGGGCCGTTGTGAATATCAGTTTCATATGACTGCAAGTGAACTTTGAATTTGTGCATTTTGAAATCTTCTCATTTCCCATTTCATATAAAGAGATGATTCTCTGTTATGCAGCTATGATGCATAAAATCACAAGCCCATTACAAAGTTGTTACTACTACTGTGACTGGCAAGATGCTTAAACACAAGAAACAATACTCTGCCCCTCTTCCTAGACATGTAAGTCAGGAAACCTATTGGGGGTACCATTTGAAGGACAGACTGTGCCCCATACTAGTGTGCTGTTCCTTTTGCTGCAGCACTAGGCCATCCCATATTGTGGTGCGTGTGGGCGAAGACACAGGAACCACTGATTATACCAAAAAAGGGGCAATTTTCTACTGGTGATCTGTACAACTTTCTTAGTCGTTTCCACAATGTATAATATTTAGGTATATAAATATTTTTTAAAACCTGCTACACACTGAAAATGATGAAATGAATGCTCCCCCCCTTTTAAAACATCAAAATGGAATACCTGTGTAGAGCTGTCCAAAGCGCCAAAATCTGTTGACTTCTGCCCTCTTTGATGGTCACAATAATATTTATTTTGTTTCCACTGGGGAGGTGAATGGGGTCGAGGCTGAGGATTGTTGGGTATACTGAGTTGCATCATTACCATTCCTCCACCTGGTGGTGGTGCTACTGCTACAAAACAAAATTAGGAAAGAAGGGTGCTTAAGTTCCTAGTTACCCCAACCTTCCTAAAGATTGCTTCCAGTCACATTAACCCAGCCACCTGCTAAGGCCACCAGCAAATTCTCCATTCTGTAATCCACCAATGTCAGAGATGAAGATGGGGTGAGACACAATTCAGGGCTTTTGTACATGTTGGAAGCAATTTTGCAGCCCTCCAACCTACTTTTTATATATACTCCGTCTACTGCACAACAGTTTTCCTGGGGGGGGGGGGGACTATAGCTCATAAAGAAACAGGTACCTGTGTATCTGAAAAAGTGTGCATGCACACGAACGCTTATACCAAGAACAAATTTAGTTGGTCTCTAAGGTGCTACTGGACAATTTTTATTTATTTATATATATATATTTCCTAAAGAAACAAATCTCCAAAATCCCAACTAATAACATTTAGAAACCCAGAGCTCATTGTTAAGCTATTATTCTTTTTCTTCCTCTTTTTACAGTTCCATTAAGAACAGCAAGTACACAATGCAAAGTACCAATTGTTCTCTGAAATTATAAGGATTTACTAGAAACTTTTTGTGGGTGCTTTGAACACAAAAGCCAGACCCAGGATATGCTGAGCACCCACTGCCCTCCAGATCCTTATTTCATTCCTCTCCTTCCCTTCCTTGAAGGAAATGAAGGTGGCACATACAGTCTCTCCTTCTCAAGTTCATTCTTTCCATAACCTTGTGAGGTAAGTTAGGCCAGAACAGCAAAAATATTTTAGGCCAGGAGAGCAGACAGTTGACATCATTGCCCCAATGCCCACTTCATTGGTGGCGGCAGTGGCTGCTGCTGCCGCCAGGAAGAGGTCTGTCTAATTTTGGTGAACTCCACTTCCCCAGCAGAAGGCCCACCCCTGCCTGATGCATGCCATCCCACACTGGTTGGAAGGGTGCCCCTGGCCTTCTTGATAGGGCTTCTCAGGGGTCACGGGGCCTGGAGGGGTATTCAGATAAGAAGGCAGGCAAGTCTCCATTCATGAACTTCAACAAATTTTAGAATCCAGTACATGCATTACTCACTGTAAGCAATTTAACTGGACTAGGATTGATAAGCAAATAAGGTTGTTGTCTTTATTTTTAAAAAATTAGCCCCACGATCAGAGAGTGAAAGGGCCTAATGGCCACGACTCTCTTTTCACACCTGCACACTGTTGTCCTTGGAGTTGCTGGGAGTTGCAGGGCGAGGTTGTCCGAGGGAACTGTATCTGCTCTGATCCAGGAGGCTGAAGATATGCTACTGATGAGCTGCAGAAGGTTGGGGAGCGGGGGAGAGAGATGGAAGGAAGGAAAATACCGTGTATTAAATGCAAACTGTAGACCTCAGCCAGGACATCTGAAATTTGTGAAAGCCACTTTAGCATGCGATCTGATTTTGAACAGGAGAACCAATAAATAATTTACTTGTTACAGAAAGTACAGCTGCACAACCCTGCTAGTTCATATACCTGCCATCCTGGCAAAATAGGTAAAGAGGTGGCACAGGGCTGGCCCCTGCAGGATGAAGAAAGCGGCTAAACCTGTGTAAGGTGGTTATCCTACAGACTGCTTGGGCACATTGTTATTCCTTCCCTTTTTGCCATTTTACAATTCGTTTGTCGTTTCATAATTTGAAAAGATTTATAAGCTTGGGGGGGAATGAACCCTACTTACAATTTATACTAATAAAAACTAAGATGAGAGGGTGAAACAGTTGCCATAGGGGAAAAAATTAGTGACTGTTCTCATTTCTCTAATCTTCTTGTGAATTATTCATGGTGTGGCTTTTGGAAAGGTGACCAGGCTTTGAAGATTGCCATTAATGCAACACATTACTGCAAATTGCTGACATTAAAAAAATAAAAGCTGCTTTCAAAGCACAACGCTCAAAGATCAAAGGAACCCTAAATATCAAATAGAACTGATACAAAGATAACCTACAGGCGAGATTTTTTCGTTGTTTTGCAGGGAATATAAACGAAGTCAGAACTCTTCACCAAGGTGACCTCAAAATCTATTTTGCAGTACTTCTGCAGAATAACTGCAGATGACCAAAGAGCTGTGCAGGATACTATTGCTTCATCCTTGGAAACCCATCCATTTTACTTGATAAGGGAAAGAAATTGGCCTTAAGTGGGAAACTAACGCTGTGTTGATACTTTTCTCTCTGCCCAGTGGCATATCCATGTTTGTGAAGTACAACCATAGGATACGTTATCTCTTGGTATCCATTTGCAGGTACTGCTTAAAACACTTTGTCTGTTTTGTCATTAGGGAGTAATTACAGGTTTATTCATCTGTGACAAATCAGATTAATTCATCCTAATGCAGAAATCCATTGGATGATATGTAGGAAGAAGTTCTGCATTATGTCTTTCATCTCTATAGGAGAGGAAATGGTAGGGCATGGGTTCCACAAACACAGCAGGAGCCAGTAACAGGCTAAAATATACCTTCTGGACCAATGGAAGAATACATCACACTACTTGGGCTATAATCCTATGCATACTTACCCTGGGAGTGAGCCCCTTTGAACTACGTGGGGCTTTTACCTTCAAGTAGACACGTACAGGATTGCACTTTTGAGACATCTTAGTTTGCCTCTTAGCACTCAAATAAGAATCAGATCGTTTCATCCATCCATGTAGTACCGCTAGTAATAATAACTAAATGAATGCCATTAGAACAACTATGTATTTGTTAAATGCTTGAATAAATCTAATTGAACCACAAAGTGGCTTGCTGTCAGCTCCCACTGTTTAAATCACAACCTTCTTTGTGATGGTGCAAATGAAACGCCACAATTAGGAGTAAAATTTGAGCTTGGCACGAGGTACTGCATATGTTACACAACCCCCTCACACATACACTTTGGTTGGATGCAAAGGTTCACTGGAATTATGTCACATTTCCTGTGTATTTAGCCTTTTTCTGTCTTATCTGTGTTTTTGTGTTTTTATCTGTTGCCTGCCTTGAGTCCTGGTCTGGGGAAAAGGTGAGTTGTAAATAAATATATTTATAATTTTACAAAAGCTAGAGCAGGTCACCTGCAGACTGGCATCAGTGAAACAGATAGCATAGGTAATTCTCCTACTTGTCTGGGACTGCTGCCAAATTAACTCCTTCCAAGAAACCAGGATTGCACAGAGACCTAAGACAGCTTGAGCAGTCAAGACACTGAGGAAACACACTCACTATGTTATATACCAGGCATAGGCAAACTCGGCCCTCCAGATGTTTTGGGACTACAACTCCCATTATCCCTAGCTAACAGGACCAGTGGTCAGGGATGATGGGAGTTGCAGTCCCAAAACATCTGGAGGGCCGAGTTTGCCTATGCCTGTTATATACAGATGTATCATTCCTTTTGTCTGGGGTCTAGGTCAGAGGTAACCAGCTCAGCAGTAGAAGTTGGCTATGCACAATGCTGATCAGTTCGAAACTGCAAACTCAGACCCACATCTTTGAAGCAGCTTTGCTGCTCGTTTTAAAGGATTGTCTTTAATGCTGTGTTTTCCTGCTCTCTCACCTTTTGAAAAAGTGAACAGCACATCTTAAGACTAGGAGGAGGAGGGGCAAGACAGACAGCCAAGAGCGGCATTTAAAATGCTGATGATAACTCCCCATTGTGTTGTGAAGCTGTGGGGAAAGCTGGGCTGTTTCTGTGCCAGAAAAAAGGGAGTAAGTACAGTTTGAAAATGTATTATCTTTTTGCATCCTAAGTAAGCACAGTTGCAATTTTCCTGCAAGGAGGAGTGTGAACAAGGCACAGAGCATACTGCCGTAAAGTCTAAGATCCACTGAGCAAAATAAGAAATTTGAGAAAAGAAATCTATGTCCAGGAAGGCAGTTTATGGTTTTTGAAGTTTCAGCAGACATAGAATCCTAAGAGTTGGGAGGGACCCTGAGGATCTTCTAGTCTAACCCCCTGCAATGCAGGAATATGCAGCTGTCCCTAACAGGGATTGGAAATGCAACCTTGGCATTATCAGCACCATGCTCTAACCAACTGAGCTACATGCCCTGCACATTTACAGCATTCCTTAACTAAAATGACTACCAGACATTTCTCTTTTAATAATATAATAAAAATAAAACAGCCTCTATGTAGGAAATTTCAAATCCTTGTAAATACATCAGCTCAGATTACTAAAGACCAATAAGTTTTTGAATGAACTGCTTTTCCTACTGCCTTTTTTTCTTGTGGATTCTGGCTACTTTGAGCACAACCTTATGTGGGAAAGCAGCATACAAATAATATGATCCATTCTTAAAAAAATAATAATATTAAACTCACCTTAAATTATTCTGTTGTCCAGATGGAATGACACTGTAGTAAACTGGCATTCCCGATGTGGATAGTCCTTGGTTAGACTGACTGGGAATAACAACTGGCTGTTGATATGTCTGCTGAGACATTCCTTGGGAACCCTGAGCCATTGAAACCTGAGGATTAGAAGTACATTAGGATACCTAATGAAGTTTTTTTAAAAGAAAAAGAACTGACACATTTATTGTGACAACCTGTTTAGTAAACAAGGGGTAGGGAACTGGTGACCCTCCAGAAGTTGCTGGACTGCACCTCTCATAATCCCAGCGCATTGACCATGCTAGCTGGGGCTGATAGAAGAAGGGAGTCCAATATCAAATGGAGGGCCACACATTCCCAAGTCCTGCTGTAAACCAAGGTCCATAAATACCCATCCTGACAACAGCTTCACGGGTCCTAGAGAGACAGCCTAGTACTTAGCAAGGAGGCATAAACCTATCGCTAGGATGAAATGCTTAAAATTATAGGTAGGGGTCCAAAATGAATGAGTTCTCATCCATACAAAGTAATTCCCTTCACAAAGAAAACTAGGTGTCAGGGCCTTCCAGAGCCTAATATTCTTCCTGGTTCTAGTTTTCCAGCAGCCCCTACATACAATTTGAAGTGGCTTAGCTCAGAGGAAGTCTTGGGTCTCACTCTTGACCAGAGCCTGTGGAATGGCAGAGAGGATTTTCCAGAGCCTCTGGCTCTTCAAGATGCCTATGAAAACGATGTGGAACAGTGGTAGGTGAATGTCAGCTACACAAAACTAATATGCAGAAAGACAAGGTGACGCACTGTATTCGGCCACCTTGATTGTTCTGCAAATGGGCTTAGCTGATCTCTGGAAACAGAGTAAGCAAAATTTCTCCATTGCTTAAAATCCAAACTGAGTAACTGTGAAGCTTTAGTCTACAAATAAAATGTTTCACTTCAACAAACCATTTTGTGGCAGTTAAGAATGAAGTTTGCATACATTTGTGATAACCCTGTTCCAAAAGTGACCAACCACCCTTAGTCCTGACTAGGCAAAGCTTCAGTGTTTTAAAAAAGAATCAATTATATTTCATATTTGCAATAAGAAGAAGACAACAGACAATAGCTTACTTGATAAGATGGCACAGGTGGGTATGGAACAAGTACACCTTGGATCTGATTTCCAATATTGTTTGGCTGGCCACTGACTAGATTTTGGTTCTGAGATTGCTGGACGCCAACTAAACCCTGGTAGTTTTGCTGCTGGTTAGGCATAACTTGGTAACCTGCAAATACAGAAATATTATTATTCATTTTGACATGTTATAACAAAACATATTTATACCCCAGTTCCCTTTAGATGCTACAGTTGTAGAACAGGAATCTGTGGGTTTATTGCACAAATATGTTGTAATGTTTAAAGGATCAGCATGAGGTTGGCAGGGATAACTGCACAGGATCTGTCAACAACTGTGCAGTAAGACCCATGTCAATAGCCCTGCTTGTTTAATTGTGGGCCTTTTCAGATGTCACAGCAATAGCACTGACTGAACTCACAGGAAAATGAGCTCCCATGCCAGTGTTATAACATCTAATGGGCACTATAGATACATGGGGCAGTTTTGTTTGGACAGTTCCTCCAACTAATCATAATTAGTTGGCATGTGGCAACCTTTGCCTACTTAAGTCCAGTGCAACTATGAGTTTGTACTTCATTTTCACTAAAATGACAGATTCTATTCAGGTATACAAAGCATTGGCTTTTTGAACTTTGATTCCTTTCCTTTTTCATTGTCTCCTTGAGTAATTTTGTTTTATTTTAATCAGTAACAACACATGCATATCATGTTGAACAAGCCCACTGAACAACAATGCAAGACAGACAATTTATCTTACTTTTGAAGGCTGAGATGTGTGTGTTATGTGTGTGTCTGTTTACCTGGTCACAGGTCTGACTTATTTCATGAGTTGGAACAGTCCTAAGTATAAAAAGAACATGGAATATTTTGCAACAAAAGGTTCCCCCTCCTATCATCTTTTCCATTTACTGACAAGATGGTAGTTTGGAAGTCTCCCAATGGGGTTCAAAGGACAGCAACAAGGGCTAAATTCTCACTGACCTTAAGCTAAGGTACCAGCTCACTACTTAAAGGCCAAGGTGTATTATCAGATCACCTTAAAAGTATATTACCAGGTCTTCTTAAACCAAATGCCTTCATACAGATTGACAGAACAGGCTCAAATTTCTAAGTTACTTAAGAAATGAAGACTGAGCACAGTCTTATCAACGTCAGGTGCCTATTTTTTCCCCCTATTTTGAGAATAAGGTATATGGTCCCAGTAAAACTATGCATGGAGCTGGCAAGATTCAGCGCTGCTCCTTTGCTGGGTGAATAGAATAAGTTAATAGAAAAGATTCTCTTTCCCATCCAATTACTGGAAAATAATTTGCATGTGGAATGTCAAAAAAATGTACCATTCTTGTAAGCTTTTTTTTAATACAGTGTAAAGCATTGGGTGATGAGCACAGCTTTTAAAGGCATGGGTTATTTCTCCAGTGAAAACCCAGCACTGGATCTGTAACATTCAAACATGTTTTATTTCAATAAACTGACACTGAGCCCTTGGAAACTCAAATTAAGACCTACATTCTGCAATATACACCTTCATCTGTTAAAATATGATCAGCTGCCCCTTTCTCTTTTTTCTAGACACATAATGCTATCTTTTTGCTCTTCTTCCTAATTGCTTCTTTACAATTGTGCCTTCCGGTCTCCCTGGAAAATCATATAAATAAAGTAAAGCACACAGTGCTTGAGAGGCCTCATTTCAGCTGTTGCATTGTAATGTGTTTGGCATTTTTTTCTCCTTTGAAAACACATGAGGGGGGCCAAGCCACTAGTTGTACTTTGAAATGCTGAATGCTGTGCTGAACTTTCAGACACTGATTTCCCAGTCCTCAATTTCAAGGGAAGTATCACATTCCATTGCACTTTGCTGTCCTGCTTTTGAAAACAAGATGTATCACCTGTGTCAGTGCTTTGCTGTTTAATAATAATCAGTTCTCCTAACTCTAAATGGAAGTGTTTCATCTGGACAGCCATGCTGCATTATTTACATGTGTGCATTCACAATCCCAGACACACTGAATACAGTACTAAACCTTAGGGCTCTCCCAAAAATAATGTACCCATTCATGATACCTTGTTTTTGTTTTTCTACAAGTATTTCCTGCAGCAAATTTATCTGATTAAGAATGAGCATGGCATAAGATGTTAAGTCTGATGAGTGGACTACATCTGTTTTCTAGGCACATACTATCAAATATCATGTTCATTACTAGGTAAAGATTCAAAAGCTCAGAATGGAGAAGTGGCTGATTTCACCCAACGTCTTGTCCTTAAGGCAGGTTTGCCTTGTACCTAAAATATTGGACCTACTATGCAAAACTACATCCTGTAGAAGCAGGATCTTTATTTCCTTATTAAGATCATATGTATGCATTAAGGAAATAAAGCATGCAATCTCTTTTAAAAGGTGAAATCAGTAATAATCTGAAGTAATTGAGTGGGACTGCAGCTAAAACACAGGTTAACAATCTACTATTAAGACATAAACTTAAAAGATGTGTACAAGCCAGATTAAATATGCATGGTCGCAAAGTTACAGTTTACTTAGTATACCTCCCTCCCAATCTTGTTTAGAAAAGAGAGATCCTGAGGTTTTATCATGCTCTCCTCTCAACAGTTCTATATTTTCAAATAAAATAGATGCCTGAATATATTCAGCACCTAACAAATTGTGTCCAGCAGCACTAGAACCCAGGCTACGGTACCAATGATGGCATAGAAACCTGGAAATCTACAAAAGTGCTGCAACTTCAAAAAAAATTAAAAATAATATATTTCTCAGGGACTGCAGTGTAGCTGTGAAAATTATTCAGTGTCTTCTGGCACTTTCACACAGACAAAGCAAAAATCAATTTTCCATGCTGAGAGAGGAACTAGGGCAATATAAATTGCTGCTAACACACTGCCCCATGGGGTTTCAAGACACTTTCTATTTTTAGCTTCACTATTCTACCCCAGAATACCAAGTGGCATGAAAGAAATACAGCACTCAGCAGGAAAAAGAAAGGGAAGAAGCAACATCTGCTGAAATTTATTTTACAGCAGCGCTAGCAAACTGTAGTTAAAAACCTCATGCTTCCCAAAATTCAAGAGCTCTGCAAAGAACGAGAAAATACATTCTGCAATACTATCTCTTCCTTAAATAACGAAATTGCTTACAATACCACGATCTGCATCTCATGCAATTAGGAAGAGACATAATATTTCACTAACGAAGTGCAAACCTCAAGCATGGTGAGAAAACACACAAAGAACACAGGACACACAAAACAGACCACAAAAAGGCAAAAAAAGCCTGTCAAAGATATTCTTGCCCAATGTCTGTTTCTGAACATCACCTTCCTGGTGCTTCCTTCTAGTGCCACCTAGGTAAGGACAGATGTTGCTGACTTTTCTTTCTTTATTTTCTTAAAGGGAAGAACAGCGTTTGCTCCTTGATCAGAAAGCAACAATCCAAGACAGACACACCTGAGACCCCTTTAAAAAGGAAGCCAGGAAGCAGCTGAAAAAGAGACCGGTTCACTGTGAGAAATGTAACCCTCTCAGACAGTGTTACGGCCCCGAATCCAACAGCTCATGAATAAAGCCAACCTATTGCACAATCTATCACACATACCACGGCCTGGTTTGCCACAGAGACACACATAAAACCACACATTTACTACAAAATACGTAGATATTCTGAAAGTTGTTTTCAGTAATTATCTAAAATATTTGAAATGCTGCAAAGTAAAAAGCCACAGGTCACTGAAGATAGTGGTGAACAACAGGTAGCATTCAAATGGGCTTATTCTTGCTTTCACTTAAGAAAGAATGGGCTTAAACACTTCAGTCCTTTCACATTTTGCAGAGCACTTGTGCTTTTTTTGTACTTACATAGATACTATTTCCTATTGCCCTAGAAATCTTTAAACTCCTATACACACAGCAGGAAACTTTCCAGGCCATTCTTCAAACATCCTGAAACTAACTTGACATTTCCTCTAAGCTTCAGCAGCTTGGACCTAATTTACCAGCAGAGCACTGGTGGTTCCAGAAGCTTCTAAATGTGTGTATAAACTGGAACAACTCCTCAGAAACAAACCCGCTCTGGCCCTTTGGCTAACGTGCAAAACCCCTTCCGCAGGAGCATACTGATGAGCAATCTCTACATCCACAATGTATTGGTCATGGCAGTCTTGCCCAGCTTGAGTTGTAAAACAGGAAGTGGGAAATACTGTTCGAGATGGAAAATATTTAGGCTGGGACCCATGCAACCAAGTTCTACACTGCAAAGGAAGTTTCTGCTTGAGTTTCATCAACAGCAATCCTCAATATTGTAAGGCAAACTTGGGTGAGAAAACAGAGGAGAATTTTAATAACTGTGTGACGTGGTTGGCTAATGAGCCCTAAAGTATCTCAAAGGCAGCCAAGTCAGAGACAGTATCCTTATACAATTAAAAAAAGTATCTTGGATTAGAAGGTAAATTAAGGAATTTCTAGGCCTCTCCTTCCTTCCTATAGCCACCTGTGCCCTCCCCAAAAGTTTCTTGGGGCAGGGCTTCTAAAGAATGCAAGATGGAATGCAGGGCGTTTCTGGAAGCAGGAAGAATTAGGATCCAAGCCACTGCATATATCCAACCTCTATACTTAGAAGTTACTTGCAGTCCCATTGAAATTCAATAAATCAGTGTGAAAAGTTTGTATCTATTTTTTATACTGATTTCAATAGGTCCCAACTTCATATTGATTCAAGGCAACTTGTTCAGATCTAAAATAAAGATTAAAGTAATAGCATGTGCACACAAAAAGAGAGAGAGTTCATTTTAAACCTTGCTAAGATGGACAAAATCTAACTTTAACATGGCTCTATTCCCATGTACAATGGCAAATATAAGCAAATATGATCATACAATTCTTTCTCATTCAATGTTAGTAGCCCTAAACCTACTACAGAACTACACTTTAGTAGTGCCAAAATCATTGCTGAAATATAATAGATTTGAAAGGTGGTTCTTTAAAAAAATAAAATATATTATTTTCTATTAGGATTTCTTTATCATCCTTGCCCTTGTAATATTGTGGTGCTCTGTAAATGTTTTCAAACACTGCTCAATAAGAATTAGTTATGTGATTTTAAATTTGTTTTTTAAAGTGAGAAAGCCTTAACTTTTTAATTTTTTTCTGGAATGCATGCTACCCTTCTGTCCCAAAGACATCCTCAAGGTGACTTAAAATAGCTGATATATAAAGGAATGGGTAATATTTGACTTTTCAAATGCTCAAATGCTACTTCATCCCTTCACAATGAGTCAAGGTGGCTCCTACCAATATAATCAACGCAGACTTTAAAACAGGTCTTCCTGGAGCCTTTGTGTGGGATTTGGAAGAGAGCAGACACTCTGGGTATTCTGATAACCAGCCTGATCCTTTCCTATAAAAGATCTTTCCATGTGGGCCTACGTAGATACAGCATGCCTGACCCAATGGTGTAAGAGGTATCCCTTTTTTCAAAACACAAAGTTTTCAAAGGCGGCATTAAAAAACTCTTATCAACATGACTAGATCAAGGCCACAATCTCATTTTTGACAGCCCTTGCACTTCTACAGCACATATTAAAAGAGAAGCCAATCCTATATTCCCTGCTATTTATTTAGCTGCTGTGGGAATGAAAACATGCTCACTGAGAACACAAGTGTTGCCAGTGGGACAAAAGCCGTAACTGTTCCTCTTCATATTCTAGAAAGCATTTCTAAGAGGCTCTCAAGTAAAGCAAAATTTCAAAAAATAAAGCAAAGCATCTGAGTCCAATTGTCAATTCTCAAAGAAGAATCCCCTTTGTACTTCTTAACAATTAATGCATGCACAAACACTAAACCATACTGAAGTACAAACCTTCTTGACAATAGACCTCAATCTGTAAAAAGTAAGGGTGTGATTGTATTAAAACTACCGCCTATGACTAAACGAGGTTCAAGAAACAGCAGAAAACACAAGGAAAAGACAAAGCCGAAATGTTATAGTTTTATGCAATTTTGAGGATGAAGACCCAGAGAAACATCAAAAGCCAAGGACAATGGGAGATAAACTTGTTCGCCATAACTCAGGATCAGAGATATCTTATCTGAAGAATTTCTGAACAAGTTTAAGGTAAAAATCTATGGAGCAATGCTACCGTTACAGTATAAACTGCACAAACTTGAAAGTTGAATATTGAGGAGAACATCAATCCATGTCAATTTGGACTTTTGTTAGAAGTTCTTCACATTGCCAAAAATGGATTGAAGAGAATGAGTGTTCAAGGTTATGTTTTCCAAACAAATAATTTACTTCCCACCCTCTTTTCTAGTGAATCCTGTCACTTAGGATTTATCAGCTTGAACAATTTAAAAGAATGCAATTTCACCAAATGGGAATTCTATCAGCACTTCAAAGCCAAAAAAACCTTACTTTATTTTTAACAGACCTTTCAGGCTTTCACAACAAAACCACATTCCCTCCTGCATTACACAGCACCCTGAAAAAGTCCAGAAGTACATGCATTTGGGCTATAGGGGGTGGGGAGGGGGAGAGACCACCAACCTGTCTGCTGTGCAGGCTGTGGCAGTGGCTGGTTTTGCTGTGTGTTGTAATGAACAGAAGTAACTGGCCGATACTGCTGACTGGAGTGTGGATACTGGCCTGGAGCGCAGTAACAGGCTGGCATCTAAAAAGGAAGCAACATGTTGAAGATTCATTTATATGCTTCTATAATTGAGTCACGTCCAGCAGCATAAAATGATGGCAGATAAATAAGAAAGCCTATAAGCATACACATACACACACTCAGAAAAGCAAGTCTAGTGAAAAATAGGAGGAGTGGGGTTATTTAAACGTTTAGCTGCTGAACAGTATTATCTCTTGGTGAAATTGTAACATGCATTCATTGTATCCAGCTTTAGATCCAAAACAGCAGAAAGACACAATGTGGCTCCATGCTTTGTCAGCCGATGTGATAACCGAAGTATTGGGTTGTATCAGGCATGGCCAAACTTGGCTCTCCAGCTGTTTTGCGACTACAACTTCCATCATCCCTAGCTAACAGGACCAGTGGTCAGGGATGATGGGAATTGTAGTCCCAAAACAGCTGGAGGGCCAAGTTTGGCCATGCCTGGGTGGACACAGTGAGCATGATTAATCTAGGTACACTTATTTCAATAGGTTCCCCCCCCCCCCCCCGAATATGACTTTGTTGGATCCATTATCATAAACAGAAGAGGCTCTTGTGGAAGTCTCAACAATAACAAGACACAGGCTATAAAAAGTACAGTGGTACCTCGAGTTACAAACATCTCAGGTTACAAACGCTTCAGGTTACAAACTCCGCTAACCTGGAAGAGTTACCTCGAGTTGAGAACTTTGCCCCAGGATGAGAAGGGAAATCGTGTGCCGGCGGCGCAGCAGCAGCAAGAGGCCCCATTAGTGAAATCACGCCTCTAGTTAAGAACAGTTTCAGGTTAAGAACAGACGTCTGGAACGAATTAAGTTCGTAACTAGAGGTACCACTGTAGTCTCACTTAAAATACGTATTGTTTAGGTCAAAATACAGTATTACAAATATGTCAGTGGAACACCTATGAGGCATTATTTTAACTATTGTAATGCACACACAGTCCTTTTAAAGAACAGAAGACTCGAATATGTAATAAATATGCATCAACTTCTAATTCTGCTAAAATTAAGCAATAAAAAAGTTAATACTTGTTGACAGCAAGGGTCCTTTAATTCTTTCTGTGACTGAAGTATGAAGTTCAGATTGCTTCCACATAAATTAAAGGGGTGGGAGGAAGAGGAAGCCCTACACAAAGCTAGATTCAGTTTAATCAGCAGTTAATATGAACTACACCTTTGACATTGTCTGGTAATATTACAAAGCTCTCTCTACCTGTGGCATTGGTTGCTGCATATATCCCTGTTGCTGAAGAACTTGCTGGTTGACAGGGTGGCTGGATGCACTGTAATTAGGAGTAGGAACAGGTTGGCCAGGGGGTGGCGGTGGGGCTGGTGGAGGAGGTGGGGCCGTTGCTATGATGAAACCAGATTGCTGTGGGGGCTGAAGGACAACCGTGGACTGGAACATGGTGGCATGAGGATCAGCAGCTTCCCCAGATGGCTGTCGGGAGAGACTCATATGGCTAAATTGGGAGCCTAGGTTGTCTTGCTGAAATAAGCAAAACAGTAAGAGTTATTCCTCTTTCGAATGCACGAGAGGAGATAGCACTGTTTGATTAAAACAACAACAACACACAACTAAACATGAAATAGTGAAGTATCCTCACATCTAGTTATAGCAGCTTAAAAGTGAAAGCTTTAAGACAAAGGTAACATCTCATTAGCAGCAATAAGTAGAAATATGGGAAATGACACACCAAATTTTATACCTACAGCAAGAAACACAAACTTTAATGTTTGTAAAAGCTGTGTTCAGTGTGCCTGGTAATACTTTCTGGCAGTGGCGTAGCGTGGGTTGTCAGCACCCGGGGCAAGGCAAGTAATTTACGCCCCCTAACCCGTGGATTTTAGCAGGGGGCAGAGCTGCGAGTGCGAGCGCGCGCCCCCCCAGATGTTGCGCCCGGTGCGGCCGGCCCCCCCTGCACCCCCCACGCTACGCCACTGCTTTCTGGTGCTAATGTACCATGGAAATATTTGCCAACAGATACAGATGCAACAAGCTGGGGAACCTTGGGGGGGGCGCGGAAATCTGGCTATTTTGTGTATGAGAAGTTCAATTACGCAAAAGAGCAAATTTGAGAATTTGAGTTTGTAACAAAAATGACATTTAGTAGCCAGGACAAATCACCTGTCCATTCATCGAACTTGGTTTTAAATATGTTGGGAATGGTGTGTGTGCGCATATTATATATAGAGCAGGATTCAGCTAACTAGTGCCACTAGCAGAAGTGCACACAAGGACTTCCACTAATGCACTGGGGCTTTCCCATTCATCTGATGTTAAAGCATAATTCTCCAAGTAGAAATGGATGAGAAATTCATCCAGTTTCTTTTTAATGTAAACATACCAAATTCACACTTCCTGAATCAATACACAAACCAAAGTGCAACTTATCCTTTGAAATTCACACTTCTCCAAATTTTGCAATGCGGTTATCCAACGAACAAATGAACTGCACACAAAAAATTATATACTGGGGGGAAATGAACACAAGAATGAGTGTACTGGGAGAAATTAGCATGAAAATGCATGCAAATATTCATGCGGTCCTTTAAAAAACCCACAAACTGATGCAGAATTGGGTGAACTGAACTTTAAGCGGAAAAAGCAAGAACTGACAGAATCTGAAATTTTCAGATTCATCCAAAAGACTGCAGTGAAGGACTCCGATATGTGGAGAATCTTACCTTGCATCAGGAAGCTGGATGTCTATAATTTTGAGGAATGCAGCTAAGCTGCAGCACTCAAAAAGGGGAGGGAGGCAAATTCTGGTACCCATCAAACATTAAAGGGTGGCAGAAAGCTTTTTATTGCAGTGGGAGATGAGAGAAAGCAAAACACCTTAGGAGGTTAGTCAAAGAAATAGGCGGGGGGGGGGGGAGAGAAGGAAGGGCCCTAACAAAATAAAAAGTATTCAAGGGGTACAAACAAATACTGTTTGGCTGAGAAAAAGTAATGTCAAAGAAGGGTTTTTAAAAAAAAACCCAAGAATGCAATTGTTTTTGTGCACACAGCTTGTTTTTAACTTGCAGGTAAACTTCCAATGAACTCAGGGCAGGATTACTTTCTTCCATGAACCCCTTTTTTGCACCCCGGCCCATGCTGAATTACCTTGGATGCCACAGCCAGTCAGTATTTGTATTATTTATTATGCATGCACATCCCAACACATGAAGCTAAGTCTATAAAGATTCTGTCATGCACAGAAGAGGTGAGTAGAAGGTATTATACCACAGTGTATTGCTGGGTAGACGAGACGGGCAGGAGCGGGGGTGGATAAGTGACTGTGGAGAATTGAACAGGCTGTGAAGAAGGCTGAAGAGGTCGGATAGGCTGAAGAAGTAACAGTGGAACACACACCAGTTAACAACAGAGTAAGAAGAAATGGAAGTGGCAGTATTTCTCTTCTTTTGGGGAGGGGGATAAATTTATGCAAAATCAAGAACATCCTCCATATTAATTGTGCAACTAAAAGTAAATTTGACACAAGACTCAGATTACCTACAGTAACTCTAACGATAAGCATTCTTCCATCTATAGGTGTGACTTGCTTCATAAGGACGTCCCACACCACATTAAGCAAGACGGATTTGTAAGATTCTTAGCTCTTAAAAACTTAGGAACACACATTGCATATGTAACCACGACAGGTTGTCTCACTGCTTTAAGAAAATGCAGTTACTTGGAACAAAAAATTGTCCCCTTAAGTCATAAATAGGACAGCGCCACCTTTCCCCAACTAATAGCCACAACGATCCACTGTTTTCTTCTCATCGGATGCCAAGAGCACTCAGTCAAGCATTGCATATTTTGACATGTGCACCTGTGATAGGATGTGATTGGTTGCTGGCTGTTGCTGAGGTGGTAGGGGAGGAGGTGGCTGCTGAGGAGGTCCAGGCACTTGGTTTCTAACAGGCTGCTGAGGCATAGGAGGATTATACACAACTGGAGTGCCATCTGGATTAATGAATGGCTGACCTAGAGAACCGAGATGAAACACACACACACATTATTCAGCAAAATGCAATTTACCGGCAAAACAAAACATAGCATTACAACCACTACCTATTTTCAAGAGACAGCGCTGCTTTATAGTTTGCTCCTCAAGAGGACGAAAGGGTTTAATAGCAGGTGTCAAAGCAAGGCTTTTTTGTGGGAAGATTAAGTGGAAAAGCGAGGGCTTTGCAGATGGTCTCCCTTTCAGACACTGTTCAGCTTTAGCAGCAGAACCATATCACACCCCTTCACTCTCAACTGAAGGTGGCCCAATAAAGGACTACTGTACATTTATTCCTATTTACAGACCAACCTAGGTATAGAAGGTATTAACAGAAAAAAAGTAATTTAAGATCATAAACCAATTGCAGCATCTATACTTGTCAATTCCACATTATTATTATTATTATATTATTATTATTATTATTTATTTATGTGCCATTTGAAAATATTGTACACACATGAGCGCCTCATAAGGCAGAAGAGCATCATCTGATGAGAAATCTTCACTATTCCTCACCATTTGTACATCAAGGTATATAACATTACAATTTTACAAAGTCCTCTGAGGAGGTGTTAAAATACATGTTGCTGCAAAATTAGGAGAAGGGGAAATCAGGCTGGGAGGGTGAGGAGAGAAAGGCAGAAAGATCTTTGTGATCTTCAGAGGAAGGGTGGGATATACATTTAATAAATAACTGATAATAATCTTTTTTAAAATTTATTTTCTTTTACACATTATGGCAAGTTAAACGTTATTGTTAAAAGGAAGGAAAGGGGAAGGAGAGAGAGAGACAGAGAGACAGAGACAAGGCACAGACATCCACGGCTGGATACCAACCTGTTTGAGGGTTGATCAGAATACTTCCAGGTGGTATGCCTGCCGCTTCCAAGGGAAGCAAAAAGAAGCTACTGCTAGGAGGCGCCACTTGCCCACTTATGCCACCATCAAAGGGAAGGGAATTACTAGTGCTGACAGTTGGATAGACGGCAGATGTGCCATGAGAAGGCTGGCTGAGAGCTGTGACTGGAAGAGGCTGCTGGGTGTGAGAAAGAGAACCCGTGGATGACCCTACACTACTAGAAGACTCTGAACCTAGGAGAGGAGTAACGAGAAATGAATTTCACCTAGAGACAGAATAATAGTCATGCACATTTAAATAGGCAGGTTGTTATTAAATGCTTAACGCTTTTAAATGCACAGCCTGGAACTACAGTAGCTGCCCCGTCCCGCCCCAACCCCTGCAGCTTCTCCTGATTGTGAGTTGCATCAGCTACAAGTGCATGCCAGGAGAGCAGAGGGGCCTGCCCTAAAGCTGCCCCAAACTTCTGCACAGGTTCTTTGCCCTCATGCTGGGCATGAGAAAAATAAAGCAGAATGGCAACACACCATGTCTTATTCCCCCCCACACACACACCCAAAAAAAGGTTCTAATCAATGGAGCAGTAGGCTGAGAAATCTGAGGCAACCAAAGCATGCAGAAGCAGTCTTCAAAAGAGACCATGTAATACCATTAGATTCCCCTCTATCACATACATAGCCTACAACAGAGTTTATGTCTGTTGCATTGGGTGGGGGGACTCTGAGGCTCCTGAGCTCCAACACATCAGCCCCAACCAGCAAGGCCAGCTGTCAGGGAAATGAAAATTGTAGTGCAACAACTGGAAGGCCACAGGTTCCCCATCCTGATCTACTGCACCCTCGCATATCAGTCAGTGAATTAGGTATCAAGATGAAGCTAATCTTAAGGAGAAGTCAACAGTAAGCCAAGTTGATGTCAAGAGGCAATATTAAGAACGTGTTTAACCTTTTACCAAAATGGGACTTGGCATAGCTCAACTTTAGCTTTAATATTTCAGATTCTGTAATAAATGTACATATATGAGATGTAAGAATAAGTCAGAAGCTTCTGTATAATCTTTAAGGTGATAAATATCTGAGATGAAGCCAACATCTTTCATTTTAAATGGCTCTGTTGAGCCAAGATTTGTCTTTTTTTTATGAACAATTGCTCCTCACTGAGAAGAGCTCTCACTCTGATTGCACTTTTCATCTTCACACAGCAGATCAAAATTTATGGTACTAATTTTGCTTTTCAGTTGTGGCTGAATCAGTATGCTGCAAGCATGTCTACAAGTGTGCCTTGCAACATGATGCAGCACTGATGAAACTGTGGAAAGAATGTATACTGGCTTTCGTAGCATTCTAAATCAAGCCACTTGCTAGGAAAACAATTAACTGTTTATAAAATGGTATAATCTTCAAGATTTCAAATTTGATTGACATCAGCATAATTAAAGCTAAATCTGCATCCATATTAGAATCGTTTTTCAGTATTTTAGAGGTTTATCGTTTGTTTGTGTTTGCTAGCTTGCACTCATTTGGGAGGAAGAGCAGGATAGTCTTATTGTTATTACTATTACTACTACTACTACTAGGAATCAATAGTCCAAAATGTCTGGATAGCACCAAGTTGGCTACTCCAGATTTATACTATGGTTTGCTAGACTGAAATGGTCCTCTGTGAACTAGTATGTCACATATGAAATCTGAATACCTAAAGCTTTAATGCTTTCGTTTTGGTGCATTAGATCAATGTAGGCGTGGCCCACTGGTCTATTTCTGGAGGATCATTCACTGACTGTAGGCTGACTGCAAATAATCCTCGACTAGTTTATTCATTTATCTGATTTTTATGCTGCCGTTTTGCTCAACTGGGAGCCAAGTCAACATAATTAAACCATCAACTTAAAGTATATAATTAAAACCAAGCAACATAAAATTACATTCGTAACATCAATCAAATTATATTCAAACTGCCATTTAAAATCAAGCAACAACCTAAAAGACTACAAGCTTATCCAGCTTGTTTTTAAGCAAGACTACAGACTCAAGACTGCTTAACACAGATTACTTGTACCTTAACTGTGAAGAGATCCTGTGTATGTACTCTTGCCTTGGAAATTTAACACACTTTGGATGACCGCTGAGATTCCAGCAAAAAACAAAAGTTCTCCCGGGACTGAAGTTAGTGCTTTCCTAATGAATTACCCAACCTGTTTCTTATAGGGCCAACCTAACTATAGGATTTTCTAACATGCACAGGTATGCACTCACTTCACAACAGTGAACATTTTGCACAAGTTTAAAAGTTTTGTTTTATACCTGTGGATGCCCATTAGGAAGTTCAGAGAGGGAGAAAATGAGTGTATTCTAACAACTAACACAGCAAAGAACTGGAAGGACCAATTCTGGAGAACTACCAAGGAAAATGTTACAGTACTGTAGCCTCAATACTATGGGAACATTGTTGTGAAATCCAAACATTAAACAGTGATGTCTTGCTAGACAGCAGTAATGGAAAGGGCTCTTGTGCATTGCTGTGCCCATAACCTTAATTTTTTATGTGAAGAAACTCTCCACAAGAGACTGAACACCATCACCAACAAATATCCCTATTCCTCCCACAACATGGCCTACAGATTGATATGTTGGGCTGTGTCCAAACTCAGCGTTGAATTGTAAAGCAGAGATGAGATGGACCCTGTGAAATTAAGAGAAGGTTCTTAAAGAGCTAAGTAAATGCTGGAACACTGGAAGTTCTGCAAATGCCCTGCTGTCTTTCACAGTCATATCACAAACAAGCTCTTAACAGCCTCCATAGAGTGAGGCCACAATCCATGTTTCATTGACATGTTCTGCTATAAGACCCAGAGATCAACAGCTTTTGCTAACACCCGGAGGCTAAAAAAATAAAATAAAGATAACTAAGCAAGCTGACTTTCAAGACTGGCACTTTGTGTTTCAGAAAGGACATGCACTACTACAGATTTAGGATAATTCAGAGCTTTACACTCCCAGAAACAAAAAGTTGATAACTGCTTAGCTGGCAAAGAACATAGCTCCCAGATCACCTGTATCCATAGGAAGATATATTTTAAAACTGGTTCCCATTAGCAGGACTGAGCCTCTCATAGCTCACACCTTTTGTCAAATTAAGTTATTCCTTAAATTCATGCTTAACAAAAAATTATTTCACCTTATTTACTTATTTATTTAATTTCTATAAGCGAAGCAAAACTTGATACAGAAGATAATTACCTTCAATAGGAGATAGCCTAAATGTAGACATAAAAAATAACAAACTGCTTTCATCGTCGGGGAAGGGATGTAGTTCAGTGGCAGGGCAGCTGCTTTGAATGAAGAAGGTCCCAGATTCAATCCCCAGTATTTCCAGGTAGGGCTGGGAAAGACCCTTATCTTAAAACCCAGAGACCTGCTGCCAGTCAAAGCAGACAATACTGAACTAGGCAGTTGCCCATGGGAGGCAACGCTGGCAGGGTTGTTCACCTGGCTTCCCAAAACTGAACATCACTACCAATTCCCAAGAGGGAAAGGGGGGACAGTGAGACAGCGGGAAAACTCAGCTTGTCCAAGCCCAGAAGTCTATGCTTGGATTTGGGCATGGGTGGCCTGCACTCAAATCCCTGCTTTATAGACACTGGGTCACAACTGTCTCAATCTATCCTGGCTCACGTATTTGCTTCAAAGGTAAGCAGCTGCATAAGTACTTGTGTACATTAAATCCAATGTGTGTTTTATCTTACATGAAGAGTACACTTGTCATTTGAAACCTTACACACAGAAAACCTTACACCAAGAAATTCTCAGCCATTCTTATGAAACTGGCTTTTGTAGTTATTCCCCCCAATTTTTTGCCTATGTCTAGGACCCGACAATGTTATTGAAATGAAAACTTTCCAATCTAAATATGTCAGGGACATACTGTAATGTTAACTGAATTTCAATTCCTTGATTGGCACTGTATACTGTATGTCAGGCTTCAGTTTACTGCCCCCAGTCTACAGCCCCCAGTAATTAATCAGGACCAGTTGGGTTAATGCTGACCCAAATGCCTTGCCTAACCAGGTAGTTCCAAATATGTTGCATAATCAATGGCTTCTAACATGTTTTTTTTGGGGGGGGGGGAGTAACTGACTCAGGTGGTAAAGCGGGGTAAAGCCATTGCCTTTATTCCAGCTGCAATGGGATAACAGTGGGCCTTGCTTGTCTTTTTATAACAACACAAACTTAATCACTATATCAGGAATGGGGAACCTGTGGCCCTCCAGATGCTGCAGGACTCCCAAATCTCATCAGCCCCAGCAAGCAATGAATGACCAGTGGTAAGATACAATTGGTGTTGTTGTCCAATGACATTTGGAAAGCCACAGATTCCCAACCACCACACTACAGACTTGTTTTGCAGCAAAATGCTATTGCAATTAAGCTAAAGCAACTCTCCTCAAAATAATCTCTGATAGGGCGGAGGACTACTTTTTGCAAAAAGGGGGTATATTTTCTCCTTAGATATTTGACGCATGTACACATTAGCAGATTGTTTGTCACTCATACCTGTCTTAGATAGTCTGCCTGTGCTTTTGCTGCTTCCAGTGCTATCGCCTCTTGTCAGAACAGAGATCCCACTGAAGCTGCTGGCTTTGGTCACAGCTGGCTTCAAATTGCGAAGGGAGCTATCAGAGTCGGTGCTGCTCCATGGACGGGATTCAGAATACTTTAGCTCATTGTCTGTACTGCTTTGAAGGCTGTTGGTTGACCTCCCTGAAGCATCCTTATTGACCCTGCAATTCACCAAATTGGCTTATAAAATACAGGGATTATTTGCAAAATCAGGGACAAGAAAAAGTGAAATACGTGCAAAATACTTTGGGATTTTTTAAAAAACCCAATTTATTCAATACCTAAAGATCTGCCGCCTTTGCTGGGTACTATTGGCTTCTTCCTCCTGGATTCTGTTGGCATGTTCAATAAAACAGTAGCTTAATATTTTATTAGAAAAAGCAAATAAGAACTTGTTTAAAAACTGATTTCTCTTACCTTTTGTCAATAATGTAATTCTCTTGGGAACACAGCGACTGAGGAAGAAACAGTGTAGAATGAAGATCACCATTGCTAACTACTGTATTATCAATCCCAATGTGACAAATAATATGACACACACATTTAAATGTTTTTGGTCACCTGTAATAAATAGCCCATACTACCCAATAATGGTTCACAAGTTAATAGTAAGATTATAGCAAGCCATGTCACACACTAGCCTAGTCTACTCCTAATGCTAAGCCATGGTAAGGTGCTGGCTGCTTTTTTCATTATACTGTACAAAATTACAATGATACGAAAGAGTCAAAACGATTAAGAATCACCATATGTACAGGTGGATATCTGAACTCATTTTAAATAATGGTAAGATGATTTATGCTTAACGAACAGCAACGAACAGCAATACAGAGATCTTCACTCTCTCTGTAAGGGCAGATCAGGATTGTAAGGAGGTGGTAAGGGGGGCAAGGCTACCTTGACAAAAAGTAATGCAACCTACACCCTCCACATTGGCACATCCCTACTATCCCACACTCTTGTCACAGAAGTAGCATGTTATTAAAAAAAATCCACATCCCATATTATGTAAAAAGTGAACAAATGCCTCCCCACCTTCATGTCTCTACTGCAAGTTTCTCAGAAATACAAAATATTGTTGAAAACCTTAAGATTCCAAGAAATTAATATGGACATAAGTTTTATTAGAAACAAGGGACACTAGACAGCAAGTCTTAAAACATCCAGAATTTAACAAGTCCTCAGGGGACAGCTGGCCTGATTAGTTTTTATTCCTCAGTCTGTTATCCACCACTCCTTATTTGGCGTAAATTTTCCTTATCTAAAGGTCTAGAGGTGGAGAAGAATAGCAAGTTGCTTGCTAGTTTCCAAACCAACTGAACGCTCCCTCAACACACTGTTGAATGTTAATGTAGTCACAGCATTTTTATGAGCTTTACCCAATGCACATCAAAGTGATTTAAATATTCAAGTATTATAAACAAAGTACTGTATAACAATCTAAGGTCATGGTAGTCATACATAGTCAAAGATGCTATGAATGTTCCTTGTAATTTAATACCTACATCTTGTGCAAATATTCGTTCTCTAGCTCTCTGGTATTCTTCTTCTCGTTCTTCTATAGATTTGCTTCTTCTGTCATCTTTTAATCGTATTCGCATCTAAATTAAATAAGTTATTAATTGCCAATTTCTATTGCACAATGCAAGTGTGTAGTCAAGACAACTATATGAGTTCAACATTTACCTGGTTATCATCTTTGTCTAGACTAGAGTTCTCTCTTTTAAGGATGTACCGCTTTTGAAAATCTTCACTTTTTTCATCTTTTATATGTTCACAAAACTTCTGGTCAGGTCTTTAAAAAAAATGAGTAAGATAAAATAAATCATGACAGGTATGAAAATGTTTTAAAGTGTGTGCACCTTTAAATCTGAAGAAGGTACAACTCTGAGAACACACTTGGGATACTGCCCTGGATACAGCTTCTGTCCTAACACCTTTATTTTCTTTGATCTATTTTTTTGCAACTAGTGACGTTTATGCGCTTGTGAGAGCACTGATGTCCCTTCATTTCATACATTTATTTGAATAAATTGTATTGAGGCATACAGATACTAAGTAAAGCTAACAGCAGAATAAACATTTAATTTGTAAATGGGAATTCTAAACCCATTCACAAATAAGAAATTTATTTGGGGCCTTGCTAACTACACACTGTGGTACACTAGCACACATGTTTTGCAATTTTTTTCATTTATTTTCTACTCTAGAGATTTGCATAAAAGCAAGGATCAAGTTAATTCCTGAACTGTATGATAATTAAATGAAATACTTCCCAAACTACCTAAGAGTTACTGGATGCCCAAATGTAATTAGCAGGCACTTCAGAGAACCTTTAGACTGTCTTACCTCTTTTCTCTTAAAGGTCCCTGAATTTACTGCCCTGCAATCACCACTCCACTGAGTCGTCCCAGTGTGCACTGGGTTGATGATGTCATTAACAGCACTGATCGGCACTGGAGCGGGGAATCTGCCTATGAGGAAAAGGCAAGTTGGGTTTTATTCAATATGGAGCAGACCTCCAAGGTTTTCTTTTAAAATTCTTATTTTACATCCCAAATGATTTAAAATAAGAACATTGAAAACCTTTTAAAATAATTTACATAGTCTATAGGTTATATGAAATGCCTGCTAATTATTATTGGGGCTTCCAGAAAGCAGCCTATGTTTTTTGATATCAAAAGTTATTTTCACAATAAAAGGGCTCATCTGTTACTGTAGCTCATTCTCCAACTCACTAAAGTCTTCATTAACCAGGTGTCAAAGTCATTTTACAACAGGGAAGACAACAAAGAGTATAGCAAGCAAATATATGTAATTGTTGAGCACATCTTGCATAAGCACATCTTAAATATAGGTTTTTTTTAATGTTGTATGTCTGTTTCATTTTACAGACTGAAAAGATGGAGTTACAAAGATGAGATAATTATTTCCAAACACAAAAAATAATTGTGGGAATGAAATGAAAACCCTCATAACAGCTAGTAAGTTCCACTTTTCTGCAATACCATTTTCTGAGCAAATATAGCTGCCACCCAAAGACAAAGAAAAAACTTATGGTATATCAGCAGACCACAAGGTGCTTGTGACTCTACTGTTATACAGATGACTAATTTGTGGGTGAGCAATGGAACTGTGTGTTCTCTAAACTAGCTCCTCTTCCCTAAGAGGCAAGCTATACTTTAACTCAGTAGTAAGGTGTCCCTCATCCGGCATGAGAGATGCTTCCAGAAAACCTTCAGCAATACCCATGGCTCCCTTACTTCTGCATAAAATGACCTTTGTGGATATTACTTGTGACTTTCTGATCAGGCATCTACATGGTAAGTGAGGGTTAACCCTCCTGTATTCAAACTCTTACACAGCAGAAATATTTCTAGGGGTCTTCTACATGGGAGCAACTATATGAGAATCAACATCTCATTGAACACAATGGTTTGGTGTAAGGCTCCAAAAGGAAAAGAGGCCCACTGCCAGTTTCCCAATGAAATCAATTTATTACATATGAAGGTACTCTGTCTACTGTTCTTGCTGAACTCTTCTATTTATGCAAAACGTTGCATGCTGTCCTTTGACTTTGGCTGCCATACTTAACCCCCAATTTGACAAAGCATTTCAGCACCTTTAACGCTATTTTTAAAAGACCAGGAAAACAACAACAAATTAACACAAAAAGTGTTGCACCAAGACCAGAAGACTTTCATGTATGATGTGAATGTAGGGAAGAAAGTTGCTGAAATTATTAAGGACAATTACTGTGTTTGAGCTGCCACCAGCACCATCAAAACTGAAGACTTGGTTCCCAGGGTTGGCATTAATTATTGTTTCCTCTAAATTACTACAGCTAGAAGAGAAATGTTTCATAAATGGGGAAATATGGAAATCCCAGAGGCAAATGACTGATTGAATGACGTTTGGCATACATTGTACATGGAAAAGCTTGTGCATTTTGTTTGATTTCAAGAAGGGAGATCAAGGTTGTCTGATGCAAGAAACTGTGTGTCAAGGTAGAACTAATCTGTTAAATATTACAATATTTGTTTTCAGGATAATACAGCAAAAGACCCTTTTTGTGGTGTAGATAGTTACTGAAGACTGTTATTTTATGAATAATGTGTGATTTGTGCATAACAATTACAGAATAACAAAGAAAAACAGGTAGTGCAACAAAAAGCTAGCTCTAACCCAATTATACATTTTAATTGTCTTGCCTGCTGTAACCCTTCTACTTTCAAGATCCCAAATTTTTACAATTCAGGAGTAAGAATTATTCTCACAAGATAGAGGAACAGCAGCACTGGAGAGATTTCTAGATAGTCAGGGAATGAATAGTGACACCCTCACCCCAGACACTGAAAATAGCTTTCATTTATCATGATACCCACAAAATTAGTGATCCCTTTGATTTGAAATACAATCATGTTTTAGGGATCACCTCTAGGAAAAGAAGAATCCTTTAAAAAAAAATGAAATAAAAATAGATATTCACTAGATTCTACCTGGGTCAATAGACTAAAACATTCCATCATCCAGACAACTGGACTGCTTGATTAATGAAGAATAAAAAAAATTCCTAACTTACATTCTGGTATTGCTGGTTTTATTTACTATAACCGACTTCCCACTCTGGTCCACATTGTGCTCCAGTCCAAAGTAAGCAGCCACTCTGTGCAATAACATTCTATGGTAAGAGGTCATGGGGGGGAATTTCTTTCGAGGGATTCTGAAAAGCAGCATCAAGTTTTAGTTTTACTTGAGTTACTACACCGTATATAATAAAAACTTCTTCAAAACCAGCAAGTAGCACTTACTCGTTATTACCAATGAAATCTAAGATTTCCTGTTCCAATTTCAGCAGCATCATTCTGTCCCTAGAAACCAAAAAACACAGGGGTGAGACAAAGGAGGTAGTCCGACAGAAGACAACAGTGCTTCCAGATGCTGTAAAATAATAAGTGTATTAAGCAAGAATACTATTTGTTCTATTAAAAAGGATTCTATGATTCTAAATCACAAATGTATTAAAATATATTAACAAGCAGAGCTTAATAAAGCCATGCTCTGCCATGGATAGGGGGGTAGGGGGGGGTTCAGGCAAATTGTTGGCACAACAACTGAGCCCAATGATATTGCATGATAGTTTGTCTTTGGATCCAGTGGATCCTGGACTGGCTCAGCCTTGGAAAGCCTTATTTGGCAGGCAGAACAAGGAGTAATGCTGGAGTAGTGGAGTAATGCTGGTGTTGTTCCACCCAGGCAGAGCCTGGCAGAGTCTCTCTGCTCCCAGGCCTCCCCTCCCAAAAAATGGTTTCTTGGTGTAAACAACAAAAGCCACATGAGTTGCAGCCGAGGCAATTGCTGTAGATAAAGGATCGCCAACATGTTTCCCTCCAGATGTTGTGGCACTACCATTTCCATCACCCCCGCCAGCATGCTAGCTGTGGTCCAGCAACATCTGCCGGGGTCCACATTGGCTTCCCCTGCTATAGCCCCTGCTTTCCATCATATTAGCCATCACTTATGTAAGTTTCTGTACCGATTTCAGCAGATAATCATTCAGACAAAGCTATCTTAACATATGAGTAAAGGGAATGGAAATAATCATTTGAAAAAGTAGGCTTTGATGCAGCAGGATACAGAAATATAAATATTTTAAGGCTTTACACAAGGCATCCTAAAGCAGTGATTCCTAATTGGGGTCTGCGTAACCCACCCATGGCACCATTCCATACCCCTCAGCTGTCCGGGTCATGTGAAAAACTTATATTCAAAACTTATTTCCATAGTTATGAGCTAATTGGGAACCACTGTCCCAGAGCAATATTTGAGGCACTTACTAGTACCACAAACTAAAATGAGTAAGAAAATTTGAATTTAATAAATTTGAATTTAAAAACAACAAACTACCACCTCTTTACCTGGGATTATTTTTCAACGTATTTACTAAAAACTCATGTAGATCTATACCAGTTGAATCTGTATATTCTTGGCTAGAATCTAAAAAGAAAAAAGAAAGAAAAATCCAGGATTGGAGAAAATATATTAATTATTTTAGTAAAATATATTCCTTATATGTTAAGAGCTGTCCTTTTTACATATTAATAAACAGAACACCACATTTGGAAGTATATTTGGAAGGGGGGGCACACTTTCTGGCAACTCCCCCCTCTATACCCCACACTATTCCCAAGGGTCACCCAAACTAAACCAGGGGTAATCCCCTTTGACACATCTTGCCAACCACATCTTGGTTTAATAGCCAATATATGAACATGTCTTGGGAGCAGACAAGAAACCCCTTTACTCCTTCCTTTGTGAAAGCCAACAAGCAAGAAAGGAAGTCTTGAGCTAACTATAAATTTCCTTTTTTGTCCAAACCAGGAAACTATGGTTAATAGTTCCAGAATATGCCAGAAAATTAAGCCAGCTTTAAACCATGGTGTCATATCCCAGCTTGTTCCCAAGTTGAAAAACATTGTTTCCCAGTTGAGACAACTTCCTGGGTTGTTTGTTCTCTTGATCATATAAAAGGGGGGGGGGGGAGACCACAAAGCTTGTTCATATCTTGGGTTATTAAGTAGAGATGTGATGATCCAAACATGGCCACTGAAATCTTACTTCTGAACAAACATGCACAGAATCATACAATAACTTTGGTGACGGCCTAGTTTTTGTCCTTGGCCTTTCCCCACCTTCTGGCTTCTGAATGAAAGAGGGAGTAGATAAAAACGTTCTCAATCAGGTCCAGGCCACCGTCCTATTCCAGTTATACTTCTCCACCCTCCCCCTCCCCCCACTGCCACCTCACAGCATTCCTGCTAGATTAATGAGATTTTTAAAAAGAACGATAGATAGCAAACCTCTTGATAACATTTTCCTGGGCAATTTATCAATGGACTTTTCCTTTTCTGCTTCATCTTTCAAGGGTTTCTCCTCCTTTTCAAAAGACTGTGTTAGCTGGATCTGAATTTTCTCCTGTTGAAAAGTAAAATCCGTCATTTTTTCCCCTCCCACTATGAAAAATGTGTCATTTTAAGCAATCAACCAACTGCAGCGGAGAGCCTAGTATGTTGGTTGGAATCCAGAAAGGAATCACACAGCATTGTCTTAGAACCTCTCAATCCATTTAAAAGGAAAATTGATTTATTAGCATTATTTTATTTCCCACAAACCCACTATGTGTCTTTAGTGCACAACATAGATTTCAGTGGCTGGGGCCAAACAAAACCCAAGCAGTGGTCCAGTTATAATGCTACAGCAAACATGGATTAGCACAGACAAGCAAATATATGGGCATTTGCTTCGGGTTTTGCATTGTCTCTCAGCCTGGGCTCATGCTTTATTTCGCTAGAGAGTCAAACCATGTGTTTTAACCAAGATTTGTTCTCTGGCTTACCACTCAGGGGACATAATGTCGGGTCAAAACATGGCTTTGCTCACAGCAGCACAACAGCAGTAGGACCAGAAAAAGAGCAACGCAGCCATGATTTTCTCAATGGAAACCTGGACATTTGCTTGTTTACGCTAAAACATGGGTTTGGCTTAACGTTACATGAAACTAGGTAATTATGGCTGGCCATTCGTTTCAGCATTTAGATGGCAATTCTATCCCCACTTACTTGTGAGTTAACTCCACTGAACTCAGTAGGAGTTACAAAAAAACAAAGTTGATGGTGCAGATTCCCATTCCCTGGAACTAACAAAGGACACAGAACTGGGGGGTGGGGAGAAGGAAAGATGCATTCTGTAAAGCTAACTCCTCCCTTGTAGCGATCTTTCCTTTAGTTTATGTATTAAAACAACAACAACCCATTTTAGTGCCTGGATTTGACAGAATTTACATTGATACAGATTTTTTTTATTTTGAACAATTTGTCACATACCTTTAACATATTGCTTTAGTCTTTTTTCGTTTATCTAAATCTTTCCAAAATGACATTTGCTACATTGGACACAACTCTATAAATCTGATTTAAGGGACGTGAAATATAGTTGCAGCTAGTGGAACAGTGCTCATTTATGCCATTGAAGACAGAACAGCAGCAAAATAAATAAAGTATTCATTAAATTTTCAATTGTAACTCGTTTCAACATTCACCAGAGAATCTTCAAGAAACAGAAATGAATTCAAGTTGAGAACCTTGCCAGAGAATAACTACTATAGAGCACACAAAAACAGAAATGGTTGAATTATGCCATAAACTGCACAAAACACCACTGTTTCAAAAACTAGTTCAGTCTACTTTAAAAAGGAATATATACCAAACTTTCCCAAAGTATCAAAATAACACAGTTATAAATATTACGATGTGTAAACTAGTCATAAAACATTTATGGAAACATGACTTTTTGCATTCATTCATCTTTTAAAACGAGCTTCAGATTTTGGTCTTTTTACAACAATGTAGTCTTTCAGTCCAGTTCAAATTAAACCTTGCAGTAACTTTAATGTTCATGAAAGATGAAGTTTTCAATGGACTCAAACACATGGGGAATGTCCCTGATAGTGCATCACATGTTGGTGGACCTAGCCTTTTCAAAAGCATTAATCACCACAGAAACACTGTGCCATATTATTGCTCTGACTTTTTAATATCATGCTGGTCAATGTCCATCTATCCTGCCATAAAGGAAAGTCCAATATATTAAGCTAAGAAAATAACAAGCTGCCAAACATCTTGAACACATCCTTGCTTTAATGTATACCATAGAAACTTTAAGTACAAACCATCCGATGGCATAACCAATTGAGGATTACAATATGCAGGGGGTCAGATTTGATGACCTTCCCTTCCAACTCTACAATTCGATGACTGGACAATACTGAATTTAAGGACTGTTCAACTAAGCTTGAGAGGGGTGTCTCCTGCTTTGTGATTAGGCATTTCACTTTATATCCTTTTGGCCCCTTTCAACTGTTAAGTATACCAACTAGGGATCACGAATAGGATTTCCTGAGCTACATACTGTATTGGCCCGAATATAAGCCGCACCCAAATATAAGCTGCAACTTATATAAGCTTGGGGGGGAGGAGAGAGAGAGAGAGAGAGAGAGAGAGAGAGAGAGAGAGAAAGAAAAAATATCTGAATATAAGCCACTCCATTCCTTGCTGCTCCTGGCTGCATACTGGGGGGGGGGGGGTGCGCTGCGTTGCCAGCAGCCTTTCCCCTTCCTTGCTCTCTCCCTTCCCGGCCTTGGGGGAGAGTACGGGGGACTGCACACGGGGCGGACGCTGCTTCGCCACGTTCCTGGCGCTGTTTGCCCTGCGCTCCTGGCTGCATACCGTAAGGTCAGGAATATAAGCCGCACTTTAACTTTTCACAGCTGGAATTTGGGGAAAAGGTGAGGCTTATATTCAGGCCAATACGGTATAAAGTATACAGATTAGGCCCTCTGCTACTGTTCTCAAAGACTCAAATTTGCATAACATCTGTGAATATTTTTAGGTCATATTCAAATTTTTACCCTTGTCTTGCAGGTGGGGGGTGGGCAGGCCTGAAACAAATCTGGAGTTACACACAGGTAATAAGTTTGACAAAGAGAATGCCAACAGGTGTTTACAGCAAAATACGAACAAACGCCAGTTAGCTAACTGTGTGAACAAAAATACTCTGAGAATATGTAGTTTCACACTTTAAACTAACTTGTGATTCTTTTTGCTCCAGCCAGTCCACTAATTCTCAGCCTAAAGGGCTGGCTCCTCTAAGAATGGCAGCTCCATGAGCAGAATGAATGGGTCTCCTAACAACTCTCAGCACCCTTAATAAACAATAGTAACCGGGGTTGGGGGGGGAGCCGTGACTGTATAAAGTGGTTTGATACTGTTTTAAATGTATAGCGAAGATGGAGCGTAAGTTCGCTTTACAGTGAATTTCTTCTGGTTGCTAGGATGGAAGAAAACTATACCAAACAGGAAATAAAAGTGCAGTAAATCAGAGGGAGAAACAACAACACTTTAGGACAGCAGGTTTCAAATCTATTGCCCAGTGTCCAAACAGCTCACTTACCAAACACAGATCTCACTTCACTGATTAAAAACACAAAAAGGCAGGTGCAGGCTGGCTCATCTCAGAAAAGTCTCTGGGTGAGTGGCTCTACATAGCTTCAAAACTTTCCTTTCAGAGCATACAAAAATCTGTTTTGAGGTTGTCTTTTTACTGAAAGCTACGAGTCCAGACCCTTGGTTGGCTCTGGGCCCAGTGCACAAAGCCTAGTCCCCTCTCAGTGGCCTTGATCTCCTTACTTACTCAGGGCTCAACAAAAATTAATCTAAGTTACTCTCAACACACCATACTTCCTGTAGTTTAGCAAATTGTGAAGATACAACAAAACAACTGTACTGCAAAATCTACCAATATCATTTTAGAGAATGAAAGAGAAATGCTTCTGCTTCGATGGAAACCTGACTCACCCTCACAGCTGAAGTTAAAAGAGAAATATGAGAAATCCGTTCATTTCGGAGAATAATTCAACCCTACATTACAATTCTGATTTGACTGATGGTTTTTTTTTTGTTTTTTGTTTACAAAAAAGTAACTCCTAACACCTCTCTTGCATTTGAGTGTAGGAATCTATTATCTTTTCCAACCCCTGCTTCCATTATGCCAGAGATGTCAAGGAGGCTCAGGCAACTATAGTGCTAGTATCACTTCTGAATATACACAAGACAATATGACTCTCTTAACTATGGAAGCAGAAATCGGATCCTCATACTACAATGGAATGTTGTAAGGTATGAGTCATGACCCCCCCACCCACCCAAGTAGTTAGCTAATTTCCCTGATGAGGATTTGCATTTAGTAAATAACTTAGTATAAGTTGATAACAAATAACAGAATGCATACCCTTGCTATTAAAGAGAAATAATCTTATTACTGCTCACTGACAACTAAAATGATACAGATACCACATGCCAAAGAATGTACACCAGCACACTGAAAGGAACACCTATTTTAAAAGGTAGCAACTTTCTGACTTGTGAGTTCAAAAATAACAACAAAACAACAACTAAGCACTTATTTTACTTGCAAAAGGGAGGAGAAAACTATATTCCTGTCAGATATATATTTGCAGCAGGGTGGGGGAACCCTGCTTTCATTTCTAATCCCTGTCACCTACGTCATAATACTGAGCACCACATCATCCAACTTCTCCCATTACTTTCTATTTCTTGACTCATTTAGACCTTTTCCAGTTGTACCTTGGGCTTGCTCATACAGCACTAAATCATGGATTAGTGTTCCATGCAAACCAGGCCAATGACTATAATAAAGCCCTATGATACAACTGCATTTGCTCAGGAGTCCCCACACAGGGCAGACTTTTAAAGAGATTTACAAGACAATCCCACTATGCTGCTCTAGTAAGATGGACTCATAAGGCCACACTGGTGTCAAGGGAAGAAGTACCGTATTTCTACAGAACACAAAATTCAGGAACATTAAATATGACTGCTTCAACATCAGAAAACAAGTCTCTAAGTTACTAGTAGGTATACTGCAAATCACTTTATTGATTGCAGAGCTAAACCTTCTATAATGTATTAGTCACACACAGATATTCTAGAGTTACCAAACATTCAAAAATCAAATGACTTTGTCAGCCAGAAAGCTGGGTATGAGCCACAGGAGACACAGAGCATGTGTGCAAACTATATTCACTCAACCTAAGTACTTTTATATTATTGATCAAGGGAATGATTTAGTGTTCTATCGTGATGAATTGTTCACACACCAACATGCATCCATAGGCGTACACTTCCTTTTCTAGCTGCTCACATATTCCCCAAAAGGGCTAACTGCAACCCTACTCCCGCTCTCTTTCAAAACATTCTTTAAAGAGCAAAAAACCCAGGTTTCAGGTCTCATACTCAATTTTATTTTTACCTGGATGTCCTGTGAAATTTCAGCTGTGGGAGGTGGAGGAGATTCTTCACACACAGCCAGGCCCCGAACTAGCTTTAACTTTGTACTTGACTAAAGAAAAGTATTTATAAATTAAAAATCTACAGTTCACAGATAGTTTTCCTCAATTTAACTTACTGCCAAGCACATAACAAAACTGCTCACATTCGTATGCTGACTATTTTCAATACACAATCATTCATTACGAGAAGGCAAAAGAACAAGCAGTTAAAGCTTTAAAGTCATCATGATTATCAGCAGAAAGCAACTTCAGTTACTGGAAAAAAAATTAAGCAAAGAGAAGCACTATTTCCTCTGTCTAGCAACAAGAAGCCACTAGAAATATACAGGCAAAGCAAAACAAAACAATTAGGCAAATCAAAAATCCAAAACAAAAATACTTTATTGCCAAAGAAAAGAACAAAACTGAAGTCAATACATATTTTCACAAAATAGCAAGGCTTCATCAAGCATGAAGACTTCCTTAGCATGCCAGCACACAAGTCTACTGTACCTTTGACCTTTTTCCTGTCTGTCCAAAAGACTGCACTGGCCGCTGAATGGTGAGCATAACAAAAGAGAGTTTGCATTAAAACTTTATGCACTGACTGTATAAAAGCATTAATCAATTCACCAGTGTGCACAGCAGAGAGAAAACAATTCCATGCTGACCATTATTTGCAGAATTATCCATCCTATGAGCAAATGCAAAAGGCATGGTCCCAAGATCTTTGGATGGAGAAACATCAACCTTCCTTTCTAGAACAATAATTCTGTTTATACGTTGAAAAGTCTGTCAAGTTTATAACTTGCTAATGAAAAGTTAACACACCCCAGGACAAGTGCAAAAAAAAATATGTCCCTGCCCGCTCTGCCCCCCACATCTGCTCAGCTCAGACTGGCAAAGGGGTTACACAACTGTCAGAAACTAAAGAAGATTATTGTTTCTAAAACAGCATTGTCGCCACTTAGCCAATACTCTTCTGCCTGGTTTAAGTTCTGGAAAGTAACTACTGTTCTTACCACCTTTTACTGTATTCCTCAGAGAAAATGCCATCTTCAGTAGGCACTAATACACATATAAGCAAAAACATCCTGCTGAAAGCAATCAAACTTTATATCAACAGTAATCTGATCAGCCACTAGGTACAGCCAATTTGCTACTGCCTGCCACAAGTTGAAAATGGTCTGGAAATAACCTGCATCAAAACTACTACTTCATCCAGTATAGAAACGACACATGACTAGGCCTGGGTGATATATCAATATACCGCCAAGGACCGGTATGAGGAACAGACTGTGGTCAGCTTCACTCAGCGGAATATCACTGGTGAAACCGCCACTATTCCTGAGTCCCTCTGCTAGTGACTTCCTCCAGCAAGCATTGCTGGCAGAGAGACTTAGGAGTATTAATGTATTTAAACCCAAGTGCCGCTCATCTTTCTAAAGGTGCTACATAGAAATAGTCCAAAGCAGCCCGATTTGGACAGTTGTTTTCAGTTGTGGATCTCCAGAATTGTGTAAAGGTAAAGTAAATATGCTTGGTGATACAATTCTAAATCTGGGATCCCAAATCCTCCTTCCTTTATCGGTATCTGCATTGTTTGCATGTATATTCTTGGAACTGAAGAGACCCTAAGGCATTTTCTAAACAAAGATTTAATTTTGTGAAAGCATTTGCTTGCAAGTTCTGAGATAAAGCTGAAGGTTCACTAGCCCTTGGAGGTAAATTAATTGCTTGCAGAAATTCTGGATGCTTTTCTTCAAGTTAAAGATAATAAGTGGTTACTGCTTAGAATGTCTTAAGCTACATCAGGCAGAGGCAAACTTGGCCCTTCAGATGTTTTGGGACTACAACTCCCATCATCCCTGACCACTGGTCTTCTTAGCTAGGGATGACGGAAGTTGTTGTCCCAAAACATCTGGAGGACCAAGTTTGCCTATGCCTGGGCTACATTTTAGAACTATTTAGTTTGAAAGCAATTCAGAAAGGGAGACATCTTAACAGATATAAAAATATACATGGTGGAGAGGAAGAGAGAGAGAGAGAGAGAGAGAGAGAGAGAAAGAGAGAGAGAGAAACCCGGGGTTATCAAATCAGGAGAATCAGGACAAAGGCACTACTTTTTCCACACACTGCATGATTAAACTACAGTTTAGACAGTAGTCTTCTTCTCAATGAAAGCGACCAATCTCAGGTCAGCCAATGCTTTTAGTCACAATAGCAATATATTCCCCCCAGAATGAAAGCCTCTGATTATCAGTTGCTGGAGAACCACCGTGGGAGAGAGAAACTGAGCTCATATCCTCCTTACAGGCTTTCCACAGGCACCTGGCTGACCACTGTAAAGGAAGAGGATGCCAGACTGAGTAGTCTGATACACCAAGCTCTTCTTATTACTACACAAAGGTAACGTTCCCTAGAAACATCCCTTGATGGTGGATAAAGCTACTGTAAACAACCTCTTCAGAAAAGATATACCGTAAATTTCGCTCCATAACACACAGTTTTTTCCTCCTAGAAAGTAAGGGGAAATGTCTGTGCGTGTTATGGAGCGAATGCCTACAGATGGCGGGGGAATCTGCTGCAGTCGTGAGCAGTCCGTGGCTCGCTTTGAAACAGCAAAGCGGGTGTAAGCGGCTCCTGTCAGCTAGTGGAGCCGGGGAGGAGGGAGAGAAGCAGAGCGGGAGTTGGCTGCTTTAAAACAACCCCTGCTCTCTGTCCCTGCCTGCAGTTTTTTGCTGTCCGATTTTGGATTAGCCACTGTAGGGGCTGTGTGTGTGTGTGTGTGCTTGAGCTACCGTTCTCCTCCTCCTGCGTCCCCTTCACTCTCCCAGCGCCCCTGCGACTTTAGAATTGACACTCTGTGTGTCTGTGTGTGTGAGAGGGCTCCTTCTCCTTCTCTTGCTTCCCGTTCACTCTCCCTGCGCCCCTGCGACTTTAGAATTGACACTGTGTGTGTGTGTGTGTGTGTGTGTGTGTGGGCTCCTTCTCCTTCTCTTGCTTCCCGTTCACTCTCCCAGCCCCCCTGCGCTCTCCCAGCGCCCTGCGACTTTAGGATTGACACTCTGTGTGTCTGTGTGTGTGTGAGGGCTCCTTCTCCTTCTCTTGCTTCCCGTTCACTCCCCCAGCGCCCCTGCGACTTCCAGCGCCCTGCGCCTTTAGGGCCAGTTCTCTCTCTCTCTCTCTCTCTCTCTCTCTGTGTGTGTGTGTGTGTGTTTTGACCTCACTGCACTTGTTGGGGGAGAGTGTTGGTCGCAATTTTTCTTGATTTGTCTCAGAGTGGTTACTATTGTGATTTCCTTGCCGGGGAGGAGGGAGAGAAGCAGAGCCTGCTTGTTTTAAAGGAGCAAAGCCGGAGAGGAGCCTCTCCTGCATTATTAGCAGCATCCTTCTCCACACACCCCACGCGTGCTCCTTGTCCCTTGAGTGCTTTTCCTTCCCTCCCCACTTAAAACATGGTTACAAAGCACGGATCCACATGGATCCTCAGGATTTTTGCACTGGGTCACCCCAAACTCACCATCAGATCACATGTCTGTGGCCATAGCATGAACCACAAAAAACATACATCCACTGTTTCGTTTAGAATATTTTTTTCTTGTTTTCCTCCTCTAAAAACTACGTGCATGTTATGGTCAGGTGCGTGTTATAGAGCGAAAAATACGGTAAATATCTTTTGTTTGTTCATCTAACAGTGAGCTAGACCTTTAAATACATGTATAGTTGTTTTTCAAGTGTAAGAAAGAATCTAGGGGCAGGCTTAGGCAACCTTGGCCCTCCAGATGTTTCGAGACTACAATTCCCATCATCCCTGACCACCGGTCCTGTTAGCTAGGGATCATGAGAGTTGTAGTCTCGAAACATCTGGAGGGCCGAGGTTGCCTATGCCTGATCTAGGGTCCAAGATCCTTCTACTAGGCCTATTGTTAGAACTTGCCCAATTTCAAGTGTGCAAACTGTGAGATGGCGGTTTTTGGTAATACAGTGTGCACGTGTGAGATGCAGCTGCATTTGCACCAAATGAGAGATTAGGAGATCATGCAAAGAGTCCTAGTGGTGGAGCTGTATAATCCAAGGCTGACAAACAGTCAGATGCTTAGGATCACTGCTATAGGAGCAAGTTTTATAATTGATGCAGGCCTGAAAGGAACAAAGTTATTTACAACAGCATGCATAAAACAGTAGCATGCATAAAACAGTTGGTGCTTTTATGCATAAATTATAAATGTTGACTTCTGATAATGTATGTGGTTTACATTAAGGATAAAGTGCTGTTTTTGACAGATTTTGTCATAGATTTTTTTTGTCCTTTCCTATTTAGCATTGCTAGCCTTCTTGATGCATAACATCACCCTGATAAGGTAACTCTACAAAAGAACTGATGCCCCCAAACTGGAACAATGTAGGTGTGCATTGCCAGATGCAGTAGGTACCTGTAGAAGTTGTCAGCTTTAAATGTTTTCAGTCTTAGGCACCAATTCTAACCACACTTATCTGGGAGCAAGTCCCATTGAATATACAGTTAGGATTGCAGTCTTAAAATTAGAGCCTCTTGCATATATTACCATGAATAAAATTTTAAGGAAAAATGATTTGGAGCCCAACTTGTGCAACAGAATCTCCCCTTTCTACCACCTGTAAGTCCCTAAATCTGTTATGGATTTAGGGGTCCTCCAAATCTTCTGGAACAGATCTGGGGAGGGTGCAAGGTGCATGCAGAGATGGGAGCAGAGCAGAGTGGAGGTAGAAGTTCCACAGTGTACAGTAAGTTAGTATCCGCAGGAAGCAAAAATAAAATATCTGAGCTTACCATAAAAAGCAAAATGGGGTAAAGGAGGAAAGGAGAACAACATGGAAGGAGAGAAAGAGCTCCACTGTGACTAATAGATCATGCTTATAACCAGAGGGAATGATTTCATATGGAAAGTGAACTCCTATAAACTTAAAGGGTGCCTAGCATTAGCACCCCTAGAGGCACTTGCTTGTAATTTGGCAGTATGCCTGCAAATTTCATCTGCTTCTGTTAAATGGAGTGTGGGAAAGGCTTTTTCTTTTCTTTTTACATTTCCTAATGGTGAATGAGGAGGAAACATGAATCACACTCTGATGGAAACAGCCTAATCTGGAAACCTATGTAGTGTCTCAGAGAAAGGTTCCAAAGTGCTAAATCATGGCCTAAACAAAATCCTGCCACCCATGCATGCCCCCTCATATATATAGATGCATTCATTCTTTACTTAAAATTGCTAAAATCATTACAATGAAAATCAAGGCCTGTTAAAGAGAAACTTACATGTAGCAGGCTTGCATCAATGCTTAATTCGAGTAAAAGAAATCATCAACAGCACAATTTGTATTAAGTAGGTGGCATTTGGAGGAAGGATTTTTCTATCTCATTCATTTTACAAGTATCTTTTCCTAACAGATGGGCAAACCTTTTAACTGTAATCTAAAAACCAGGTGCAAATTGCTTCTTTCAGTCTACTTGCAAATAACATGAGAACTGCCTATAAAGCACTTTTTCTGAATAAGAGTGTGCAATATGATTGCATTCTTCAAGAACAAAGATTAAGGGAATAAAGATGCCAAAACAACAGGTGATGGGAAGCGGTAAGGACTCAGGAGGTTAGTAGTACCTATAACACAGAGAGTTTCTGCATGACACTAATTTCCACATAGTAGTGTTAGAAACAGATGTGAAAGCTAGGAGCTAAATGGCACTTTAAACCTAGGTTATGGGCGCAACAACGGAATATCTAGGCACGCTTTTTTATAACAAGAATACAAAGCTGGAAATGAATGAACTGCAGCTAATAATGTATTTTCACGTGGTCTAGTCCTTCCCCATCCCACCCCCTAATATTCTTAAGAGGGTCTCGCTTCCACTCTTCAGAGAGTAGCTGGAAGTGGGGAGGCACGAAAAGGTCCTTATTTCCTTCCACTCTGCAGTTTTAATCTGAAATATTAGACGCAGTACTGTGCCCAGAGCTCAGAAACTGCTTGTGCTAATGAAATTCCCTGTTACAAAATGCGCCTAGAACAATGGGAGTTTCGAACACTGCCACATAGCCTCGGTTTAAAAAATAATTTCCACATGGCTTATACTGAGAACACACTTCTGCTCACAGGCCTACTGCATGTACCTATTGGGGTGAGGGAAACATTTCTCACAGTGTCACCAGACATTCATAGCAGGAAACTCCCCATTCACATACAAGCCACTCTGAATGTTATAGCTATCACATGGAAGCTTCTTCAGGCATTATAATGCTGAAACCAGCATAAATTGTGTTAGATCTATTGCTCTTAATACTTGGGGGAACTGTATCACGGTCTATCCCAAATCATAAATGAGCAACTAAGCTATAATCAAATACAATCAAGTCACATATTGTTTATAATCAGCGCCAACTGTACTATTTCTACTTTATGTAAAACAAAAATCCGACAAATGCCAATGTCAAGGAATGCAAGGTATTCAAGAACTCAAAGACCAAAAGTAATGTAGCACTGAGTATCAAACAGGTTTGTCATTAAGACCCAGTGAGGCCAATGTCTTGTACAGCAAAGGCATGCAGGGGAAAGAATATGAGAGGTGTGTTCTTCCGCTTCATCACTGTGTTCGCCTTCTTTCAATTCCAAAACTAAAAAAAGGTCTACAATGACATGGTGTCAGTAACTTGCTTTGAGTCTAAACCACCTCCTCTTATTCACTTGCCCTCTTGGAACTGCATGTGGAGGCTGGCATTACATTAGTCTGAGCAGTGGAACGAACAACAGCAGCAGAAATGCTGAAGCCCTGCCTGGAGTACAGGCACTGGAACACTAGGTACTGGAAGCACTGTGAAGTTCCCTTATTTCCTTAGAAATATTCGCTCACAGGGCTTCTCTAATTTCCTGCAGCATTGCTTCATTCAGTTGTAAAGGCTGGTCTGTGGGGAAAAGGGTAGGCTACTCGCATGAGTTTGTATCAGTTGCTATAACCACAATACGGACCATTGACAAATCTATTGCTGGCTTTACTAAAACTACAGACCCCTGCTGACAAACTCTAGGGGATAGATTAAAACCATTATAGTCATTACTTGAGGAAGAGGAATTCACTACCTCTGTACTTAGCTTATGAGAAGTCCCTTCTTCCTCCAAAAGCAGCTCCATTGTGCCCCTACAAATCAATGCAAGGCAGGAGAGAGATATTTGTTGACCATTTTCTGAGCGCTTCACAACAACTCAGCAGCAGATGGCTGCACCATAGTTGCTACCTCTGTCACTTAGATAAGTGGCAAAACAATCTATGGCAGGGCTGAAGAGGTTGAGGAACCAGACATTCCCGCCAAAACTGCTGCAGCAGTTGCACACACTATTTTGCCTGCCACAACACCAACAACTCCCAACTGTGGGCAAAGTACTGAACATGCATTTCGCTGGGACACCTGGCATTGTGGTGCAGTGGGGCTTCTTAAGCTTTCCCCTTTTGCCACCTTTACATGCTAACCGCAAACTTCAGCAGACTGCCTGCCTGCACATAAACACACACAGGAAGAGGAAGTGTGGGTGTAATTTAAGTGGATTAGGAGAACTGAGATGACAAAATATTGGCCAGAAGGTCTAAGTGGGTCCGTAAGGCCAGCGCAAGCCAACCTGATGGGCAGGTTTCAATCCTGTTGGGTGCTGCTTGACCAACATGATTGAATCCTCAGTCAGTAGAGCATGAAACCCTTAATCACAAGCCTGTGGGTTCGAGCCCTACATTGGGTGAAAGATTCCTGAATTGCAGGGGGTTGGACTAGATGATCCTTGTGATCCTTTCCAACCCTACAAAATTATAATCCTATGATTCTCGTCAAGCTTGTGAGGAGAAGGTTAACCAGCTGGGTGTTGTTTCGTCAGGGAACATGTTGATGAAGCAGATCCTTCTCCTGCAGGTCAACTTTGACAGGTGGGTAGCATTCAGGCAAAGGCATTTAACCCTTTTAAGATGGCTAGACCCTAAGCCACCTTTAAGTTTACTATTTTTTAAAAAAGATGGCTTTCCATTTTTGTTGAGTTAAGCAGAATATGAATGCTTAAGTAAGCAAAAAACTGAAGCACTTTTGAAATGAACCAATTTATATAATTTGGAAAGACAAAACACAACCACACATACAGAGTAAAAAGAGGAACCACCACACAGCAAAATTCATGTATTCCGTTCATGGAGCGTGTTGTTTGGGCCACTGAATGGAGACAAATTGCCTGACTTTGCAATCAGGTCAAAACAACAGATATTAATTTAGGCTCGATGTGTTTTATCAAGCAGCATGCAGTCACAATATTAATAGTGAGATAATAACTCTACAATTTGGTGCAACAGAACATGTACTGCTACCAAAATACCTCCATCTCCCTATCTGGGAAAATTGGCAAACGTACCTTCATATCTATTCAGGAATAACTGAAAGCAAACTAACAAGTAAACAATAAGGGAAGGGAAATGTAAAGAAAGAGAAAAATATACATGCAGTTTCTGTTATTAAAACATCATTGAAGTTGAATGGCATCTCACAGTAGGAAATTGTGGGGTGGAACCTAAAAAGTGCAGTAACACTAAAGAATTCATTGCTCAATATGCATTATGAGGGTGAAAATAAGGTGAAAGAAATCTCTTACCTGCACATCATTTTTATTATCGGTACACCTTTCATCCTTTTCCACTTGAATTCGCTCGTGGCTTTCTGATTTTATGAAGGGTTGCACTGCAGTGTTGTGTTTTACCTCCGTTTCTGAATCTTTCATTGTTTCACCTCCCTCCTTTACAGTAACAGTATCAGTCATCCTCATTAGAAAAGGTTATTTTAAAAATCTAAAGGAAATATGGAGCCTTAAAAAGAAGAGGAGGAGCCATTATAATTTGTGTTCTCCTAGTTCACATATTATATAACATAACTGTAACAAGAACAATATCTAATCCATGCTTAAAAATAATCCATTTTCTCCATGAACATCCTTTCATCATGAACGACCACAATTACAGATCTCAGAACCAATTTAAGTATCAAAACTAAGTCTGAAAACCAAACAAGATTTATTAAGCTTTAAGAGTAAGAACTATGAAAGTCCATTTATTAAAACTCCAGTGTGATTCCCCAACTAGAACTTTGAGCTTGATCCAAGAAAATGTCATTTTCAGTAGAATATTCTCTACCTATTATTTGTACTAAACATATAGAGTGGAAATCCAGTCATAAGATGCTCCTTTTCAGAACCCCCAAAAGCTGTTCCAGAGCACTGGATGAATTTGTGGAACAGAACAGGAGGTGATGGGGGATGCAAGTGGAAATTACCTCCCCCTTTATTCCAGTGGGAGCCTCTACTGGATCTCAAATTATTTTATAAAAAGAAGAAGTCCTTTCATTCATGGAAGGGATACTTTGGATCCAATCCACAGTATTTAAAAATCAGACAATCTGAGGGGGCCACTAGGGGGCGCATCGGAAGATGGCTGACAATAACATCTCTCCGACCCACATGAGGTAATTTGGAGGCTATGATGGGGGTAATTAGCCTCCTTAACCCCTCCAGGATTGTGGGGACGGCCCTGCCTGCTGTGCCCTATACCACCCCGAATTTGTGGGGATGGGGGCACTAGGCACAAAGCCCTCCTGTGGGATTCCGGCACTCCTCGATGCCGTCTCTGATCTGCGCCACTAGTTGCAAGAATCTTCAAAAGAAACAATTTGGACGAGATAAATTGCACATACTTCAAGGAAAGAGGGGGAGTAAAGACTGCTGACAGAAGAGATCTCTGATAAAACAAGACAAGAATAAAATATAAGAAGATACGTCAAGATACGGTACGGCAAATGACTGAGGGGGGAGGGGGGGAAACCCTCCTTTATTTCTCTATGTGATTAAACAAGAATCCCTCCCTAATGAGTCAGAAATGTCGTTTTAAGGACTTAAGCTGTGGATTTAAGGCTGTGTGGAGATAAATTTTCGAACCAAAGCAATGTTCCAAGACGAAGCTGGAAAGTTAAGAGTTTTGGAATGACGCAGTTAAAAATGCCGTCGCCATTTTGGGAGGCACTGTCGGAGCTCTTGAGTCTGGGAGGAGAAAGAGAGAAACAGAGTTGTTTACATATCGTGGATTAACTCCTCAGTGGGACTTAAGAGTGACAACTGCCTAATTTATGATGGAAAGAGCGATGTTATCTACGAAGGAGATGATATATGGAAACCATCTGGACTTAGATTGGAAGAACGGGAAATTCACACAGGATTATTATATTTGCTTATCGGCTTAAGGAGACTAACAGAAGAGATCGTAAAGGGAAAGAGAAATTATATGAACAAGATATGATGTGGAAACACCAAGATAAGATTGGATAGAACTATGAACTCTGTTTGGACTGATTGGGACTGATTTGGACATTAATGCAGTAATAAGAAGATGATTTGAATCCCCCTTTGGATCTTGAAGTATGGGTTCCCCCAACAAAATTTAAAAATTTGGCTTTGTAATTTGGAATTTATGTGATGTGATTTAATTTGATGTGATTGGCCAGTTAATAAAAATTATTTAAAAAATAAAAAAATAAAAATCAGACAATCTGTTAAGAAAATTTAAAATGAATAAAAGCAGGATACATGAAAAGTAAGGGAAGGCCAATGACAAATATTCAAAAAATGGATTAGCCATTTATTAGGCCACGCAAAATGTCACAAGTAATATAGTAAAAGCTTTTGTTTCCCTCTCCTCTATCTTTGCCCTCCATTGCCATTCCCCTTGTCTTTTTAGTTTGTAAGCCTGATGGAAAGACTTCTGTCTCTCTCTTTATTTTATTTTGTTGACATCAGCCACCTTGGGAGACAATAAAAGCAGGATAAAAATATACATAAATACACACATAGTCAACAGCTATGGGGTCCATTCTACATACTTAAGTCTTTAAGACTGTAACCCTAACAACGCAAACTATGAGCTAAGTTCCATTGGACACAGTGGGATTTTTTAGTAAACAGGCAAAGGATTTGCACTGTTAAGTAGAAAACTTAGACCTTTAAAAAAAAAAAAATCTTATTTAAAAGAGTTACATAATCAATAGCTGCTTGGCATTACTTGCCTGGTGTATCCTGTAGATCTGCGACTGCGGTCTCCCACGAAAATAAAATAAAATAATCCAAGGATCTTTTTCACAGTCGCCAACCAAGATGTCAGTTGTGATGAACCATCTGGAATCTGGCAGGAGTCCCATGTCCTTATCACCATTGGAGACCCCTGGACGGTATTATATTGTCGGGCATCAGAAATACCATCCCTTTTAGACACCTAAAACAATTTTTTATATATATATAAAAGTCAATCCAAAGTTTAGAATCTTTTAAAAACATGACATTAAGCCCATTCTCTATAATCCATTCAATAGTATCCTCCCAGATTGCCTTTGAAATGTGGGAAGTGTACAATCTTCAAGATACACTTAGCAAGTTATTCTTAATAATGACCATTAGTAAAACTAGCGGTAAGTGAAGAAAACTGGGTTGCAAGACATCACAGTATAATTTCAACCATAATAAATTTGAGATTCATCAAATTAAGACAGAAACATGAATCTTATTGCTACAGAGGTTGTTGTGTCTTCAAAATGCTTGCTTTGGCAAAAACGTGCATACTATATCCTAATGTGTTCTACCATCAGTATCAGACGCAGTACGATCAGCTCACAAAATCAGGCAGGATGGCATAAGCACTAGTGCAGGCACCCCCAAACTTAGCCCTCCAGATGTTTTGGGACTACAATTCCCATCATCCCTGACCACTGGTCCTGTTAGCTAGGGAAGATGGGAGTTGTAGTCCCAAAACATCTGGAGGGCCAAGTTTGGGGGTGCCTGCAGTAGTGTAAGGCCACAGTTGTGCCATTGTACCATCATTACAATTTGAAGCTTGTACTATGGCTCAATTAGGTGGGTGGGGGAAGCAGCCCTATTGTGCTGGTTCCCACTAGTACAATGATTCAGTCGAATCTGGCCCACTGTCTGACCAAGTTTAAGATGACTTCCCCTTGTTAGTGTGCCATACACCCAAGTATTTCTTTAGTATATTGTTGTTGTTTTAATTAGCTTTTCACAAGTCAATAACAGGCACAGACCCTGGCTATTATGCATTGACATTTCAAAAGGCCCTATGACTATGAGACAACATTATGTGCTTTCATACTGGTGATTTTCAGTGCATGCTTTTTGATGGAAAAAAAGATGCATTCATTCTGTGAGCAGGGAACAAATCTGATCTATTCCTCATTTTTATTTTTATATATTTATTTAATTTCTATACCACCCTTCGAGGGTCACAGGGTAGTTTACAATATAGGCACATAAAAAATACACAACATAGTAACAAACAAAAACAACAACCCCCCTCCCCCAGTATTTTTCATTTCTTCCCCACCTTAAGACTGCTCTACACAAATTGCACAACGAAGTCATAGAGCAGTCTGCACTATTTTTAAATAAGCTCTCCAGTTAAAAGCTGCAAAAGTACAAAAACAGGCCAAAGCCTGGGCTCTCCCCTTAATAATTTAGTTTTTGGCAGGGTTGGGCAAGAATTTAAAGAAGTATCTAGCCTGAGGTAGTGCCCCATATTCTACCACCTCATTCCAATGCATCTCTACATACAGTCATAGGTCCCATTTCACATGAAAGGATACTTGTGTTGGCCCATAAGAAAAAAGCCAACATTCATATTAGGGCAATTACCTCTGTTTAAAATTGCGGCACTTTAATTATGCCTTATATGGATTTCCTCCATCCCACTCATTCACAGAAGGAAGCTGTGCACTTAAATAGGTCAAGGCCACTGGGAATTGTGATGTCTCTATGCAGTTGGAATGCAGTAAGATTTGAAATGTACTCTGTAGCAAAATGCGAAAGTGCCAACGATCTATTGTTAAACATCAGGAAATTGTACGCTAAACATCTGCTAAATAAACTAACTGCTTGGGCTTGATGAAAATAACATCATAGGTCCAGAGCAGACAGGGTTTAGGCCAGGGAAATCCACTTTACGCAACTGCATAGTGTTATCTCACTTAGCTGCTAAGTACACGCGGCTTCATAAAGAATGTCTTTATGTGGCCTTCCTATATATCAAGGCTGCTTTTGACACTGTTGACAGGGGGCTGTTATGGACCAAATTGGAGACAATGGGCCTAAAACCTAGATTACTATACTTGATCAAAAAGCTTTATACAAAGAACACCTGTCGTATAAGAACAACACCAGGGAATGTAATGACAGATCCCGTCATTATAAACCGAGGAGTAAACCAGGGCTGTGTAATCGCTTCTCTCTCTTTTTAATCTTTTTCTTAATGACCTTGCTTCTTCACTAAAACAGGTGGATGCCCATAGCCCAAAACTCAACGCATCAAGCATTCCCATCCCCCTATACAGAGATGACATGATTTTGCTTTCACAGACAAGAATTGGCCTAAAATGATTGTTAAATTCCTGTACTGGACTATCTGTCCAGAATGAAATTGTGCATGAACTTTGATAAAAGCAAAATAATGGTTTTGGGGAATTCACGCAAGAGCTATAGCTGGGTATTTGGTAGAAAACCCATTCAGCAGGTATTTGAATTTAACTAACTGGAAATTACATTCCATCATAGGCTTCTATGGTCCTCGCACCGTGCAATGGCGGTGAATGCCAGTAAGATGTCTATGCAGGCCATAATGTGATTTTTCATAACAAGAGGTAATTCTGCCCTCAAGGTCTTCAACGTGAAATAATAGCTCAATTGCTCTATGGAATTCCAGTCTGGCTGCCAGGGTTTACCCAGCTGGTAGAACGAGTGAGGGCAGCTTTCTTTTTTAAGATTTTGCTGTCCCACATTTTGTACCCAATGCAGCCTTGTGTCTAGAGGGAGGTCAACACAAGGTAGAAACCATTGCCTGGGCGAGATTTCTTCTATGTTGGTTAAACATCTACCTCACATTAGACAAAGATCCTCCCCTCAGCAAAGTCTTGTCAGACCCCTTTATTTCCCCAGGGCTACAACAGTTTTAATATAAAGGTACAGCAACTTGAACTGTCAATGGAACTTTTGTGATTGATGCCCCCACCATCTGCCAAGGCTATAATAAAAACTAGGTTGTGGGACATTGAACACCAGGAACTAACAGCAGCAGCAGAGAAAACATGTTCCCCTCTTTACTTTCAACTTTCTTGGGCATATGAAACTAATCACAATTATCTTGAATTTCTGCTTATCCCCCAAGAAAGAAGGGCATTTTCGCTGGCCAGGTTTAATTCAGACCCATCAAACCTCCTTTGGGGTAGGTTCTCAGGAATGGTGGAAGGAGAAAGAATTTGCCCGTGTGAAGACCACCTGCTGGAAACTGTTACTCATATGGTTCTTAAATGTAAATTATATGCTGCTCTCCACCAACAGTTTCTAGATCAACTCTGCAACCCCAAATGGAAACCAGAGTTGGAGGTCATACATTTTCTATTACTGGGGAATGAGCAGGAGCTCACCAAGTTAGTGGCTAAATATCTTTATTTGGTTTTTTGTCGCAGAAACACATTGCAGACATCTGATCTCCTTGGAGACCTAGAGATGTAACATTAGACTTTTTTGCCTCTTTTCATTTGACAAATGTTCTGTAACATTGGGGTGGCGGTAATTCTGTATTGATTTACTATGGATGTTTGTATGTGATGCCAATAAAAGGTTTGATTATAATGAAAGTGCCAACAAAATGGAAGAATACTTTCCGTTTGGAAATACAGAGCAACTTTATAATGTTATAATGAGATATAATGAAGGATCGATGTAGAAAAACAGCTACAATTGCCATAAAGGGAAAAGCAGAGAAAAATACTGAAAGGGCAGCAGAGGGCAGTAAAACTCTTCAGCATCAATACATGGACTGACACTTGCTAATCTGAATGTTTAGGAAGCCAGAACCCTTATAATTATAAAACACCAGAACATCCACTCAATTTGAGTGTCTGACTTTCTCCTTTCAAAATGCAGCACTGGCAACATGATCGACTGCAGAGGGCCATGCAATTGCTTCAGACATAAATTATAGTTTTTCATATTGTAACACAAGGAGATAGAGAGATGTGAAGCCCAAACTGGTGTACACTTACTTGGGAATAAATTCCATTGAACAGTAAGATTTACTTCTCAACAAATATTAATGGGGTTGGGATTTCAATGATACATGAATGCTGCACACACAATTGTGCCCATTTATTAGTTGCAAATTACTTCATGGCAGTGTAAGAAAAAAATATCACCAGGGTAGAGAAGACAATTTTGAACAATATTCCCTAAGAAATTGTAGACAGAACAGTGTCCCACTGTCAGCTTACAAACTATGTTAGTGAGCGAAGCAACAATTCTTAGCCAGTACTAAGGATGCTTATTTTTTGAGGGTTTTTTAATATATTTTTTTAATGCAATAAAAACAAAAAGGTCATTCTTCTGCAATGTATAAGAAACATATATGTTTTCTATAGATGAAGGAATTTATGAATGACATTTCATTTCTGCCAGATAACCAAATTCAATTATAAGTGATTTTTTTCAAAGATCAGCCAGAATACAAATGCTATGTGCAGTGCAATTCTACCCATCCTTATTTATTCAGAAACAAGTGTCACTGGGTTCAATGAGACTTGCTCCCAGATAAACATATATAAGACTGCAGCACAGTTTTTCATATCATAAGAAGCAACAATCTTTAAACAATACTTTTAAGAAGTGAGAAGTGGACTTGATTGCATTTTAAACTCCTCCACCTGTTCTTACAAAAAGGCAGTCTTAGATGTCAATACCTCTTAACTGTAGATGACTCTCTACCATTTAAAATCTGCCAAGTTTGACTTCATTTATGGAAATATATTTACTTGGGCCAGTTGCAACCCCAACTCCTGCTTAACAGTTTGCTCCTAATCAACTTTACTCAGAATGCAAAAACTTATTTCATTGTTAAAATTACAGTATGAACCTATGCCACTTGAATCAGAAGTTTCACTTTATTCAATGGGACTTTCTACAAATAAAACATGCATGAGTATGTATCTAAAAGAGGGTCCAACCTCACAGCCAAATTGTGTAAATTTCCTTAGAATAGCTGACAGCCAAAATAAGGTGAAATTCCCTTTTGACTCACGACTGTCCAGAGGGTCACAGTTCTTTCTTCCCCCTCTAGCTGCTTTACTGTCCCCACAGCAGAGCTTGCTTTTATGGGCAGGCCCAAGGTAGATGTTACTTCCTTAGGCTGCCCACAGCTGTGTCCCATCCAGCTGCACTCTCTACACCCAGTGCCAAGTGCAACAGGTTTTTTTAGTGCCCACAGAGTCTGACAAAGGTGCACAAATTTAAAGATAATAGCAGCACACCAAATTGCCCATGAATAGGTGAGCTGCAACCCAATGCATAATTGAGATTCCCTCCGTCGCAAATAATCCAGCAAGGGCCCTCAAGTGCCCCAAGGTTGTGTAGGAGTGTTTTACAAACATGATTCATTTTGCCTTCAGTGCCTACGTAATAAACCATGGCATTCTGTGTACTGTATGTGCTCTTTAAAATAAATCTCACGTAAGCCAGAAGAGGCTGAATCACTGCCCATTGCCTTAAGTGCCACACTATTTTCAATTTGATAATTGCAGTTTACCACAGCATTTAAGAAATTATATTTCAAAGCAATATCAGCATCTGTGAGCTGTGAGTCATAATGCCAAAGGTGGGGGGAGGGAACAGTGTGCTGTTGCTATCCCTGTTCTAGAATGCATCAGAAGCAGAATATATTACACTGGGAATTTTAAACTATCCAGACACATTAAGACAGAAAGGCACGCCAGCTTCCGCCAATAAGCCCTCTAACCTTAATGAAAAAGGCACACAGAGTACTAGAAGATCTTTGAAAACTCTTTTTGGGAACCACTGTCCTCTCTCTCAGGTCAGAAGCTAGGAAAGTTATGGATGAATAAGTGTTCCCTGCAACACTACTGTGTACAGAAGGGAAACACACAGAGGTCTCTGGCACTCTCCAGTTCAATCCACATTTTGTGGTCTGCAATTGCTTTTTTTTTTTGCCACAAAAGCTAAATTTTGAAACAAACAAACAAACAAAAAGGTTGTCCTAAGGTAAGGGGGTATACTGTGCCAACAGCAGTTGTTTGGCTGAATTGTTGTTAGGGAAAAACAAAAGGTCATCAAATCCATCAAGGATTTTTAGAACGGATCATATTTTCAAGTTTCAAAGTAGGATCTTCAACATTGATGCAGAAACCAAGGAATTTTCCTCTGAATACCTTCTAGTCACAATAGGATACAATTCTCCTGCAAAAAAAAACCCCAGCCATCTTGTTATTTCTCTCTACAGTGGTACCTCAGGGTACATACGCTTCAGGTTACAGACACTTCAGGTTACAAACTCTGCTAATCCAGAAATAGTACCTCGGGTTAAGAACTTTGCTTCAGGATGAGAACAGAAATCGTGCTCTAGCGGCGCGGCGGCAGCAGGAGGCCCCATTAGCTAAAGTGGTCTTGGGGTTAAGAACAGTTTCAGGTTAAGAGGAGACCTCCGGAACAAATTAAGTACTTAACCCGAGGTACCACTGTATGTCTCTACACAGCAGGCAATTGGGCTGACGCTCTTGCAAAGTTTGAATACAAAAATGCAGTTGCTAGTGTGTTCACCAAAAGGTACAATTAGCATGACTACATAAAAGTCAAAAGGAAGGAAACAAGTAAAAACCAGCTCTTTCAGCAGTGAAAATGCTTTCATTTTGCTTACAGTTTGATTAGTAGGTCCTTAAATACCAGTAAGACCAATCTGTTCCCTAATTAGCTTGCAAGGCTTAGGTAAGATTGTCTGCTGCTCGCTCAAATGCCATACCATAGTCCAAAGCAGTAACCATGGAAATGGGAACAGGAAAATGCTTTTTTTAAAAAAAAAATCTAATTATTCAGCACTATAAATAACATTTTCTAGAAAAAAGATCAAAGAGAAACATTAGTACTTAAGCATTTGTACTTGCTTTCACATAGCTATCAGCAGTCATTCCCACCTACGGAGGGATATGGTTGAGCACATATCAGTTTGAAAGCTAACAGGGCCAACCCAAAATATTATGTATACATCCTGCAAGGAATCCTGTCTACTTGAACCAGTAAAGGTTCTCCAGTATCTCAAGCGGAGATATCACCAAGTATCCAATTATATGTTTCCATCTCCTCACTCCCACCACCAAGCTCCACCACCAACAAGCCTGGAGAGGACAACGAATCTCCTGTTTCGGGCTGACTGAAACCTTGAATAAAAGAAGACCTATTAGGGGCAGGGAAGACACCGCCAAGAGGTCACTGCAGGTCTCATTCGTTTCTCTTATTTTCTAACATTAACACCACCATCACCAACCTGATCTGACAAAAGAATAAGAACTGCAGTGACAACCTTTGAAAAAATGGATCCATCAGAACTAGTCAATATTTTTTTTCATCAGCCTTCAAAATAATTTAGCTGATAGCCACTTACATGAAGAAAACCAGTCAGAAGATTAAGAGTTAAAGATCTCATTTAGCATCTAGTCTGGCTATAGTTAAATATATCTACATCTATCTTTTAGAACAAAAAATAAAAGACATAGCTACATTAAATTGTTTTTAAAAATTAGTAAGCCCCTGGTGGGAATGCAAGGTCTTGTATTTTGCTCTGTAGTGCATGAAATGGGATCAATTCCAATATCACGGTCAAAACATATAGAGCGTTCCTAATAATCTGATAGCCCTCTTATCTCCATGTTTTCCCCCCTCTACCATGTTCCAAGCATTTCATGAACTCTTATTTTATTTGTTGTAATGAGCATTAGATACTGAGATAAGAGGAAAACACTTGCTTAACGCTATCCAGCTAAGTCTGTAGCAGAGCAAGGTTGGTAACCTGTCTCTCAGGTACTTGTAAGTAACTACAGTGGTTCAGTTTTCAGCAGCTTCCCAACTCTGGAGAATTCTTCTCCACAGATTTTCTTAACTAGGGGTAGGGGGGGGGACTTTTGATCATGAATGAAAGTTACCATGGGGGGGGGGTGCTACCTAAGCTCCTAGCAAAACAACTTGATTTCTTGACTGAAGGTGTTATACAGGCTTCCTCAACCTCGGCCTTCCAGACTACAATTCCCATCATCCCTGACCAGTGGTCCTGCTAGCTAGGGATCATGGGAGTTGTAGGCCAAAAACATCTGGAGGGCCAAGGCTGAGGAAGCCCGGGGTTATACCTTAATTTACAGATTTCTGAATTACCTATTAACAGACTTTCGATGGGACACCAAACGCTTAAAGAAGCTTACACATCTTCCATAGGCTCCAGTTAAAAAAACAAATTGAAAGATATTATTGACATATTCTACCCTATAAACCTATCTAATAAGGAATCTAAATCTAGCACTGTACAGTCACTTATTTGCCACAAGAACAACTTTTTTAAACCTAGTTTTTGTTACTAAGTGTATAAAACATATCTATCAAAATGCTACTTAATCAACTACCAATTTTACATAATAATGCATTATTTTAACCAACTTCTTTATTAACTCACAGAACAATTAAAATAATTTAGGTAAAATTATTAGGGACTACTGCTAGTATTCCAAGATTCAAAAAAAATAAAAAATGAAGAGAGGCTGGACTGCATGTTATAAAAGAGTCTTTCCTATATACAGATAATAGTCTCACATTTATCATTCCATTATATAGCAACACATTTTAAGTTCAGATAATGTTGAGTGCAGTATTTAAAAGGTATTGCTGTAGTTATGTACATGATTTGATCTTAATATTGTTATCACGTTCCTTTAAACAACCCTGTATCAATTTAATTTGCCTATCCTAACATATAAACATGTTCCTCTCACACATTAAAATACATTTAATTTAGATATTACAGAAGTATTAAAAATGAGACATGAAAATTTAGAGTGTAAACCTACTAGCAAAATGTTTTTTTGCAATCTAAATAGGCAACACTGAGGAACTTCGTTTAATCTTTCTGCAGCCTATGACGGAAGAATGTATGTAGTGTTCCATCAAATATGCCATCATCAGTGCTAATTACTTTAACAACATTTAAACTGCTTATTATGATGACTGATGAAAATACTAGTTTCAGTAGGGAAAAATGAAAACAAAGCTATAAATAGATTCCACCACCACCCCTTCCTTATATTCTGGGTACTTCCTATTATTTTTATTCCTAAAATACAACACAAAATACACCAAAAACAAAAGTTTTTAAACATACCTCTGACTCGACTTGAATTCTAATTTTAACTTAAATATTTTAATCTATCAGCTTCTTGTCTATCAGCTACTAAATCTGTACCAATTGTTGGAAACAAAATGGGGGGGGGGGAGCTATATATTGTACCATTGACACAACAATCCTGTGCCTGTCTATTCAGAAGTGAGTCCCAAAGACCTAAAAGGTCCTTAGAAGTAAGGATGTATGAGAATTTAAGCCTTAAAAAACATAATAATCCTAATCAGTTTTGGTCTACATAAAATGTACTATGCTGAACTCCCTTACTGATTCTAGTATAGAACAGCAACATTTTCTAACTGGACACAACCTATGCAGTTTCAATGTTCTTTTCTACCAGCAATCAATCACCTCTTCTAGACCTGCATTTGACATTTTTTATGGAATATCAGTGCATAATTGCAATCACTTGAAATAGTTAATGTATTATTATACTGCTTCTTTACTTGCCTGCCCCCACCTGTAACTTTGCTCTATTTTATCTAGTACAGTACAATGTTTACTAGTTAATTGCAGTGTTAATTTTGAGCAAATCCCCAGTCCTAGATATCCCAAGGAATATCACTTTCTCACTACAACTGACTCTGCTGCACTATCATCAGAGCAAAAATTAGATGTAGGGATTTTTATACTTAACAAAAACAGGCTTAATATTACACGGCATGTCCAGATGGAATCTATTCAAAGTACAGGAGGTAGTTTTATTTTAAACTATATGTAAAAACTTTCCAAGGCAACCTAGTTCCTTTAAGAATTTCATTTTTTTAAAAAACTTAATAGATTTGTCCCTTTTTTTAGTTTGTATATTATTGTGGAGGGGGCATTTTATTCAGTTGTAGTACATTAACAATAATCCATTATAATGTCTCCAAACTTCAACACAGTAGAATATGTATGCACAGGACTAAAGAAATTATGCACATCCATATTCAATACGTTTCATCAAGATATAAATTTAGCATACTATGAAGAAATTTGCCCAAACACCAACCACTTCTCTAGATAGATGCAAGCTTTCACCATATTGAAACTAGATACTGAAGAATTAACATACCTGCATCATGCCGGCAATTTAGCATCATAATACAAAGCTGCTAAAGGTACTCTTTCCATAATATCCGTTTTCTAAGATTCTGGAGGACTCCTTTGAAAAAGAGCCTAGCTTTTAAACATACCCACTGTTCATTTTTCAGGCATTTGGCAGGTAGCTGCTGAAGCAGTTGGTTAAGGCACTTGCTGAAGCATCAACCATAATAGAAAATCAACAGCTGTATTATGTTGTGATGTCAGCAACACCTTAGCCAGTCTCCACAGAGAAAAAACTGAAATGCATCAAAAGCTATATTGAGCTCTTCATTAGCAATTCAGCAGCAAGCAAGGCAAATGTCCTGTGAAACTGTGAGAATACTATGAAATGGCTGTAGGGATTTTTAGTCACTTTCCACTTCACATTTAACTCACACTGTGAAACTATAACAATTATTCATCCCAAAATAACTGAGGTTACCCAAAGGTTCAACCTATTTAAGACCTAAAATTAAGGCTGTTCGACCTGCCCTCCTCCCAATAATGCATAAATATAAAATTAGCTTAATAAAGTTCTGTATTTGAAAAGTCATCTTTATGCCAACGGCTGACTTAATTCTGTCAGAAATCAATGTCTCATTTTGTATTTTGATTGTTTTAAATATAAAAAACAGAAAATGTATCTCACTTGGTTGGTCTTGTCAGATTTTTCTTAAAGATATATTACAATAAAAATGAGTCTTGCCTACTATAGATTTTGCGGGGGTACAACAGCATTCAACTAGTCCCCCATTTATCCCCCCCCACCTGCACAGCCTCTTTGTTTTCCTGTCTCCTGATATTTTTAGCTTATCTTTTTCACCAGCTTACAATGATGCAGCAAATCTTATTGGCGTGCCATCGGTTAAGGTTTTTCTGCACTTTTGCAGAAGCACAAACCTTGAAAAATACTACAGCCAGCCATAACACTTGAGCAAATCAGTCTAAGTAATCAGCTAATGGCTGTTATGCTGATCCCATGGAAATGGCTTTTTGCAGTGGGGTCAAGCGTCCTGCAATCAAAACTGCAAAATACAGTGGGTGGGGGGATATTTGCACATGAAATCTTAAAAAAATACTTTCAAAAGAAAGCATTTATGTATTTAAGAGAAATTATGGACCGCTGTTTAAAGAACCATTGAAGCAATTCAGCCTTGGAACTGACTGTCAGTGCCAAGGCTCAGCCCTAGCCTCATCTGTACTTTGCCATACCTGGGACTCCTAAAGTACCCAAAGGTAACAGCAACCAGCAAGGTGGTAATGCCCTATCTCAGGTCTTGAATACTCAACATTTCCAGGAGCCATTCTATTAGATGTATCGGTAAATGTTTCGAATCTTGGCCATGGATACAAGAACTAGCTACAAGTTTTTAAAAACAGTATTTATTCAATTACAGAACACTGAGGAAAGCAACTTGGGGGAAAAGATTAAGCTGAATGCTTTAGAAGGTTTTGTTTCCTTCACCCCAAGGTTTATGAAATTGGAGATAAATTATCCTACTTTTCGAGTTTAAGGGTGGATTTCTTATTATTTTTAAATGTTTATTGAAACATAAGTAAGTCCACAACAGTTAGTAACTTGCAATTTTATTTTATTAACCTGCTAAAAAGCTAATTACTAGTATTTCCATGATGGCTGAAAAAGAACTAGCCAGCAGGGAAACAAGCTAATAAAAAAGGACAAACTTTCTACTATATATCTATATATTTTGTGATTTTATATTTTAATTTTGTTCTGTGAACTGCCCTGAGACCTCTGGGTATAGGGCGGTATATAAATTCAATAGATGATTATGTTGATAAGAAGCAGAAGCAGCAGACTAGAGGAAGAATGAAATTATCCATCCCTCATCCACTACCCTGCTGCATTTCCATGGCAGTAACTGGAAGAAGCTTTCCTTCCTCTGTAGCAACCATGGAAACCATGGTGAAAGGAGGGATGCACTGGCCAGCCTGTTTACTCACTTGCATGGAATTCCAGGCAAGTTGTTTAAATAAAAGACTGGCAACAATTTAACAATTTAACAAAAACAAAAAAGGAGAACCCTTTTCTGCCTCCCCACTTCCAGCTACTCTCTGAAGACTGGAGAAGAGACCCTCTTAAGAATATTAGGGGGGTGGCCAGGTGAAGGACTAGACCATGTGAAAAATTAACACAATATTTTAGCTGCAGTTCATTCATTTTCAGCTTTGTATCCTTCTTTTTAAAAAGCACACCTAGACATTCCGTTGTTGCTCCTACAACCTTGGTTTAAGGTGGCATTTAGCTCCTAGCTTTCATATCTCAGTTTTAACACTGTACTGGGGTACAAATCTCCCTTAATCTGCAACAAAACTTTTTTTTTAATCTATCACTAATATCACTTGTATTTTAATAAAAACAATTTGGCACACATGGGGGTTGCAGGATCACCAATTTAGGACCTGAAGCATCGAAGAGCCATTATTAGAAACATAAAATCAGAGCCATAGAGAGATATCCAATGTTAATGATACTCTGAGGAGACCTATGTTAGTCCATTAATTTACTTTGAGTATGACCTATGTTAGACATCACACATGAGGTTTCCCAGTAAACCACACTTGGTTCTACTAGTACTATATACCCGTCAACTGCCTTAATGAACTGCACAATCCCTTCCCCAAATGGGAAAATCTTGGGACACAGCTGTAACAGAAGACTAGGAGAGCTTGCTTAGGGCCTTGTGCAATGGCCACACAACAGCCTTGAAGGCAGATGAGCGGCATCTTGCCTATGTGGTAATTCCTGTCACCACCACATCAGTCTTAAATTTGCAGGCCCTGAGAAGGGAGGTCATTCTAGGGTGCTGAAGGAAGCACTAAAGCCCAGAACCCTAAGAAGGCACACCCTGCACTTCTGCCAGATCTACTCAGTCGTCTCAGAAAGCAGTGTGAGCACACAGCTCTGTATTTTCCTAGAGATCAGAGTGCTCTGCTTTTCTCTATCTACCCTACTCTTTCACTAAGTAGAATACACCCAGCAGCTAGGCAGGTAGGAGATTACCAGAACACGAGTATGGCATGCACACTTCAGACAACAGCAGCCAAATTATAGGAAGGGTTTTTTAAGTACACAAAGGAAGAGAAGAGAACACAGCAACAAGTAGACCTGCTTGCCTTGCTCTTGCAGAACAGAGGGCAAGAGACCCAGGTTTTTCTTCACATTGGCAACCATATGTGTCGTACAGAGACACCTTCCTCAGGAGGCAGGTTGGGGGGAGATACCATCTCATAGGAATCTGTTCCACCAGTTCGCTAACATTCAGAGGTGTATGATAGCTATTTCTAGATTATTGTCCTATTCTCTCAATCTTTCTCCCTGTGTCCTTGCATAGAACAGACAGAGCTCCTTTTATCATACAACTCTTGCGGATGCCAGGTGCAAGTGTTAGATGTTACTGTATATCTGCAAATACTGAAACCAGGGGATAAAATTCTGATTAGTTTCCGCCTATAAATCAGCACCGGTGAGAAGCTTTTTGTTCTTCAAAATATCAGCAAATTTAAGCATCTTTTATTCCTTCCATAACTGGAAAGTTAAGCAATGTTAGCTGGTTTGCAAATGGTGGCCAAAAAGTCTGTATTCAAGTGCATGTGAACCAGTTGCAGAAGACTGGGGAAATACAAGGAACAGGAATCTAGTATTTTTATAAATGCAGGATACATGTTTACAGGAACTTCTGTCCATACCTTTTGTGGAAATTGGATACAAATGAACTAGGTTCTCAAAGTCAGCCTTCTATTTTCTTGCAGAACTGTCCACTAAGATAGATTGAAAATTAGTATCCACTCTTGCACTCTGACTGCGGATGTATTTGAAATACATTGAATATTGAATTGAAATAATGTATTTAGATACTGAAGAAAATCATTAACTCAATTGGACCCAAGATTAATCTTGTTTCGTGTCTTTATGAAGGCTTTTGGGGGAGGCAAGATGCAGAAGTGGAAGCACAAACTGTTCTAGTTGTAAGAATGTGCAAGTAACACGGCAAGAATAAAATATATTTCCATGTCTGTGGCACAGCAATTAAATCTAAAGGCACAAAGGCTACCCATTATTTCTATTTGCACTTTCAAATATGAAGCATGAAAAAACATTTTGAAACAAACTCTAAATATATAAGCAACATGCAGGGATTTCACTGAACCGTTTGTATCCAAGCTCTTCTCACCTATCACACCAAATTAATATGGGTTTTCAATTTGCGTCTAGGCTCAGTTTTAAGTGTGAGTATTAACCTTTTAAAGCTTTAAATGACTTAAGTTACCTAAACGCCCACCAGGGCCTTAAGATAAGTGTCAGAAGCCTTGCTCTCTGATTGGACAGTAGAGAAGATCAGATTGGTATCAGGGCGAAGGAAGTGTTCAAAACTCCCATTGTTCTAGGCGCATTTTGCAACAGGGAATTTCATTAGCTCAAGCAGTTTCTGAGCTCTGGGTGCAAATTAAAACTGCAGAGTGGAAGGAAAGGAGGACTTTTTTTCTGCCTCCCCACTTTCAGCTACTCTCTGAAGACTGGAGAAGATACCCTCTTAAGAATATTAGGAGGGTGGGCAGGGGAAGGACTAGACCATATGAAAAATGAATGCAATATTTTAGCTGCAGTTCATTCATTTTCAGCTTCATATTCTTGTTTTAACAAAAGTGAGCCTACACATTCCATTGCTGTGCCCATAACCTAGGTTTACAGTGCCATTTAGCTCCTAGCTTTCATATCGTAACACTGGGGGAAGGGCCTTTTTTGTGGAGGATCCACAGTTGTTGAACTTTTTCCTTCTGAATTTATGTCCATGTTTTTGATGGGCACTGAGGAAGTCTACTTCTAAAAAATATTTCTGCTGACTTGTATATGATTAGCAACTCAGAAATTTTAAAACTGCCTTATTTTGTATTATTGTTTGCATTTTATATCATTGTATAGGAAAGACTATCTATAAAGACAAAATAAAAGTGATTTGTAATAAGTAAGAAACATACATCTGATGCAAATGATTTGCTGCATAAAGGTTTAAAAATTAAGTGCTGCAACCCTACTCCCTTTTCCTTTTCAGTTTCCACTGGAGCATTTAGTCCAGGTTTTCCCAAACTTGGGTCTCCAGCTGTTATGGGAATACAGTTCCCACCATCCCTGACCACTGGCCCTCCAAAAACAGCTGGAGACCCAAGTTTGGGAAACCCTCATCTATGCCTTCTGGCCCACTGAAGACCCAAGTATAATGAGCTGGCAGGAACTGTTGTCTAGGACTGGCCACAATGGCTGCGCTTGAAATGCAGAGTCCCAGGATCAGTATACAGGTTGATGGACTTCATTTTCAAGAAAATGGCACCCAAAGTAAAAGATCATATGGTCAGCACCCAGTCCCTGGTGTAGTGCAAGCACAGAAATTAAGCATGATTTACATATTTGGATTTGAGCATCCTGCATTAAATTTAAGCCATGTTCATCCATTCCTATCACTTCAATATCCATTAGTAACTGAACAAAGCACAGATTACACAAAGGCAGTGTTTATAGAGGACTACAGACTACAACATTAGAACAGCAGATATGCTACATTTTCCTATTTATGATTACTGTACTGTGCTGTACTAAAGCTAGCTAATGCTGTTCTAGTCTTTGTCCTGTGACTACAACTGCACAAATACTAGTGAAGATAGCTGCACTTAAAACTAAAGTAAAAAGCAGCAGTGAATAATGACCATGTGTTAATCATGCAGTAGTGCATCAGAATGTCTCATTAATTCTGCAACAGAGCAATCAGTCCAATTAAATCATATCAAATTGAGATGCAGAATATTCTAGCGTACTTTTAAGACCTGACAGGCACTTTAAATCACTTGACGACTGTATCCGAGAACCAGAACTAACCTTCAACACAATATAGCCCTCTCCCATTGGCCCAATATCACCATTCCAGGGTGTGCTAAGGACCAATTCTCCATAAATTCTCCATAAATTCATTTTGTTCCAAAGGATTTGGACATTTTAATATTAATGTAGGATTAGTATACAATTAAATATTATCCCTATGTCTAAATACCGGTACATTTAATGTTTGCCTCCTAAACCACAAAATTACAATTGACTCTTCAAAAAAGAAGGAACAGAAGTTAAAATAATGGATGATATTCAACTCTACTAAGCCATACGCCAGTCCAGTGATTTAAAGAGGTCCACCCTAGGACTAACATGGGTTATCAGCCAATGTTTTCTGTGATTTAATTTTTTTTAATATTAATGTTTAATATTAAACATTTTCAATAAAGCAAATCAGAAACTGAATAATGTCGGTGGAAATTAAGAAGCAAACACACACATTTTATGCAGTGGTAGTTAAACTGGTGTTCTCCAGTTGTTGGTACTCTCAAGCCTCAGCACCAGCCAGAACGGCCAATGACCAGGGTGATGGGAGCTGAAGTCCAACAATATCTGAAGATGACTAAGGTGACTAACCCAATCTGAAGACTTGCACAAAATCAGTATGACATGTACAGTTGAGACACAGAGAAGAATGTGTGAGAGATTATAGGAAAGATTACAAGAACCATTTAAATGCTTCAGAAGATAAAATGTTAATACATTTTACAGGATAAACACTATAGCTAGACCATGGTTTCCCAAACTTGGGTCTCCAGTTGTTTTTGGACTATAATTCCCATAATCCCTGACCACTGGTCCCACTAGCTAGGTATTATGGGAGTTGTAGTCCCAAAAAAGCTGGAGAGCCAAGTTTGGCCATGTCTGATACAACCCAATACTTCGGTTATCACATCGGCTGACAAGCATGGAGCCACATTGTGTCTTTCTGCTGTTTTGGATCTAAAGCTGGATACAATGAATGCTGGAGAGTCAAGTTTGGGAAACCCTGAGTTAGGCATAATGCAGCTGACTTAAAGAATTTTGCAGCTCAAATCCTATACAGGCAAAAGTCTCAATGAGTTCAAATGGGCTTCCTTTCGGGTAAGTGTGTAAAGCAGAGCTTTCCAAACTTCTTATGTTGGTGACACACTTTTTAGACATGCATCATTTCACGACATGGCAATTCAGTTTTACTAGCAAACCAAAGGTTAAACTAACTCCTTTCCAGCCTCAGGAAAAGCACGGGGAGCATTCGGGTGGCACACCTCTACACTGCAGCCCACACACTAATGTGTCGCGACACACAGTTTGGAAAGCTCTGATGTACAAGTTTGCATCTCCTAAAGAGGATACTTTGCCTTTGAAGGTCCTCTGCCTTTGAAGATGTGCTGTCTTTTGCAGAGAAATTTGCCAATTTCAATCAGAAAGCACATTTTATTGGAAACATTCTTCTTACATGTCTAATCAGAAGAACATTTGGCTTTTTTGAATTCTGTTATTATAGCACTCTCTTCTCAAACACCAACATGAGCCATTTTCAAAGGGATCAAAACAAAGTCTAGATCAGTGTTTTCAATAGCTCCCTGCCTGGTGATCAGCAACACCACCAAGAGAATAGCAGATTGAATAGTATAATTCACAAGGGAAAGGAAGCAGCAGTAAACAAGAATTATCATTCTGTTTGTTAACTATTCTAGGTAACAAAATTAGCACCAACATTCCACGGCAACTGTGGCAATCTTCCCTCAGATGCCTCCCCCCAAAAGGTTCATAACCTTTCCAAATCCTCTCCATCCCAGCTTTGTGGAAGAAGGTATTTCTTTCAACAAAAGAAACTGAAATGACATGTCCTCATATGTATAGTTCTGTAAATATATTTCTGTAACATACAAGTGTACAATGTGCTTCTTTTGAGCTCAGTCCCATGAAGTACATTATGCTCAGGCAAAGGAGACTTGTCCAATATCATGTATTGAGCTTCATAGCCAAGTGCCAATTCCCACTTCCCTGCAAAGAACACAAACTTTAAACGAGGAGACTCAGGCCTCCAAAGACCTGCATACAGTTATTGGGGAGCAGTGACTGCTTGTGGGCCCCTGATATGTCTTCTCATGCATTTCTTTATGGTACATTTTCCCTTAAGGCAACACTGGTTGAATGTCAGAAAGTATGACCTGGGATTCAGTTTCATTAACTAACTTATGCATAGTGTTGTGATTGTTACTAGCTATAAAGCACACAGAGAAATAAACAAAAAACCCATCATTTTAAGCTGCTGTAAACCAATGATGCTAAAGGGCAAGTGTGCCTAGAAAAAGTAAGCAATTTTATTATTATTTTTTGGTAATTTTTGAATGTATTTTCTTTGCTCATTAATTGATGGAAACTTGTAAAAACCCAGGAGAAGTGTTGAGCACAGAACTACCTCTACCTTTTCTTCTTCTTCTTCTAGCGCTAGTAGAAGAAGAAAAAGTAAGCAATTTTAAACAGTGTAAAATTTAAGCAATTAGCTTAAGCAACTGGGATTCCAAAAAGTTCAAGGGGAAGGGGGAAATGCAACTGGCAACATATGCAAGACTCTGTACACACATCGTTGCCAAGAGAGCCATTGCTGCTTAATTAGCAGTATACACATTATAGAATAAGATGTGAACAGAAAGATGACAGGAGTCTACAGACATCATAAGCAAAAGAAGACTGCAATGCTATGCAATTATGAAAAATCCCATGGGGATTTACTGGTGAGGAAATGTAAAGCGCAGAATTTGAGACTCTTCAGAGATTTATGTTGCCAGTAACAAAGCCTTCCTGAAATTCAGTAGTAAAATAATCAGAACCTTAATACTTTTCACATAATGACAAATTTGTATGATGCACTGCTCTATACAATCTTATGGTCTTTATCAAAAACTCTTTGTGGTGTTAACTGTAGAAGGTCACATAGCAAAGAATTCTATATACCAAGCATACCTTCAACTTCTTGAGAAGACTGAATGTAAACACAGTTTAATTAGGAATCCTGACCACAAGTTTTTCTTGTGGACCCAGTTCTTTATTCTAAAATTCGCTTCACTCAGTTTCAACACCAGCAAACATCAGGTACTGTGTGCATTGTTAAGTAAGAAACAATTACACTTGTTTCTATGTCTTAATACATTGGGTTGCATCCAACAAAGCTGTTTCGTTCACACAAGGACTTTTGCTTGGTACTTTCCCTTCCTCTCCTCGTGCCAACCCCCCACCCCAATCTGTTCCAAAGGATTGGGGGGAAAACCAGAATAGATTTGGGGAATGTGTAGTGGAGAAAAGAAGTTCTGTGACATAAGCGGAAGTCCTTGCACAAATGTGACAACTGTTGGATACATCCCATATACTTCCTCCCTCTAGAGAACAACATTCAGTGATGCTATATGGTGTGCATCTTCAACTTTTGCTTGTCACTGTTTCTTGGTGGTTGTGGCCATACAGAGGCAAACTCGGAATTAAAATGGATTCTACATCTCCAACTCTCTCTACATCTCCAACTCTCTCACCCAATAGGAGTTAAGTATTCCCGTGCTTTAAAGAAGCCCTGGTGCACCTCTTCGTTCCACATTTTTGCTCGTCTTTCAATGTGAACACTACAAGAGTTCAGTACTTTCACCACAAACCACCTCCATGTATTTGGATATAACTTTCCTTCGACCAAAGAATAATTTGTTACCCAGTACTGAAAACTAAGAAAAGGAACATATAGTAAGTGTGTCTACTAAACAACGCTTTGATGTGGCACAAGAAAGAAAGAAAGAAAGAGAGAGAGAAAGAGCCAAAAGTACCGTTATTTAGTCTGCATACTTAAAAAATGCCAGGGTTCAGTTGTGATTTATCACAGAATTAAAAGTTCAGGGTGAAATTCAATGTAGCACTAAGGAGATTTCTACTTGTGCTGACAGAACAATCATCTCCTTCCTCCCACCGCATGCTTTTGGGGAGGTTTCCTTGACCCTCCAGAGCAGATCTGGGGAAGGCATGAGGGGTAAGGAGAGAGGGAAAGTCCCACGGTGCTAATGAGTGCTTGTGCTGGCATCCACTAGTGGGACTGGGCAGTTTAATCTGGTCTGTTGCATTCAATGTCCACTATGAAGAAGCAGTTGAATGTTTTAACAAGATAACTAATGTGCAACATGTGTATGGGGGGGGGTCATGTGGTGGAGGAGAATCAGGTGCTGCTGTCCTCGTCCTAACATTAATGGTCAGAGCACAGATGTCTGAAAATAAACCTCTGCTTGTGAGCAGCTGTTCATGCATATGGATCCATGCGACTGGGACACACATTTTACCCAGATATCCTGATCAAGTGACACACCTTCCTAAATCCACACTCAAGTTGCAGCTGTTGAGAAGGGCTGGCCTGGAGATGAGACATCATGGTGAGCTGTGCCATGAGTGCCCTAGACTCCAATACAGTGTGAATACGCCAATGTCTCAACAAATCTATGCTCATTTCATGGGCCCTTTCTAACCATGACATTTAATTCAAAGTCCAGGGTGAACAAAGACTAAAATAATTTCAAATGTTTTCTCTAAAACTATCATTTTCTTATCAGTTTTGAGATCAATAATGCTAGCAAGAAGAATGAATTTGTTGGCCAGCTTAGTGGAGAAAAAAGGTTTATGTCTGAAAAGTTACTTGTTGGCCTATTCTTCTTAATTATTTTATATATTCTTTTACAAACAGCTGACAACTAACATCTATGTTCAGTTTTTCTGCCATCCCTATCACCTCAGGGTCAAAGAGATTGTGGTTCACCCTTCTTTCTCAACACTTTGCCTCCATCTGTATCCTGTAGCAGTTTTTAATCAGCAAAGTAAAGAGTATTCAGCCTAATAAAGAGAACAAGAGCTTATTTAGCATCCAGAGCTAAAAAGTTTTGTCTATCTACTACAAGGGGTGAGGCAAAGGAAAGAAGGCTCAGAGGAGCTAGGAACAACATCACTAATGATTCACCATTAAGACAAGGATAACTAACAGCAGTAATAACCTGCACAGAGCTACTGCATTTGATACTGTGGTGTTTTTTTAATTGAATTTTATTGTTTTAATTACTGGTGTAGGCTGCTTGTGGTGAAAGGAAGGACATTCTATAAATAAGTAAAGTAACTTGCCATGGGCAAGCAAATTAATGCAAGGAAAACGCTCCAAGATTTATTCAGTGAATAAAACCACAGACTATGGAAAGCACAAGGTAGATTTCAATGGAAACTATGCTAGCACAAATTGACCTTGGGTATACATAATATAGGTCTAACCATGGTTTGGTGTCTTAATCCTGGTTAAGATGTCAAATGTGGGCAATATTCACAAAAAAGGCAAAACAATGCTATGGCACCACCATTGTCCTTGAACTAGGCACTCTCTCCACCATTTGCACACAGTGGCTGAGTACTTCATTTCCTTATTTAATAGCAGGCCATATACAACCCACCATTTCATCAAACATGACAAAACTATGGTTTACACAAGCCATACATTATACACTAAGATGGGTTGTAATCGTAGCATATGACACTGCATTGCAATCCTGGTGCACAAAGCAATTATGATTAACCACAGGAAAAGCTTACAGTAGTGGTATACAAAAAGGTTAGGCAAGCCATTTAGTATTTGTTACAAGAATGAAGTTCATGCTCGTAACATTAAAATATAGTGTTGCATTGCATCTGAATAACCTAGTGTGGGGAAATTGTGTTTTAGATTGCAAAATGACAACGGCAGTGGGGCTGGAGAACAGAGGGGCAGAGAAACTGCTTTAACTGTGGTTTGCTCCATGCTGATGTAATATTTACCCACACAAACCACAATTTGCAGACTGACTTGATATAGATCTTGGTATGTGATCAGAACTTCATCACTGTTTAGCTGAAGAAAGGGAAACCTGTGACCCTCCAGACGTTTTTGACACCACAAGAGGCCCAGAGGGTGGCAACATGAGAATAGGCCTTTCCTGCAGTGGCTCCCCATTTGTGAAATATTCTCCCCAGGGACACGTTTGGCACTCTCACTACATATCTTTAGGTGCCAGGCAAAAACTTTCCTCTGTAGCCAGGTCTTTTCCCCTCAACCATCTGGCATTTTAGAAGTGGGCAGGATATTGTATTTCTTTTTCCTCTTGGTTTTAATGTAGTTATGTTGGAGGGGGGTTCCCCCATCTGTCACTCTGTTTGGTTGTAAGTCACTTTGGGTTGTCCTAGGCAAAATAAAGTGACTAACAAATTCAGTTGTTGTTGTTGTTGTTGTTGTTGTTGTTGTTGTTGTTGTTGTTGTTGTTGCTGCTGCTGTTGTTGTTAAGAAACAACTCTTATCGGACAGAGACAGCCTATGGCCACAGATAATGATTCCAGCAATATATGTTGGGCCACAGGTTCCTCATGCCCAGTTTTACGTACTTAGATGATGTTTAATCATGTAGTATATTTACATAAGTCTACTGCAGAGGATTATGGAATTGTGGCACTATAAATTACTATATAAATTACATACCAAAAAAATTGTATGTGTTGCTGTTCATAGGAACACAAGAAACTGTCTTGTACCAAGTTGAGTCATAAGAGTTGTAGAGTTAGAAGGGACCCCTAAAGTCATTCTTGTCAAACTCCCTGCAATGCAGAAATCTCAATAAAGCATCCATGGCAGATGGCCATTCAACTCTGCTTAAAAATCATCAATGAAGGAGAGTCCACGATATTCTAAGGGAGCCTGTTCTACTGTTGAACGGTTTTTCCCAATGTTTAGTCAGAATCTCCTGGTAACTTGAAGCCATTGGGCTCAGGACCCACCCTCCAGAGCAGGAGAAAATAAGCTTGCTCCATCTTCCATGTGACAGCCCTTTAGTTATTTGAAGATGGCTAGCATATCACCTCTCATTAGACATTAGATGTTAGACATTCGCTGCTACCAGCAGTGCCAGGAAAGAAAAAAAAGCATGTGTACCTGAAAAACATCCAGTGCTTCCCCCATCCTGTCCCATCCTGATCTTGGCAAGGGGCAGCACCACAACAACCTGCAATTGAGTGCAACAGCAACACCTCACCATACATGCTACAACAGCATGAGATCAAACCACGTAATGTTTCCACGCCAGATGCACTGCTGGAGTTCAAAACGCTAAGCATACAAGAAGCACTTCTTTCACATGCATCGATACTCTGTGTGGCCAGAATTTGGGGAACATTGCTCTGGTCTAAACCACAGAGCCTAGGGCTTGCCGATCAGAAGGTCGGCGGTTCGAATCCCCGCAACGGGGTGAGCTCCCATTGTTCGGTCCCAGCTCCTGCCAACCTAGCAGTTTGAAAGCACGTCAAGTGCAAGTAGATAAATAGGTACCGCTCTGGCAGGAAGGTAAATGGTGTTTCTGTGCACTACTCTGGTTCACCAGAAGTGGCTTAGTCATGCTGGCCACATGACCCGGAAAAACTGCCTGTGGACAAACGCCGGCTCCCTCGGCCAGTAAAGCGAGATGAGTGCCGCAACCCCAGAGTCACTGGCTCCCTCGGCCAGTAAAGCGAGATGAGCGCCGCAACCCCAGAGTCATCCGCAACTGGACCTAACGATCAGGAGTACCTTTACAGTTCGTTGCACGTAATGTCCTCTTGGATTCTCAGAGAGAACTCTCTAAAGGCCAAGCAAAACTCCAAAACAAAAGCATACAATTTCATCCAACAGAATCCTTCAGGTACAGGAAAGAACTCACAGTACGAAAGCCAAGCATACCCTATTCACTCCTACAATCATATCTACTACTTAGATTGGTCCAATTTGGCTTAAGAAGCCTAATGTGATCATCCATACCTTGCCATTTGGCACTATAATGAGGAGTCCAACACACAGAGTTAAATTCTAGGGAAGCCTACTTATTGGTGCAGGAACAAGAAATATGTTTTCTGTAACCTCATCAAAGAAAGCAGTATAGATAGATGCCACTTGATTTATGGAAACCAACACATACTAAACAAGCATTCATATTTCCTTTCACTATGGTCACCTTAAAGCAAAATTCTGAGATCGTAAGAGGTCATGTAACAGTCCACTTTTTGTAATTTCCCCCAGATCTTAAAGCAAAAATTACTACAACGTATACCCTGGGACAGCTGGCTTCCTCTTGTCCACCTAATTAAGTCAAATAACTGAACCGAAAACCACCCCCAATGGCCCCCCAAGCAAGGTTCAAACAACAAATATATATTTGTACACATAAATAAGGGTCAAAACATTTGCCTCAGGGCATGTGGCAGGCATTCTCAGCAGGGTCACATATTCAAAACAAATTCAATTTGGCAGATTTCCACCTCACCTCCCAATGTCAAGGCCTGATGAAGAGTCCAACTGCTACTCTTCCCTCACACCAGAAGTGGGATTTCCCTCCCTTTCATACCCTGATTCATCTATTTCATTTTTACAAAACTTGAAGGAAAGGGCTTGGTGCTACTGCAGGGAGAACTAGTCAGAGATTGCTCATTTAAAATTACCACCTACAAGCATCATAGGATTTTGATCCATCATCTTTACTCCTCCACCTATATTCTGCAAACACAAAAGGAAAGGAAAAGGAACTCACAACAGCAAACTAAACTACATTTTCCATTGCACATTCTCCCAAATTATGACTAGTTTTATAAAACACTTGAAGGAGACAGGATACATCACACAAATCTGTCTGCCAGGCATAATTAGAACTATGAACAAGAGAAACCCACAGGATGTACTGACCATCTTTCGCTGGCAAAATCCCACAACCCCCCTGGAAGTCCTTACCATAGCTAAAAAGTTATTTATTGCCTCCCCCCCCCCCCGCGCAACACAATTCAAACGTTCTACATTGCTAGACATTACGCAGCTCCACTTTTAAGTTAAATGTCACATGAAGAGGCTGCTAAAAGCAGACAGTGATGTAGCTCATGTCCTGTTCCATCTGGACAGCAGCTCACATGGTGCCAGACACAACTAGGAACAGGAAGAACAACATTCCCACAAAGGCAAAACCATGCTGGCCAGCTGTTTTGCAATGATGCCACAACTGACAGAAGCCATTAAAAAAAAATTAGACCAACACACAGACGCACACAAGTAAAGCCCAAGCTAAACAAATACAGCACCTTTGTGCTGTTTCTAAATCTGATGTAAGCTCCTGCAGAATAACTTATTATGAACACTAAGCAACGACAGTACAATAATTCTATTTGAATATAGTATAGAGAGAAAAATTGTAAAGACTGATTCAACCCTATACAGTGGTACCTCCAGTTAAGTACTTAATTCGTTCTGGAGGTCCATTCTTAACCTGAAACTGTTCTTAACCTGAGGTATCGCTTTAGCTAATGGGACCTCCCGCTGCTACCACAGCGCAGCCACCACACGATTTCTGTTTCCATCCTGAAGCAAAGTTCTTAACCTGAGGTACTATTTCTGGGTTAGTGGAGTCTGTAACCTGAAGCGTCTGTAACCTGAAGCTTCTCTAACCTGAGGTACCACTGTAATGCCACTTACCATAGGAAATTGCTCAATTTCTTTAAAAATGAAACCAGAATTGCAAAGGCACTAAAAATATACTTAACTTACTAGAATACAGTCGCATTTTTGCAAGTGCTACAGAGAATATTCCTATTCAAATCCAGTCCAGACAAAGTGTCAAGTTAACTACAAAAGTACTTAGTTTCAAGTAAGATAAACGTAATGCAAATGTAGAATATGTACTAGGCTAGGAAACTTCTATAATACACATGGTACAGTATACCAATAATTTAAAATGGCTTATGATGCCACAAATGCTCTTATCCTATCACTGTAATATCCAAGGTGGAGAAGATATGAATGCACCTTAACAATTCTACAAAGTCTCTCTCATACACAATGGGAAACCAGTGTATGTTGTATTATCTATTGCGGCTCTATCTTTGTTTCTCAATGCTTCATTTTTTACTGTTAACCACCCAAGACTCTCACAAGGAATGGGGGGATATATTAAATTAAATAATAAATAATATTTTGACTCCTTCTGCTTTTGAGTAAAGCAATTGAGACCAAACAGCATTACCAAATACCATTCCCTTTCTACCTCCAAAAAAGATCAAAGCATTCTAAGATACATCAACAGTTAAGCCACTTTGCAAACCTCCAATTTGCTTTCAGTATTAAAGTTTTTCCAGCAGCCATGATGGTCCATACAACCTGTATGGAAGGAAGATCTCAAAATCATTTGGCTACAATCTCTAGAAGAGGAACACTGACTGCAGGCTGAAGGGGTTATTGACACCAGTCTCCTGGAAAATTTTGAACTGGAAAATTATCTGATACCCAAAAGCTATCCAATTTAACATATTATTTAAATTTAACCAATATAAATCAAAAAGGGCAAAATGTTAATTTGTATGCATAAAATATTTCAAAGAGCCAAAATATTTGATTAGGATACAAATTCAATAAATCACAGTTAACATTATTAAAAACAAATCCAAAACTTTATTTGTAAATATTTTGTGACAACACAATAGCATGTGCTTTCCACACATGGTTTAAATTTTAAGGAGAAAAATGGAAGGCACTGAAAACCATTAACATTATGTAAACACTTATGTCAATTTCTGGTCTTCCAAAGCAGCTCCCAAACATCATAAAACAGATTACAAATTTTAAATTACCAAATTTGACAGGCATTTTAGATTACTCCTTAATTTTGGGAAGTGATGAATTTTCCACCTTACATCACAGCATGAGGGGGACCCGGCAGTTCTTTGTTACCTTGAGAACAAGAAAACATTCCTTACCTTTAAAGGCATGAGTAATTAGCTATTTTAAAAATGAACAAATCATTTCAACACAATAGGCAAAACGATCAGTCAGCCCAAATACAATATTGTGTACTTCACTTTTAACCACTGGTTCTCTCAATATTTGCTCTGGGTTGTTGTTGGTTTTTTTAGCAGCTATCAATATGCCACAAGCTATTTGAAGAGTGAACAAGCCCCTAAGTAATCACAGAGGGGGGGGGAAGCATTTACATTATAATATGGGCAAGTATGCAGTTTTAAAGCCCTTCCTATGAGGCAGTTACTGTGCACTATTTGAAGCTCTGGTGACCCAGTTGCACTTACAGCTCTTGAGGATGCTAGAAATCAGTCCTCAAACAGGACTACGGAAATTAACACTACCTTGCACCCACAAACTCAATCCATGACACTTTGCTAAAGCTAACAGAACTTATTGCCTCCACCCCCTATCAATCCCAGAGAAGTGGGTCAAAGAGCACCAACGGGGAAATATATTGTCTCCCATTGCAGTCTTCAGAATTATATGTGCACCAGCCATTTTCTGACAAGCATATGATGCTCTACTAGTACAAGCCAAAGGATTACCTCATACAGCCTTTGGAGAGGACGCAAAGTTCAAAGCAAGCCATCGCTTCCTTGGGGGCAGTCTCCAAGCTGATAACCTACATATGTATCGCTCACGAGTCCAACGATATACAAAGCCTCACGCTCCCTACAGACCTTGTGGTGTAGTCCCTTTCACTAAAGATCTCAAGAGTACTGTCATGCCAAGTATCCCTTTGGAACAGAGAGGAATCTGCAAAGGCAGCTCTATCCACGGATTGGGATGGCAAACCCTCAAGCTTAGAACCGAAGTGACAACCACAGCTTTTAACCAGCCACTTCTTTTAACCATTTCAGGATGAATCAACACTTCACAGGGAATGAAGAAGGGTTAGCCACTGCAGGTCCCAAGAGATTGTTTCTCTGTCTCTCTCTCTCTCTCTCTGTGTGTGTGTGTGACAGAGAGAGAGAGAGAGAGAGAGAGAGAATGAATATATATGAATGAGTGAGTGAGAGCGAGAGAATGAATATATATGAATGAGTGAGAGCGAGAGAATGAATATATATGAATATCAATCTATCTGCATCCATTCCTGGACCAGCTTCCCTTTCTGACAGATACTGGGAAGACATGTATCTTAGGACGGCACCCATTGGGGGGCGAAGGGGGCAGCGGCAGGGATTTCTCCCACGGCAGGCCCTCAGGTTATAATAATGCCTGCCTTTGGGAATAATATAAAAGAGTTGCCATCCGGGGCAGGAGGAGACTGGCCATGACATTATTTTGAAGCCGTCGTGTTTCCTCGCCCGAAGCAGGGAAGCCCTTCCACCGAATGCAAAGACCCCACTGCATCCACCCACCAACTTCCCCTCTCAACCCCACACTGTCCCTGCGGGGGGGGGGAGGGAGGGAGGTCACTCCCCCCCCCCCGACCCACCGCAAGGCCCGGGGGCGTAACTGCACCAATTGCATCCACGAGGCTGGCGCGCACTTCCGTCCAATGCAGGCCGGTCAGGGCGCGGGGGGGGGGGAGGCAGAGAGAGGGGGGGGAGAGGGAGGGAGACTGGCGTTGTGGTGGCGGCGCTGCAAAAGGGCAAGACCAACCTCCCCCTCGCCTGGGACGGCGGCTCTCAGGGTTCCAAGCCTTTCTGCAGAGCGCGGAGGGGACGGAAAAGCGGGGGGGGGGGAGATATTTATAATGGAACTGGGGCGGGGGGTGAGGGAGGGAGGGGGCGAACTTACCGCAATGGCGCGAGCCTTGACGAACGGGCGGAGGGGAGGAGGAAGGGGATGAAGGCGACGGCAAGGCCGGCTCGCGAAGGGGGCTTCACACACGAGGGGGAATTAACCCCATCACCAGCCCCCAACAGCGACTCCGGCTCCTCCTGCTGCTGCCGCGGGTGCCATAGAGAACCGCCCTCTACGGGTCCCGCCGGCCAATCGCGGCGCCACATGCTGCTGACTGCCGCCCCGCCCAACCACTCAGCGCCTGGAGCACGCCTCCTCAGCCCCGGAGCTCTACGCTGAGTGGACCAGAATTCTGCCCACGCAGGAAAAAACGCCCCGGTGAAGCGAATGCTAGCCAATGGGAGGCCGCGCCTTTAAAGCCGAGCGACGGCCGGAAGCCGGCCAATTGGAGACCGGAGTGCGGTTTAGAAGACCGGCAATGCGGAAGCCCCACCCTCGGAGGTGCCTGTGACCAGTGGCGTTGCCTCTTTGAGGTGACTGACGGCCCCGAGCGCTAGTTATAGGTAGGCTTTACGGTGTGCTCCGAAATGGCACCTGGCCTTAGTTCCCCTCTGTGGCGGCGTCTTGGACGTACATGCAGCCGGGACAAGTCCTCTGGCTCAAACAGTAATTAATATTACGGAGGTGGATGGACCACAAATCCCAAGAAACGCTTCCAAATCGCCTTAGCTTCAATGAACGGGTCCATGAAGCGAGGCATTCTGGGACTTGTAGTACTTGGTGCAGAAGCTTTGCTTAGATTCCGAAGGCGCCTCCTGACAGTCTGTTGCCTTAAAATCGAAAGGTCTCCTCCTTGCAGAACTATATTTGTGGCCTTATATTTGTACCACTCGCATCATTATGTCCTCCACCCCAAGTTCTTCTGTCGCCGCGGTTAGCAGGCTCCTCCTCCAGTCACTGCATTGAGTCCTTAGATAAAAGCAGCCTACGCATCTCCCGCCTGCCTCCATGGCGCGCTTGTCTGCCTGCCAAAAATCTCAGCGGCACTTTGCAACCTGCTTGCATTATATATTTCATTACTGCGATCTTACTGAATTCAGTGGGTCTTGTTACTAAGTAGGCACAGGATCGCCCTGCCTGTCTTAGCAACCCGAAAAAGCTACACCGGCTCCCTCTCCTCACCCCACCCCAAACAACCCTATCGCCTATCGCTGTTCTAGGTTCTTGTCTTCCGATGCAAATGCATCTTGTGTGTTTTTTAACTGCTCTTTATTAAATCTTAGAGGCACAGGTATGTTGGCCGGTTACAGCAAAAAAACTAAAAGGAATGCCCTGTACAAAACATATTTGCTATTTGCATATTTGCCCACGAAAGCTTACGCTTCAGATAGATCTGTTGTTCAAGGTGCCAAAAAAAGTTTGCTGGGTGTGTGCTCCTTCCTTCATAACCCATCACCCTTCCTATCTATTCAGTTTCGTCTCTGCAGCTTCCTATACCCGCCGCCCTTACACATGAACTTGTAAATCAGCCGCCCAAATTTGTTTGTGATCTTCCATCGCTTCTCCTTGTTCCATGTGGCTTACATTGAAAAACGGTGCATTGATAGTTGTGCTCATTGCTGTCCTGTTTCCTGGAAGAGGGGAAAGGGAGCTTGTTTGTATTCTCGTTGTTTGACCATTATGGGGCTAGGGTGTACGAATGAACACAAATGCAGGGGAGGCCCGCCATTTTAATCTTTTTTAAAAAAGAAAAAAGAATCCATGCAGACAGGCACTTGCTCACGAAGTATTTCTGAGTCTACCGCGCTCTCGGTTTGAGGTCATTTCCGCTGCGTTTGAGCGCGAAAAAGTTGTTTGGCTGCTGCGGCAGGAGGAGGAGGAGTTGCTGCTGCTACGATTGCTGCACGGATGAAAGAGCGGGTCTCGGTGAGGAAGGCGCTTCGAGGTCTAGGAAGTGGAATAGTAATTTATAAGCAAGTTTCGTGTAGTTGGGGCAGTGCAGTGTTCTTTAAACTAGTGAGACCTATTGACTAGGAGGCCGTCAAAAACGTGGGAGTAAAATACTGCATAGTTCTGCTTGCACCCGAGAGTGATTACTTGATGCAACGTAAACGATCTTTTGACGCGTCTGAATGGCATTCCTGAACTCCTAGACTGAAGTGGTTTGAAGGGTGGCAGAAAGGCAGATATATCCACAGACACCCCTTCAATTCACTTTAGGACAGAGGTACTAGGTAAGGTGAAATGTGGAGGGTATTCCTATGTATATCTGTTCAGAAGCAAACCCCATTTAGTTCCGTGGGATTTACCCCCAGGTAAGTGAACATGTCCTGCCAACCTAGCAGTTCAAAAACACGTCAAAGTGCAAGTAGATAAATAGGTACCGCTCCGGCAGGAAGGTAAACGACGTTTCCGTGCACTGCTATGGTTTGCCAGAAGCAGCTTAGTCATGTTGGCCACATGACCCGGAAGCTGTATGCCGGCTCCCTCGGCCTATAGAGCGAGATGAGTGCTGCAACCCCAGAGTCGTCCACGATGGGTCAGGGGTCCCATTACCTTTAAGTGAACATCGGGTTATGTAGTCTCAGTTAGTTTAGGGACTGTGCAAAAATGACTTGGGTTTCCATAAAGGCCATAGGTATGAAGAAGCGCTACCTAAATTTATTCTCTGTGTCTTTGCGATCCCAGTGCATGTTTTGATTAGAGCTGGAGACACTACCAAATTACCGCTGGCTTCTTCATTTCCACAGAGAGCAGTTCTGCTTGAGATTTTTGCACCAAGCAGTAACCCAACCCTGTTAAGGCTGGAGTCTTTTGCATACTTACCATAACAAAAGTGGGGCTTACTTTCAAGTAATCGTACATATTTTTGTGCTGCCCATCTATGTAATGCCTCATTCATTCCATTTTGAGGTTGCTATAAAATGCAGCTTTTTCATCTTGCTCAGCAACATCCTTTTATCCCACTCCCCACCACCACCATTCCTGGGTTTCCTTTGCTTAACATTTAATCAGAAGAGGAGTTTTACTGGGCTTACTACTTTGTGTCCCAATAAAAGTGGTGTTACTTTTTGTATTTACATCCGGCCTTTCCTCAAATAAGCTCCAGGTGGTATATGCTTACCTGGCCTCTCCCTCCACATTTTATACTCGGGAAACTGAAGTAGATTAGACTGGTGGTCTTCAGCAAAGGTTAGTGCCCATGGTCACTATTGAAATTTGCCTAATATCTCAGCGACTAACTGGGCTTTCAAAGGTATGTTGCAAATACTTCTTACACATCTACTACTCTTCCCAATGCTTCCTTTTAAGGATAGAAATGCCCATTTGACTGGAAAAACTCCAGTCTGGAACCCTGGAAAGTTGCTATTAGTCAGTGTTGACAGTACTGAGCTAGATGAATCGGTAAACTAACTTTGTATAAGACAGCTTTTTCTGTTCCTAAGTTTTCTAGAGTCGTGGGTATAGCCAGGGTGTGGGGAGGAGGGCAGATCTGCCCCCCTAAATCAAGCAAATCAATAAAAATACTTAACTGACCAATTGCATAACAAATAACTCAATTCTGCCCCCCTAACATAAAACCTGCTGCCCCCCAAAATAAAACCTGGCTATGATCATGTCTGCGGGAGGCAGTGGAAGACAAGATTGCCTGGCGTGCTCTGGTCCATGGGGTCACAAAGAGTCGGACATGACTAAACAACAACAACAACAATGATCATGTCTAGAGCTGAATCTGTAAAATGAACTCAGCAAGAAATTCAGATCCTGTCACAGACCATCCATGTGATGTTACAAGCACGCGTGGCATTGTAGTCTAAATCACTGAACCTCTTGGGCTTGCTGATTGGAAGGTTGGTGGTTTGAACCCATGTGCCAGGATGAGCTCCTGTTGTTCTGTTCCAGCTTCTGCCAACCTAGCAGTTCAAAAGCATAGCAGTGCAAGTAGATAAATAGGTACTGCTGCGGCAGGAAGGTAAACGGCGTTTCTGTGCGCTCTGGCTTCCATCACAGTGTCCCATTGTGCTAGAAGCAGTTTAGTCATGCTGGCCTCAGAACCCGGAAAGCTGCCTGTGGACAAATGCCAACTCCTTCGGCCTAAAAAGCGAGATGAGCACTGCATCCCATAGTCGCCTTTGACTGGGCTTAACTGTCAAGGGGTCCTTTACCCTACTTTTACCCTTACCAACCCAATATAGCATTTCTGTGCATCAACTGCACAGTTGCTACCTGTCCTGAGGGTTTCTTCCTAAAGATTCTAGTACCTAGAGGGTGTCACTTCATCCCATAAATGCAGCTATTCATTAGGACACAGCACAATTGCATGTAAGAAGATTAATTATTATAGGTGATAAAAGTCAATGATCCAGGCTACTGTAATATAGTTCATAGTTGTACTTCAGTTGTGATTCTGGTTCTTTTGTGCTACTTCCAGTGCCCTGTAACACCTAAGACAATAATGCCCAGTCTTCTTTAACAATTTATTTAACCAAAATTATACCCCACTTGATTGTAGTAAAATCTGCGTGTGACAGGATTGCTGTTGTACAGTGAGAGTGGGGATTAATACCCATCCAAAATGGCTATTGATGGAGTGTGCCTTCTTTAACTTTGCATGATTTGGTTTTTTTCTGGCCTTGTTTTTTCCTAATCAGCCTTTGCTGAGGGCAGGTAAACCACTGCATTAGGTGTGGCTGGATCACTCAGTTACTCCAGGTGCAAAGGACCTGCCTTCCTGTAGAGGAGGCTGCTGTCGCTTTTCCACTTGTGTTCTAGGCTTGCCACCTTCCAGTCAGTGAGCGATACAGAAAGAGGGTGGAGGAGTAGGCTCTTCTGAGGATAAAAACCACTTTAGCCTAAGTTAAAATCACATAATCATTCCAGTGTCGTTAAAAAAATATTATTATTGAGTTGTATTCAGTGAAGCACTTGTGCAGTGATGCCTCAAAAGGGGAATTTTGTCTACTGTGCTCTCTGAAATTTCATTAACGTTATTAAGTTTCACAGCACTTTGTGTGCCAACTATACACAAAGGGCATAGGACTCTCCTATCACCTGAACTGCACTTTTAAGTTGAATTCAAAGTACTCCAGTGATCAATTTAACATGCTTATGTGTACAAATAAACCCACGTACACATTTAACAATGTTTTAATAAAACAGCTTATAAACCAGAGTCCTTGAACTGCAACCATATCCATTTTGATACTATTTATGAAGTAAATGTGTTCAAATATGACCTATTTTGATAAGTGCTGGAGAAGACTGAGTGTGGCATTTTGAAATCAGATCTCTTATTTTTTGTCAGGTGGAACATGGCAGTGGTCATCCAAGAGACTTGTACACGTAAAACTTCTGGTTCAACTTCCGATGTCAGTGAAAGACTGTCTTACCTACCTGAAAACTTAAAAGACAAACTGCTTTCATTTCAGAAGAAAGGAATTGTGTTTGCATTGGAAAGAGGTGGCAGGTAAAACTATCTTAAACATGGATCTGTCAGTCCCTTTTAGGAGTGGGGAAACTAACCCAAGTAGTTACAATGGCTCCAATATATTTTCTGAATGTTATACTGAATTTCTAGACCTGAATCATTAAGTAATTGAAGCTGAACCCAAAAGCTTATAGTATTCTTCAAGTATTTAGAATAGGAATTATTTGTGCATGTAGGGGAGGAAAAAGAATCAGGAGGTGCAGGGAATTAGGACAACACAAATCTTTATGACTGGGTGCCAATTGCATTTATAAGCAAATGTAAAATGAATTTTTTATCTATAGGATGAAGAGTAGAAAAAGGTAACATAATGACTATTCAAGACAATCATCAATCTAGTTAAATTGCTTTGTACATGTTACAGACTACCCTTGAACATAGCCACCTGGAATGTCAGAGAGAAGCTGCCCCTTGGCCTCTTCCCCAAATGCACCTGTCTTCTGTTAAAGGGTTTTCCAGCATGCACCCACCCCCTACACACATGCTTGCAGCTTGAAATGTGCTGTCTAGGAAATGTTTGGCCACTTGATTATCAGTTGGCTGGCATTTCCCCCCAGCTATAAGTTAATTTGCTTTTCACTGGTTAACATGTAAGGGTTAGTGTTTTGTTTAGAATCGGCTTGAGCTGGACTACAACTCCCATCATCCCTGACCACTGGTCCTCCTAGCTATGGAGGGTGGGAGTTGTTGTCCAACAACATCGGAGGACCCAAGATTGAGAAAGGCTGCTCTAAAGGCTCAATAGTCTTTTTTACCATTCAACACTTTTGCCTCCTGATGGAAGTTTGACACAGCCTTTTTGTGAATGGAAAAGTACTTCACATAATTGTCAACGTGATGCCACTCATTGGGACCATTTTAACTTAACATTCCATGCACAAGTCATCTGAGGCTCTATTCTTGGTGAAGTACCCTAATTCTTGCAAGACAAGTCATCTTTGTTACAGATACAGGACCGCACAGTTGTGTTTAATGATATACACATTTTTTAAACGCACCAGGCACACATTCCTTAAATAACCCCTATATGAGAGAGATGTTAATGCTAAAGTCTTGGCTTGTGAGTAGGATGCAAATTATATGCTAGAGTGTTACATAAAACTGATTCACATGAGTGGGTGAAAATCTGGAACTCCAAACTGAGGGGAAACAGCACTCTTCCTCAATACAGTCTGTTCTGTTAGGAAGTGTGAGTCCTGTTCGTAAAAGGAAGCAGGGGACTCTTTGGTACTAAAGCCAGTTTGCTTTTGTTATTTATCCTCTTGTTTTTCGAAAACATAAGAAAAGCCTGCTAGATCAGACCAGGTGCCCATGTAGTCTAGCATCCTGTTCTTACAGTTGCCAACTACATGCCTATGGGAAGCCCACGAGCAGGACCAGAGTGCAGCAACACTTTCTCCCCCTGTGGTTTCCAGCAGCTGGTATTCAGAAGTATGTGGAGCTAGAACATAGGCGTTAGAGTTATTAGCTGTTGATACCTTTATCTTCCATGGATGTATCTAATCCTCTTTCAAAGCCATTCACTACCTCTCGTGTGAGCAAAATCCATAGTTAAATTACTCACTTCATGACAATTTACCGTATTTTTTGCTCTATAAGACTCACTTTTTCCCTCCTAAAAAGTAAGGGGAAATGTGTGTGCGTCTTATGGAGTGAATTCAGGCTGCGCAGCTATCACAGAAGCCAGAACAGCAAGAGGGATTGCTGCTTTCACTGCACAGTGATCCCTCTTGCTGTTCTGGCTTCTGATATTCAGAGTAATTTTTTTTCTTGTTTTCCTCCTCCAAAAACCAGGTGCGTCTTGTGGTCTGGTGCGTCTTATAGAGTGAAAAATACGGTACTTTCTTTCGCTTGTCCTGAATCTTCCAGCATTCAGCTGCATCGGATGTCCGTGAGTTCTAGTGTTATAGAGAGGGAGAAAAACTACTGTATTCTCTGCCCTCTTTCTCAATACTGTGCATAATTTCATGTTACCTCTTAGGTTTCCCTAAACCAAAAAGCCCCAAATCTTGTAACCTTTCCTTCATAGGGCAGGTGCTTCATTCCCTTTATCATTTTGGTTGCCCTTTTTCTGAATCCTTTTCAACCCTACAAAACTCTTTTTGAGAGGAGGCAACCCAAACTGTTCACTGTCCCAACTGCAGCCACTCTGTAGGTTTGTTATAATGGCATTATATCAGCAGTTTTATTTTCACTTCTTTTCTTAATGATCCCTACTATGGGATTTGCATTTTTCACAGCTGCCAGCCACTGGGTTGACATCTTTATCAAGCTGTCCACTTCAACCCCAAAGTCTCGTTCCTGGTTGGCCACCCATGAGCATATTTGTGAAATTAGGAGTTTTTGTCCAACCTGCATCAGTTTACACTTGTTTATTTTGAATTGCGCTTCCCATTTTACTGCCCATTCACTCAGTTTGGAGAGATCCTTCTGGAGCTCTTTGCAGTCCTGGTTTTAGCCACCCTGAACAATTGCGTATCAGTTTGGATAGGCTGTTGGGGGGCTGCTGTGGGGAAATAAGATTCTGCCAACCCCATTATGCACACACAACTCTACAGTCTATCCAGTGCCTTTCCTGTCACTGCTCAGCTTTGTGGCCAAGTGGAGTCTTGAACCAGGGTTTCCCCTTGAAAGTCTCAACACCCAAACTTTCTTACTACATTTCCTGTGTTTCCTTTTACTCATTGCAATGCTGATAGTGTCAGTGCCACAGATGAGTAGTTCTGCCATATTGTAGGTGCACTTTCAGTCTATTTCTGGACTAAAGCAACTTTCACCTTCTCCAAGGAGATGTTTGTGTGCCCCTCTCTGCCTTTGGTCTTATTTTTCAACTGCTTATACTGTACAGTATTACTTGTTTCAAAGCGCCTAAATCAACTAGGCACTATATATAAAGCAAACTAAAATTCACTAGCTTGCCCTTAGGCTTACATTTTAAGCAAGATGAGAGATGGAAGGAAAATGGTGGTAAATAGTTAAAATGATATTGAATAAATATTAAAATTAAATGACGTTTCACAGCGATGCTAAGTAGCGTAATTCCCTTTATTTTATTTTTCAAAGCGTAGTAGTAGTAGTAACATTCCTATCCTGCCCATTCACTATGAAACCCTGTGGGATGGGGAGCCTATGGCTCTCCAGATGTTGCCGGACTCAAATTCCCATCTGCCACAGCCAGCATGGCCATTGATCAGGGGGGATGGGAGTTGTAGTCCAATGACATGTGGAGGGCCAAAGCTTCCTCATCATTGGGTTAGGCTGAGCTCAAATCATTTTGTGAGCTTCATGACTGAGTGGGGATTTATAACCTTTCTATTTTAGATAGCTTACTGTAAACTAAAATAACATATATTATTTTAGTGTGGGATGGGGGAACAATTGCTTTCCCTGCCTTTACCTTGGAGTTCAGAAAGGACAAGTATCTAATTGACTGCTGTTAGGTTACAAGAGGTGTTCGTATATTTTTACACATATGAGTGGAATCAACTTGGGATCAGGATAGCATCTAGGGTGTTTTATTTTTATTACTCAGTCTCCAGGTAAACTATTGGCCATGGTGTTCTCTTAGCAGTTGCATTCAAGAGGGGAAGAATCTAGGACACCGAGTATTATTCTTACTCTCTTTATGACATATTTTGTCCTTGTGAGCTGAGTTTAGAGCCTGAAATGGAATGGAATGCCTTATCCCCCTCAAATTAGCGTTCTTGGATATAGCTGCCATATAGCTGTCGTGAGCAGATGGTATGTGAATGATCTAGTCTCAATTGGGTAACTACCAGTTAAAAGGAAATGACTAATTGAACTTCAAAGAACAAGTTGTCCTGCTCGCTGCAGTCAAAATATGTGACAGAAATCAGATTTGTGCCTCAAATTTTTTATCTGAAGATTGCTTCGGAAGTACATAACCTTTCTGTTGGCGTAGGCAGCGTGCTCTAATTTCATTAACTCAGGAAGCAGTGAGGAAAAGCATATAACTAACAGGGCTTGGGGTGCGTGACTCTGGATTTTCTTTTTAGGATAAGGAATATGATTTTGAATTGCTGTATCTTAACCATAGGGAGATTTCTTTTTGTGGCCTACGTAATCGCTTCATTCTGCCCACAGTGGCAGATGGAATAGTTAAGTAGACATGATACTATCAAGTATGTGATAATTAGATGTTTCTCTATAAAGAATGTGGTAGTTTTCTTTTTAGATGTCACTATCACGGCACGGGGACACCAGCTTTTTAAAAGCAGTATCTAATGGGCTAAATATGTTATTGTACTTATAAGCAGATCTACCTCCCTGCTGGTTTTCTGGAGCCTGACCGAAACCTCAGTGTTTAGGTTCTTTTTAGAAACCCTAAAGAGGTGTAGGTGGGTGTTTGGAAGCTGTGATTATTTTTTGTTAAATTGCTGCTGGTTTTCTATGCTTTACGCTGTTGTAAGCCATGTTGACTACAGTGGTACCTCAGGTTACATACGCTTCAGGTTACAGACTTTGCTAACCCAGAAATAGTACCTTGGGTTAAGAACTTTGCTTCAGGATGAGAACAGAAATAATGCTGCGGCAGTAGCGGGAGGCCCCATTAGCTAAAGTGGTGCTTCAGGTTAAGAACAGTTTCAGGCTAAGAACAGACCTCCGGAACGAATTAAGTACTCAACCCGAGGTACCACTGTATTTTCTACAAAAAGATGGGATGTAAACGTTTCAATTTATTACTTTATTAACAACATTTATTAACAACAATAGCACCGCTCTCTGGGCACCTTAAAGTACCGGAAAAAAATTAAAATATTTCAACCAGCCACAAATAAATAAAATTGCATATTTAAACAGAATGTAATAGATTTTAAAAAATAAGAGATTTCGAAAGGTCACAGACACTACAAAGAAGCAGCTGGGCAAGCTTCTCTGGAGGTAGAATTCCACAACCAGGGTGCTACCACCTCTCCCTAGAAGCCAACTGATATGCCTCAAATGGCAGCGGCACTCAGAAAAGGGCATTTGAAGATGTTTTCAGGCTCCAGGTGGTTAGATATCAAAGGAGGGGGACTTTAAGGTAACCTAGTACAAGGCTTTAAATGTCAAAACCAGCATTTCTGTTGGGCCTAGAAACAAGCAAGCAGCCAGCACAGATCATGAAACAGTGGCATACTGTGTTAAAATCATCCAGCTGCAGTGAACTAGCTAGCAGACTTATCCTGGATTTGCTGAAGTTTCCAAACCATGTTCGAGGGCAAACTCACATGCAACGCATTGGAATAATGCAGCAATGTGAATAAGTGGTTGTTATGTGAATCCTTGGTACATGTATCATTTGTGGAGTTTATTTAAATACCTTTACATCACAACAGCTGCACAACTCTTAAGCACCCCAGCTGTCTGATCTGACAAAAAGGTAAAGGTAAAGGGTTTGTTATCAACAAACCAATTCTGACACTTCTCTCCAAATTTCTGCCCAATAACATCTAGTAGCCTCATGCATGTTGCACAGAGCAAAGTTGAAGGACCCATAACAGAAGTCTTGGTGGTTGTTTTTTAAGTGATGAATAATCACCCTGTACCACTCTCTGGATTTTCATACAAAGAGTGAGCATACGCCACCTCAATTTCATGGTATCTCAGACTAAAGTTAAATTTGCACTTCCCAAACCACCTTGAAGAAAAGCATTATTGTCCACAAGCTAGGAAATAAATACATCATCCCCACAGGCAAAGTTTACGCCTTGTATTCTCTCAAAGCAGTCTGCGTTTTCTTGGCCCAACAGTTTTACAAAGCAGCATTAGTGAGACTTTCCCCCTTCTTTTCTCCCAACAGGCCCCCTTGCCATATCGGAAAAGACCAGGTGGTTTTCCCTGCAGCATAGTTATGGCTGGGACCTATTTGCTGTTCAAGAGTTTAAAGCCCGTGGAATTACTTGCATTACTTAGATCCTGGTCAATATTAGCATTAAACAGTGTTGAAGAGAAATTGTTGGGAGTTTTATATCTTGGAAAACAAATATGTGTTAGCAAACTGTATAGAATGCATGCTTTATTCAGTTAAAGTTCTGGGTTACCTTCTAATTTTTATTTTTATTTTCACCTCTAGGTGTATGATTGCAGATGAGGTAAGTGGCTCTTTAGCCATTCAGTCTATTCTGTAACTGCTTACTTTGGATTAAACTAGTGTGCAACTGTGCATATATTTTTTCTATAACCTATGTAGATATTTGTAAATCTCTTTGAAATGATTCATGGGGAGCAATTCGTAAATAATAAAATAATGTGTACTTAAAAGATTAATTAAAAGGATAATTTCCCCATACAGATACTTGGTGCAAATGTAAACTTTAAAGTAGTGACAATCAAAATGGGACTTACTAATCAACTTATTGAAAATGTGGAACAATGAAGTCAACCTCAAGTAATATGTTTTCATAGACTGAAGTGCCTCTCAGTTTTGCTGAGAGGTGAATTTGATATTCAGCGAATATTTTTCAGTGAGTTAGATGTAGAAAAGTGTAGCTAAACACTGCTTACACAATGTGACCTGTTCACCACTCACTCCATCCTCTTGCCCCCACCCCCAGTCCTTGGGAAAGTGCCTGTAACAGCCAGGAATGGAGTGTGAGGGCATCAGCTATAATGGGAGAGGTGAACTGGGCAGCCTTGCACAAACCTAAGTGCCTTCCCCTTACGAAAGGGAACTCCAAATCTTAGCCTATGCCATGCTATCTAAATAGCCATAATGCTAGCATTATCGTTCTTCAAACTGTGTGTATGTGTGAAAGAAAGATTTCTTAGTAAGTAACTTTAGAACTGAGTTGGGACAAACAATAACCTTACCTCCTGATTTTAATTACCAGTGTTCGTTGTTAGTTCAAGGTAACTGCCCCTTTAATTGAAAACTCCAACTGAATGGCGAAATGCTCATGAATTTATTCATTTTCAGTCAATTACCACCTTCACGATTACATTACTTTTTAATTTGAGAGAAGCAAATGTCTCAGTGTGAAGAAGCAACATAACAAAGGGTAGCTATTTAAGACTACAGTCATAAGCACATTTCAGGAAAGCAAGTTTCCTTAAAGTCAGTGGGTTATATTTGTAAGGCAGGCTGCAATCTTCTGCATACTTACCTGGACACAATGGAAACAGACATAGAATTGGGCTATCTTCAGTATATTAATACTCAAAACGTACAAGTTTATTCTTGTATGTGTTATGAAGAAATGATGATAAATTCACATAAACAAGTGTTGAGTTGAACCCGAAGATAATGTGCTGGTTGCTGCTGAAACATTATCTGTATACGAATATAATGCAATTTACTATTTGGTGGAATGAATTCCAAAACTGCAACTCTTTACTCAAATTGTCCTTTGGATTTCAAAGACATAATTTTTAATGATGGAATTTATAAGATGAAGATGAAGTCAGATTAACTTTAAACTAGCTTGTACACTTAAGATTTCCCTAGATGGTAAGGGTAGACAGCCCACAGAATCAGGAGAGATTTATTTATTTAAAGTACTTCTTAACTGCCCTTCATCGTACAAACGTGAATAAAAACTAGTTCATATGCAACAAATATAGATACAGTTGTACCTTGGCTCCCAAACGCCTTGGGAGTCTAACATTTTGGCTCCTGAACGAACCAAAACCGGAAGTGAGTGTTCCAGTTTTTGAACATTTTTCGGAAGCCAAATGTCTGACGGGGCTTCCATGTCTTCCAATTGGCTACAGGAGCTTCCTGCAACCGATCAGAAGCCATGCTTTGGAAGTCAAACATTTCGGAATTTGAACGTTTCGGATGTCGAACGGAATTCCGGAACGGATTCTGTTCGACTTCCAAGGTATTACTGTACAGTTTTAAAACAAAGTTTTTTTAAAAAAAGACAAGAGCTAATGCTGCAAAATCTAAAAAGCAGGATAGGGCAAACAAAATCATCTGTGATCTAAAATACCTGGGCAATCTGGAAAGTCATAACCTGACAGGAAAGCTTATGTTGGCCTCACCTGGTATGTTTCCTCAGGAAAGTAGCATGAGAAACTGCCTTATACCAAGTCAGACCAATGGTCCATTTAGTTCAGTATTGTCTATATACTAACTGATAGCTGCTCTCCAGGGTTTCTGGCATGGGGCACCCCAGTCCTAACTGAAGATGCCAGGGATTGAAACTGCAACCTTCTGAATGCAAAGCAGATGCTCTACCACTGTGCCATGGCCCTTTCTCTTGGCATGCTAAGGCAGGGTGCCACCACAGAAAAGGCCCTCTCCTTTGTGGAAACATGTTTTCCTTTACTAAAGAGTGTGTCTGCAGATCTTAGGGCAGAAGATCTTAAGACATAAGCAAGCTGGTATGGGAATAAGAATTTTATTTCCACATCCAAGGGACCATGATTATTCTGTGGGTTCAATGTAAAAAATCATGTGAATTCAAAATGATGTGTTTTAGTTCTTCCTGATCCATGAAAAAATAAGGAGTATATGAGTATTGGGGGGGGTGTTTTATGTGTGTTGCGAGGGAGAATGAGGTATATTTTGTAGGTTTATATATCTGTGGATATGTGAGTATGGGGGCTTTATGTCTACCCATCTCCTTCTAATGTCCTTAACTGAGCAGGTGTTGGAAGTGATTATCTTAGTCTCCTCAAAATGCACTTAAGTTGAGTAATACATTTTGGAGGTTCTAAGGTGGCTGCCATCTGCAAATGAAAAGTGTAAACAGCTGTTAGGACTTTTTCTAGGTAAACCACTGATAAGGATGTTCCCTGCTTTCATACAATTAAGCTTTTCTTCTTTTTATTTCAATTTGTTGTGACTTAGATGGGCTTGGGGAAGACGATTCAAGCAATAGCTATAACTTACTACTACAAAAATGAATGGCCTCTGTTAATAGTGGCACCCTCCTCTCTGAGGTACCCTTGGGTTGATGAGATGGAGAAATGGATCCCAGAACTTTCTCCAGAGGATATCGTCATTATTCAGAATAAAACTGACACCTGGTAAGTGGCATGCTATCAGTCGCATTGCTTTGCCATCCAAACAGTAGCTCTGAAGCACTTAAAATGGTGTGGTCTTTTTGCTGTACTTACAAATCTACTTCCATTGTTAAGAGCGTGCTGGTCTGGTTTGGATATCTCACTAAGCCATGATTTAGTCCAACATGCAGAAACTGTAATGAACCTGAGCAAGCCCTCCTGCCCATTTCTGGCATACTTGGAAGGAGAACTTTAGCAGCCTTTTGTTTTGCTTCCACTGAATCTTGGCTTGTTGTTGCTCACACACCAGGCATTGTGGTTTAGTTTCAAAGCAAATCAACTTCAAACCATGCATTCTGAAGCTGCCTTGTTAAACTAGTCATTGTGTGATGTGTGAACACAACTTCTGTGTGTTTGAATATCCATAAGCACTGCTTTACTTCCTTTACTTGTGACAGCTTTTGGTTCGGTATCTACTATTATCCTCTATATTATGAGTGAAGTATCTCAACTTTCTCTGATGTTTCTTTTTCTGAATTAATTAATATAAATAAAATACTTTCAAAAGCTCAAACACTTTTGAAAGCAAAACACGTCAGGGTTAATTGAAGTACAAAACAAGAGCTGTATTAAATTCTATTGCATATTTTGCCAGTCTTCTTTTGGCAACCTAAAACTTCTGTGTTGTATCCAGCAGAGTAAACACAAGCTAGATAAATATAAATTAACGGAATTCAGCTAGTTTGCCATTTACCTTTACAGCAATCCATTTATAACTTGATGAATGTATGTTTTGCTCTCTCCTTTTTCCTAGGAGAATACCTACAAGCAAAGTCACTGTTCTGGGTTATGGCTTACTAACTTCAGATGCAAAGACTTTAACAGAAGCTCTGTACAAACAGAATTTCAAAGTGGTGGTAGTTGATGAATCGCACTACATGAAATCCAGAAATGCATCTCGCAGCAACATTTTGTTACCTATTGTACAGAATGCCACTCGGGCCATTCTCCTCACTGGAACTCCTGCGTTGGGAAGACCTGAAGAGGTGCTGAATATCACTATGTGATGCCTGGTTCACATATCACAGCCAAGCCATGCTGGTCCACTGGGAATATACTTTGAGCGTGTGTCTTCTATTCCCCTTGCACTGGGTTCCTTATCTCACTTTATGGTAACCCTAAGTTGCCATGATGTCTGCTTTCCAATTACATGGTTTGCAGCATCCATAGTTAGTCTGATTAGGATGACTCGGCAAACTGTAGGGGCCACAAACCAAACCAGGAATAGGGGACAAGAAATTGGAAAAAAAGGAAGGGGAGGTAACACAGGCATCCAAAGCACATTCCTGACTTGCTATGACATCTGAACTGGGCATAAAAGTGAAATAATTTTATTTATTTTATTTAACATATATATATAGAGAGAGAGCACTTAATCATCAAAACATCTAAGCAGCTTACAAAATAGTATAAAATATGTATTATGAATACAAATAAAATATACATAGTTTCTTCCTTTATATTGTACAGTGTAATTCAGATTATTCTATAGTTTAATACATCTTTTGTACTGCTTACCATAAGGATTTGTGCAGAGCACATTTTTAGAACTATGGGTATGACACACTTGGGCTGGAGTAGATGAGCATAATTCCCTCTCAGTAGAGAAATGGTGGACTATTGCTGTGGTAGAAAGCATTTAAGACTACATAAGCAGTAAGGTGATAAAACAAGACACCATTTTATTGAATTTGAAAAAAAACAACCATTTGGTATAAGCTGTTAGACAATTCCTAGACTATGCAGCTGTAGCCAGGGCAAGGCATCTAATTTTGTGCTGGTGATGTCAGAGGGGCTACTTGGAAGTTGCCCATGACTGTGATGCAATTTTCGGAATGGTGCTGGTTATGCTCATAGAAGCAGAATGAGTGTCTTTCAGATTTTGAGAAAATGGTCATCTTAATAATGTCCGCTTACAATGGTTTTTACAGCTTTTCATGCAACTTGAAGCGATTTGCCCACAAAAATTTGGCACATGGACTGAATATGCAAAAAAGTATTGCGACGCGCATTTCAGGTACTAGTATTTCAGCACCTTTTACTTCCCTATTGATGTTTGTTTTTCCCCTCTTGATCATTTTACTGATTTAATTGCTTGGGATTGTGATGGACAACCTTTTTCTGTAGAGGCTCTAAATCTTCAAGAAGTAAACTTTCAGGGACTATGTAACTGTGGTTGATTGGGCAAACCCCTTTTCTCTCCTTCTGCCTCTCCCCCTTTCCTCGTCTTCTCCCCTTTCTAACTGCAAGAAACTGGGCTGAGCTGTGGTTTAAGATTTCATGTCTGGGTTCTATATTCTTCATGGGCTGGATTCAACTAACCCATTGTGTGAGCAGAAGCCAGCGAAAGGACTCTCACTAGTGCATCAGTGTTCCCACCACCACCACCACATGGCCCCTGAACTTCCCCCAAATCCATTCTGAAACCAGAACAGTAGGTGGAGGGGAGGAGAAGGGAGATAGTTCCATCTGGCAAGCAAAAATCTTTGTGTCTCCTTAGCACTACTTTGAATACTATCCCAAGGTTTTATTTATGAACTGTCCAGATAGCTTGTTGTTAATGGGTGGTGCAGTAATCTTACAAGTAAGGGGAATAATAATAATAATAATAATAATAATAATAATAATTTATTATTTGTACCCCGCCCATCTGGCTGGGTCTCCCAGCCACTCTGGGCGGCTTCCACAGAAACCAAAAATACAGTAAAATCACACATTAAAAACTTCCCTGAACAGGGAATTAATAGCTCACCATTTTCTGGGTTAGGATGCATTATAGGCTCAAGGTTTTTTTGCATGCACACCAAATCTTTCCCCATGTTTCTTCATGCTGAGTCTCACATTGGGGGGTCCCCTTGTGAGGCTGTTTAAGGTGCTGGTTTTGACCTTTAAAGCCCTATGCGGCCTAGGACCCACATACCTACAGGACCACCTCTCCTGGTATGTCCCACGGAGGACCTTAAGGTCCACAAATGACAACACCTTGGAGGTCCCAAGTCGCAAGGTGGTTAGATTGGTCACCACTAGGGCCAGGGCCTTTTCAGTACTGGCCCCGACTTGGTGGAACACTCTGTCACAAGAGACTAGGGCCCTGCGGAACTTGACATCTTTCCGCAGGGCCTGCAAGACAGAGCTGTTCCGCTTGGCCTTTGGTTTGGACTCAGTCTGACCCTTATGTCTTCCCTCCCCTTACGGTTTTGATCTATGGGCTACTTTTAAAATGAGATTGCATTTTAACCTGTATTTTAAATTGGGTCCCCCCCCATTATGCTTCTATTGTAATTTTACTGGTGTTAGCCGCCCTGAGCCCAGCTCTGGACGGGGAGGGCGGGGTATAAATTATTATTATTATTATTATTATTATTATTATTATTAGGAATGTTTTGCTTATGACAGGACTGAGAAACTCCATGAGTGCATTTTGGCTTGCCACACAGAATGACTCCCCCCGCCCACCCAAACATGCTCTTCCAATCCCGTTAGGGCCAATTTGTTGGGGCGGGGTGGAGGGCAGGGAAGGCCCTGTTGCACAAGAGGAAGGTTTTGCTCAGGGTTTCCACTGACAGGACCAATTAGTTGAACCCTCTTCTCTTGAACCAGCTTTGGCTTTGCTACAAGAACTGAATCCACACACAAAAAGGAACACATAATTTGTTTCAAACGTCATACTATCATTTTGTTACCTAATTTATGAAGGAATTTGGTTCAGCATGTTTAGGGAAGTTTTTAATGTTTTATCGTGTTTTTAGTCTGTTGGGAGTCGCCCAGAGCGGCTGGGGTATAAATAATAAATTATTATTACTACTACTAAATTTTGTGTTTCTGCAACTTGATTAAGAGATCAGCAACATTGTGGCTGCAACAGACCACTGAGATACTCCTTTATATGGTTTGCTCTTTTTGCAGAGGTGTGGACTGCTGATCAAATAGACTTGTGTGCTTCTTCTTTGTAAAATCAAATGCTAACTAATGTTGATTTAAATTAAGTGTCCTATTTTTCACTGCTCTTTAATTGCTCCAGATTCTTTGGTAAAAGACGACAGTGGGACTGCAGAGGAGCCTCAAATTTAGATGAACTGCACCAGTTGCTAAGTGATATAATGATTAGGCGTCTGAAAAATGAAGTTTTAACTCAGTTGCCGCCTAAAATCAGACAACGGATTTTTTTTTATCTTCCCCAAACTGCTGCTACGGTAAACCAGTGTACTATTAGCTGTGTGATGGTGGTGATTCATTTTTATGGTTTTAAGTGTTGTGTGTAGTATACACACAGAATTACCTCGCTCTGAAAACTCTCGTTGTGTGACTTGACTACATTTTTTTAGCAGTTCTATTCAGTGCGACCCTATTCAAGAACCTCAGCCTGTGTGGTTAAAAAATTAGGTTCGCCCAAGTATATAACTCAATGATTTCAGTGTCTCCCTGACAACTTTAATAAAACTTAGTACAGCTGAACTCTTAGGAACTTAACAGTACCTTTTAGAAGTAGCGTTTAACCTCTCTTTCAGCGATTACTCTTTCAGCGGTTACTGAAAGAAGCGGTAACCAATAACTCCTATGAAAACAGTATCACTTTTTGCTAGTGGTGATATTCAGTTATCTATTAAAACAGGGTTTAGAAGTCTTGTTTTGCATTTACTGCCATAATTCTAGGAGAACACTCTCTTCCTGCCTCGAACTTTTGTTTGAATACTTTAGCAAATTGGAAAGCATACTTTTATACACAGTTAAGTCCCAGTATGAACTTTGTGTAAGATTTAGTAGTAATGGGCACTGTCCAGGTAACCATGGGTGGCGTCCAGTGCAGGGCTAAGTGGGAAATGTACATGAGGACTGAGATCCACTTACATAATGGGACTTCTCTCCATACCCGCCTCCCCCTCCCACTGCACCTGTTCTGGGGGTTCCTTCAACCCCGCAGAGCAGATTTAGGGGCCTGGGGAGGAGGGAAGAGAGGGCGGGAAAGTCCTTCTGTGCAAGCAGACCTTGTTCCACACACAACAACAACAAGAACAACAACTTAGTTGAATACTGCCGCATGGAACTGATGCATGCTCAGTGCAGCTTTCAACACATTTTAAGAACCAAGAATCCCACTGGGTAATTTCAGAGGTACTTTGAGACACGGCACAAGGAGAATTCATGGTCTTCTCACTTGGTGCCAACAGCTACTAAAGTCAGAGTTTATTCATTTAAAATAGCGTTATGACTAATGGTCTGAAACAATGACAATTGCTGTATTTTAAATAAGTAGCACAATAAGTTGCACCGAATTAATAAGCACAACAGTGAAATGTTTCGTTATGTTTGCAAAGGCATTAAAGCAAGGTGCTGTAAAAGTATAGCCCTGAGACCAATGTGCTTCACTGTTTTTTATTTCTTCACCAGCTTTCAGTTCTTTTTGAGCCTTGAAGAAGGGGTGTTTTTAGCCATTGATATATGACTGAAACAGAATGAGCTGTAAATTCTTTTTATTTTGATATTTTTGTCCCGAGCTTGTCTTAGGCTTCTATTCTTGGCAGCAACATGTGACTGACCTACCTCTGCACTAGCATTCCTCTGAAGAAGCTGGCATCTTTAGGGACTGTTGTTTTTCTCTTTTCTTCTTGGTAGCAAAAGTAGGGCATGATTCAGAGAAACAGTAATTGTTTTGCCCTTTCACATTTTTTGCCTCTAAATATTGCCATTCCCTCCTGTGCAGGAATTAAATGCTAGCTTTGAAGAGTGGGAGAAATTAATGAGAGCTTCAAATTTAGATTCTGCGGAAAGTGACTTTTTCCAGGTGATGAGCCTAATTACAAGCATGTTCAAGCAGACTGCCATTGCCAAGGTAATCTTGACCTGTCTTGCCATTTTTAACATTTATTTAAAGAATTGTACTGCCTTTTCCTATATACACAAATTTGTCAGTCCATTTGTTAGATTGTCTCTTCCTGTATTTTCCTGAAAATTATAGCAGCCCAGTATAAAGTGATTTTTTTGTCACTGTATTTTGTCTTGTATCAAACTATCATGGCAGGCATGGGGGGTGAACCTCAGGCTCAGGGCCCAAATTTGACCCTCCAGCCATCTCTGTCTGGCCCTCAGAGCTCTCTCTAGGCCCCACTCCTCACCAGCTGTGCTTTTCACCCTCCTTGCATACTTTCCTTGTCTGGAATGTGTCCTGGAATGGTGAGGGAGCCTCTCGCTTGCCTGTATAGAGACGTCTGGCTTCTGTGAGGCAGCAGTGTAGCCCACTGTACAGCGGAAAGGTTTGCATCCATTGCTCTGGCCAGCTGTTGCCTCTGGACTAGCTTGCCACTGGCCCATGGCCCATGAGGGAATGAGTCCCTCAGAGTGAAAGAAGTATGGTTTTGAATAGCGTGCGGGATCCAAAGACACCCTTTGGTGAACAGAATTCCTTCCATTTTTGGAAGGGGCTCTGATGTATCAGGGCTTCTTCTGCAAATGGAAGTGCAAGATCATTTTTGCAGATTTTCCCTGCAGGCTGTGCACCACCTCCCACGCTGTTTCAGCGTTTTCCCCCAAATGAAGGGCTGCAGGAGCTATTAGCAAAAACAATCAAACCCCTCTCTCCCACCTTTCCCCACTTCCATTCATGGAAGCCTACACTGGGTCACACAGGTCATCTGAGAACAGAAGGACCTTGGTTCCTACCTATTGTCGTAAAGTATCTCTGAATTAATGAGCAGTATCCAGTTACACTGAAGATAAACTCTTGTCTCTAATTTGAGAATACAGGTTCAGGCTTTAGATAAGACAAGGCCACACTTTTAACTTTGTCTTTCAACTTAGTAGACAGTGTTCATGTTTTAATTATCTCACTTGGCACTGTCTTTAGCTGCAAATTTATTTTCAGTGCCAAGTTGCGTTCCTGACTGCTTTTTAAGGGGCAGGCAGTATGTAACACAGTGTACTTGTAGTAATAACACTTTGTGCTGATTCCAGAGAACTGTAGTAGTGGCTCACTTACAGTCCTCCTCTGTGCTTCAGCTCTCATTATCCCCAATAGAAGTGCCATCTTCTAAAAAATAACATAGAGGGGGCCCAACACAATGTCCTGATGTCACACACGCAACATTGCACGATGTCCTGATGTCGCTCTGCATTTGCTTTGAACAGTAGGGGGTCCTGGCCCACTCAAAACAATGAGGGAGGCTTGGCCCCCAGGAGTTGGCGTGCATGATTCCCACAAAACCAATCCTGAAGGTCAGGCATCCTCAGGAATAGAATGGGATGTGGCCCAGCTGATAAGAGCTGGGATTCAGCAGAAATAGTTATCCCCTTTGGACAAGCAGAAGTGTCTTTCCATTCTCACAGTCTGCCTTCAGATACAACCCTTAGTGGATCTACACTGATGATGATGATGTGCCAGTAAGATATATCTGTAAGATAACGTGATGCATAGATTGGCTTTTTGTTTGCTTGGCACACTTCAGATAATGGATATTGTTCAAACCGAGAGAGGAAATTAACCTTGTATGCTAATGTAGTTTTCTCTTTTACATCAAGACAAATTACTTTGTTTTATCCTTTTAACTGTTTTATTACAACAAAATTCCAAGGTTCTTTGTATGTTTTAGGCAGGAGCAGTAAAGGATTACATCAAAATGCTGCTTCAGAATGACAAACTGAAGTTTCTAGTCTTTGCTCATCACTTAAGCATGCTTCAGGCATGTACAGAGGCAGTGATAGAAAGCAAGGTAAGCGTGGCTTATTTTCTTCCACTGCTTTTTAAGGATCTTACTATCGAGCTCTAAACCCGTACGCATTCTTTTTGGTGCTTGCTTTAAAAAATGCTTGCTTTTTTAAAAGTCTGCGTTTGTCGCATCTTGGCTGTTCATATGCAAAGACAAGGATTTCCTTTAACTTCGGGTAATGCTTTGGTTTTCTTACTTCACAGGTTCGATATATTCGAATAGATGGAAGCGTACCTTCAGCAGAAAGAATCAGCCTTGTCAATCAGTTTCAGAAGGACCCAGATACTAGGGTGGCCATTTTGAGCATTCTGGCTGCTGGCCAGGTAAGGACTAACAATATACAGGATACAACTTGTGAGTTACTGCTTATGGCATTTGAACTGTTAATCTGTATTGCCACTGACTTCTTTTTTTAAAACCCTATGGGGCACACTGTAAGGCAAAGAGCTTGGTCAGTGAATTGACAGGTGTCACAGAGACCACTTTGTGTGTGAGAAATTCCAGATGAAACTGCTGAATTAAAGCACTATGTAGAGTTGTACAGTAATATCACCTCTGGTCATTATGCTGATGTTACGCAACAGTTTGGGGGGCGGGTCATGATCCTGCAGCAATTAATTTAGCAAATCTGTATAACTAAGGAAAAAGTTAACTAGTTTCTCCCATAGCCTAACCCTGAACAATAACCCGTTCCTATGTTTCGTTATGGTATTGTTTCTCACTCTATCAGCATAGGTCAAAGGAGTTCCTTAAATGTAGTATCTCATGACCAGCTCTTCAGTATATACCCATAGACATAAGAATTTTAAGATACGGTATGGGAAATACACGAACATTCCTATTCTGTTCCCTCAAAAGTCAGTTTCAGCATTCAGGCCTATATTTAACGAAATGGTTATATAGTTCCCAACAGCTTGTTTGCTTTTCCCAGCTTGGTCTCTGCAGTGGACAGTAGTCTGTTGTAACATGGCTGCCACCACAATAAAAGTACAAATGCATTGTCCCCACACATGTCTGCGAACTAATTTTCTGTGTTCAGGGGAATAAACCCGTATGGAACCCACATGACTGGGGGGAATTTAGCTCAAGCATAAGAGGGACTGTCCCTGCTGTGGCCCTGGCTCTCTTGTGCCAGGTGACAGGCTGCTGTGAGTCTGGCACAGCTGGCCCAGAAACGAGTGCATTTACAAAAAAATATACATGCTTAATTTAAGGACGTCAGTCTAAGTAGCAGGGTGCCTGCATGAGGTACTCAGGGTGGAGCAACTGAGATAAGAGGATTTCCAGAAGCCGGTTTTATTGATCATAGAATCATAGAGTTGGAAGAGACCACAAGGGCCATCGAGTCCAACCCCCTGCCAAGCAGGAAAGGTAGATACAAAAGAAAAATCCATGATTACTACTGAAAGCTGTTGAGAGGAGAAGGGAGAAGTTCAGAGGAGGGATGAGAAGTGAGATGGCAGTGAGCCCAAACAGTGATGGTTTGGCATTTGCAGGGAAAGGGTGAGTCTGAAAGTGGTGGGAGATGGCAGGAGAGTAAGCAAGGGTGGGAGGAAGTTACGCCTTTCCTTCCATATGATCTACCTGAAACTTAAAGAGACCTTAGTGTCAGGCTGTGGCAAGGTTTTGCTGGAAGGGAGGAGTGCAAGGTGGGAGGTGGGCCCCAACTTGGGAGTTCCTAAACCCAGGCGGGCAGTGGGAGCCAGCAGTAACTGGAAATGCAATTTGTCATAATTCCTTAAACCATGTTGGCTAACCATTTTCAGACTTAACTGAGCCTTCTGAGCCCAAGGCATTACGTGAGGACTCTCTGGCAAAAGCATTAAATACCTTTCCCTTTAGTCGACTCGGCTTTCCAAGCTGGAGCCTTCATTTTTGTCTTTATTTGTAGGGATTAACCTTTACTGCTGCCACTCATGTGGTTTTTGCTGAACTATACTGGGACCCTGGACACATAAAGCAAGCCGAAGACAGGGCGCATCGGATTGGACAGTGCAGTTCTGTGAATATCCATTACCTTATCGCAAATGGGACGCTGGACCCTCTTATGTGGGGAATGTTGAATCGCAAGGTATGTTTTCGCACTCATTGGCAGACCTCACTGTCCAAAGCACTGCTCTAAGATACCGACTGTAATATCTTCCTTACATTGTGAGTGTAATATCTTCCTTACATACACCTAACAACCCTATTTTCTAGATTGTCCCCTACCCTAATTCCTCCTTCCCTAGTCACTTCATATGACGTTTGGTTCTTGGGAGGAGGCATGAACTCTGTATCCGAAGAAAAGGTCAATAAATGATAGAATTTAAAATTCCTTTGGCTACAGAATTAAACAGAGTTTGTGTGTATTTTTTAAGCAGGTTTTTAAAAAACAAACGAACAGGTAAGACAGTTGAGAATGTCCTGTTAATAAAGTTTGTGTGTTTATAAAGCATTAGTACCAAAGCTAAAACTTCCTCAAAACCATTTTAGGTCTAAATATATTGGGTAGCATGTGGGAAGTAAAGCCAAAAATCTAGCTTTGATGACTAAAAGGTGAATTTGAAAACAAGATGAACTGAACCATTAAGAAGAATATAAGACTGACAAGTAGTTTTGTATCCGTAAACCTGTCTCAGAGAAGGCAGAGAAGACACATGACACTTCTTAGAGGTACCCCGGCCTCTTAAGCGAGATGGGCGCGCAACCCCAGAGTCGCACACGACTGGCCCGTACGCGCAGGGGTACCTTTACCTTTCTATGCATATACTTCTGAAGTGGTTCAGTTTTAAAACCACCATATAAATATCACCACTAAAACACAGAGCCAGTGATGCTTTCTAAAATTCACTTTACAAAAGCCCATTTCAACAAGTCAGCAACAGATATTATCTATAGCCTGTGCTCCCCTTTGATCTGTTTATGACTGACAGAAGGACTTCTAAAGCACAGTGTCTGGAAGCCTTCTAAAACCTGGAAAGTGAGCTAGTCCTGCTGGTCCTTCTTGTGTACAGAGCACCATAAATACTGGGAAGGCTGTCGGCCTTGTAGCCATCTGCCCTGTACTTCAGATGGAAGAGAAATCCATAACAGGATTCCCTCAGGTAAACTTAAAGCAGGTGTGGGGAACCTTTGACCCTCCAGATGTTGCTCAACTACTTGGCCATGGACAACGCCCATTGCCCCCAAGCAAGCATGGCCAATGGCAATAAGATAAATGGTAGTAAATAATAAAATGCTATTTATTTTAAGACATGTTATTTGTTGTAATACACTTTTTTTAGTCTACATAACCAGGGGGCATAGGGCATGCAGTCTGGTTGGAATCTTCACCTTTGGAAATGTAATTGCTTATTTTAGGTGGTTGATGATGAACCAAATGGGTTGGGTAGCAACCCTTGTCATGTGACGGAGGCAGGAGAGCAAAGGACTCTGGGAGGCAGGCTCAGTCCCCTCAGTTATTTTCTCTGATGGAACAGATCATTTCTCAATTGCTTTTTTCCGTCCAGAAGTAGAATTAATTTTGCTTCTGAGACAAAGGGGCTGCCTACTGCTGCCCCTGCTCTGGCATTAGAAGAGGCTTAGCAAGTTCATTGGTTTGGGGTAGGAAAGAATAGTTTCTGGACTCCACAACTACTATGCCCCAGCCCTATGCACCACCCTAGACAAGCATGGGCTGAAGTTATGTTGTCAAGTGTGAAACCGTTTTTAATCTTTCTGCCTGCAGGCCAATGTTACTGGGACCGCACTAAATGGCAAGAAAGAAAAACTGCAGGCGCAAGAAGGTGACAAAGAGAAGTGGAATTTCTTGAATTTTGCTGAAGCATGGATCCCAAATGAAAACCTAAATGAGTTAAAGAATGAAGTTTTATTCACTCATGTAAGTACAAAAAGAGATCATGTGTGGTGCTTAACATGTTCATGTATTTCTGAAGTCTGGGCATTCACATAGAAGTAATATGAATTGCCATTTTGCCAGGACTACATACTTATACTTCCTGCTTTGGTTTGCAGGCATGTTAGTACCTGAGATTCACAGGACATCCTATATGTACCTATATTCTCTTGTTGTTGGACAAGTCTGGGTTGCTTTGCAATTTGATTTTTTAAAAAAATCTAAAAACAAATTGGACAATTTAAACTTTTATTAGCTGTATTCAAATAGTCTGTCCATCTTTATTCTGTTCAAATGACCCGAAACCATGGAACCCACCTGGGACTTTCATTGCCAATAAGCAGTTTCACGTCTTATTGATTATAACAGAAATGTTTATACATGCATACACATACCCTTCATTTTAGTTTAATTGCAGCCATTTATTTGCTTATTTTGCGCCTGAACGTATGTCAGTCTGTATGGATACTATCCAATTGGTACCCGTGCACTTGTCAAAATGCTTTTGATCTGGCAGAGACATCTGCTAATACAGTATAGATATTGCCGATGTGGCACCATCATAAGCTTCAACTATCCCCCGGTGTCTACAAAGCCTTGGAGACCCACCACCCCCTTTTTCTCCCTTGCAAAATACAAAACGCTGAAGGAGGAATTAGAAAATGGTGCTCTTTCCCACTTCCTGTTTGAACTCTATGCCTTTCAAGGCTCAGATTAATCATACTGGGTCTGGCTTTTACACAAATCTTTGGAAAAGTGAAGTGTATTTGTGTGTGCCCTTTCTTTCTTTCTTTCTTTCTTTCTTTCTTTCTTTCTTTTTCTCTCTCTTTGTCTGAAAGGAGCTGATCTGTGGGAGGGAGGGAGAATTGAGTACATGAATCAGAACTGAGTACATGAATCAGATCACTTCCATGGATGCTAGGGCACCAATTAGAGATACATAAGCGCACAAAATAGTAATTTCAAGATCACTGCCACAGTCATACTTAGTGTGGCAGTCAATTAAGTTTTACTTAGAGTATAGACCCATTGAAATTAATGACTGTGACTAAGTTAAGTTCATTATTTATTTTTATGTACTTATTTATTAAATTTACATTCTGCTATTCGTCCGAGGATCCCAGGGCACAGTATAAAAACACAAAAAAATACATAACACAGTAGCAAACAAAGCAATAAAAAAACCCATACACAGACTGTTTAAAAAGCCAAGGATTGTTTAATTAGTCTAAAGCCTAGGAAATGAGGGATGTTCTCACCTGGTGCCTAAAGATAGGTAATGAAGGTGCCAGGAGAGCTGCCCTAGGGAGAGAATTCCACAAATGAGGAGCCCCCACGGAAAAGGCCTGTCCTCATATTGCCACCCTCCAGATTCCTCATGGAGGGGGCAAATAATGGCCTCTGATGATCACAAGGTCCAGGTTGGTTCATATGGAGAGAAATGGTCCCTTGAGGTATTAACTTCATTCATTTCAGCAGGTCTATTCTCAGTAAAACTTAGCTGAATACCGCCCTTCATAATTTTTTGTAGTAAAGAAAATTTGCTTGATTCACTTGTGAAATGTTGCTTCTGATCTCTGCTTCGTAATACAGCTGCCTACCAAAATAATTTGGTGAGTGGTTGTATGAGTGCTTGGAAGTTGTTCCTTCAGTTTATATCAGCTATTGTAATTTGATTCCAAAATCTCATCAACAGTTTGTGAACTGACTAGGAGTTTGCTATAACTTCTGTGTGAATACATTAATTTCATACTTTTTAGGGTTGTTGGTTTTTTTTAAAAAAAAAACCTATGGATTTATTATGGTGCTAACTCACCTGGGATTTTGCCAGGTCACTGGTTACTACTGTGCAGCAAATGTAGTGCATCCTGCTGCCATTTATCAGTATATCATACCCGAAAAGGATCCTCAACAGATTTGGTACAGCCAAAATCCACTTCTTCAAGCAGTAGCCTCATTGTAAATATGAATAATACCCTTGGAATGACTGCAGAGCAGGTCACCGCTCTGTGCCAGACTAATTTGAGTACTCAATATGTTGTCTGTATGATACATCAATTAGCCTGTGGCTTTATAAGGCAGTTCAGTTAATCTTAAATACAGAAAGGCTGCATGTGCATACGCTGCAAGATTGGAGACATATAACCTTTTGCTTTAACATGCAGAAATGGCTTTGCAGTTGGGTGGTTCATTTAAGCATAATACAAGAAGGGGGAGATTCGTTCTTAGGTTTCAGGTTCTGAGACCCAAGATGGCATGCAAATCCAAAGCAATTTAACATGACTCCAACTGTGTTATAATAACCAAAATGGCAATTAAAGTTAATATGTTTTTGACTGTGTGATTCCTTTGACCAAGCTGGGAACATTAATCATTTGCATGCAGTTACAGTATTGTGAAGATCTATTTAGCCTATGAGTTAAGTAAGAACCGTTTGTAAACTGCAAAAATAACTCTGGACTTTGGCTGGGATGGGGATATTGGCTACCATTCTGGAACAGGCACCATGCCTCTCCTCTCTTCCAGGCAACCACAATTAGAGAGCCAGTGTGGTGTAGTGGTTAAGAGCGGTAGTCTCGTAATCTGGGGAACCGGGTTCGCGTCTCCGCTCCTCCACATGCAGCTGCTGGGTGACCTTGGGCCAGTCACACTTCTTTGAAGTCTCTCAGCCTCACTCACCTCACAGAGTGTTTGTTGTGGGGGAGGAAGGGAAAGGAGATTGTTAGCCGCTTTGAGACTCCTTAAAGGGAGTGAAAGGCAGGATATCAAATCCAAACTCCTCTTCTTCTTTCACCTTCACCTTGTGTTTAACCATAGTTTAATATGTCATCCAAGCTATTATTCATCTTAACTGAGGTTTGTTGAAACAAACCAGTTTTATAAACCATGGCTGAAAGCTGATTTATTCCAAACAAACAAAGTTATTACATTTAACCACTGTTTGTCAGGTTATGATGACTCGAGAAGCTGTAATTAATCCAAAAATCACACTGAAACCTTCCAAACACCTTGAAGCCATACCAGAGCAGGTGAAGGGCAACACAAGACCTCAAGCGGGGGTGGGGGGGGAGGAGGCTAGGCTTGTTCCCATCATAATAAACTCAAGGTTGGGAAGCTCAGGCCTCAGGATTTCTTTACATGTCCCTCAAGACTCTCAGTAGGCCATACCTCTCACTGGTCCTGCCCCTCCTCAAGTGGCAATGTCTCTTACTTGTCTTGGTGGTGGGTGAAAGCTCTGGTTTTTGTGTAGCTAGAAGGTAGTCTACTGTATAAAGGTAAGCCACATTTACTGCTCAGGCCACTTTTGCTCCCATCTACCACTGGCATGGGCCCCCGGCATAATGCAGTCATTGGGTTGAAAAAGCCTTTCTGCCTTTGCAATAAGTTTTACTCAGAGTAGACCCATTGACCTTACGTTTATTCTAACAAACAAACTAATGGGTCTATAATTGGCAGGGTTTTTCTTATCACCCTTTTTATATATTGGGACAATTATACTCAGCTTCCACCCTTCAGGTATACGACCTGAGCTGTTAATGTATGAAAACAATTTTGCAAAAATGGGTGATCAGAAATCAGGTCTTATCTTATAGATCTTCATTGGGATCATGTCTTCTCCTGGAGCTTTATTAGCTAGTTGGCTTGCGATTAGCCTCTTAATCTGATTGGGCGTGACGTCTGGCCATTCTGGCAGTTCTAATAACTGAGTATCGTAAACTTGTGGGGGTGAGTCAGGACAGGGGCCATATATTCCTGTAAAATATGTCACCCAATCCTTTCCTTGGACAGATGCTTCTAACAAGTAGCCCAGCCCATTTGTACCTTGGGCAACCAGATGCCAAAATTTCCGGAGCTTATGTTTATTGATTTCTGCATGGCTGCTATGAGTAAAATGTAGTTGAATACCACGCCAATCCCATGATTTTATCATGACACCAGGCTTCAACCATTGGCTTCACTGAAGCAGTTGAAACTGGTGTTGTACCTTGCTGATTTCCCATGTAGCATCCGACTTTCTCAGTAGCATAAATCAAATCAATAAAATTAAAATTCATAAATTAAATTAATGCATACCTGCTAATGTGTCTTTCATGGGAAGCCATATCTTAGCAAGACAGAACATAAACTTTTTGAGTGTTGCACTGACAGCTTGCCGTAAATAATAAACACAACAATAGGTTAGGAAGTAGTCTAGAATCCACCAGATTGGAATATTGGTCCTAATATTTTCTTGATATGTCAAGTTTTTCCACTTAAAATTTGCTGTATTAAAAGACTACCTATTGGGGAAACGCTGCAGTTGGAAAGGTTAATAAATTAAGAAATGGAAGAATGAGACAATAGTTTGCAATGAAAGAGATGTAATGGTTGTTTTATTATCTGCCCTAGTTTGAAAAGGAAAAGCAGCATGATATTCGTGCCTTCCTTTCACCAAAACCAAATGCTGAAAAAAAGCGAAAAACTCCGTCTTGTGATAAGGCTTCAGGCTTCAGTCCAGCTTCTTCTCAAGCCTCCATTGAAATGGACCAGGCAAATGGTGGTTCTTTGGACTCTGAGGAACTCGTTGAGAAGGACTTGCTTTGTAGAGAAGCAAAGAGACCAAGAGCCTTACTGCCATCAACTCCAAAGAGCTCTCCTGAGAAAAAGAGGAACGCTTCATTTGGAAAAACAAACCTTCCCATTACAAAAGAAACCACACAAGAAGGTTTTGGCACACCAGTACCTAATTCAAGCAAAGGATGCCCTTCTGAGGCAACCTGGCGCTGCAACCTCTGCACTTTCAATAATAATTCATTGCTGCCTTATTGTGAAATGTGTGAATCTCCTCGGAGAAAGAACAGTAAGTAAGCCCCGGGCTCCAATTAAGATCTCCTTTCTTTCTTGTTTTAAAAAGCCATTTTTAAAAATGGCACGAAAGAATGCTTAAAAATATGAAGTATTTGAGGGGAAACTTGTGACTATTTGTCTTAAAATTTTCAGAAAAAGCTTCCAAAATTTTCACTTTGCCTCTAAAGTATAACATGCCATACATTCAGTGGCAATGGGTGCCTCTGATATTACCAAGGTGTAAATGTAATGCTTTGTAGTAGAAATTCAATTTCCATGGCACCTTACTTTTCCCAGTCCTCTTCAGGAAATAACACTTCTTTCCACAAGTCCATGAAACGCATGTATTTCATTACTATTCTTGGTCAGACAATGCACTGTAGCTATCTCACTTAATTACCTTATTAGAAGATGGGTCATTTTATTGGGAATTGACTTCGAAAGGATATATGGCATTTTATATTTATAAAGGATACCTAACATCCCTAAATCCAAAATTCAATTTGTATAAGGTTTTGTTCATTTTTTTAAGTTTGGATTTTATCTGCATGTGTTTGCCATATGTCCACCTTGTACACAGAGAAGCTCATTGCCTTCCTACCTCTACCTCTGTTAGAACCTCCCAAACAGGGCTGCCAAATCTTCCACACTTTACTGTTGCAGCTGCAGAATTCTCTGTCCCCCAGACTGAATTTCTTTTTCGGTATAAGGGCCTGGATCCAAAGCTCTCCCCTGCCTGCACAGGCAGAAGAGCATTTCAGCCTGTACAAGAAGACTTCATGATGGCTCCCAGTCTCCCTCTTCCTGCTGCAGCCCTTATCTCATAGTATCTCGCATATCTAATTCTTCTCTTGAGGGCCTCAAATACTCTGGAGCAGGTTTCTGATGGACTAAAAGTGGGAAAGAGGGGAGAAGGTCTTCATTTCAGGAATGAAGCTTGTTTCGCACACATTTGGATCAAAGCCAAGGTTGCTGTTCATGAAGCCTATGCAGTGTTGTAAATAAAAATATGCCTTTTCCCTTATGGGGTATCCAAGAGCCCAAATAGAGCCCTTACATAGGTTCCCTATTGGTAGGAGAAAATAACAGAGGCCAACCAGAGAATATTGAGAAGCAAAGCAGCTAGTAAGCCTGATCTTTATTGATCTGTTGCAACAGGGTGCTCCCCTCACACACAGGAAAGGAGGAGGACCCAGAAAAATGCTGTGCAAGGGCTTATAAAGACTTTTGAAATTCCCATCCTGTAGATCAAGACCACCCCCCAGAAACATCATACATACATCACAGGAGGGGTGTAACCTAAGACCACCCCTCAGATACATCACAGAAAAGGTGGTCTTAAAACAGAAATTTCAATATTGTTTTTCTCTTGTCCTTGTTTATTTCCTGTCTGGCAGGTTACTTGATTGGATAGCCTGAGGAGCCTGGCCAGTCTTTTGTAATGATAAGGCTCACACCCTTATTCAAACACAGACATACCCTTAAGACAGGATTTGTGAAGGAAAAGACCATGGGGAGGCTTTTCCATTTTGACCTTGCAGAGAAAACATTTGGTCAGTTTAGGAATCAAAATGGTTCCAGTTTGGTCTTCCTGTGCATGTATGTGCGGTTATGAACATTACCATATATCTAAGACCATAAAATTCCTATCACAGCAGTGAGTTGCCAATCATGCGGCAGCAGCCAGACATAAAAGTTTTTTCTGCATTGGGTGGCTGTATAGCATCATCCTGTCTAATGCCACTCTGTACTAGGAGGGAAAGAGTCAGCAGGCACGAGCTATGGCCTGCCTTCTCTATGGAGAACTGTCTATATAATTGGTTGTGTTGGCAACTCTTCTTTTAAGAGCTAACTAGTGGACTTTGCTAGGAATGCACTGTAGGCTTTGCTGTTACCTATCAACCTATGTGTAAGGGAGGGTTTACTACTGTTTTTGTGGTGTTTGTTTTTTAAACATGTATAGGTATAAAGAACGAAAGCCAGATCAGCAATTCTGTTTCTCCGGGGATTGGGGAAGAAAGCGCAGCCCGAGAGATTATAACCCTTAATGATACAGGAGGGACAGCCCATAAAAGTTGCCGGAGAAATATCCTAGAGCAACCACTGACTGGGATGTCCAGTGGAACGAAGGAAGACATAAATGAGCAATCTAACTGTTGTGAGCAAGAGCTCAGAGTGGGTAAGGAAAACTGATTTCCTTCTGGAGCATAGCTACCTTGTGGTGAGCATGTCATTCTGTGTATCAACTAACATTTTATTGTGTATTCTCATGCTCTGGGGATCAGTACATGCAGAATATTTGCAAGAGCCCCAGAAGTGGTGATCAAAGGAGGGTATTCAACTAAGTTTTGTTCAGAGTAGACCCAGTGATATTGATAAAGATGACTAAGTTAAGTCCATTAATTTCAGTATGTTGAATACCACCCACAACGCCTTATATATACATCTCAGAGATCACGAATAATTCTGCACATGAAAAAAGCCTTGAGAGAGTTCAGAGATGGTGAAGCAGTTGCTCCCAGTAGATTTGGGGGTTCTTTACAGAATTGTGGTTTGTAATGTAGCAATTTGGGCATATTATGAACAAAGTTTTTAATATGTGCTTCTTTAAGGAAATTTTTTGTAAACAAGTAAAGCTTACTTATGTTTAGCAAAGTGAGACAAAGTTAAAAAAATGTGCCATGAAACACTCTGCTGTTTAATATAGAAAACCAATCAAGGGTCCATTTGCCCACACCCAAAGGCCACTGCTGAGACTTGGACCTGGCACAAGTTGCCTCGAGACTCTGCTATGCCAGTGTTTCATGTCACACTTCTGTTTGGCACAACTGTCTTACACAAAAGCGATTATGCCACGAGATTGCCATGCTGCTTCATAAAAACTAAAGTTCGACACAAACTGGTGGTGGTAGAGGAGTGAGAGCTTTCCTGCTCATTGGGTAGAGCATGCCTGTGCTATATTGTCTAATCTGCCCTAAGGAGAAGAAAGGAGAATGAGTTTTGATGAAAGTCATTTCACCTTTATTTACAGAGCATACAGAAGACTCGGAATCATTCCCAGCATATTCTGGCCTGAAGTTCTGTGCAAGTAGGAACACAGACAGAATTCATGTCTACACAGTGGTAGGGTGCTGCTGCTGTTGTTTGCTTCAATCCAACCTGGAAGATTATGGAATGGTTCCTGCCCTTTTCTCCCTTCTGTAGCCTGCTGTTCTCTCCCAAAAGACATTCCTAAGGACTGAAGGACCCCCTGAAAGGGGATGCAGCATGGGAAGTTGTGACAGGAAGGGGGATTGGCAGTATTTGCTATAAAACACAACTCAAAACTGCATTCCGAAGAACATGGTAAAGTCTTTGCTGGTTTGATGCCTTGTTTATTTGCAGGAGTGGTATGCGTTGCTTCACGGCTTCCCCTTGCTCCGTGACAAGTTGTAAGCCTGGGGAATTTTTCATGAAGCAAGGGGAAGTCATGAAGTAACGCACCCCGCACCTGCAAATAATCGAGGCATCAAACCAGCAAAAACTTTACCATATTCTTTTGAATGCAGTTTTGAGTTGTGTTTTATAGGAAGGGGGATTTGGCAGAAATCAAAGGGACAACATGAGAGGAGAGGATTGGCAGAAATTGGGGACATATCCCATGAAAGCAAAATTGCCTTTGCGGTCATGCTGGTCCCTGTTAGATCCAAGTCATTGCATTCACTGTTGTATAGGGAGCTTCTGCCCTAACAATGGGGAAAACACACTACAAATAACTTGTTTGTTCATGGCCTGTTGTTGGGTTCTTCTCTCTCTCTCTCTCAGTGTAATATATTTAATGTGGTTTAAAGTAGGCTTCTTTTCTGTAGAAATGAAAAATTATCAGTACATCCTAGAGTAGGTTAAAATAGTCTTATGCTGTAGGACCATCTGTCATTGTCTCATCATCTTTGATGTCATGGGATGGTTCATAAACATTTCTACTGCTCAGGGCTAAGGTATCAGCAAACTAGAATGTTGGCAGTGCAACTGCAGTGAGGCAAATGAAAGGTCCATGAATTTTGTTGTTGGTTTATTGTAAGAAGCAGTCTGATGAGTAATTGAAGATAAATTTATGGTAGGAAAATCACCAACTTCCTTGAAACCTTCAGATAACCAAATACCTTCCTGATTTAGGAGACTTAAAAACATTTATTTGATCCATCTAGGATGGGGAGCCCCTGAATTGTAACTTCATTCCGCTGGATATAAAATTGGATAACTGGGAAGATTTACCAGCATGCTTTCAGCAAAAACAGAACCGTTCATTGGTAAGATCAATTGCTGCAGTTATAAATAATGCCCAGGGTGTATGCTTGCAGTTTTACATTTAAGTAACAAAATGTTCTGCTTTGGTGTCAGGTTTTCAATTATTAGCTAAGCATATACAGATCTTAATTGCTTTTTTTAGTGGAATGTGTTTCTTGGGGGGGAGAGAATATCACACTTCCCTTGTCTGTGCATATACTCAAGTGCATAATTAAATTGCCCATCTGCAGAATTAGGAACTCAATTCCGTTGTCAGTCATCAGTCATTTTTTTAGAAAAATAATACTTTAGCACTGCAATATAATGGGTAGAGAAAGGGTTTAAAAATAAAACAGTAAGACTTCACAGGGTGCATGCAAATAACATTAAGAATTAACTTTTGTTCCTGTTCATTTTGGTTTTAAACTGTTAACACATTCCAGCCAGGAAAACGCATCAAGATGGGTACAAAACAGGGCTATGGTGGGGTGGGGGGGTCAGTGTTCTAAACTCCCGCTGTTCTAGGCACATTCTGCACTTCCAGCTACTCAGAGACTGGAGAATAGACCCTCTTAAGAATATTAGAGAGGTGGGCAGGGGAAGGACTAGACCATGTGAAAAATACCGTATTTTTCGCACCATTGGACGCACCGGACCATAGGACGCACCGGATCATAGGAGGGGGAGAACAGGGAAAAAATTTTTTTTCTTGTTCTCTCCCTCTAAAACAAGGTGCGTTCAAGGTACCTAATTTTTTTGGGGGGGGGGGAATAAATAAAAAAAATTCCCTCCCCAGGCACGGGGCAGGCGCGGGACAAGCCCGCGGTTCCCCCGACCCCAGCCCCCAGAACAGCCTGCTATCCGCAAGCCCTAGGGACCCGAGGCGGTCTCCCAGGCTTGTGGAGAGGTGCGCGAGCCCGGGCGCGCTCTTCAGTGCGCACCAGGCTTCGGAATGCAGGCAGCTCCGCGCCACCCTCCCGAGCCCGCGCGGCCGCGCGGGACCGGGAGGGTGGCGTGAGCTGCAGAGCCCTGGGCGCAGGCAGCTCCGCGCCACCCTCCGGAGCCCACGCGGCTTCGCGCCGGGACCGGGAGGGTGGCGCGGAGCTGCAGGAAGCCCTGGGCGCAGGCAGCTCCGCGCCACCCTCCGGAGCCCCGCACGGCTCGCGCCGGGATCGGGAGGGTGGCGCGGGCTGCAGGAAGCCAGGAAAGCCTGCATTCGCTCCATAGGACGCCACACATTTCCCTTCATTTTGGAGGGGAAAAGTGCGTCTATAGAAGCGAAAAATACGGTAAACATAATATTTTAGCTGCAGTTCATTCATTTTCAGCTTTGTATTCTTGTTATAAAAAAGCACGCCTAGACACATTGTTGTGCCCATAACCTAGGTTTAAGGTGCCATTTAGCTCCTAGCTAACTTTCAGTACAGTGGTATACATGTCTACTCAAAAGTAAGTTTCTTTGTGTTTAATAGGGCTTAATACCAGGTAGTTGAATACAGGATAGAAGCTTAGGCTTTTGTTCAGTTGCTGTTGGGAGAAAAGGATTCTTGTGCCTTTAACAGCTGTATGGCAAGCACAAATTCAACAGGTTAAGTATTTTCTAGTATGGAAATAACAGTTATGACAAGATGTACAGGTTCCACCTATTTGCTGCTTTATTTGTTTTATTTTGCTGCCTGCCAGCCGCCTAGATCAATTGGCAAGCAGCTACTTGAGATTGGGGTGGGGGAAGAAGCATGGAAATTGTCTGTCACTCATTTTGCTGCCTGCCAGGCAGATGGAACAGGCAGCAGGCAGCTGCTTGAGGAACTTTTTGAAAATGTGAGGATGGGGAAAGAAATGTTGGGTCTTCTTTGCTGCTGTGCTTGTTTCACGGGCAGGTGGAGCACACAGCTGCTTGAGAGGGGCCTCAATATGAGAGCAGGGGGAGGATTTGGCAAAACTTTCTTGTTTCTGCTGCATGCCCTATACACTCCTAATTTAGAGACGTTTGTAGATAACATTCAATCTCAAGCATCACACTAGTATGGGCGTATACTTTTGTGAGTTGTCTTGTATGCATTCTCTGTGTATTTTCTTATATTTTTGCTCCATAAAGATACTTTTAAAAATATATTGCCAGCCAGCATTAAATATGTCTTCTGGAATACAGCGTGTGAAGAACTCTCAAAGAGCAAGAGCTTACAGGTATCAGACTTTATTATGTTTTGTATTTTCTCCTCCAGATACTGAGGTTTGTAAGAGAATGGAGTGGTCTAACAGCCATGAAGCAGAGAATTATCAGGAAAAGTGGCCAGCTATTTTCTAGCCCCATTCTTGCTGCTGAAGAGCTGTTGTCAAAACAACAAGCCAAGCTCAGCAGTACCAAACGGTGTGTGCTAACAGCCTCTTTTTCACTCTGGTAGAGGGATGGGAAATAAATCACCTTAATGATGCAAACATGACTTAAATTACAAACTAGTTTTAACCGAGTTGGTTTGATATAGTAGGCTCTTCATGATTTTGCATGATAAAATGTGGGGAACAGTGAGAGAAATAGGTTTAGCAAAAACAATGCCAAAGGATTCAGAACTCATGAATCCCTATGTTATTACAATAGAAAATTAAGTAATTCATCACCCTGATGATAGTTTTCATATCAATGTAATAATGGATCTTATTTAAAATAGAACAGAGAAAGCTGCTGGAAATGAGTGTTTTACAGATTGCATGTGGAAAACAGGGATTACCTTGAGAGGGGAATTTCCTCAAGAATTCTGCATCTCAGTGTTTTGCATTGACCCACAGACTAAAAAAGAAATGTTTCCTATGTTTCTAGGTACATAACAAAAGAAGATGTAGCGAAAGCTTCACTAAAGAAGGCTGACAGTATTGGGGGCAGTGTTCGTATAGTTACTAAAAAACCCACAGTTGCCTTAAATGCCCACACTGCCTCTGCTGGAGAAAAGGACAACAATTCTACAAAGTAAGTTTCAAGTATGCAAGGTAACACTGATTTCTGTAGGTTGCATCTACTAATGCAGTGAGACTTCCTCCCCTAGCCCTGATCTAGAGGCTCTCCATACAGCTTTTTTGGAGTGCATTGGGGGGGATGCAGGCTACAGGACGTTCCTTTGCTCAGGTCTAATGTGCAAAAGAAATGGCAACATTGGAGAAAGCCCCATGTCCCTCATTTTCAAACTGTTAGTCAGTTCTTGACAGGTGGGCACCTTTGTTAATCAAAACCGATCTTTCCCATGACAACTGCCATTAGCTCCAGCGAGTGTCACCAACAACCAGGGATGATGGTAGCTGTCTTTGCAAATGAAGTGGTGGAAAAGTTAAATGAGCCCTTTAGTGTAGGATGAGGGCCAATAAATTGAAGCTGAATCCAAACAAAATGGAAGTATAGTGGTACCTCGGGTTACATATGCTTCAGGTTACAGACGCTTCAGGTTACAGACTCCACTAACCCAGAAATAGTACCTTGGGTTAAGAACTTTGCTTCAGGATGAGAACAGAAATCGTGCTACGGCGGCAGTGGGAGGCCCCATTAGCTAAAATGGTGCTTCAGGTTAAGAACAGTTTCAGGTTAAGAACAGACCTCCGGAACAAATTAAGTACTTAACCCGAGGTACCACAGTACTTTTGGTGGGTGGTTCATCTGTTCAGGGTGGTGGTGTTCTGAATGGCACTGTGCTCCTCTTAAAATAGATGTCTGCAACATGAGGGTGCTTATAGACCTAGCTATTACTTGAAGTTCCAGTGGCATCTGTAACTTGAAGCATCTTTCTGCAGCTGAGTGCAGTCGCAGTGGCCCCTCCTAGACAGAGAGCTTTGTGATGGTTATCTATGCCCCGGTAACCTCCAGGCTAAATTACTGCAATGTGTTGTTAATGGAGCTGTCTTTGAAGACAGCCCAGCAATTGCAATTGGTAAGAAAGACAGCAGCAAAGTTAATAACTGGGATTGTTTGCCAGGAGCGTATCATGAAGGACATAGAAAACTGCTTATGCTGAGACAGGTAATTGGTCCTCTTGGCCAGTAATTTTGACACTGACTGGCAGCAGCTCTCTAGCACTTCGGATAGAGAAGTCTCCTCCAGCCTTACCTGATGATGCCAGGAATTGAATCTGGGAGTTTGTGCATCCAAAGCAGACATTCTACTACAGCGTTTTTGGTGGTTTTAATTAGTATTTTGGTTAAAAGGAAAATACTTTAGTGGTATAATAAAAAGAGAATTCCTTGTGTGCCTAAGATCCATGTTTGGGGCTAGTACTTTTTAGTGATAGAGCGCCAGCAGGGATTTAAAATCACAAAACATGCAGCAAAGCATAGAAATATAAGCTGCTGTTGTTGTTGTCGTTTAGTCGTGTCCGACTCTTCGTGACCCCATGGACCAGAGCACGCCAGGCACTTCTGTCCTCCACTGCCTCCCGCAGTTTGGTCAGACTCATGCTGGTAGCTTCAAGAACACCATCCAACCATCTTGTCCTCTGTCGTCCCCTTCTCCTTGTGCCCTCCATCTTTCCCAACATCAGGGTCTTTTCCAAGGAGTCTTCTCTTCTCATGAGGTGGCCAAAGTATTGGAGCCTCAGCTTCACGATCTGTCCTTCCAGTGAGCACTCAGGGCTGATTTCCTTAAGAATGGATACATTTGATCTTCTTGCAGTCCATGGAACTCTCAAGAGTCTCCACTGCCTTGCCCCTTCATGGATCACTGCCTTGCCGTGGCGAAGGGGCTTGAATAACTCAGAGAAGCTATGAACTATGCCGAGCAGGGCACCCAAGATGAACAGGTCATAGTAGAGAGTTTTGACCAAACGTGATCCACCTGGAGGAGGAACCAGCAAGCCACTCCAGTATCCCTGCCAAGAAAACTCCATGGACAAAGACAACAGGCATAAGCTGCTAGAAGGGGATATTTTAAAGGTTCAAGTTCCCACTTCCCTTAGCTTAGAAAGAGACCACGTCTGACAAGTTAAAAGATGGTTTACTTACAAACTTCTCAAAGGTTAGATTCATGTACTCTTCCATACAGCAGCAAGAAAAGACAGGCAAGGTTAGTTCCAAGGTGTAAGTGTTTCTAAATTGTTTGTATAGAAACACAAAGCTGTCTTGCTAAAGCCACATGGTCTAGGCTTGGAGCAACCAGCCCAGACATACTTACTGGTAGGGTTCACATGGTGTAAAGTGAGAGATCAGAGAGTTTGATAGCCCTTCCATCCAAGGTGAGTGGGTGTGACCTAGCAGGACAGCTTACTTTATGGTCCTAACACTTTCATGCATTAATTGGAATGACTATATGAGACTGGATACGTCCCAGAGTTTTGACCCTTTGCTTGCTGGTGCTTAAAGAACTCTATTGATTTCTGGTCTGTTTCTGAAGTGCTGATCCTTACCTTCAAAGCGTACACAATGTGGACCTGAGAGAATGCCTACACCTATATGTGCCTGTACCATTTGTCACCTTCAAAGATCCTCTGGTTAGCTTCCCTATCTTAAGATGAAGCAGGTGGCAACTGAGAGAGCACATTCTTGCTTGTAATGTCTGAGCATTACCAGAGAGACTTACCTGGCAGCATTTTTTATGTCTTCAGTGCAAGGTGACCTTTTTTATTTTCCCAGGCTTTTAACTCTGGTTATGTTAAGCTTCTTCAACTTCTTCCCCACACCCTTATATTGTATAATTGAAGTTTAATTATGGAAGGTGCCCTGGAAACTTAATGGTGGGTTACAAATTTTTTAAAATAAATAAACAAAATGGGGAAATTGTTCTTCACCAAAATAACTGACCTGTTTTATCTTTAGGTTGGCTTCAGAAGATGGGAACTGCCCAGCCCTCATATCAGGCTCTGGTCAGGCTGATTCTGTTGAGGAGCCCACCTTAGGCAAAGGCTACTTGCAAGCTGTAGATAATGAAGGAAATCCACTTTGTCTTAGCTGCCAAATGCCAGCAGTCCAGATTGACCAGAAGTCCACCTCAACTGCCTGTGACACACGGTTTTGTTCTCATAAGTGCCAAGATAACTTCTTATTTCGCACTAGCCAAAGCTACTTGAGAACTAGAGTATTTGAGATAGAACATGGGGTTTGTCAGAAGTGTTGTCTGAATGCCCAGGAACTCTACCTTTGTGTCAGAGATGCCCCAAAGAATCACCGTAAAAATCTTCTGGAGAGCTCCTGGATGTCCAAGCTTCCTTTAGCTCAGGTAAAATGTGCTGTTGGATTTAGTCAGTTACCAATCAGGAATAGGGAACTGGATCCAAGCTACTTTGAACAGGTGGGTGGGATCACCCACCTGTCAGTCAACTCAGATATGACATCAGGTGATTCAACTTCAAAGGAAGAATCTTAAGCCATAGCTGTAAAGATTCCTGCCAAAAGGGAGACTTGCATTCAGTGCTGAGCTGCAGGCCTCACTTTCTGCAAGAAAAAGTTAAGTTTGTGCGCATGTTATGTTATAAAATCACCTCCTCCTTTAGAAGATGAAGGCTTATGGCTCTTGAAGCCTTTCAAAGCCAGTATTTGCATAGTCCAACTATCAACACGCAAACCCAGCCTGTCACCTGTATTCTGCCAGCAAACTACACTGTGAAGACACAGTTTGTTGTTACAATTGTTTAAACTGTGGTTTAACACTATTTCCAAGAACCTAAAAGGCTAAATTTCAAAAGGTGTTAAAGAGTATCACTTGATCTTAACACTTGCTTCATTATAACTTGTCAACTTCCTCTTCTCTAATCTAAGAACAACAGACCTGGTCCAATAGCCATCACATGTATATTTATTTACCTTTTGCTCTTTACATATGTATCTAAAACCATTAACATTTTGAACAACTTTGGTTAGATGAGACCCTATTTCATGTTCATAGAACCAAGAGTTGGGGTAGGATTCCCCCCCCCCCCAATACATGTTGATAATCTGGTAGTGAGGATGTGTGTACTAGCTACATTTCGAAGTCCATGTTCAGATCTTCTGGAGGATTGTGAACAAGCTGTGTGTGTCTATGCGCCATCATTTTTCCTCATGGCTTTAGATTAACAGAACCACAGTTTGGCATTACATCTGAACTGGCAAACTGTAGTTTTTGTGATTCCTTCAACTAGGATTGTAATTGTTGTTTGGATGTTATGGCAGATTGGTTTGACTAACCAGTAAGTGTTTGATTAAGCCAGGTGTCAAGGAACTGCCATCGGCTCAGGGGCGAGAGGGGAAAAGCCAGATGGATTACAGAGAACCCCCAAAGATAATGGGAAGCAGCACCTCCTCAGTGGAGGAGAGTAACCACGCCTCCAGTGGAGAGGAGCTTCAGGGTTTGGAGGAGGCGAGGCGGTGCCAGGACACCTTGCCTGGGCAAAGCGGGGAGGAGAGAGGTCCTCCGTTACCCACGCCCTCCCTGCGCAGTAGACTTCCGCGCTGAGAGGGGAGGCGCAGATTGGGCGTCAAAAAACTACTCTGCTGGGGAAGGTTTAAGGACCGCCCACTCACAGATTCTGCCAGTGAATGAGCCAGCCACGGGAGAGTGGCACTCCGCACAGAGAAAGTTTATTTTGGCATCAAAAGCAACGCTTCACAGCCGAGCAGAGAGGCATTTGCCTACTTGCTCTCGAGCAACCCCTTGGTACCTTAACACCAGGCATAGGCAAACTCAGCCCTCCAGATGTTTTGGGACTACAACTCCCATCATCCCTAGCTAACAGGACCAGTGGTCAGGGATGATGGGAATTGTATTCTCAAAACATCTGGTGGGCTGAGTTTACCTATGCCTGGATTAAGCCAAATCATGAGAGGAGGTAGAAAGGTATGTACAAGCTCGTTCCTAATTGGTAAAGGCTTAGTAGCTTATCTAATATCCTATCTAATTGCAGTTAAATGAAATTATACGGAACCCAACTGAAGGTCAGTTCTGGCAAGTGGATCATATAAAGCCAGTTTATGGTGGAGGAGGACAGTGTTCCCTGGAAAATCTTCAAACACTGTGTACGGTTTGCCACAAGGAGGTGAGTACAGAATACTCTGACACAACCCTTCAACATTATGCATGTTGTTGTTGTTTACTCGTGTCCGACTCTTCGTGACTCCATGGACCAGAGCATACCAGGCACTCCTGTCCTCCACTGCCTCCAGCAGTTTGGTCAAACATCCTTAGACCTATTTATTCTTTGCCCTGTAGTCAATTTCGCTACCAGTTATTCTTTCGCATTTCCTTAATTCTTAAAAGTTGGCAAATTTTCTCATTTGCCAAGCAGATAACTGCACTCCGAAAGTTATTTACTTTAGATGCAATGCAGTTCTGTAATTCAGGTAGACAATATATGTTAGACCATCTTAAAAGTTACTACACCAACCAACCTTTTCAGTCTAATCAAGATGCTGTAATCAGTGCCAGTTTCTCTATACAGTATATGTTGATATGAAATGCATTTTATCTAACTATTCTCTTCTTTTCAGAGAACAGCAAAGCAAGCCAAGGAAAGAAGTCAAATGAAAAGAAAATCTGTAGCTTCAAAGTATGGATCTGATATTACCAATTTTTTTGTGAAATTATGAAGCTAAAATAATTCAGATGTGTAGTTTATGTGTAGTTCATCAAACTGATTAATCATGCACCTTAATAAACTAATAGGTTGATTTTTAGTGGGATTGTCCTAAACCAATCACCTAGCTTTTTCTAAGGCTAGATCCTGGAGTTATCATGGCAGATAAATGTTGAGAAAGGCAATTAGACAGACATGGCAGACGCATCTCTACCTACATCTTTGGCATTTTAAAGTTTTGTACTTTCTTAGTTCAAGATTTGGAACGTAAAATTGCATTTGACAGTGATAGACCAATAAAAATTAACGATTGTTCCCCAAACTGTATTAGTGGTTAATACAGAGAGAAATGCACCAATTTAGCCCTTAACCATCTTCTCATATATGACAAGTGCAGTGGTGGAATAGCAGAATATGCTTTTTAAAATATCAGTACTGCTGTAACCTCTAGCTTCCTAATTGTACCATGAGGTTTGTCCTTGTAATCTGCTGCTTTGCTCAGCTGCTTATCTTGACAACACAATCCTAACTGTGTCTATTCAGAATCAAGTCCTATTGAATTCAGTGAGATTTCTGCCAGGTAAGTGAGGCTAGGATTGTAGTCTTGTGTAAAAAAATGAATGAATGGTCGTAAAACAGTGGCATGGCCTCAAACCTTAACATTTAGCATTCCTTTACAAGAACAGAACACATAGATCCAATGCATTAAAATAACCCTTTACTTTTTCTAACAGTATATAAACAAACAGCATGATTCTAAGAGTTGAAAGCCAGTGGTACAGAGGGTTTGAGTACAATTCATCCTGTGGCAAAAATGCTGCTGGTATATTCACTATAGTAAATTACCACTTTTTAATCATACTTTTGATGGATGGTAGTTTAAATTTTTGGTCCATCTGTTCTTTAGTAATATATACACAGCAATTTAGACCCACAAGTGAGTTGCATTTTATTATGTGTAGACTACATACAGCTTTAAACAAAGTTTATAACCCATTGATGGTGGCATTACACATTTGATGGTCAGGTTGGTCTAGATGAGCAAAGTAAACTTTCACACGAGGCTGTAGAATTCTACAAGTATCACCATATTTGCTTTTATGCTTAATGCAGAGTTCTGATATTTTCATTATCACTGTAAACAGGAATGGATTGCTCCCCAACAATCCCATTCCCAGCATCCCTCCAAAGCCCTTTAACACATATATGCAGATGGAGTTTTCCCCAATAAAAGTTTACTCTAAAGTTCTACCTACATCTTATGAGACAGTTGTTTGGCATTGAGCATTGCTCCTCAGTGACTAGTCTGTGAGTATTTTATTACTGATTACTAAATTTATGAAAGGATAATCCTCAGCTCTAGAGTACTGGACATGGAATGACCATTTGAACCACCGGCAGAGATGCATTGTCGGCAGGCTACACAGTGACATCAGAAGAATGTTGTATCAGATGAAAAGGCACCAGCTAGTCGGAAGTCCTCTTTTGTGAGAACACTATACATGCGCTGAGGCAGAGGTTTGGAGTAAGGGGCAGGCCGTGGGACAGTTGTGCGCAAAATAACCTCACGTCCTGCGGGCAGGGGAAAGTCTCCAGCTATTCCGGAACTGAAACGTTTCTCATCCAAAGAGCCAGACCTCTTAAGTTCTTCATCAAGGGGCATCATTGTGGCAACCTAAAAAAATACAGAAGCCTCACTATTGATGTGTTTTGTTTGCTTCATAATCATTTTTTAAACCAAAGAACGGCAGGATAATTCAAAAAATAAGGGCTACATAAACAGATAGTCTTGGCTTTGAAGAAGTTGCAATATGCAGGCACAGACGGATATGTAAGAGAAGAATGAATGAGTGTGACAATGAAAGCACCATTTGCAGTGGATTTCTAAAGTGAAGAAATGTAGGTTTTTAAGTTTGTGCTTCTACAACACGACTAATACTGGTAAACAAGTATTAAACACACAGCCTGGGGGGCCACACAATTGACAACACCACAGACCACTCTCAGTCAGGTTCATGAAGTGGACCTTGAACTGCTTCAGACTGGTCTCCAAAACAGAAAACATGACATTTGTTAGTTAAAAGTCAAAACAATGTAATGTTGAGGTTCCAGCAAATTATGATTAAAATTAGACTACAAGAGCTTTGCTATGAAATCTACAGTGTTTGGGTCTGTATCTAAGGAAACCAGTGTTAATCAGGGCTTGATGTATTTTCACATGACATGACCACCTAATGAGTCGGACCATTCGCCCATCTTGCAGTGATCCTTTTTAGCCCTGTTACCTTAGTTTGATAAAGGACATAACTGTGCCTGGGACCTTATACTATCACAGCACTGCGCTATGCCAACTCCCTGTTTCAGGGAGTCCTGCCACTCAAACAGGATGAGAACTATTGTATGTCACAAATGGCCTGTCTTTCTTAGCACCAAGGAAGTAATTGGTTACTAAGTGAGTTAAATTTCTTTCATAAAGCATCTCTAAGGTAAAAAATATGACTATCCTAAGTGGGTAGAGTTAGTTTACAGCTGCTTCATAACTGAGAAGCATAAATCTGTTCATGCGAGCATTTTATGAGGACGTATTAATAAAGCAAGAGAAAGTATTAAAGCAGCAAAAACTAAACTGCTTTCTGCAATAAAAGTGGACAAATGTTCCTGAAACAGTTTATGATGCTTAGTCCTTGCCAGCCAAAACACATGCACATCTGAAGAAGCCATAGGCAACAACTTGATTACCAAACAAGGCATGGCTCTGTGAGGCCTTTAGACTTCAAATACCTTCCAGTTAGACATCCACTTAAGGCTCCAGTTTTTCAATCACAAGTTACTTCACAACCTGGTTTCAAAACTTCTGGTTTCAGAAAATCTTGTTTGAAGTTGGTAAGATGAAGCTATTTTAATGGTTTGACTATGCAAGTGATCAGTAGGAGGCAAATCAAGCAACTGCACTATGCTGCTAGAGCATTCGTTTCTATGCACCTACATGAGGTTAGGCAGATGACTAGAAAATTAGGGAAAGATCTAGTTACCTCCTCAGAAGATTCAGTCAGCTGGATAAGGAAGAGAACCAGTGATAAAAGATAAAGAAAGGCAAGTCAGAGATGACTCACATGGGGTCAAGAGAGGTTTCAGAATTGTCTGCTTTAAAAGGCAGAGTGCCCTCCAGGTATATGCTGTAGTCAAGAGAGCTACTGTGATAAACACTCAGAACACAAAACAAACATAGAACACACTGATGCAGAACTGGTACAGATAATATGGTAAATTTAAACAATATTACAGTCTAATCAATCTCATTTTTGCCCATTCAGCAGATGCAACTTTCCATACATGTCCTAATCTAGCAACTGATAGACAAAAGGAGTTTGTTCATTTCAACAGAGGCAGTTACTACCCACTTATATTCATCTGAAATGGATGTTTAATGCTGCTATTAAATTGAACAGGGCAGCCTACAGCTGCAGGAGCTTTTGTGCCTCAGAATGCATGCAGGGAAGTGAATCACTAAACTTGCCTTATTTTTATCATGCATTTTAAAGCTGCTAAGGGAAAAAAATCAGTCCATCCATTGGTTAAAATGAAATACTACTGGGATTAAGTTTTACCAGTTAATGACCTTGCAGAAATGAATTATTAGCAAGCATTATTTTTACTGATATTCGTGTTCTAAAAGAACAAGCAGAAGATCACTTCAGCAAGAGGCTTTCCCAATCCTATCCACGGCAGTCCCTACACTAGACAGACAGTCCCTACACTGGGACGCAACTTTGCGTAATTAAGTGATAACTTCATCATGTTTTCATTATGAATGCAGAGTTGCATGGGTTTTTTTCACCAGCACAGAAAATCTGCATGCTTCCTACTCCAATCATATTCTTCCTTAAGTTCTTATCTTCTCACTTGCTGTTTTTCATCTACTGTGAGCAATTTCCCATGTGCAAGTGCTTCCTCATATTTCTCCTGTCACAGGAAATACAGAGATTTATACATGCAATAGACCCTTCTCGCTACAGACTTCTGTGTTCCTACAAAGCCATTCCCTTAAAGGTGGAGGAACTCTCCAAAACAGCATGCAGTGTATCGCAGGGCTGGAGGCAGACTAGCGGAATGAGCAAGTGCACCCCAATGGAGTTGCAGGTATGCTGTCTGCCCAAGCAAGGGCTTCTTTGGGTCCAGAGTAGAGAGTACAAGTTCCTTAAATACGCCAACTAGTTCTCTGCGGCCACAAATTATTTGGTTGTTTAAAAACATTCTGTAAACTTCAACCTCTCTCACATTTGCAGCTCATGACCATGTGCAACCAACCCCTCTCCTTTCAGGCCTTCTCTTGCTCCTATTCCACTTCCAATCTTCTCCTAGGCCCTTCAGTAACTCCCTAAAGTCTTCTGCCTACCCAAGTCCTCCCTGAGACCACACCAGTAATCAATAGCAAAGGACTGAAATATAAACATACATTACAGCATTCCAGAAGCTGCTATTATATCACACAATGAAAAATTAGACCTGGAAAACACTTACTGGTGGCTGTTATGAAATGCAAAGTTCATTTTGTTCTGGAAACCTAAAAACTACTGCTTCGTTCAATCAATGTGCATTAGTACAAATGGACCTTACATACATTAATGCACAACAAAACGCCCACAATTGTTTCACAGAACTACCAGCCTGGAAGGAACACACTGATCTATAATCTGTGCTTTGTTAAGTACTGCCCGTTTTACATTTAGCTGAATATTTAATATAGCCATAGTATTCTTATACACGGAGGCACGTTCCAAGCCTGGCATTTTGAACTGAGAGTAATCTTACATGGCCTACGTTAGAGGTGTTAAAAAGTCCATCTTACCCGCTGTGAATTCACAAAAAGCTTGTGAATTATAGTACCAGCATGTCCTCTTCCAGCACCAGTGACCGAGACTTCTGGCTGTTCCAGGAAAGAATTCACAAATCTGGTAGTGAAAGAGAAAGGAAAGGAAAAAGTCAGCAAAATAAAATATTTTTTTCCGTTTTTAAAGAAGCAACCATATTTTAAAAATAGTTTCAATATTGGTACCACAGCTGAGTGGTAGGAAGGAACTGAGCTCACATTCCATGTATCTAGCTTAAGGCCAGTTTATGCATGGATGTACACTGCATGTATTAATTTTCCTGCTCTGGATGACTGGCAATAGAATTAGTTATTCAAACCAAATATACTCTGTGTTGAGATTTCTGCCATAGTTCTCGAAATCATCCCGATGGACCAAGGTTTTGATCTTTTATCTATTTTCCATTACCATGCATAATGTTATCCATAAATACTTAATATTGCCCATACTGCAGAAAGTTTCAAGGGGAGAGGACCAAGGCAGTGGCAGAGAAACTAACAGCGCATAATAGACTATTAAGAGGAGTAAAATTAAAATGTAGCTTTGATAATACATGGTACCATCTTACCAGCTCATGTGTTGCAGCAAAGTGGTCAAATTCTGCCACCCAAAACACAACAGACAATTTGGATACTATACTACAACACGACTGGTCTCCAGCTTAACCCTTCCCCATTTTTTATTATTTGTACGTAAATGCTTTCTAGACTAACTTTCCCCTGAATAGTGGGATAGAGAAAGTAAACATAGCTTTTGTTTTGCCTTTATTTTAGTAAAGTTGTTTCTCTTGTATGGTTTGTCTAACACGTAACATTAAACTTGATAAAAAGTATTACAAGGAAATAAAATACGGTGTTTAAGGGGATATGGACACACCTGATGCTGCAGTGTCAAATGTGCCAATCACCCCGGGACCAAGAACTTCCTGCGAAGTCCCTGCTCTCCCACCCACACATTCTTGCTGCCATCCTTCCCCATGATTAATAGTTACGTCAGCAAAACATTAGCCATGGTTTCTGCTCTTCAGAGAACACTCTTAACTTGAAACCAGATTGACCTTATAAGAATAATCATTTATGTTGGCGGCTGCTCTGGGTGGCCTTCCTTCTTCCAAAATACACACAGGTGTAAATAAACCTGCCATGCTTATACTATCCAAACACCAGAATGCAGGAAAAATGCAGCAGATAAGCCTGGAATGGCCTTGCGCTTTGAGGTAACAAACAAAGCAAGAAGAGGGAGTTATTATGAAACATGACTTGCACATGCCTATGAAACAAAGAATTCAAGATTACTCACTTTTCTAGAGCTTTGCGTTCATCTTCCTGTTCACATTTCTCTACCCCAAATTTGGCTTTCAGTGACCTTGCCCGGGCAATAGTGGCTTCCACATTCAAAATCTGACTAATAATTTCCTGTGTAAGAGGGAAAGTATTTTCCATTTTTGTTATATGCCTTACTTTTAAAGACATTTCTTCTCAAACTTAGTTAAGTAAACCCCTTACTTCTAATTTTTTGTCTTCTGGGTTTGGAAACCGGAGGACTTTACTAGAGTGGGTGATTATCTGCTTAATTATCTTCTTTACTGAAGAAATATCTTCCACCGATTCTGTTGTTAAAACAAGAAGTATATTGTAATAATAGTTCCACCTTCACACAAAGTATACTGCATTTTTTTAACAAGTGTTATTTACCTTCTTCCTTTACCTTGAGTACAGCTGCATGGATGACACAAGGCAGAAGATGCCTTGCAAGATCTGCTGGTTTCTGACCTGCTAAATAGTGCAGCACCTGAAGGTATGGTAAAAGGATTACATAACACCAATAATGTTCTCATTCATATCTGATCATCTTGATTCTGCACAATGAATCTCACCATCTCTCCAGTATTTTAAAGTACACATATTATGGCAACTAGGGTACTAAAATAAATCTTCTACATTAATACTTCATGGCCTTCATAAAAATGCCCATAAATTCTGGGGAAACATTTCCAAAGACTTTTTTCTGGTACTTTAGACTAGAGAACCATTTGTTCTTTGGGGAACTACAAGTTCTGTGTCTATCATAGGAGAATTCAGATGATCTGAACATGACTGAACTCAACAAAAGCAATGAGTGTTTAAAGCACAACAGCAGAAACAAAACTCCACAACTATGTATATGCATTAACAAACAGCTTTTGGAAGCTACTAAGAGAACATCCCAATAAGTGAGGCTATGGAGAGGTGCTTTCCACTGATCAGGTGCAATTTTTGGATGAGACAGGTGTTGGGGGAAAATGTGGCGAATGCTGGAAGGAAAAAGGGAAAGTGTTTGGAACTGATAAAGGGCAGCATGCAGACAGCTGAAAGGGAGCTCTACCACAATTACTGCTAAGTAAAAACTATGAGAGGTTTCATTCCCAAAGCGCTTACAATACCTAAGTGCTACTGATCTCCAAAGTTACTTCACGTGCCTTTGCTGATTTTGTCTACATGTTTCCACAAACAAAATAACCGTCATTCCAGGGAATTATAATTCCAGAAGGAAACTGCATTATTCAGTCCAACCTTAAATGTGACCTGCATAGTCAGCTGGAGAGATTCAGGAAAGCCAAGACACAAAGTTCCAATGGAAATGGGCAGTGTCTGTGCAGCCTGTCGCAAGTCCTCTTACCTTCTCTGCCTCACGAGTGTCATCAAAAAGCCGTCTCTGCCTTCTTGCCGGAATCGGCTTTGCCGTCTCCCACGCTTCAACCCACATATTACTTGGAATCTTCATTCGAGCACTCAGTTCACCCCTGATGACTACATCCCCCTTTTCATCCACAATTTCCTCTTCAATGTAATCCCGAGGTGAATACCATCTCACAAAATCCTCCAGACAACAACCAGGGTTGGCAGCCTAGGATGCAGTGTGGGTGGAGAAAGCAAAACCAGAACATTTTATTTTTCCCCCACATACTTTCCAAGCTGTATATCAGGCGAGAGAAGCACAAGTGACTTAGGGGCACCTACACTACCACATTTCAATACTTGCATTTTTTAAAAAGATACATACACACATCCTAAAATTAAAGTTGCCAACTTGTCATAAAAGTCAGACGTGAATTTTTATTATTCAGAATTCCCAGAGCAGCTTCACAAGATCCACTTCTGTTTGACTTTTGCAATGAGAGGGGAAATGTTATCTCTGGTGGCTTAGTAGCTAACCCCACTCTAATTTTTACACTGTGAATACAGAATGTAATTATATTGTAATACCTTAAGTGGCCCTACAAACTAAAACTCAGGTAAAAATACCCAAGAACAAAATGCATTATCACCACTTTCTTCTTTAAAATAGACAGAAAAGTGATAGGAAGGAACCAGCCCCTACCTCTGAAAAGTCTGGAAGAAAAAGGAATAATTTGCATTGGTGAACAAACGTTTATTTACAACACTTTTATACCAACTGTCATTCTATTTAGAATTCCACCTACCATAATACCTATTTTGCAACCTGATTTTTCTAGCCTATGTTAAATTGTTGTGCCACATCTAGGAAATTGGGGTGCTTTAATATACAAGATAGATGAGAAGCTGCCCTAAGATGTAATGTCCTCGTCATATATGAGGAAGTTGGAAGCTTCTAATATTAAGATATGTTTCACACCTTTTCCTCCTTCATTAATTCAGTAGCTCACAAAGATATAATAAAGCAATCCATACAAATAATTGGGGGGGGGGGACAACTTGGACAGATTTTATAATGGGTAACCTCTTATAGCACAGAACTATGCTTATGTTTGAAAAGCAAGCCTAGGCAGAATACTTATGTTGTTATACACCTAGCTCTTAAAGCTACAGAATACAATTTCACAGAGATCACAAAAGTAAAACAAAAACAATGAAAGCACACATTCAAATACCTCAGAAAGCTCAATGTAGTAGTCTTATTCACCATGACATGTACTAAAATTCCAAAGCTATGAGCTTCAAAGCCAGTTAATATGTACACTGGATTGACTTCAATAAGACTAAGCTGTCCTCAGCTTGAGTAAATAGGCTTTTGTGATTTAGGGGGAAATCACAATTCTTGCTTTGAAAAGAGTAATTCCAGAAGGTATAAAGTATCTAACCAACTACTTCTATTTCAAAACAAAAACATCAGCTGATTTTCCCTCAAATGATTGACACGGAGTCAAAATGAGTGCATTATCAGAGACAAACACCAGGTAAATTAGTGCAATATAGAAATGAACATTTTAAACTACAGTGAAGGTGATAGTTATACAAAGAACCACCAAGTAAAATGGAAGGAAAGCAATGGTGAAAGAGGTTACTGGGGGAAATCCTGTAATTGTGCCCTTTCCGACTGACTGGAGTGTTTACACTAGTATATTCATCACTAAGACGGTCCCATGGCATATAGAATCATGCATCCACCTTGAAAGATTCCATATCAGAAAGCAAACAGGCACTCTGCATGCGTGCTCGAAGATGAGCCCCTTCTGCTGATGTTCCCAGTTTAGCCAATACTTCAGACTGTTCTTCCAGAAGATCCTCAGTCATAGGAGCTGGTTCCTGAAAAGTACAAAGAACAAGCATTTCTTACATGGGGAATTCCATTCACACTTGGTATCAACAGAACAACAATCCTTGTGGCTTTATCAATTCAAGGAGCTCTTTTTCACAGTCCAATTTAGGAAAAGCTTTAATATGACCACAAACCAAGATCAAACCAGGGTTTGAAGGAGAAAAAGGATGGAGGCAGGACTACTCCAACCTAGATGTACCAATGGTCTGGCTTTAAAAGTCACCTTACTTTTGCAGGAAAAACTTGTCACCACTATGCAGGAGAAACAAAATCAATGTAGTGGTGCCAGATTTCTTCCTATGATGTAGCTATCTCTAACAGGTATGACAAGTGAAACAAGTTAACAGAAATCAGAAAACCAGAAATAATTCCAGGTCTAACCTGTGTTACTGGAACATAGAGGGGGTCTCCAGGATGAAGCAAAGTCAAGTTGCCATGCTGATGTAAACGACCTTCTGGCTTTAATGCCTCTTTTGCAGCCCCTTTCTTCCCACCTTCTTGTCCATTTCCTTTAAGTTCCTCTGTGTCACTTAGGCATTCAAAAAATTCTTCTTCACTGTCACTCCAGGAGTCCCAAGATTTTCCTACTTCTCCTTTTTCTTTATCACCCTCTTTTAAATAGTCTTTACCCACCAAGTCAATTGTTTTTCCAATGTCTCCAGAAGAGCGGTCAGAATTACTTCCTTTTTTCCCCTCATCCCTTGCTTTCTTTCTTTCAATACAACAATTTAACATCTGGAAATGAAAGCACATTGAAAACTTATTATGACAGATATGCACACTCTTCCACAGTGGCAATATTTCCATTAAGCTGCATAACACAACTTATGTAAGAACAGCCGAGATCGACACCTGCGCTTGCACAGCACGAAGACACTTCTGTTCACAAGTCATCACCCACATACTCAGAGCAGACCCACTGAAATTCATTAACCCAAGTTAGTATTGTCCATTATTAAAGTGATCCTGCTCTTGAGCATGGGACGCAGGCGGCACTGTGGTCTAAACCACAGAGCCTAGGGCTTGCCGATCAGAAGGTCGGTAGTTCGAATCCCCGCGACAGGGTGAGCTCCCGTTGCTCAGTCCCTGCTCCTGCCAACCTAGCAGTACGAAAGCACGTCAAAGTGCAAGTAGATAAACAGGTACCGCTCCGACGGGAAGGTAAACGGTGTTTCCGTGTGCTGCTCTGGTTCGCCAGAAGCTGCTTAGTCATGCTGGCCACATGACCCGGAAGCTGTACGCCGGCTCCCTCGGCCAATAAAGAGAGATGAGCGCTGCAACCCCAGAGTCGTCCACAACTGGATCTAGAGGTCAGGAGTCCCTTTACCCTTTACTTACTCTTGAGCATCACTAACAATGAATAAAACTCAACTCGCTGATTATTTCTGTAATAATCTGATATGCTACCCAACTAATATAGTAATGGCAGGATACATTTTACAACTCTAACAATGTCTGCAACAATAAAAAAGTACCAGATCCTAGTTTATATTTTGTAAAGCATTAAAGATCATTATCTTGTATCCTAGATTGATAGATAACTTATTTTGAAATAGTTACCTGGAGTTTCTGGTGCAGTAAACAACATCTCAGATCTGGAGCACCACTCGTTAACCTAATATGAAGTTACATCTGTATTATTATTACATAAAAACCCTGTTGTAAACTAGTACTTGCAGCAAGATGTAAAGTAAAAAACGCAGTTTTCAGAAGGAGCAGCACCAAGGTATATCAGATTTTAATGAGTGCCTTGGGCCACAATCAAGCATATCTGCTTAAGACCTGCTTGCAAATACACACAAGAATTCAGGAAAACAACTACTGTATTTGACTTTTAAAAGACATCTGAAGGCAACCCTGTAAAGCAAAGTTTTTAATGTGTGGTGTTTTACTGTAGTTTTATAATTTGCTGGAAGCAGCCCAGAGTGGCTGGTGCAACCCAGTCAGATGGGTGGCACTGGCATATATATATATATAATTGCACCTGCCCTTATGATGAATTGCAACCTAAATGCACTTGGATCCATCAGTTATTTTTTAAAAAATAAACTTTTAAATCTCAAAAGCTATAATACAAATAAAAACCAAAAATAAGTAATTACCAAAAATAAGTAAGTAAATGAAATGAGAAGGATCCATCACAATTAATCAGACTGACCTCTCTGATAGGGTTAATCTAGAATTTAATTCTGAGCTACATGAAAGAAGAATCAACAAAAATGTAAATAGTTCCCCACTATATTTTACACAATCAAGTTAACTGGCTGCAAACAAGAATGCCTCTGAGATGCCAGGAAAATCTGGCTCTCTCATCCTGACAGTGGAAGTTCTAAATTACAGCCTGTATTAATTAAACTGCAACTAAATGATGCTAATAAATACTAATATAATTCACCCTGGGATAAAGAAGTTGTTCTCCCATCTGTAGCGCATTTCCAAGACAAACTCCTGCCAGAGATGTGCAACTCCTTTGACACCACCATGGTAGAAGTTGATCATACAAAGACAAAGGGCCAGTTTGTAAGTTAAGCTGTCTGAAGGAGCAGATTTGAATTGGATGTAGATGTTCTATACACAGGAAGAAGCAGAGAAAACAAAGACAAAAAAGCATGAAAAAATATTTTGTGGCGTTTAAAAATTAAGCAAATTATGTAAGTTTCCTTAATTTATAATACCTGCAGAATTCATCTTACTTATTTGATAACTGTGTTGCCCTTGAGAAAATGTTAATAATGTCTTTAAAACACAGGATATACACAACTCCAGTCGCTAAAATATAGTTAGAAACAAAGCTAATAAAAACAAAGGTTTGTATATGAAAACTCATCCTTTTATAACTAAAATGGACACATAACAAAAGCCCCCAAGCAGACCTTTGGGTTGCGTTTTCCTTTTATTAAAAGCCATTTAGATTTGGCAGATACATTCAGGTAGGTAGCCATGTTGGTCTGACGCAGTCGAAATATATAAAAAAATTGTCCAGTAGCACCTTAGAGACCAACTAAGTTTGTTCTCGGTATAAGCTTTCGTGTGCACGCACATGAAAGCTTATACCGAGAACAAACTTAGTTGGTCTCTAAGGTGCTACTGGACTATATATATATATATATATATGGTAAATATTAGTCACGTAAGCAAATTGAACTTACATAGTCTTCATTGTCTGTGGGTGGGAAGCATCCTGCTGAAGGACTAGTTCTGGCTTCAGATCCATCTGCTGATTTGTCAGCAGCATCAGGGAATAAGTACTTGAGGAGGAAAGTACATACTGTCAGTTTTCAAATATGTTGTCTTTGCCATTTCCCACAGCTATTAAGTTCTGCAATAACTCTTTATCATATATCCTAGATACCATTTACTCCTCTACAGAGGGAAGCAAGAACTTTATAAAATGATTTGTACCCCTGCAGTGTGAACTGACACTGGGCAAAGACACTCTTGGCCGCGGGAGAACGCGAATTTAAATATTATAAAGCATCGTCATTAAATGCAACAGCACAGCTAGTTCACTTACCAAAAGAATAGTATTGAGGACGTCATTATTTAATGGTGATTCATCTACACCTCTGTGTTTGCGAATCTTTTTCTTTGCCGTGTGAACCATATTTGTCACAGACAGTTTATGGATTGGGACAGGTGCTGGTTCTGTGAGCTTTGACAATGCATGGCTTATGTCAGCATCTACAAAATACCAAGGCCACAGTTACAATTATCAATTTATTTGTCTTTATTTGCATTTACATCATCATCAGTATTCTTCTCTTTCAGTATGAAACAGCAAAACTACTTTGCTAAATACGAGTGTGCCACCTGCTGCCAAAACCAGAACTAGGCCATGCTGGATTTTTTTATGTAACCAAGGCTATGTATCCTCAAACATGCTGCTGCAAAGAAACTGAGCATGCTGCAGAGGGAAGGGGGAGACAAGATGAGGGCTTAAACCTTATAAGCCATTTATGCTGGTACCTTTGACACAGAGGCTTAAAATAGACAATGATGGAGGAGGAAGAGGAGGCTTATAAATAAAGAGCTCTGAGGAAAGGGCTTCTTTTTTTTTACACCGACATATTTTCAACCCAGCCCCTCACATGAGATGCTACCATTAGTTCTATCAAGACCCTCCTGCTTCAGATAAAATTACAGCTGCTTTCATAGGCACAAAGGCAAAGAAAATTAACTTGACTTTTTACCTTTTCCCTCCTCTTCAAATGCTGATCTTCCAAGAATCTCATCAGTCGATTCTTTCCGACGACACAGTTTGAAAAATTCCGTGACAAAATCACCTACACAAGGAAATTAAAAAAATTATTTATGCAGTCAGATTTTTGAATATTAGGTTTTCCCCCAAATCACATACCTAAAGCAGAGTCTAATACAGTCTAAATATATGTAATTTTAGCAAGGAAGGAATGAGAAAAACCTTTTCTTTTTTACATAGCATTGTCACTGCATATAAGCACTGATCTCCCAAGCAAGCCTGAAGGCACATGCAGCAACCTTGCCTGAACTTACTAGTGTTTCGATGCCTAAGACAATGAATTTCATGCCTAAGCAGAGCTCCCATATGCAAACTCAACACTGACGATTTAAGTGAATTTACAATCAAGAAAAATATATTTCTACAAGAACTTAGTCAAAACCAATTCCTATCTTCCTGAAGTAATTTTAAAGAATAATAGAAAAATATAAGCTCTGGATTGCTTACTTAACAAACACTGTGGGTTATCAGCTTTTCTGACCCTCACAGACCACTGAGGTGCTTGAACAGGATCCAAGTCTCTTAAAAAACAAAACAGAACAGGAATGTTTTTATTTCTTCACTCATCCAATCATAAATACCATTGAAGAAAGCAACCTCAGAATTTGCATGTCAATCCTCACCATATTATTATAGAATATCTTTAACACACTTGTCAATCACTTACTTTGCCTAATTTTGTTATTTTCATCATCTATGATTACAAATGGATTTTTCTGTAAATCTCAATTTTGAATTTTTCCATACAGATTTTTTCTAATTCCCATCTCGCTCCTTGAAACAAACGGGTTTTTACCAGCTCCACTAAAACACTGACAATTCTCACATATTATGCACTATTCTTGCAGACTATTACACACAGCATATTGCCCCAAAGTAACCAGATGCATACAGCAATTCATATAATGGTATGAAATCATGTATTAATACTTTAAAAATCATGCTGCAGATGGTGCTTGAATCTTTTTAAAGGATTATACACATAACATGTATGCATTGTGTATGTAATATGTGCTTTTTGCATATAATTAGCCATGCTTTAAGAAACAAACAAACCTGACAATGCATGAATGGCTTGCACCAAAGCAGGTGCCCCAAAGCACAGGTGGTCTAATGCAGGCAAGGCTCAATTGGGCTGGAGCTGCCATATTCAATGTATACATCCATGTAAAACTGATGGCTTCTCCATCTCCATCTCTGACTGATTTTCCCAAGGCCATTCTGTGCCTTTTTACATAAGGCTGCCAGCATGACTCAGTAGTTCTTCCTCATATCTAACTTTATTGTGTAGCGACCTTCTTATACATCTGGGCTTTCAATGGGTTTTATTTGTGTCTTCCTGATGGCTCTCTCACCATACAGCAATCATGTAAGTAAATCATACTGTAGATCCAAGTTCCTCTCTAACATGAAGCTGACACAACTGTCCTTGAGTGCTCCAATCATTAGAATAGCAAAAATACCCACAAATGCAGGAGGAAGAAAATACATCACAGATAAATAGAAATAACACGAATTTTAAAAATCACAGGCGTCCAATTAAAATAGTTTGACTCAACCATTCTAACAGCAAGACACTATGAAAAGTGTTGGAATTAAAATAAAAATGTTAGAACTTTGTTGCATAGACAGTGCAGGGTCATGGTTAGAGTGTCGGACTAGGTCCTGAGAGAGCAAGATTCAAATCTCCACTCAGTCATGGAGCTCACTGGGTGACCTTGGGCCAGTCACCACCTCTCAGCCAAGCCTACCTTACAGGATTTTTGTGAGAATAAAACATGATAGGAGGTGTGTACACCACCCTGAGCTCTTGGGAGTAAAGGTGGGATATAAATGTTAAAAAAAGAATAATGGTCATAACAGCAGCTTCTTTCTTTCTTAAATTGCCTCTTAAGTAGTAGCTGTATCAAGCTTATGAGAAAATTGTAATAATAATAGTAGTAGTAATAATAATAATAATAACGCGAGCAAAATTGACTTTCATACTACTACAATAGCTACCGTGTTTGCTAAACCGATATTTAAGTATTTCTCAACTAGACCAGAATTCTAGATTATGTAGTGTTCTGAAAAATGAAGCTCAGATGTTTGATTACAAAAAGAAAATGAAGTCAAAAATATACTTACGAATAAACATCGTTGTCCACAATTATACCCTCTGTTAGATGAGGCCATGTAGTTGCTAAATGAAGTTCACTGAAAGTAAAAGTGGCACACTTGGAGACAGAATTCGGAAACCACCACACAACCATAGACTACAGTCACTACTTACAACGCATTGGCTTGGGTTGAACTTAACTCTAAACCGTGGTTTATTGAAGTATGGCTTAGAGTTGTACAAATCCAGTCCAGCAGCTTAACTATGGTTTAAAAATGGTTAAAAATCACTCTTTAACTAGAGCTTGTAATTGACAACCCTCAGTTAATGTTAGCCATAGCTTAGCATTCTGTATGAACTGGAACATCCCCCTTAGTTACAGTTAAGAAGCTATCAGTGCCCAGAAGTTACAGAGCTGAAAGAGCAGTTCTTCCTGGCTTGTGTTTCTTATAATGTGGAAGTACACATAATAAACCAAGATGTAAGCAATAATCTGTCAGATGCCACAAGTTTAACTACAATTAACGTTAACCACAGCTTAATGTTATATGTGCATCTGGCCATTTTGCACACAAGTTTTAGTTTAATACACTTATGTCCATTATGAATAGCACATATGTCTTTTTCATCTTATTTTTTAAATATACAGCTGAGATCCAATATTTTCCTGGTCATTGCTGCATAACTTCACACCTGTCCACAACATATACTGTGTGCTTTCTCACTGTCTATTTGCATGCAAACAGAATGTTTATTCGAAGAAGTAGCCTCGAAAATTAGGACAGTCCACAAAGCAAATACTTTAGCTCATGGATAGCAATTACATTTGAAGAGCTTTGGTCAACAGCATTACGCTACCGCTCCAGCGGGAAGGTAAACAGCGTTTCCGTGCGCTGCTCTGGTTTGCCAGAAGCGGCTTAGTCATGCTGGCCACATAACCCGGAAGCTGTACGCCGGCTCCCTCGGCCAATAAAGCGAGATGAGCACCGCAACCCCAGAGTCGGTCACGACTGGACCTAATGGTCAGGGGTCCCTTTACCTTTACCTGTATCATGTCAGATTACATAAGCAACATTTCTTTTGAGTAAACTGTTGAAGATTTAGCTTCCCATCACAACAAGATCAATTCCATTTTACTTTAGAAACTAAATATTTGATTATACCAGGTCTTACCTGATGGGATCCTCACAGGCACCAAATGGTAACTTTCCAAACTCGAGGCCTCCAACTTCACCTCCAACCAAAGCATCTATATCTATTGACAGAAAACATGTTTGATCATTACATCAGAATTAAGTAACAAAATTATGCACTGGGTGACATCTAATATGTACACCCAACTTTGCCACAGATTTCCAGTGATTATCAGTTCTCTTCTCTCTTTTCCAGTCCCCATATGCATCTACAAAGTATTATCCTGAGGTTCTCTCAACAATCCAGATCAGGTTTGAGGGGCACACAATGGGACCACAGGAGGAATGGCGAGGAAGGAGAAACCCTGTTGAACAAGTAGATGCTTGTTCATGCTTCATTGGAGCTCATCCAAGATCCAAGTAAAATGGGTACAATTTTTTCTGCCATATACAATTTCCGCAGAAACTATTTTTTTATGTAATGGAGTTTTGTGTTTCATTTTTACACTTGGCAAAGATGTTGATAGTCAATACTGTTACAAAGTGATACAAGCTTGTGAAAGCTTAAACACTTATTTCGAACCAAGATGTCCAAGGACTGGCAAGTCATAAATTACATATTGAATGGCAAACATTTCAAGTTATTTATTCACCGTCAATGAGAGGGCTAAGCTTTACTGAAAAAAGCAAAGGTGTCATGTACTTTGAAGACACTCGAACTTAGAATGCAAAGGAGAAACATGCTAAGAGGAAGGCACGCTTGGCAAATCCACACCGTGATCAACTGCCGCCCGGGAACCAATGTCCCCACTGTTGAAGGACATGTGGGTCCAGAATTGGCCTCCACAGTCACTTACAGACTCATTGTTAAAACCGTGTTTATGGAAGACAATCTTACTCGGCTATGAGTGATCGCCAAAGAAGACGATTGAAAAAACAAACCAACTTGGATTGTAAGGATAATAAAGAACGGCAACAAGTATAATACGTGTCTACACTGTCCTATAGTATATCACATACATTTCTTGGGAATAAAAAAAGACATTTGTCATGATTTGCAGAAGAATTTTATAAAACCTTTTTGTCTGTGGACAGTTGGCATGCTATATCTGAAACTATTTAAAATACTCCTCCATTTCAAAAACGGTTTGCCACATAGCAAAAGGGCAGGGAAGGAAAGGTAACACGCCACTGCTGTCAAAGAAAAAAGTCCATAGTTCCAGGGTTCTGTGGATCTCAGCCACTTTCTGTAATAAATTCTACACAAGGAAGCATCATACCTGGTGGTTGTTGAGGCCAGAAATATTGCTGCCAGTCCTGAAGTACGTACGTAAGTCTAATACTTATATTGATTGGAGGTAATGGGGTTAAAGGGCAGCCCTAGGAGACATATGTAAAGAAATACAAACAGTTAGGACCAAAGCAGATATATCTAGACATCTGCTTTAATCAAACAATGTGTCAGAAAGTTTCTATGAGAGATAGATTTTCAATGTTATTAGGAATTTACATCCCACCATTTTATCTGCTGGGAAGATCATTCATCACTATCCTTCCAAAATACCCCCAAGCTCAAAATAAATGGTTTACTATTAAAATGGGTCAGATATAATAAATGTACATGACTGCTGATCTGCTGAATGTATTCGGAAACTCAACAAGTTTTGGCTTCCGAAATATTGCTAGCAGCAGTAATATGGACACACAAATATTATAGTCACTTCTCTGTGCTTCATAGCAACCTACTTCTGAAGTTCACCTGAGTTCCAGATGTAGCTTGCAATTATGAAGAGGGTTGACTGCTGTTCAGAAAAGGAAAGATGCACTGCTCATGCAAATATCCCTCTGTGCTCCCTAGGAGCATGAGCTAAAGTGTCTGAAAATCAAAAGTAACAGCTGATAAAGACTGGTTCACCCATGTACTTATGTCCACTTGAGGACAGGTTACTGAGTATGTGAACTGACTTTGTTGAACAGTGTCCTATGATATGACATCAAATGATAACTGGTGATGTGAAAGTCCTCTCTTTGGTGTTAAATATGCAATGGCCCATTCACACATGCAAGTCAACATACCATGTGGCAATTATTGCATGGATGACAATGCAAATCTGAATCCCATGTTAATTGTTTTACACATTTGTCATATCGAAAGAGCATAACTTTAAATACACTACAAAATAAGCACTGAAATATTTCATATTTCACAGGCATAATGAGACAGAATAAAAACTGATTAAGATAAGTACCAATAGCATTTAGTAATGGAGATGACTCCATTAGTTGTCAATGGCACTGTTACTCATTGAAGGAGAAGGAAAAGTCTAATATCAAAATAAGAACAGAGTCCAAGTCTTCCTGATTAAAATGGATTGATTGGCAGACATTTCCCATGAAGTCTTATCCACAGTAATTCTTTTCAAAAACCTAAAGGCTATACTGTGTTCATATGATATAATACAAACCAAAGGTTTCTCCTGTGGCTGTACCTGCCAAATACCCATTAATCTGTCATAAGAAGATGTTTTAATCTGCACAACATATAGGTACAGAGGCAGGATTTTCAGAATTTGCCCACTTTTCTAAAGAAAATAATTCTTGGCACGTGCAAATGCTTACATGCACCCACACAAACTATACTTACAATCTTAGATTTGAAGATGTCCAATAATCCTGATAAGTGAGTATACTGATTAGGGACTTTGCGAAGATGAACCATTTCAAAATCTGTTCTAACTCCAGGACCTTGACACTCTCCGACATACATTCTTCGCCATTTGTGATGAATTTGTACAAATACTGGCACCTGGCTGCAAAATATTCAGAAGAGCTACAAAAGTGTTTTAAGTCGTCTAGAGCCTAGGAAACACAGAGCTGTTAGCCTTTACTATTCACCATGGCAAGTATCAATTCATCCTAAGCTTTTAGCAAACAGCCAAAACTGTGCTTGAGATTTATTATTTTAGAACGTATAGTCATATCAAACAACACAAAGTTTTAAACACACAAAGACTATGTAACAGTCTATTCTGTGGAATGTACACATTTGCCCAGTTCACATGTAATCCGTGGTTTCATGCTATGTGCATGAGATGAATGTGCATGATGTGGACCCTTACTTACCAGCCTGTGTTCCCCAATGCAATAGAAATTGAACTAAGAAGGAGGTTACATTTAGATTCACTAAGAACGGCATCATTATTTGCTGCTGGTGCAATGACTACAAATTCACGCAATCCATACCTAGAATAAAAACAATAATGCTTTCAGTTAATTACAGATTACAAATATTAAAGCCTATAATAAAATGCACATATATGTCTTTCAATGTTATTCAAGTGTGCAACATCTAATCTCTCTCAAACTGCTTAGTTTATATTCACTAAAAATATGGTTGAAACAAACTAAGATTGAAGTTTGATGTAGTTTTGTGAATAATAAACACTGAGCATATGTCAGAAGCATCAACCTTGTTCAGACATAACACATAATGCTAAGCTTTAGCATTATGTGAATTAACTTGAATGAGCACTGCTCTCACTTGTTCCCCACACTTCTCCTCCAACACAGCTGCAAGGACTAAATTGGAATCGTTTGCTTCCAGTTTTGCAACTACAGTTATGACAGAACCCTAAACTGCGATTAACTGAAAAGTCCAAGCTTCATAAACTATGGTTTGAAGTCAGCTTGTTTAATTAAACTACAGTTAAGACTAAGTACAATTTGATTTCAAGTGTAACACTAACCTGTATTTACTTAAAAATAAAAGTGAAAGCTTCCTTTACAAGGTCACACCACAGGGATGCAAAGAGTTTGAGGTTCACCCAGGCTTGTTCACATATCACTATTCTGTGTACTAGTCAGTACATCATGAATTTTATATGCTGTGACTATAATGTAGCTATATGTAATGTAATGCTTTAGCAGACATACCATCTCACTAGACAATGAGCTCTGGGAGGAAAATCATTGTTCATGCACAGAAGGTCTTGCATAGCAACTGGAATAATATCTGTAAAACCATTCAGAATAATGAAAGAGTTCAGTCATAATACAAACTAAACATCTACGCATCAAATATGGTAATCAATTTAATTATAAAAGATAAGATATAGCCACTCTGGATCCAAGCCACAGAAGTAAATAATAAAAACAAGAATAAAATTACCAGATACATTATTAAAGCTACCATATGAGATAAGAATAGAAAAACAGAACAGTCCAATTCAATCCATATTTACTCAAAAGTGTCACTGAGACAAACTCCTAAATGTGCATATGTTATCATGAATATGTTATAAAGTACGCAAGTAATATTATTTAAGTGGAGTATTGTTTTATCACACCTGTGAGACTTGAACAACAGGAACCAGTCAGTATTTAAAGTAACATTTAGCATCATTCCCTACAGCAGGGGTCAGCAAACTTCTACCAGCAGGCCAGCTCACTGTTCCTCAAATCTTCTGGTGGGCCAGACCCATAGCTGTCAAGGGTCCCTTATTTGAAGGGACAGTCCCTTATTCCAGCGCCATGTCCCGCTGCTGTCCCTTATTGATGGATGTTCTTAAATGTCCCTTAAATGATGTCCCTTAAATTTCAAAGGAAGCAGCTCCTCTCCCTCCCTCCCTGCCGGCCAGGGAGGAGGGAGGCTCCAACTGTGTTGCTTGGCTGTATTGCTCACCCAATAAGAAGTCTAAGAACGACTGGGGGTGGCGCTTGCATGCCTTGTGCTGATCAAATCGGCTGCGTTCCCTGGGGACTTGCCTTTGCTCAGCGCTTCCCAGCGGAGAGGTGACGGTGGTTTTCCTTGAGGCTTCGTGTGGCTGCTGGCTGGGCTTTCTACCTTTGGCTCAGAGAAGCTCAGAAGTTGAACATACCTGTGCTGAGTGCTCAGATCGGAATCGGATGGATATGTCATCGACAGCCCACTCACCCTTGCCGGCGAAAAGGTCTGTCTGGAGCGGGGGCACATGGTGAGGGAAAAGGAAAGGAGATCTTGTGGGGGGGAGGCTGTGTGTGTGTGGCTAGTTAATGCAAGCTGAGGGGGGTTTTGAATGCTGGACGCCATTTTGTTGCACGTGCTGCTGCAAACTTTGCAATGCAAAGCCAGGCCGGGGAGCCATCTTAAGTTGAGGCTGCCTAGGCCTTGTGGTGCATGTGATTCAGATTCTATTCAGTTGAACCTCTGGTTACAAAGTTGGTTGGACAGTGTTCTTGAAGCTACCCAGCATGAGTTTGACCAGACTGCAGGAGGACAGGAAGACTGGAGTGCCTCGAACAGGTGAGGCTGCAGATCCCTTATTTTGGCTGCTGGTCCCTTATTTTCAAGACTGCTGGTCCCTTATTTTCAAATCTGTCAGTTGACAGCTATGGCCAGACCACGCACGCACACACACATACAGACACCAGCAGGGGTCTTCTCTCTCTCTCCCCCACTCCCTCCCCCTGCTTTCCTACCTCCTCCGGTGGCGGTTAGGAGCCGGCAGCGGCACCTCACACTTGTGGGAGAGCTTTCCCAGGTGCGGGGCCAGCGGGCGCGCCAAGCTCTAGCTGAAGCCCGCGACGCGCCCGCCAGCCTCTCTGTCTATGGCCGCGATGCTGGCCAATCCGAAGCCTTGCCGCCCGCGCGCTGAGGAAGCCCAGCGCAGCTTCGGATTTGCCAGTGTCGCCGCCCACCCAGAGGTGTCTGCGGCTTCAGATTGGCTGTGGGAGCTTCCTGGAGCCAATCCGAAGCTGAGCCGGGTTTCCCAGCGCACGGGCGGCAAGACTTCTGATTGGCCAGCGTCACTGCCTGCCCAGAGGTGTCCGCAGCTTCGGATTGGCTGCGGGAGCTTCCTGGAGCCAATCCAAAGCCGCCCGCGCGCCCATCACGGAAGTCAGTCACCTTGCTGGTTTAGCGCGGAGACTGGCCGAGCGGGTAGCAAGGTCCTCGTGCCGGAGTAAAGAGCCCCTCGGGCCTTATCTGGCCCGTGGACCTTAGTTGGCCGACCCCTGCCCTAGGGTATTTGAATTGTTTCCTCCAATGAATATTTGTTTTTTTTAAAAAAGTGATTTCAGAAAGCTTCCTTTTTTTCATAAAATATTCTGCTCTTTATTAGAAGCAGTATTCATAGAAGGTAAGATCTTTTAATCTCTCTCAACCAACTGGAAAGGAGGATTATATGCCCAAATTCAAATTGCATTATCCTATTATATCAACTTTTAAAATAGTGAAAATTAGACCACTGATATTCTACATGTTCTAACGAAAAAGTGACCAATTCAATAACACATTATTCATCACAATATTTATAGATTAGTAATAACAAGAGGCAAATGAGGCTTGTCAATCTGGGAAGGTAGCCCATCTAAGAGAAGCAAAACTCTGAACCAAAACCTCTGCTGCCTTGCAGGCTCTCTTCGGGAGAAGAAAAGGCTAAGTAAACCTTACACAAAACTAGAGAAGAGTCGCTAAGACGATTGGATGGCACCTCGTACACCTCCTTCCGGCAATTCCTGCAGTGAAGAAGCCAAACATATTGCTCTGCTTTCCTTTGGACCACATCAGTGAGGCCAAGAGTAGGGTTCTGTCATCTGTGCAGCCCAGGACCTCCATACACAGTACCCAGGCTTGTGTCCTGGGGAGGTCACTTTGGTGCTGCTAACACATCAATTTGTTTTCACCCCTGGAGGTACACTCCATTATCTATCTATCTATCTATCTCTCTCTCTCTCTCTCTCTCTCTCTCTCAAGAAAGAGAGATGTATGCCAACAACAACATTCAGTAACAACACAATCTAATATAGTAAAGACTCAAAAATATTTGGGTGATGGAAAACGTAACTACCTTCTACTTGTTCCTCTTTTGCATCCTTGTCACTGGAGTCTTGCACAAGATAATGGTGTGTCACTGAGAATCGGAAATCAGCAAAAGCAATCTCATCGGATTTCTCCTCCCATGTTTCAGTGGTATATACACCCTGAATATCAAATAGGGCAGAAACATTAGTTATGTATGGGCAAAATTATTTGCAATATAACGTTACTACACATCTCTGAATGCAATTCCACTATTACAAATAGAAAGTGTTTTAAATAAGTTTCATATAAAGGAATTCTGCAAGGTTTTACTCGTATATAAATCCCTGAATAACTTGAGACCAGGATACCTAGCAGATCACCTTTTATAGGCCAAATTAACTTTTATGATAATCAAAGGAGCCTCTGCTGGAAACACTGCAACCAGCAGAAGGTCATCCAGAAACCTCTTTCAGAAACAAGCCTTTTCTGTTGTAGCACCAATCCTCTAGTCTGGATGCTTCAAATGTATCCTATAAACTGAGCTTTTTACACAGCATATTTAGATGTTTGCAAGTATTATCCCACTTAGCTGCTGACTTGGTGGTTTAAGTAGGAGGTTTATATTTATTGTATCCTGATCTTTATTTGTACTTTATCGTATTTTGATTTTATAAGTTTGTAAACTGCTGGAGGAATTCTGCCAAAATTGTTAAGTTTCTAAATAAAGATGTCATAGAATGGGACTAATGGTTTATATTTTCACCAAACACAGTTCAAAAGGCAATCTTACCTTTTCCAAAACTTTGCCTGAAGAAATGCCAATAAGTTTCCAGTCATTCAAAACTTCCTCAACTCTGGAAATAAATCTAACAAGGAAAGTTATGATATAGAACTAACATCATGCAATGCTTATATTATAACTCATAGCCATAAAAATGAATATTAAAACATAAGGGCCTTAAAACTTTTCATGGCTGATTATTAGCACAATTTAACAGTGGTAGCTTTAGGCTACAATCTTATATCTACTTACCTGCAAGTAAGTACAGTACAATGAATTTAATAGGACTTACTTCCGAGTAGACATTATAGGATTGTGCTGTAAAACAACATATTCAGGAGAACATCTCTCTCTCTCCCTCCTTCCCTCTCACACATATATACATACAGACACAAATCAATTTTAGTAGAACATCACCCGCACATTCACTAGCATATTTTATATCTATATATCTATATATATATCTAAATATATATTATTATTATTATTTAGTATACAGCAGTTCCCAACGTAGATCATTTTAGAGCTGGAAGAGCCTTTAGAGATATTCTAGCCCAACCCCTAACAAAATGCAGGAGCTACTCTACAATACATTGATAATGAAAACACTTTTTGAACAAATAGAGGAAGGTGCTCCCCAAGAGGCCGTTTAGGGTTTTAAAAAAGTCAAGGCCAGCATCTTGAATTGAACAAGGAAACAGACTCGCTGCTAATGAAAAAAATCTTAAGAAATGTTTTAAGTTGATGACAGCTAAAACCCATAAGCAAATTCTAAACCAGCTGAAAGTGCTTGCAGACATTTCCTGATCAGACTGCTTGACTATCATATTGTCTGTCTGGAATAAACTTCAGTTTATTCACCTTTGTAAAGTCCATTACACATTCATGGCTTTTGTTAAGCGAGGTCAAAGCTCCACTTTCATCTGATGAAAAGGAGAAATGGAGCCAAGTGTCAACAGAAACATTAATGGAACCACTCTCCAAACCTCAAGCCAACTGCACCCAGCATAGAAACCAATACTGAATCTGGAGAACCTCAGAGGATAATTCCCATGAAGAGAAACAACAGTCTCCTTGCACTACCTGCCTGGAATCCTAAAGCACAAACCTCAGCTTCCAACACAGAATCTTGAAGAATATCAGGACCAACAGTATCAAAAGCTGCTGAGAGTTCAACAATAAAAGAAGGCACTCTTACATATCTTTCCCTAATGCAGATAATACATCAGGATGAGCATGGCTGTTCCCAAGCTAACAGAAACCTAGGTGCTTAGAATTAATCAAGCTCCACACATCAAGGAGAAAACTCTCTCACACACAGGTAATTAAGCCGCTGGAAGATTAGTGCTATTCGATCTGCTGCATCTATTTGTGTGTTATGTTTAGGGCTGTGGGCAGGATTACCTTCACCCCTAAATGCCCTGTGTGCACATTGGAGGCTGCTCCAATGATGTGCCCAGCCTCACTTCTTTTAAAGTTGGGGCCTTGGCCAGACAGTTGTCACAAGTACCCCCTTCCTTTCCTTTCTGGCCCGCATCCCCAATACATGGGTTGTCAATGCACCCTCCCCCACCTCCATCTCAGAATATTTTACTAGAAATGGAGGTAGTTTCCATTTTATTTTACTTTCTTATATAGGTTTGCTACATCAAGACTTTTTGGTTTAATAAGTCTCTGAGCTAAGACTGCCTGGAATCTACTTGAAGCACAATCACACCCAGCACAATCCACAGCTTCCAACGCAAATGATCTTGATCAGATGGTCAGGGCCAACAGGATCAAAAGCTGCTAAGAGATCAACCACCATGCCATCAACCCCTTTATATTTTGGGTTTTTCGTGGGTGGGTTTTAAGTTACCGTATACAGTTACCCATTCACCCAGCATGAACTATTTTCTGGCGTAACTCACTTGCCATAGAAACAAGTAGCAGACAGGAAGGCAGGTTAAAAAAATAAAACCACATTGCCAGGCAAACTTGTTTTTCAGTCCATCTGTGGAACAGATTTGACAACATTCCTGGGGCGGAGGACAGGCTGCAGAAGAGCCCTTTCTGGCAACATGGATTATTATTATGGGGGGGGGGGGTAGGGGGTTACCAACCCAGCAACCACCTTTCAGGTGCATTCTCCCTCTCCCCAATTCTTAAGATGTCCCCCACCCCAAAACAAGAGGGGGGCTCCCTCCAGGTGTCGTCACTGGGAGTCTCCCCCTGCCTCTTCCTCTCCCCAAATTCGCCCAGAGCAGCTGGACCTTGCAGCCAGCTTGTCGCCAGATCATCCGAGAGCCGAGAAGCGAAGACAGACACAGACAGACAGACAGGCACACACCCTTCTCCTCTACTGTCAAACACACAACCCCAACGCAGCTCCGCAAAGGGCAAAGTAGGAAACGGGACGGGAAGAGACAACTCGAGAAAGAAGGGAGGCAGTTCATTAAAAAAAGGGGGGGGGACCGGCAGCGATGGAGGGTCCGCGAAGGAGACGGAGGCGGCCCCGCCGCGAAGAGCGATACATACCTCTCCCACTCAGAGGCGGTGGTGAAATCGGTGATTTCGAACACTTCGGACTCCGGCTGCGGGGGGGAAAGAAGACGAGTGAGGCGCTGAAGGGCGGGTGTGGACGGGGAGGGGTGAAGAGGGGCGACCCGCGGAGCGTCACCCCCCTCTTTGCTTAGCGGCAGCGGGAGGGGGTGGGGAGGGCGCTCCGAAGGAGGACTCACCTCACTGTCGGCCGCCATCTTGAGCCAGCCACCGGCCTGCAGGACGGCGCAGCTTCCTGAAAGGGATGACGGGAGCGAGGAAGAGGCACAATAACAACACACGCACGCGCACAGAGGGGGAGAAGGGATGAACGTAGGGGAAGAGGCGAGGCGAGGCTCCCGGGTGGGCGGAGCTTGCGCGGTGTGACTTGTCAGGACGGCCAGCAGCGAGTGGGGTATCCCGAGCGGGGTCTCTTGTCAAAAGATAAATGAAAAAGGGAGAGGGGTATCTTGCCTAAAGAAAGATGTCCCGTCCTCCCCCCTCGCTGTGGTTCGCCACACCGACTTCAAAGCCGAAGCGCCCTGTTGTTGTTGTGATTCTGGGTCTCCTGAATTTCTCCTGACATGTTAAGATTTTTACACTGAAGGTTTCGTTCTGGCTTGGTTTGTTCTGGCTTTGGTATAGAGAACCATTTTGTCATGGATTATTGTTATTATCATCATCATCATTGGTCCCTTACCTTTCCCGTCCCTACCTGGCCACAGTGATCCATGCGACAGCCACCTCCGGGCTTAACTACTGTAATTCGCTCTACGCGGGGCTGCCCTTGAAGCTGTCCCAGAAACTCCAGCAGGTGCAGAATGCTGCAGCGAGGCTCCTCACGGGGTCTCTGCCACGGGAGCATATTCACCCAGTGCTTTTCCTTTAAAGCCCTTCACAGCCTAGGACCCTCGTACCTACGGGACCGCCTCTCCCAGTATGCCCCACGGAGAGCCTCAAGATCCATAAATAGCAACACCCTAGTGGTACCGGACCCTAAGGAAGTTAGATTAGCTTCAACCAGAGCCAGGGCCTTTTCAACACTGGCTCCGGCCTGGTGGAACGCTCTGCCTCATGAGACCAGGGCCCTGCAGGATCTGATTTCTTTCCGCAGGGCCTGTAAGACAGAGTTGTTCTGCCTGGCCTTTGGCTTGGAGCCAATTTGATTCCCTCCCCCTCTTTCTTTTTTCTTTTTTCTTTTTCCTTTCTCCTCCTGTGATGAGGCTGCATTTTAATATTTTAATGTTTCAATATTTTAATGTTGTATTTTAATCTTGTTTTTAAGTTGTATTCATTCAACTTGTTTTTATTCTTTTTATTATTGCTTGTTAGCCACCCTGAGCCTGGCCTTGGCTGGGGAGGGCAGGGTATAAATAAAAATTATTATTATTATTATTATCATCATCATCATGCAGAAATTATTAAGTGCAGCCTAAACTCTGGTTAATTAAATAATAATAATCATGGGAGAGATTTGGTCATAAAGCCAGGTTTACCTTACATCCATCCCCATCCTAACAGATTGCCCGGAACCTGGGTGGTCCTTTGCTGCCGCATTTCAGCATTTGATTGTCATTTGTAAAATGAGAAGAACGGAGAGTAAGATGAGCGTGGTGCACCTCTGAAGTGCTGCAAAAAAATTTGTAGTTTACTTTGGCTCCAATCCAGAGAGTGTTTGCGCTGGTGGAGCAAATCAGTTGGAGATGTGGGTTTCTTACATTTGTTTTCCCAGCCAGCTGAGTCTGCTTGACTGGCAATTCACCATACAAAATGCCCCAAGGAGAGTTGCCTTGGCGACAGCCTGTAAACTAAACAGTCTGAATGTAGCTCTGTACATGGGATGGGGGTAGGGAGACTGAAGCAGAAATCATTCAGTGGGGTCTGCAGTCAAGGCCAGAACACTGGGAGTCCTATACACCTGGGGAACTATAAGCTAACATGCTTGGAGTGTCATTGTTGAGAGAAGCAAAGTGCAGGTAAGCCAGAACCACAGTGTTACTTCATTTTTTATTTTGTTTCCTCTTTTTCGCATATGAAGTTCAGTGGGTTACAGATGATATGAGCACATTTTACTGCAGTGGTATTAGCTAATTGAATTTTGCACTTTTTGTGTTAATGACACAATTGGGAGTCTAATTTGTATATGTTGGACTAAATTCATATTATGCATCAGTTGGTGGCAGGGATTTATAAATGAGTGGAAGACCAGCATACTTTAACATAATTCTTTCTTCCTCATATTGCGCTCCACCACCAGATGAATGGGCTCTGTCCCTTTAACCTTCACTCTGGATATATGGACTTCATTCTTCATCACAAAGCTCCTCTCTTCCCTCAGTTCATGGGGCTCATGGATGCAAGTCCATGTTGTTGTGCCAGGTGTGAATCTTGAGTGAGTCCTTGCTCTTGACAAGTTAAAGACTACTGACTTAGAAGATGGATGGAAAAAAATATTTGAAAGCAGAAGTTACAGCACTGGGTTTGCTACCCTAGACTTTTGCAGACAATTTAAGCAACATTAGTTGCTTTAAGGAAACAAACATATGCATGCATTAAAGACGGCAATGGAAAATATTTTAACATTCTATTTTTATAAAGCTTAATTAAAGCATCCCTCTCATGCAAAAAGGCCATAGATAATTAAAAATGAAAGTCCTGGTGAACAAGCAGTGTTTTTGCATGGCGCCCAAGATATGTAGGTTTGGCACCAGGCAAGCTTCCCTGGCGACAGCCTTCCACAAAGGGGGAGACACCACTAGCCCATTCTCATGTTACCACCCTCTGGGCCTCCCATGGAGGGGGCACATGAAGAAGGGCATCAGATGATGATCACAGGGTCAAGACTGGTTCATATGGAGGGGGAGGCAGTCTCTGAGGTATTGGGGTCCTGAGCCACATAAAGCTTTATAGGTCAAAACCAGCACTTTGAATTGCTCCCAGAAACGAATTAGTAGCCAGTGCAGTCAGGCCAGGATTGGTGTGGTGAGCTCAGACTATTTTGCCCTGGTGAGCAGCCTGGCTGCTGAGTTCTGCACCAGCTTAAGTTGCCAAGCTATTATCAAAGGTATGTAGAAAATAATCCAATAATCTAACCTAAAGGTTACAAGAACATGGACAACAGAAGTTAGGCTATCCCTGTCCTGATAGGAGCATAGCTGGGCCACCAGCTGAAGCTGATGGTAGGCACTCTGTGCCACCAAGGGCCTCAAGCAACACCAATGGATCCAAGAAGTACCTCTAAGCTACATACCTCCACTTTCAGAGGAGGTGTGACCCCATCAACTTTACACAGTTTCCACTTCATAAAAGTGGAAGTGGTTTACCATAGGACCTAAAAAAAAAAAAAGACACTCAATAGCACCTCCCAAAACTAGATCAAAAAGATAAAAACAAATCTATATAACTGTATAAAACGGAACAGTGTACAAAACAATATTAAGAGTCAAAGTCCAGTAAAGTGTGGGTAACATACAAGCTTTTAAGGAGTGGGTGAAAGTTATTACTGCCTTTGCCCAAGGAAGTGCATTCCAGAGGGTGAGCTTAGAGCTTAAAAGACCAACTTCAATATGGTCACCAAGGGACAATCTGCTGGTCATGTAATAACCAGCAGGATATCCTCAAAAAATCTTAAAGATCAGTTTAATTCAGTAGATCACATTTATGACATTTTCTGATTCAGCTGTTACAGAGAAATAGATCTGGGTGTCATCAGCATACATTACTAATGAGTGCCCCCAGCATATTGTTTTATAATTTTAAAAGTTTTTTCTAAATTAAGAAATAATTGTTACCACCTGTAATCTGCAACCACCTTTCATGTAATCATACAATTAAATGACACTGTAGGCTTTGCTCAGGAAAGAGGAGGATGCACTGCTCTGGGTAACCATAGTAATTAGAAAGCTCTTTGTGTAGTTGATCACCATATGTAGGGAAAACAGATGTCATCTGCAGACAGAGTACGGATGATGCCCCAGCCACAGTTAATACAAGTGAGAGAGCCAGATGACTTCAAATACTTTTGTAAGTAAGCATACATGTTAATTTATTTTTCTCTTTATTTAGCCAATTATTTCAATCATCTGATTGGAAGAAAGTTCCAAAGTTGGTGTTTTCTTTTTTTAAATTAGCAACATTGTGACAGTTATCTCAAGAGAAGGGAATAGGCTAATTTCCTATACTTAATAATTTCCTGTCTCACTTCCTCTCCTCATAAAAGTGACTGAGAAAAGTAAACCCTGAGCATAGTGTGATGCTTTTGCATCTCTAAAGGGCTAGATTCAAGGAAAGTTTATGGTCTATGAAGAACCTCTATCTGTTAGGATGAATCAGCAGCAGGCAAGATAGATCAATAACTTTTCTATGGTATAACGACCCAAGTATTAAACTGCAGATTAAGTTGTACTGTTAAAGCACAAAGATAATGCTGCAGGAGGCAGCAACCCTATATGCCAGATGGCTGGCAAAGAAGACAAAAGTCAGGTCAATTCACAATACAAAGTTTTGGCTAATTATGTTCTAGCAAAATTATAATATGTAAGACAAACAATAAGACAAATACAGTTAATTTCCAGTCTTAGCAGAACATAAAAAAAAGAACATGGGAAGAAATAAAACAAAGAAAGGTAGTACAAAACTCTTGCCACAAGCCTGCTCAGTCCTTTGGAACCCAATCCATATCACTTTGCTTTCACATATTAAGACTCAAGGGTAAAACAACGGCAGAAAAATTGTTGAGAGAAAGAGTTTAGAATGGAGTCACTCTCTGCCCTCTCTCACTCCCTCTCTCTCCCCCTTCTCCACTGTCTGTATAGATGGGTGACTCCATTCTGTATACATGAGTGACTCCATTCTAAACTATATGTCTGATGCAATGCTTAAGAAGTAAAACTGAGTATTAGCACTACATTATTATTATTATTATTATTATTATTATTATTATTACCCCACCCATCTGGCTTGTTTCTCCAGCCACCCTTATTGAGTGGAATCCATGCTTGAACTCATTTAAAAACTTCCTAAACAATACTGATTCATTAATAGGTGTTTTTTCTAAACTTCCAGCTCAACCTATCACCACCAGTGGCATTTCATCCTATAAGAATGGTGCAGCTTCCTCCTTTAGAAGACAAAGCCAATAAAAATGCTGATTGTAATAATCTGCCCAATATTTTGAACCACTATTCCGTTCCTACGAAGCATACTGACCCTCAGTCTGAGGACCAGAATCACAAAATTATAACAGATGGCTTCACCGTCCTTGGAGATCCACACTCAGTCACCCTGGATAACTGTCATATGACCTTTCGATATTCCAAAGCCCAAGAAACTGAACCGCAGTTTGAGTGCAGCAGATATGGAGCAGATATAGGAAATGAAGTATCCAGTGGTGAAATGCATCAGGTTTTGGCAACCTTTGAGAGTTTAAGTATTACAAGCAAAGACTGTAGTTTTGACCATCCTGATGGTTACTTCAGCCAAAGCAAAGTAGTACATACAGCAGAAAAATATGAATGTTCTCCTTTGGGACATCAAGATAGTTCCAAAGCTAAGAACTGGGGAAAATATTTTGCAAAGGGGAGTGGCAGCCTTACACTACAGTCAAGTAAAGCAGAATCATCAGAGGTGAAACCAGATCCAAACGAATGTACAAAAAATACTATGAATATTGAACCAGGAAATACTGATATGGATTCAAGTCTGCAAAGCAAGGTTACAGAACATCATGCTTCAGTGATTACTATTCCTAATACTTTGATGGATCTTGAACAATCTGAAAGCAGTATTTGTGCAGCAATCAACCTGGGAATGATGGAAAATGTCACTGTGTCTGAAGCTGCTGAAAGCAATATTACGAAAGCAACTCCCATTAGCCATATTACAATATCTAACCATGGACCAGATCAGATCTCCCATGTTTCTAGACACTCTGCTCAAAGAAAGAGCATGCCAACTAACTTAAGCCACAGCTTCAACGTATTTGCTCATAAAGGGAGTGAAAATTTTAAAGTAAACGGCAACAGAACCACCTTGGCTCTAAAAGCTAGTGTGTGTTCCAAGATGCCTCAAGATTTTATTCTTTGGGGCAAGAGTTCTATCCAACACCACACTAACAAGGTAAAGAATCCCACTTCTCATTCTCAAGGACTAGGATTGTCTCATGCAAAGGCTGGGATTTCCTCAAAGCTTCAGAAGAAACACCTTCAGCAGGAGAAATGCCACTTCGGTCAAAGCAGTCAGAAACCCCCAAAGCAGATGCTTCCCAGCAATTCCAAACATTTTCCTAGCTCAGGAGAAACCATCAGCCCTTTTCCTGTAAGACAAGCACAGTCTTCCGTAGACTTCGTAGACCTGAAGTACAGTGACATGTTCAAGGAAATAAATTCAAGTGACAAAGGTCCTGGCATTTATGAAATGTTTGGAACTCCAGCATATTCCAGGGAGCCTCATGGCTGTGAAAACAGTTCCTGCAGGAATGTGCACTCTGCTCCAGCTGGGAGGCGCACTGCAATGAAACATAAATATAACCATCTCAGTGCAAAGAAGAGTGGCAGAATAAGAAATGTTCAGAAGAAAACATGCCCCAAATCACACAAGAATTCCCTTGGCATTAAACAGAAGGAGAAGGATTTGGGGCAAAGAGGGGTATCTGGGTTAGAGGGTTGCTGTCAGAAGCAGAAGGAAAGTGTGATTGACCCTAAAACAGAAGGGCAAATAAAGAGTGCAGCACCATTTCATGAAGATGATGATCAGCAGCTTCCAGTTCCTACTGAGTTTACTCTACCCGCTCAACAAAATGAAGTCATTCCTAATTCAAATTTGTCAACTATTGAAGAAGTCTCATTGGATCACACTTCAGAGGCTGGCGACGCTTTCATTAGTAAAGCATTTGCTATCAATGTTCAGGAATTACTTTGGCCGAAGGTTAAAGTTCATGCAGAATATGCTCCTTTCTTAAACTATGCAAAAGATACAAATGAACATATAAATGTAGCACAGAACAAAAGTTTAATGCAGGCGAAAATTGGATCAACTGCTTGCCTTGAGGATCTGGATGCAAATCAGGTTTTGTTCTGTGACGATAATCAAAGGAACCCCGCTGCACTATGTTTTCCAAACAGAGTAAACTCACCTCCTCCACAAAGCCCACGGGTTGAAAATGTTGGTTTATCAACCGAACAGACTTGCCTTCCTGCAAACTCTGTTTCCCAGGAATATCCAAACACCCTGATCTGCAGTGAAGAAATAACTGAAGACTCGTTTTATTGTTCTGTATCTGAGCTGCTCTCTCTCGATAGCGCAGATGGCAACCGTTCTAGAATAGCTACAAAAAATGCAGATACTGTGGCACAAAATGGAAACACTGAGAGTAAAGGAAACAGCGCAGCAAGTGTTAGAAATTGTAAGGTAATTATTGAAGTTTTTATACGTATCTTTAATAGCAATAGAACAGTGAAAGCCAGTCAAATATTTAAAATATGTTGTGCCTTGAGATCTAGGACTCAATTTCTTACCATTCAGAAATCCTTCAGGCAATCTTGGGCAACTCTTTCTTTTCAGCCTCAGCTTTCCATTTGTAAATAGCAATCAGAACAAACTAATTGTACTGCTGGATCAAACCAATGCCCATCTAGTCCAGATGTCTCTTACTTTGACAAGCACACCAAGAAGGTAATGGTTTTCCTCTTCTCTCTCCAGCATGTGGTACTCAGAGGTACACCATCTCTATAAGTGAAGGTCCATTTAAATATTCTGTGCTAACAGCACTCGGTAGATCCAACCACCAAGTTACCTTAAATAGCAGCAATCTTTATCTCAAGACTGCTGTGATAAGAGTTTTTGTCTCTCTTTCAGGAAAGAAATAAGGTCTATTCAACATACTATATAAATGACCCTGATCTCAAGTCTCTCTTTGCATTATTTCTCATTCAACGTGTTCTGGTTTGCTCTTCTGTCCTCTTTTTACAGGATTTTTCTCCAGATTTCCTGGAATCCAGTAGAGAAAATAGATTTCTAAATGTGGTTACATTTTCAGAAAACAATGTAGCTAGTGAAGGACCTATCCTGTGGACCAAAGGTGAAATCCTTGGGAAAGGAGCCTATGGCACAGTAAGTTACATGGGGAGTATATATAACACCCCTGTTATCTCAAGCTATATTCACTGTATCTCCCAAAGGACATTTTAGCATCAATAAACCTTGATCAATCCTAATTACAATTCCAGTCCTTCTAAACAAGCACACTCCCCCCAATATGGTGTCCTCCAAATGTTTTGCATTACAACTCCCATCAGCCCAGCAATATACTGGCTTCTAAGCAGAAAGTAATGAATGTACAATTGTGGGTGTTGTGAATCTACCACAATTGCATCCCTGATTAAAGCTGCTTTACTTTCTCTAAAGGAATTCAAGTGGGCTTTGTGTCATGGGACTAGATAGGACAAAATCTTATCTGAACAGACTTTCAAATGCAGTTGTGCATTTCGGGAAGCCATCCAAACCTCTGGGTGAACCACAAAATTGTTGAGAACTGTGAAGGAGTCTGCCAGGGCAGGTGGGAGGAGGCACTGTGGGCAGTACCCAGTGTCCTCATTCATTTAGTGCAATAATTTACATTTGGAGAATGGAACTGCTCCCTCTCTTCCACCAGACAGTGCACACCCCATACTCTCCACAAATCTGCTTGGAGGATGGTGCGGGAAACCCGAGAACAAATTTAGCAGGTGTGCAGGGAAGAAAAGGGTGTTCAGTTATGCAATGCCAACTCCTATAAAGCAAACATGGGAATTAAGCAGGCCTGAGTGTGGTCAGCGCTTAGATGGAAAGACCACCTATGAAGCCTGTGTAGGCCTCACTGAATTTTATGATGGAAGAAAGGTTGGCCTTGGGTTATTTACTGCCAATGTCTTCATAGCTTTCAGATGAGGGCACTCACTAAAAGCCCTGCATGACAAACACCAGTGAGGTGGCCTTTAAATATTGTGGGTTGGATTTGAAAGTGCCTCATTTGCTCATGGAAGAACTATTATATGCTCATGCAGAATATTTTTTGTGATCAGAAGGGCTTAAGTATGAACTGGGCATGTCTCTTCTTTAGTAGAAGAGTATACCAGAAGCCAGTTCTCTCAGACTTTGGAATATGACTTTTTTTTGGGGTGGGGCAACCAATTTTCATTAATATGTTGTTGGTGTTTTTACTATTATTGTAGTATTTTATGTGGTACACTACCTTGTCATATTTTCTATGGAAATAAATGAATACCAGATATAACTGCAGACATAATTTAAGCAGGATGTTATACTGTATTTAAATCAGATGCATGAGAACAGCATGCGTGAGTACATATAAATGTGTGTGCACACAGGAGTGTATCTGTAGTTCCACTACCAAAATAGGCATTTTTAATTTTTAGGTTTATTGTGGACTCACAAGCCAAGGACATTTAATAGCTGTGAAACAAGTAGCACTGAGTACCTGTGACCAAATTGGGACTGAGAAGGAATATCAGAAACTGCAATATGAAGTTGAGATTTTGAAAAATCTAACACACATCAACATTGTAGGGTACCTGGGAACAAGTTTAGAAGACAACATAGTGAGTATCTTCATGGAATTTGTTCCAGGTGGTTCCATTTCCAGTATTATTCATCGATTTGGGCCATTGCCTGAAATAGTATTTTGTAAATATACGAAACAGATTCTGCAAGGGATTGCATATTTGCATGAAAACTGTGTGGTCCACAGAGATATTAAAGGCAACAACGTCATGCTGATGCCGAATGGTGTTATCAAGCTCATAGACTTTGGATGTGCAAAGCGCTTAGCCTATGTAAGTCTGACTGATGCCCATAGCGAACCACTGAAATCAGTGCATGGCACTCCTTATTGGATGGCACCAGAAGTGATAAAAGAATCTGGCTATGGGAGAAAATCAGACATCTGGAGCATTGGCTGCACTGTATTTGAGATGGCCACAGGAAAGCCACCACTGGCTTCCATGGATAGGATAGCGGCCATGTTTTATATTGGTGCTCACAGGGGAATCATGCCTTCCTTACCCAACCATTGCTCGACAAAAGCAGATGATTTTGTTCATCTGTGTTTCACCAGGTAAGTAGTTATTAATATTATAAGAGATATTAAATATCTGTAAATATTAAAGAGATATCCTTTTAATCATTATCTTTTCCTTAAGTAAAATGTTTAGTTCAATGAGTTCCTTTAAAAGGTAAGGGAAATTGCACCAGGTCTATGGTGTGACACATAGATGGCAAAGAAAAGGTCCAAGGTCCAGTCTTTGGTACCTGCAGATAGGGGTTGGGAAAGAGCTCTGCTTGAAATAAGGAAAGGCTGAATATCTCCCTTCCACATGTCTGGGACCATTTGTCCCCTGTAAAAGTGGATAGGAGTATGATCTGCAACTTTTTTGTAGCAGTGTCTGAAACTTATAAACTGTCAGACTGGGGTGATGGTACCATTATTTAAGAGAAGAGGCAAATGCTTTTCTAGCTTCCCCCTTTCTTTTAATAAGTACTAAAGCCTTTTGTCCAAGGCAAAGACCATAAAACCATTTGAGAACTGTCATGAATCAAACCCTTAAATGTCAAAATGATCAGAAAGAAGCCCCAATCATTAAAAAAGAATATAAAAGCTTCAGCACAACCTTTTGATGCTCACCTAGTCCCATGAGATAGACAAGTTTTTCAAAAGTAGATTTATTACTAGACAAGTAATAAATCTATGTTGCTGACAGAAGCATTATCAATTACTCACAATAAATATATTTTTTTCTATTGTTTTCCAAACAGGGACCAGTATGAGCGACCTACTGCTCTACAGTTGCTGCAGCATCCCTTCATGATTTAAAAACCTCATGAACTTTGCAAAGGCTTCAGTAGATGACAGATTTCCCCCTTACTTATTGAAGAGGTTAAATGAAATTTAACATTTAAACTTTCGGTTTGAGAATGGCTAGGCTATAGTGTGATTGGTATGAAAGCTGTGAAAGTTACAGAGTTGTAAATTCTTGTTTTTCATTTTCAAATATAGACATGATGCAATTTCAGGACGGCAAACTTTGTATCAAAATGTTATGGCTGTAGAACACTTAATCTCATTTTAAAATTAAAATCAGACATTTTGACATCTTTTGGCTTCCCTACCCCTGCAATTCATCTCTCCCCCCCCCCCCCCCCGCCAAAGCCTGGGAGCCATGCAACACAATATGAAGTGTGGACAGCTCAGTAGAAGAGACAGGCTGACTGTAATTGCATAAAAGGAGGCTCATCTTGACAGGCAGTGGTTAATCAGCCAGTCATTCAACCACCATGAATGGCAGGCAAAATAGTAATTCCTTTCCCCCTCTACTTCCACGCTAAATCTGCTGCAGAAGGTGGGGGGAACTTTGCAGCATTTGAAATAGTGTGGGGAGCTGCAGAGAGCATTGGTGAAAGTTGCCTCCAGTCAACCCTTATTTTTGTGGATGGAATATTCTGGATTCAACCCAAAATAAGAATAATACTGGTACATGAATGCTCAACTCAATAAAATAATCATGCAATTCACTTTTCTGATCAAAGTAAAAAAGAATAAAAGTAACGAGAGATTTTGAAGTGTTGCTTCTCACAACAGAAATGTAAGTCATTGTCTTTTATTATTTTTTTCCACAAAAAAGAAAAGAATTTCATTTCAATTTGATGAAATAAGCCTAGGCTTGGATGACCAAATGACAATAATCACTGATATTTCCTACCTCTAGGTAGGCCATTTAGCGCCATTTTAAATTGTAAATACGCATCCTAGAATAAAAACCTACCTCTTTCCAGGCAATGTAGCGGTATGTGCTTTTATCCGTAATATAACCTTGGGTTCAGCAGTCTCTCAGCCTAACTTGAAAGGTTGAGAGGATATAACAATATAACCCTTTACTATATTACACTATATCAACAATATTACCCAGGAGTTACTTTCCCCTCCCCCTTAGATGTTCTGACATGTGCATAGCTAGAGTTTTTTCTTAAATAAATTATGACCTTGGGTTATCCTAATAATCTTACCTGTAATGTAGGCAGATGGACATATGCCCACCTTCTCCTGATTACATATGGTTAATTCAGTACTTCAAACCAATATTGCATTATGGAAATAGGGGTGGGGATTTCACTTCGACATTTCTTTTCCCTTGAGAAAGCCCTATGAAAACATTTTTCTTGAACTTTCATCCTCAAGCCCAACTATACATACATGGCTACCTTCCCTTTGGTAGAGGTAGGTGTTCGAGAGCAAGGAATTAGTCCAAGAGACTAAGTTTCTTTCTGAGATTTGACCAGAGGAGAAAGCAGCAAGTTGTCTGAAGAGGGGGAGAAAGCACCTAAATCAGGCTTCCTCAACCTCAGCCCTCCAGATATTTTTGGCGTACAACTCCCATGATCCTTAGCTAGCAGGACCAGTGGTCAGGGATGATGGGAATTGTAGTCTTAAAACATCTGGAAGGCTGAGGTTGAGGAAGCCTTATCTAAAATATACCCACCACATATTGGTACTTTTCAGTTAGTTGCCCATACTTAAGTAGAAGCCACTGAAAGGCAACTCCCAGGGGGCTCAAGTTTTTCTATGTATGGGTATTTGGGGGAACAGAATGTAAAGATACCACAAATGATATTGATGTAGTATTAGAATATAATAATTTTATAATTTATATCCCGCCCATCTGGTTAAAATCCTCAGTCTTCACACTCATCCTAAAGTTCATAAATGGTCTACAGTATCGCCATAGTTTTAAGAGTTTATAGATCTATATAAAATTAAACCACTGAGGGTAGAGGTGAATCTGTTAAGACCTAAGGCAGAGGTATAAAAGTGCAATTTACGTAAATGCCAGAATTCAAAATGCAGCACTGACTAATCCCTGCAGTCAATGGCTATCATGATAGTCCACTCAACAAATGACAGTAAACTCAATAGTGTATAGCACCACTAATGGGAAACATGACATGAGGTCCACAAAAACTGGGGCAGCAATTTCACGTATATTTATCGCAGAATAAGCACCATAGATTCAATAGGACTTGCTTCTGAGTAGACACTTATAGATAGGATTGTACCAAGAGTTCTCTTAATGCAACCATATGGGAGTGTGCTCATTTCATGGATTTAATGGAAATACTCAGATTTTCCCATTTCTCATGGGCACCTTTTTATTTTGTGGAGAGTTCCCAATTATTTATCCCATTAATCAGTTTCCTTTGCTTTGCAAAAATAGCCCAAACCACATTTTGTCAATAAATTTGTTCACATCAGACACTACTCCTATATGTGCATTCTATAATACATTCAATGTATGCTACCAAATATTACACTTTCAACTTTTACTCTGCCATAATGGTCACCTCCCAGTTATCTTTTCTCCCTTGTCATGCTGGAGGGCCATTGTGGCATGGATAAACTCCCATGATTTTATTTATTTTGCATCAGCTGAGTTTATCAATTTCATAAGTGTGCATTTTTTGAATGAGGGGGCATATTGAAACTTGTTTATTAAAATGCGAGATTTTCAAGTTGAGCTAGAATTTGTGTGGCATGGTCTACTAAGAGTGCTTTAGGATACATGTTGGTCTAAATGCGACAGATAAAGCAGTTTATTTGCAAAAGTGCTGCATCACCTACTGCTGCCCCAAAAAGATATGTCGCAATATCTTAAGCCTGACATATATGATCTGTAAACTAATTTCAATTACTTAAGAAAAATTGCAAACATCTAAGAAACCAAACCATGGTATTTTTATTATTTAAGTCTTAAATTAACTAGAGTTAATTCTACATATCTTACCAGCCCCTAGTATTGTTTGCATTTTAAGAGAATTTGAGTTCTTTGGTACTTCTGCCATTTATATTTTACAGACCTTTGTGGAAATTTGACTAGGCTCAAATCTCTTCAGCAGTTTTATCAAAACAGATCTAGAAGACGTGTGCCCCTCCAGATGTTAAGAGTACACCTCCAATCATTATTAGCCATGCTGGCTGAGGTGAGACCAACTATATCTGGAAGGTCATGTTTCTTATCCAAGAATATGGCTATGAAAGGAAACACTCATTCAATCTTCAAATAGCAACATTTGCGTTTATAGTAGGAGGACGGACCAATCCTATGGTCATTTATAGAATACACAGGGTTGATTATAAGTACCTGAACAGAACCTCATTCAACTTATGGATTTCTGCAAAGGTAAGACAAGAGCTGTATGTTTATTAGGATATTTATCTGTCTTGTAACATGTATCCATTACATCCTCATGTAGTAATGGGTAAAAAGCATTCCAAGGCAAAGCTACAGGCTTGTAAGCAAATACTATGAGGCTTTGTAAATAAATTTTATTTAAAGTAAACATTTACTGTTTGTCTTCTTCCTACTGGGAATCACAATTTAAGACATTTTAATCTTGCTTACACCGTATGGCAAAAATTCTTCAGGATTTAATAGCATGGATGAGGTAGCGAATAAAGTCTAAAAAGGCTAAAAAATATGCAACGACGCAGGATCAAGTTTCACAATACAGGGTTTTAAGAAATATTCTTTCAATGTAAAAAGTTACAAGGGTGAAGAAGTTAACAGTTTTGGATGAGGCAGACTGTGAAGGGCTAAGGACTAGATTAAAATCTGAAGATACATTATTCATAGTGTCCATGTTCAAGAAGTGTTTAAAAAAGACACCCATAATTCAAATAAACGTCTTCAAGTATGTAGTACAAAGTTTTGCATTACTGGCGACTGAATATTACATAGTAATTGATGCACAAGTAGTTACATTATACTGTAACTACAAATTGGATACATGCTCAACAATTATCTAAAACACTTAGCTTAGTGTAGCTAACGGGGTTTAAACTTCAGATTTGCTGCTGAAGTGTTTATAACCAATTAGAGCATAAACTGTGCAAGAACAGATGTTTCCAAATAGTGAATCCCTCTCAGACACGAGGATAACTTAATAAAATCTTTACATTAAATACCCAGTAAGTAACACTTGCTACTGTACTGAATTTATGCTGAGGTAAATTCCATGCACTTAGGGTTAGCTGGTAAAATGGGACATCGGCTTTTAACAAAAACCCATCAACATTCACTACGGTCATCAATTGTTTAAAAAGGCAGGTGAATGAAAACAGTAATATGACACTTACAGCCATAAAAATGTATACTAGTGGTTTAATTGGCGAGTGATTATTCAGAGCTGAAAAAACCTCCAGTTTTGTTATTACAATCACAAGTACAATTCACGTAGCATACGTGACAGTTCTTTTATTGTCTGAGATAAGGGAAAAGTTGGGATACCAATAATTGTATTTATTGCAAAGATAGTATTCCACCTGTAAAAGAAATATGGCATTTCACTCACATAACACACTTTTTTTTTTAAATTCAAAACGTGGCTGTCTGTATGAAATGCTAATGGAAAACAGTGATCCCTGTTCACTAATAACTTAAGTTTTTTAAAAAACTTACTAATTTCACTATACGTTTACGTATTTCAGTTCTTAAATCACGTTAATCTATATAACCATTATTAACAGCTCTGTGTCTCTATTACTGCATCAAGCCAAACATTTAAATGCACTTTCACATCAAAAAGATTATATAAACTTTATTTTTGCTTCCCCTTCTGAAAGCTACTGACATTTCAGCAGTCAACTTGGGTTTGTTTTTCTAATTTAAAAAAAAAAAAAACTACAAATGGAGGCCTGAGCAGTTTTCACATTGCCTCACTGGAGATACTGTGTTGTGGCTGACCATCCATCCACACTTGGTACATGATCCCCGATGAGTGAAGTGCTCTCAGGAAGTGGCTCCCAATAAGGCCTACAGTTTAACAGGAAGTGCCACTTTTATTTATATTTCTGATTGACTTTGATACAAGGGGGGAAAGTTATGTATATTTGTCATACTTACAAGCAGCTCCAATCCTGAGTATTTATGGTTTATCTAAACATACAAAAATGTATGTACATTTCTCTCCACTTTTGTTGTAAACATTTGTCAGTATACTTTACATATCCCTTCTTTGAAACATGCAAATCATACATACAGTATAAATACACATTAAAAAAAATACACTCATTCATAAACTAAGCAACAAAAACTGTGGCTGGCATATTCAGTTATAAATAATCAATGTGCGAGGCATTCCATACAGCTAAGAGCAGCCATTCAAACCTACTGTTCTCATCTGTGTTTGTGGAAAATACTGTGATTTTTGCACCTTCCAAGTCATTTACAGTATTTATAACACTATCATATGTGGAGATAGGCTCATTTACTATACCTCTTCTTCTCAGAGTGAAGGATAAAGCAGCACTTACATATATTATATATATTTATATATATATATATCTATATAAAGTAGGGCAGCAACTGCTGGGGTTGCGCTTATGAAGGTTTCCTTCTAATATTCTTAAATAAAAAAGGAGAAAGGGACCAAAGCAACTGGTTACATATTCATTCCTTGGGCACTTAACAGTGAATCCAGCATGTCGAATGTGTCTTTGTAGTCCATATGCTGGCTGTTTGTACTGTACTCGTGACTGGCATCAGGACCGTTCTCCACAGGGTTCTTGTCCAGTTTCACGAGGGTGCTGAGATGTCCGTAGCCCACCTGGTATGCGACAGGGGGAGGAGGGGGTAAGGGAAGGTTAAAAACAGAGTTGAGAGAGGATACATACTGCTTAACAGAGGAAGAACTAGATGAACTACCTGAACTTTTGGAACTTTTGCTCATTTTGGAGTGATGGTTGTGAGAAGCATCATTGATGTACAGCCTCTTTCTTGAAGAGCCGGAACTAGAGGAATTGGCATCACTGCTCAAGCCAACAGGACTCCTCAGAACAGCTGGCGTTAATCCATCACTACTATGTTTAGTGCCACCACTACTACTGCCACCAGTATGGGAATGGGAATGCTTATGACTGCTACCATGATGGCGGTTTATGGAATGTTCCTTGTGCTTTTCCTTGTTAACATGGGGACTAGAGTGCTTGCTTTTCCCACTGCCCTCATCTGATGAGCTATGCCTTTCTGAGGAAGAGACTTTGATTTTCATTTTCAGGTCTTCTTTGCTAGAGTTTTTTTCTGTGGGTGGAATGGGTATCCGCAATTTGAGTGACCCGCCCTTTTCTTTTTTGTCAGGCATGTGTTTTTCAGGCTTCTCTGCATTTGTAATGGGAATTTTCATTTTAATAGGGGAAGTTACAGAACTGCTACTTGTTGCTTGGGGTTGAGTGTGCTTTTTGTATTGCTGTTCAGGGCCCATATAGTGTTCTCTTACATCCAGTTCAAGGGTTTCTAGCTTGCGTTTCTCTCTGTATTTATCCAACGACATTTTCTGAGGCATTATTACAGGTGCAGATGTCACCTGCCCATGGTATTTGTTTCCCGGTTTGTGCACAGTAGAATGCTCAGAGAGTTTGTCAGCTCTGTGATGTAATCCTGAATGCAACTGCAATGAAGTGCCTGGTTGAAAGTTTATGTTGAACTGTCCACCAGGCAGTGAAGTATCTGGTTTCTGAGAATACATCTGTTCTGTCCTTGTTTGATCTTGGTGCTGAGGCCATTCTTGATGTGCTGACAGACTGTAAGAAGTACCTGGCATTCCTGTGGCCAGTATTGCCAGATTTTCTTGACTATCTTGAACAGAGATACTTCCTGAGTTCAGAGGAACTGGGGCAGGAAATGTGGATGCAGATGGTTTTTGAAAAGTTGCATTTGCAGATACACCAGCAACAGCATCTACTAAAATGGAATTCTGAACCAAAGATGAACCAAGAAGGGAGTTATCGGATGCCTGACCATCTCCTTTAGGTTTCCTTGCAGCCTGATTAGCCTACACAAGGATAAAAGTGTAAAATTAGGACATAATCTGAAGTGTAACATCTACAAATACATCTAGCAGTCAGCAGAAGCTACCCAGTTCCAAAACTGAAGAACATGATGCAACTGCAATTAGTTATTTTACTCTGAACCTTGACAAAGAACATTGAGCTCAAAAGCTCAGTGTTTTTGAACATCAGTTGGCTAAATAATAAAAAAATACTCACTTGGATTATGCAAACTTCTGCTGGGGGAGATGATTAACATAAATTCCTCCTTTACTCTGCACATCCTAAACACCTGTTCGGGTTTGAAGACCCTCTAGAACAGTGTGAGGATACAACAAAAGGGAAATTGGCAAATATCACTTCCCCTCTCCTTTCCTCAAGTGGAAGCCTCATCTCGACTTAAGATGCTACCATTTGTGGTAGGGTAACTCTGGGTCTAGCTTACTACATGTCATTTTCACAACTGTTTTATAGTTGTTATAATGAAGATTTTATTGGTTAAATTACTGGAACATCAAAATTCACCTAGCAAGTGATAGGTTGGATGCTGGCTTTCAACAAAGCTGAAAGCAGATCAGCAGATGCTTACATATAGTATAGATGAGGCAGTCTCTTTACCACAAGAATCTCTTACCCTCCAATTTCGAATCCTCTTTAATCTATTGGGAGTTTTCTCCAGTATCTGAAGAAACTCATGTGTCAGCTCTGTGAATGAAAACAAAATTAAGTGAAACATCTAAATAACTAGCTCAATTCCTATTAGCAACTTTCAGCACTTTTTGATGACTAGACTTAACAAAATTTATATAGAATACCACTTGATTGTAAACCCCACCCGAAGTGGCTATCTATTCAATCAAAAGAACTTTACGTATGCCTGAAACTAGTTTTCTAAGTCACTGCTTAAGATACTTTTTTGAGGGGGAGGGGGGAGTTAAAAAGTAATGGGGGGAATACAATATATTTTAATGCCACTCCTCAGTATAAACCTCCAGCGTGATCCACCCTGGTAAATACACACCCACACCCAAAACAGTAAATGTAGCATTATTTTTAAAAGTCAGCATTTTTTAAAAAGTGTTAACATTCAGCATGGGTGAAGCTATAATAAAAGAAACTTGCATTACATACTGAAATGGTAAACACCTAGTCTGCAGGTAACTGCTGGATAAGTGCCTGTTTAGCCATCATGGTAAAGGTTAACAGGAATGTCACAAAGAAAATAACTAGAAACACAAATTTAAATAAAAGAATAAAGGAAAACAGATTTTACTTACCATCAAGTAATTCTAAAGTAACAGAAGGATCTACATATTCCCACCAATGCTTTCCATCAGTTGATACCGGAATCTCCCAGTTGGACCACTTGCAAGCCAAATGTATACAGACACATGCTATCACAGTTGGTTTGTATTGAAGACAAAATGTAGTAAGGTGCAGACTGTAGTTGGAAATGTTTCACAATGGAAGAACAAACGTCAAACATGGAAAAGAACAAAAAACAAGAAGAGAGTACTTATCACCACAGTATTCAAGGTAAATGTTTTTTTTTAATGTAAATGTGTTTTTTTAATGTACAACTTTGGGACTTTATATTAAAAAACAAAACATACAGGTATTCATACACAATAATTTAGATCTGTTTCTGCTAATAAAATGGAAGAACTACTACAGTATTCTGTTCTTCCAGCAGTACAGGAACTTAATACACAAGGAAATCAAAATATTAGCATTCATAAATATCAATATTTCTGCAAAAATATACTCCTTCAAATTTTATGGCATTGTAATGCATGTTTCATTTTGAAAGTTTGTGAAGTAATGTGTAAAGCAACATGTAAGGGGGAAATGAAATCCCTGCCAGTCCAGCCTGCAACAGTTTGCATTAGTCAAGTCAACCGAGTCATGATCAAGTAAAAAATTATAGCTGGAAGCAACACAACTGTGGCAATTCCATGTTCTAGCATTGATTTGAAATTTGAGCTAGTGGAAAGATATTCATTCTAACAAGTGTGTCCGCCCTAGCAAGTACTTATTAAACAAATATTTGATTATGTGCATATTTACACTAACTATGTCCTAGATACAGAGATTTAAGCAGAAAAACAATTCTGTTTAATCAAGGCAGCCCCACCCAATTCCTCTCATTTCCTTGTCTACTGCAACCTTCAGTGGCCGATCCCAAGCTGTTTCATAGGGTCCACTGTGCCTTAGGATTGGCTTGGGGGGGTGGAGTGGACCCTGGAAAGCCCTGCTGCATGAGCAGAGTTTCACTTTTATTTTCTCTGGATCCAACACAATGAGCTTAAAATCACATGCTCCTTTCTTTTCTCCACACCATAATCAGTTCATAATTAATCATTCAAACTGCAAGCCAGAATAACATAGGCATTTAGTTCCTCTTTCATCTCCTCAAACTCTCTTAACAATATCACTTTGAGGGGAGATCATTATTTCCTGTATTCTTGCCACACAATGGATCTCTTCCCAGGTCTTCAGATTTTTGCTTACATATTTTCAAAATTCATCATTTCCCCCTTCTAAACCCTCATTTATATTCTCCATTAACCTGTTTACAGTAGGCTTCTGCTCACTCTTTTTATTTCATTCAATCAAACCAATGTCTGAGTTATATCCCTAATGTCTCTCTAATGTCCTAATGTTCTCTCCATTTAAGTTTAACTCTTAGATATTATTTATAAAGTCGTCTTCTTTCACCATTCCATTTCATATCCGCTTCACATAAGTTAAACCTGTTATCCTCTCTTTTGCCTCTGGCTTTCATGCTCTCTCCAAGGCTGAAACTGTGCATCAGAATACAAATTAACCTATCTCCTTTTTGCAAAGTCTACTTTTTTCTATAAAATTAATGACTAGGCTGGTTAACATACTGATAAAACCCCTATCACACAGCCAGGAGAAATAATAAATCAGGATATAGTGTCACTTCCCCCAATTCCTGACTGGTCTTTATCTATGAACCATGAACTGTGAATTAAAATCTAATGATTAATAACAAAATAAGACAACTTCAAACCAGTGGTCATGACTCAAGCTTATTTTAAATCAGTTAACAGGACATGAATTGGGGAAATAACTAAACACTGTTTACTTCTCCTCCCAACCATGCAGTAGTTGAGAGGAGAAGTCAAGACCAAGGCTTTGCTTAGGCCAGCAGATATTTTTTTTTTAAACCCACATCTTTTCCATGCGAATGTCATCTGGGCACTTTCCTGAACACTTGCAATTTATTTACATCTCTCTTCCACCTATCCATTTTACTGAAAACTGAAAACCTACTGGCTAGAGGTCATTTCTGACCAATTAATAGTAGGGCTTTTTTCCCACATAAATATGTTAAAGAACTAGCCAGCTTCTGCACTGCTAAATGTCTTATAGGCTAGTTCTAATGTAGCTGTAACAAAAGCTTTTTTTTTTTTTTTTACTACAGCTGTTGTTTGATTTCTTTTTAGAAAAAACAATGCTATTTTATTTTCATTAAGAAAAAAATGCCATTAACTACAAGGGTAAACTAGAAACAGCTTTGTACTTACCAAGATGCTCGGATTTCTAGGTTAAGTTTATCTCTCTGTAATCTTTAGCTGCTATTCAGGCTACCATTTTTAGACTTATGCACTCACAATCGAGAAAAAGTCACCAGAAAGCACCACTACACTTCACATCGTGCATTTAACCCCTTTGTGCCATTAGGCCCTTGTACAATACACCGCACTGCAAACAGGAAGGTACCACCACAGTAGATGGCCCAGTCGCCTGTTGCAACAAGGGTTCGACACAGGTAGGGGACCCTGCAGTAAAGGAAGCTATAGTGTGCTACAACAGTGCAACAAAGAGGTTCAGGATAACAACCTGTTGGTAGCCATGAAATAGGATGTCTGTGCCAAATCCTTGCTTGCTGTAAGAAAAAAAGAAACAATGAAATTAGACATCAGTATAGTTATTTCCCCAAATTAAAATGCTTTCTATGTGTGAAGATAATACAAGCGGCCCACTTGCAAATGAACACAATGCAAGCCATTGCCTAAGCAAAGTTTGTGTTTACTCAGCTACTCTTCAAACTATCTCTGCTACTAGGTTTTTTGAACATGAATTTATTTATTTAATCAAAGTAACACAATAAGCTAGCCAGTACTTCAAAACTCCGGGATAGGGAAACTAATGTTTTGAGGTAATTCAGGGGTAGATCATTGTCTTCATAGCCTAAGCCTTACAACTCCACTAATAGGTTTGCTCTAAGTAAATCATAGATGACCTCCATCTCGCCAATAAAAATGAAGCTGGAGGTCAGCAAAAAACATCTGATTCTCTATAGTTTTCAGTGGTCACCACCAGTTTTTCACCCTGCCATCACCATTACTCTAGCAAAAGGAGGCAGCCCTCAGTGTCAGCCAACCTAGATACTCAGCGTAACATTATGTTGATTATGTACAGATTTTTCCATCTTTGCTTTAGCACTGCTGACCCTTTAAGGAAGACAGCTCACAACAGCACCTGTCCACTAGACAGGTGGGCATGGTTTGGGGAAAACGGCTTACAGGCCAAACTGGATGCTCTGGCAGACCAAGACTGGCAAGACTGGCAGATGCTCTGGCAGACCAAGACTGGCCCACAGGCTGGAGGCTCCCCACTTATATTGTAGGATGTCATTACAGTGGTACCTCGGTTTAAGAACAATTTGGTTTACAAACTCTGCAAAACCGAAAATAGTGTCTTGGTTTGAGAACTCTACCTCGGTCTAAGAAGGGAATCCAAACACTGGAAGGGCACTGGCGGTGGGAGTACTCATTCGGGAAAACATGCCTCGGTTTAAGAACGGTTCTGGTTTAAGAACGGACTTCCAGAACGGATTAAGTTCGTAAACCGAGGTACCACTGTAGTTCTTTTAATTTGTCAAATGTTGATGTCACAACACTAAAAGAAGATTTCTAATCATGTATTCTCCAATCCTGCCCCTTTGAAAGGTGGTGGCAGTGTTGGGATAAAGAACTGCTTGGGATAAAGAACTGCTTCTTCAAAATTCACAAGATAAAAAGAGACTAAACTGCGCTTTCTCAAACAGCTGTCTTCTTCACCTGCACTTTTTCAGATGATGAACTTTTTAAAATAATGTATGTGAAAGTAGGGAAGCAGATAAAGATCTTCTTATAGGCTATTAATGTTTGTAAGATGGTGACCAGCAAATTCGAATAAAGTGATGGATCAGAAAGACTGAGGAAACAGATGTAAAAGCCATTATATATAATGCTGTCTTGCTAAATTCTTCTAATTTAATATAATAGTCACCAAAAAACAACAAGGTATTACCATAGCATCTCAATTCTAGTCATTCATTTTCAGGCAAGTATAACTTTAAAAATAAAAATCAGGAGTGGGCAGCCTGGGAGCCCTTGGCTTAAATTCATGGAGCTAGAAAGGAGGACAAAATGTGGGGAGTGGGAGGTGTGGCAGAAAGAAAAATGAGTGCCTCCTCCCACTTACTCCAACGCTACCTACCATAGACTACTCAGAAGGAATATAGCCCCAGACAGAAAAAGGTTGCCCACAGTTGTTTAAAATTCAGGGAACTTTGGCTCAGTTCTCACTATGACTGTGACACATCATTTAATCCATATGCGGTCCAGAAATTAGGCAGGTCTACCTCATTAAAAAGAAAGAATAAAAATAAATATATTACAATTGAATAAGATGGGAGGCCTAGGAGAAAAGTATTTGCAGATCTAGAAAGGGAAAAGAGAGTCAGAACAGTTAATGCTGTGAAAACTGACCAATGCTTCAAAAGCAACTATGTATTGCAAGTACTTAATAATTTCCATCTATGGCCTGTTATCTGCCTTGCTTTGCAAAAAGAAAAATCCTTTATCCCCAATTCCATTGATTGTATATGGATGTCTACCTTATTCTCTGATCATCTTACAGCAAAATCACCCGTATCAGCAATATCTACAAAATATGTACCTGGAGGGCCAATTTTTACTTTAGAAACACACCACACAACTTATAATCTACATATCCTTTATAGAGCCAGGTAAAAACAAAACCTAGTAGTGATTTACTCACAGCAGAAGTAATATTCCAGAAACAGTTTTAGCAAGTCACACCACCTTCCTACAGAGATGTAGGGAAAGAATCAGTTAAATTGTTACTGACCTCTCACTAACTGCGTACATTTCACAACATCTGTGTGTGGATGCTCAATGGTAATCTCAAAACCTGAAAAATTAAATGTGTTATTTCACAACTTACATTATATATGTCCATAAATTTAAAAGTACCTGGGGCCATGTTTCTTTCAAGTGCGTAAATTAATAATCTCATAATGGACTACTAAAGTAAGTTTAGGGTACTTGCACTGAATGTTTTTTTTAAAAAAATGCAAGCAGTTATACTGCTTAGTTACTATGTGTACATTTATTGCAGTAAGTGTGGTTATACTAGATTAACACTGAAAGGACAGGCTATAAACATGGTGCAAAGAGAAGAATAAAATGGCTTCTATGATCAGATTTCTCCTAATATATATGTTGTGTGTCCATCAATCAAATATGTAAGTATTCTATTACTGGAACTACACTATAATGTGAAGATGTTACTGGCTATACAGTTGCTTTAAGAATATCATATATACATTTAATATACTTACCTAAAGTTTGAAGCATTATTGTTTCAAGTATAACCAGCTCTTGGGCCTGCTGAAGGTATGCCTAATAATAAAGAAAAATGCTGAAGCATCAATACAGCAACTTTAACAAGTTAATAATACCAAAGTATATACCAAATAAACTGATTGGCTATCAACACTTATATTGGGGTACACATCACAATCACCAAGACGGTAAGAAACTATTTTCTCTCATGCTTTTGTTTCTTTCATGATGTCTGAAAACACACAGTTCTGCTTAGCCTCAACACAACAGTTGTCTCTAATATGCATAGCAATATTGGGGATGTTCAGACATTTATTTCCCTTTCTTACCTCTAAGCATAGTGAGATCAGAAATGGTTCCTGGGTTCAAACCCTCTTCTCAACATTTTTATGTTCCCCTCAACTGTATGAAAAGGAAATGCTTGAACAGAGTATGTTGTTTGTATATGTCCCTAACCTGCAAAGTGCTTAAATAAATGCACAACACCCAGTTTAAGTTCTGAAAGGAGCTCAATACAGGAAGGAAGGAGGCACATTGAGACTCCTGCTCTCATTGCATGTAGAGGTGAGATAGAGAACATGTCTGAATAGCTCAATATTTTATGAGAAGAGATGGTCATCTGAGGGAAGTAGAAAAAATGTGTAATATGGCAAAGTCTGCCAATAAAGCAAAAAACAAGCATTTTCCCCCAGTTGGAAGAAACATTTTTCAATTAAAAAAGTTATTTTGATTTCAACTATTAGGACAGGCTGCTGCTAATGTTCCATAATAATCATTTAATATTAAGTAGAAATGTATTATCTGTGAATTCAAATATGCAATGGGAAGGAACAACGCAGCTTACAATTCTGCCAAGACTAAAGGAAAAAGCTGGCAGTCTTTTAAAGTGTCAGTTATGCTTTATGAAGACTGATGTGTACGTACATCACTCTTTGTGTCCAGCTCTTGATGATGAAGGCAAGCATGTGCTACTTTGATAACATGTTCGAGTTTTCGTGGCTGTTCTTCCACTTTTGCAGCCAAAAATAATGCAGTAGGAGATATAATCTGTCAGACAAAAATGCTTCAGTGAGAACAATGTTGCAACACATCTCCCATAAGATTAGTTACCTCTAACAAATGGGTAAATCTTAAAACAAGTGTGATAAAGCCTTGTTGAAGTTGCAAATTACGCTATATTCTGCCATCTAGAAATATTAGAATGTAGCACTTTTCCTGAAATAGCCTTTACAGAATCAACGAAAGCACAAGACGTACTGAAAATGTTTAATATCCTATGCAGCAAAGATTGCCAATATGTATTTATTTTCATTTCTACTGTTTCAATGCAACAGGTGAGAGGGTGCAACTGCTTCAAGTCTTGCAGCCAATTGTTATTTTAACCAAAGTTTGAGGTGTGACTATTTTTGTCACTTAGACATGGTGTTAATTGCTCAACCCATTCTCTAATTACCGTATTTTTCACTCTATAAGACGCACCAGACGACAAGACGCACCTAGTTTTTGGAGGAGGAAAACAAGAAAAAAATATTCTGAATCGCAGAAACCAGAACAGCAAGCGGGATCGCTGCACAGTGAAAGCAGCAATCCCTCTTGCTGTTCTGGCTTCTGGGATAGCTGCGCAGCCTTCATTCGCTCCATAAGACGCACACACATTTCCCCTTACTTTCTAGGAGGGAAAAAGTGAGTCTTATAGAGCAAAAAATACGGTATGTTAGCCCTCCCCTCAAGGGTATGCTATGATTTAAACCAAGGCAACCAGTACAACTGTGGATGATCTATATATCAAAAAGATAGGGAGCATGACCCTGCCAATTCTTATGTACTCCCTAGTACAGGAAAGCTTTCAATCATTCTAGATCACTGTTGTGGGCAAGGAGATAGTACCAAGGTAGGATGTGATTCAGCTCCTACTGAACAAGGAGGCTCCAAATGATGGTACACAAAACTCCTGGACTGCCTCAGGTGAGTTATCCTGTGGAGTTCCACAGGGTTCTATCTTATCTTTTAATATCTATAATAAATCATTAGATGAGTTCACCATGGGTTTGGGGGCATGGAGTCATTAGTTTGCTAATGACACTCAGGTCTGTTTTCCCATTCTGTTTGCATCAGGCATGCCAATGATCTTCTTGCTTGGTTGCTTAGGCTCAGTGAGGGCCTGGATGGGTGTGAGCAACCCAGATAAGTATCACATATTGACACTGGGCAGTTTTATTGATCAGGGCTTAGGAACAATTCCAAAATTTAAGGAAGTCACACTCAAGAATTTGTCTTCACCCAAGTTTTGGCTGATATGCCAGCTCTACACAATGAGACTAAGCATCCGTCACTGTCACAGTCACACAGAACATGGTAACTTATCTCAACTACTATAATGCCCTTTGAAGTGTGGCTGCCACTGGGTACTGAACAGAAACCTCAGATGGCCTAGGGTGCAGCAGCACAAAATGGTCAGTCGCTGGGAGTTGGTGATATTATTTACTTGTGAATTCCAGTGTTGGTTTGGGTCCAGGCCTGCATTTGCCAACTTAGTGCTAGCTAGGTGTTTTGAACATCAATCCCCCCACCCCCAGCATAGTTGATGGGAATTGTTGTCCAACCACATCTTAAGGGCACCAGGTTGGTCGAGAATATGGAAAGTACAGTTCTTGACATTTGAACCTGAGTCAAGACTGCTTTCGAAAGCACCTTCTCAAAAATATAGCCCCCTCCCTGCAAGGAGTCAAAATCAGCAGAAGAGATGTTGCCCTCGGTGCTGCCATCATATGAAATGAACATATGTAACCTCAAAGAAGCATATTTTTGGTGATGGTATCTGAACTGTACAATTCCCTCGCTTAAAGTGTCCCACCAGATGCTTTCCAGAATTTGTGAGTGCATGATATATCAAGCCTTTACAAAGTTTTAATTCTGTTTCCCTTTCCCCCAAGTAGTGCTCTAAGCAACTGATTTGTCCGTACTTGGATCCTAAAGTTATTTAGCTTTGCAGCAATTAGCATTCAGCAACCAATGTTTACAGTTTCTCCAAGTTATTAAAGCATGGAAGCCTGCTAAGGTTCCTTGCAAAACAGTAATATCTTCTGTCCATTTACTGCATTTTCTCTTTTATGCTAAAAAAAAAGCATTTTATAACAAAATTTAGCCACAAGTAGTATCATGTCCAAACACTTTTAAAGAATATCTAACACTGATGAATCCTTATGGGATACACTGTTTACATTATAGCTATTTATCAGAATAATCATAGAATCTATTCAGTAGCAATGAAAAATAGGACAAAAACAATATTAGAATCACAGGCTCATACTGTGTTTGTACTATTTCAACCAAACAGACTATGTTTCTTAAAGCAAAATTTAAGTCCTCTAATATGGCTAACACACACTATCAGCAAGAGAGAAGGATGCTACCTATAATCTACAAGCTCCATCTGCAACTTCTGGCTATTACAGAAGACAGAAGTACTTTGTCTAGGTGTCCTGAAGTTTCTAAGCTACATAAGCTGCCAACAAGCTGACTAAACAAAACCTATGATTGCTGGAACAACAAAGCAAGAGTAATACCAGAAACTAGACTCTTGGTCAGAGCACCATATTCAGCACCTTGACTGCAAGCAAAGGGGGAGCTTGCTTGTGGAAATGACAAACCACATTTACAAGCAGGGTTTTCTTTCTACCCTGGCAATATCAATAGCTTGTCTATGCAAGTACAGTCGTACCTTGGCTCCTGAACGCCTTGGCACTCATACATATTGGCTCCCAAACACCAAAAACCTGGAAGTGTTCCGGTTTTCAAAACTTTTTTGGAAGCCGAATGTCCAACATGGCTTCCACTTGAATGCAGGAAGCTCCTGCAGCCAATCGGAAGCCACACCTTGGTTTTCAAACCATTTTGGGAGTTGAACGGACTTCCAGAATGGATTAAGCTCAAGAACCAAGGTATGACTGTATGGCCACAATAACTACAACAAAACTGCAGCTATGCACACAACTGCCTCATGTGTATGCACTGCTTTGGATCACTGCCCTTGGCTTCCATGTTCAACACTACAGCATTTTTATTTCTTATATCCCAGTTTCAAAAATACTGCATTTTATCACTCATTACAAAAATGTGAGCATTCATTATCCACTCCAAATGATACAAAAATAGATAAGGGGCACTTAAGTAAAGGTAAAGGGACCCCTGACCCTTAGGTCCTGTCGTGACCGACTCTGGGGTTGCGACGCTCATCTCGCTTTACAGGCTGAGGGAGCCAGCGTACAGTTTCCGGGTCATGTGGCCAGCATGACTAAGCCGCTTCTAGCAAACCAGAGCAGCGCACGGAAACGCTGTTTACCTTCCTGCCAGAGCGGTACCTATTTATCTACTTGCACTTTGACGTGCTTTCGAACTGCTAGGTGGGCAGGAGCTGGGACCAAACAACAGGAGCTCACTCCGTCACGGGGATTTGAACTGCCAACCTTCCGATCAGCAAGCCCTAGGCTCTGTGGTTTAACCCACAGCGCCACCCGCGTCCCTTAAGGGCACTTACTTACAATAAACTCCCACTGTGTTTATGCTAATTACATTTGTAAAGAAATGTGAGTAAGTGTAAAGAAATTTCATTACTGAACTTTTTAGAAATACCTTTAAGGCTCTTGTTAGTTTCTGGAGGACATGAGAGACTGCAGCTTACAAGGCACATTGGCACAGGTCTATCAGGTTCCAATTTCATTATGAACCACAAACTCCAGTTTATAAGCAGCTGGTGTTGTATCCAACATTCTGTAAGCACAACTCTGTATAGCCAGACTTCCCCTTCCTCTCCTCCCCCGACACCCACAAAAATCTTCTATGGAGAGTCTTCTCAAACTTCTGGAGATTATTTTTTTTTGGGGGGGGGGAGCCGCACAGGGAAAAGTTTCACCTTACAAGTGGACATGTCTTGTATTAAAGGGACAGGAATACTGGACACTGTCCATGGCTTTCAAGTAATGCTATTATGCATCCTTCACTGGCATTAATGCCCCCCAAATGAACTGATTGGAGCATGAATTATCCAAACTCTCTTAACTCACAGAGCTGTGAAAGAATCTCCCTAACCTGGACATCCACTCATTTGAGAGTCTAAGCAAGATACACACTCACCTAAATCAAAATCAGCACAGCATTTTTAGTTCATGAAGATACTAATAGTAAACAAGATTTTATAAATGAGATTCTCTTACCATAGGTGACTACTTACAAGCAGAAATAACAGTTTGACTGAAACTAACTAATGTCAAATAAATTTTTAAATAAATGCTACATATCCCACAAATAGCACTGTTCTTATAAAGGCTTAGATGTACTTACATTTCTATTAAATTTTGTGAAGGAATGATGCATATAAAACCTGTGCATGTAAACAATTGCGGTATTAATTGTAAGTTGAGATCTAAAAAGAGAGTTAAGGAAGTTTTGTTTAAGTACCCAAATTAGAATTCTCTCTCCAAGCGCTTAAATTGAACCATAAGACACAATATGTAAAAGACAAGACTAATTTATTTTCATTTCATTCAGATATAACTTTAAAATATTGGTTAAATAAACAGGGGAACACACTTTATAACCCAAACTTCACTAGGCTGTATCTAGTCCAGGGCTCACAGATAAAGAATTGTGCCCCCATCCCCCAAAGGGTAAAACCACTTGCAAGAAAGGCTGGAATGTAGGGCAAGAAGCTTCATTGGGAGTGGTGAATTCAGAAAATCAGGAATGGTGTGTTTGAAATCACACTGCATTGGCTGTAACTTCTTCATATTTTTAAGTTAATACTATTTTTTTTTTTACTTGTACACAGCCATTCTGGGTGGTTAGTATGTTGGCATTGTTGATATTTGTCAAAGATGTATACTAAAGCTTTCAAGATTTTCAGATTATTCCACATTTTAGTCTACATTATGTTTGTTGGAAAAAGCCGCACAAAGTTTGTTGTTTTAGAAATGATTAACTTTCTGCAAGTATTCCTAGTGTAGGAAACTGTAAATAAGTCATCACTGTAAGTCTAGGAAAGCTGTTGCTAATCAAGGCATCCAGTCACATATTCAAAAGTTTAGACAATGCTTATTTGTCAAACAAGAACCCACAGTGGGTTCACAAAGTTACACAGGACTTACAGGAAATTTGGGATGGGTGATTAAGCTTTACTGTAATAAGTTTGTTGCAGTCTGTGAAAGTGGGTTTGAGGATAAAGTTAGCCTACTAGTTAATATACCCAATGGGGGGAAATGTTTGTCCAACCTATTATAGCAGATTATCCTTGCTAAAAATAATAATTAAAACATCTGTGATTATGTCTAAATTCTGTAGAGAAAGAAAGTTTTTAGAATAAGCCTGTCATTCCTGATTTCAAACAACTGAAGGTGTTGTATAGAACACCCAATACATTCTACAGTGCCTAATTTTCTTTTGAAATAATGGACTTTTTGCAGTACTTTGACCATTTTTTATTTTATTTCAGAACAAGAACTGAGGGGGGGGGAGCATTTGCTAGGCTGCAGAAAGGCTACCCTGTGTGATCTCCTCAATCCACATGCTAGGAGAAGCATCAAATCTCCTCCACTTGAATGTGTGTAGGGAGGGGCAGGCTTCTGTTGGGCAAGGTACCTTTTCATACCTATCTCGATTATTCTCAATTTACAAAAAAACACAACCAACCCACAAAGCTTAAACTAAAAACTTGCTATCTAAACCTGAGATTAAGAAGACGAAACCCTATCACGTATGCACAAAGCGATTACTGAACAGTTTAGCTGAAACAAGACGGCTGCACTTCAAAAGGCCCCCTTTTGAGACGCTAGCCCATAGTTTCTCTGCGCCAAGGGGCGACAACTACAAAAAAAAAAAGCCTCATTTTCAGCCCCGCACAGAACTCACAAGCCACACAAACACACACGAGGCAGTACAGGTCACCCGTGCCAGCAGGATCCGGGGCCTGCAAGGCCATCGCGCCGAGCCGTTAACGCAGCCGCCGAACAAAATCCTCCCTCCCTCCCCGACTCCCGGGGGATCCTGTGGCGCCTCCCTCCCACCCACCCCCTCAGCCGGAGAAGAAGGGAAAGGCGAGCCAGGAGGAGGAGGAGGAGGAGCCAGAGCAGGCGAGGCCTCCTCGGCTCCCCAAAGGGGCCGCCTGCCTGGAGGAAAAACTCGGGCTGGGGGTGGGGAGCAGCCGAAGAGGGTCTTTCCCGTCCATTTAGGCCCGCGACCACCCCTCCCCGTCCCTCTGCCCGCCGCCTTCGCCCCAGAAGGATACACGTTGAGGCGCTGGCCCATGTCCTGGATGAGGTTGGCTGCCTGCTGCCGGTACGAGAGCTCCTTGTCGGCCTCGACGCCGCAGCGGCGAGACGGCGTGTTCTCCAGCTGCTCCCGGCTGAAGAACCAGCGAGGGGTTCCCGGACCGCCGCCGCCGCCGCCTCCTCCGCCGCTTCCTCCGCCAGCCCCGCGCGACGCTGAACTCGCGCCAGGTCCGGAACCCGCCACAGCCGCCGCCATGACACAACCACTTCCTCCTCCTCCTCCTCCTCCCGCAGCGGCAACCGGCACGCCCGACTCCTCCTCCTCCTCCTCCTCCGTCGCGGCTTCTCTCGCGAGAACTCAGAATCCCGCGAGGAAGAGCCACGGGGCTTCCGCTTCTATTCAGCTTTATGTATGCATACATATATAAACAACAACACCCCAAAACCATAGAGTTGTCCATAGACTCTGAATGAGCCGCAGTCGGCAAGCGCGCGTTACTCTTTGGCTGTTCTCTCTCTATGATGTGGTGCAGCTTGTCTTCAGATTTTTACCTCAGCTTTAGAGGAATCGAATAGCAGCAATACGTGCAGTATTGAGTCCTGCCGGCTGCTGCCTGGAGGCTTATCTTCTCAGTTCCCTTACTCCTCCTTACCCGCCTTTTCTTTCCCCCTCAAGACAAAATGTAAGGGAGGAAAAGGCGGATTTCAGCGCCGCTGTGAAATTTAAGGCGGTCTGATGCGAAAGGGGACAGGTATGAGCGTCCCATGATATGCTCAATTCAGTGCAGACATTTGCTGTGTTCTATTCACTTGAATGCAGGCAGGTGGCCCTTTCACTACTCTGGCTGTAGACATGCAGACAGGGGGGTAGTAAGCCTGACTGAACGCAGTGGGGTTTACTTACAAGGAAGCATGAATGGGGCTGTAAGTGCTGAAGCAGGGCACCGTTCCTTCCTTCCTTGAGATATCCTCCTTCTGCCCACCCAGTTGCTAAGCAGCAATTTGAGTAGGCAACTGTCAACTGGGCCTCAATGAAAGGAAAGCAGGAGCTTGGAGGAAGGGTTTTATTCGTGAGGATAAGAGAGGGAAAGTGAACACAACAGATGTGCTTGTTAACCTAGTCTTTTCTATCCTAAGAGGAGCAGACAAGAGGTGTCCAAAACATAAGTCTAGCAGCAATGTAGTCTCTGACTGAAAGTTCTGGAGGAAGGAAAGGGCCCCTGGGGCCCAAAACCAATGTTACAATGAATCAGCACCCTCATGAAATCACACATTACGCTGGCAGATTTCCTCATCACTCATGCCTGTCCCCCTTTCCTTCCTCCAGAACCTTCAATCAGAGACTACATTGCTGCTAGCTAGGCACTCAAGATAGTGGCCTCCTGTCCCACCAAAGGTGTTAATTAACTTAGTATTGTCAGGATGATTGTGTTGTCAGGAATATTGTATTATTCGCTGCTGTGAATGGTTGCTTTATATTAGGCTTTACATAGAATTGTCCTGATTGTTCTTTTTGCATTTAATTGCATATGATTGCCCCATTCAAAAGGTGGTCACCTTCATGTTAATAGGATCACCTACAGAGCAGTACAGTATGTAAAATAAGTGCTTAAGAGCAAAGGGGTTCATGGAACAAGTTAGAAGGAATTTAATGAATGCACTGCTATGAAACGATAGACCTACATGCAAATATACTGATAGGTTTCAAATAAAGAATTTCCCCCTCTTCCATGTGTGAAAAAGAGCCATAGATACTCTATTCTATCTGCTGCATATGAATAGAACAAATGTAGCCTTTCTTCATATAGTTGAAGGAGAATGTTTAATAATTCTACAAATGTGGTCCTTTCTATACTATATATTTGCTGAGGAGCTTAGCTGAATGCATTTCTCCACTTCAGCTCCCAAGTGAGGCCAAGCAGGGAGACTTCTGTTACTATAAATACATCTAGCACCTTGTACTTTCATGAGCATTCCTACATGAACTGTGCACAGCTCAAGAGCCACAATTGTTGTACTGCAGTTCCATGTGAGGAGATGTTTCCTGAAATTCACATCTGGCCATTTTGAATGCTGCTATAGAAAGTCCCCAAAACATCAAAAACTATAACAAACAATTGATTCTGTAGATAACAAGGGAATCTGCCAGATCTACACAGTTGAAAGGCTCAGAATGCATACAGCTTGCATGAAGGTGCATGAAGCTTCCAGATGTAAACCATAAATATTATACATACTTTTATTTGAAATTTTCATGGGGATGCATACACATAAGGATGTAGATACATAATTATACATAAAGACCCAACACTGCAATAAATGTTTATAGTTCTGAGGTTATTCAAACTGCTTTCTGTCAAGATTCAAGAATGCAAGAGCATTGCCAAACTTGAGCTTATCCTGCAACAAAAAGTAAGGAGGCTTTTGAGAGTCTTAACAAATGTTTTGGATACAAAAACAGTAATGGCTTGAAAAGAAATTAATATATCTGCACCAGGATTCTTTCCAAACAAATGTCCAGTGGCTTCTTGTATAAAAATGAATTTGAATTATGAAATATAATAAACAGCCAGGGACAGTAGTAGCCAACCATTATTGGTGGTTCTCAGGAATCTCTCAGCATATGCAGAGGACTCAAGAAGGATCAGCTCCTCATTTTTCACTGGGCTTTGCAAACTCCCACAAGCAGTGAAAGGGATTTCGCCCTTCATGCCAGAAGACTTAGAAATCTGTTAATCCTGCTGGGCACAAGGTAAGCAACTCTTTCCCTCTTGAACCACAAACCCTGCTCTGATTTGGACTACAATTCCCATTAGTCCCAGCCAATGAAGTTGTGATGGCTGGGACTGATGGAAAGATTTTTTTTAAAATGTAATAATACCTTTAATTCATCATCAAACTCCTCCATGGATTCAATAAGTTTTCCAGGTTCATGTTCTCCCAGTGGAAATGGATAATCTGTTCCCAGCATCACTTTGTCCTGAAAACAGAAATAAGCAGGTGGATAGCATTATTAGCAGCTAATTCAGGGAAGGAAATCCTGTAGTTCTCCAGGCATTGTTAGACTTCAGCTTCCACCACCTGTGACCACTGATCATGCTAGATGGGGCTGACAGGAGTTGGAATCCAACAATGACTTGGGGGCCAAAAGGTATTTGTCCTTGATTTAATAGGTGCACAGTTTCCAACTTAAGAGTGTCCTATGGGGAGCATTATTATTTTTTTCTATATATAAGTGAGGCACATTTTGATTATTATATCCCTAAAACTCTTTGGTTTTTCTGTGTGTGCAAATTGCTGGCCAGTAAAAGAGAGTATATAATGGGTAAAAAGACGCCAGGAAGTTGAGAATTGTACAAGATTGTACTATTTACCTCAGAGGGTAAGTGTTTTTGTTGTAGGAGAAACAGTGCAATGAGGTGCACTCCCGAGTAAGTGGATATAGTATATGCGATTGCTTTAACATATGCTGTTACTGAATGGATGATTAATGAGGAAGAAAGCAAGATTTGGTATTTTAAAAAAGGCAACCCCTTTCCTTCCTTCTCCATAGAAAGACTGTTCTTCCTGTGCAAATTGCTTCCATTGTTATGGGTAGAGAAAGCTGGAGGTTCTGAGGTACTGTAGCTTCTGTGATCATTTTGGATCATTCAGAAATTATGTCCTGCGTTAAAGTAGAGGGAGGGAAAAGTAAAGTTATGACAAAAGAGGAAGGCGTATGGAGTGATCCATCATGCCATAGCCATTTGTTTCCTTCTTACTGAGAAATGAATACAAACTGACACTTAAATAAAACAAGCCCTGCTTCTTTTAGATATCACATTTACTCAGTGTTCAGTTGTCTCTGTGGTGCTCCAAGTACTGCCACTGAGCCTAACCTGCCTCACAGGGTTAATAAAATGAGATTTCCTTATTTATGCCATTTTGAGCTCCTTGGAGAAAGGAAGACAGACATATGTTATAAACACATCTTAGAAAAAAACAATCAAACAACAGTCACTGATATCAGAACAAATGCCCAAAGCATTGATTCTGGAGGAAATTCTGGAGGCTGTGTTCAGAAATATTTTCCCCTCTGCCAAATGTCTCCAGCAGGTGTCACCATGGGGTTTCTGAAAGAAACACTTCAATCTTAACACAGTTATGTCAAAGCACAGGCCCACTGCAATCTGCCTTGTGTCTTTTGGAAGCTATTGTAAAGCATGAAGGAAGAGATGTATGCCATAGATGACAAAGGAAATATTGGGCGCAAAGGTTCTGGAAATCTGTGATTGGCCAAGATCTCTTACATGTGTCTACTTTATACAACCATGTGACTCCTCAACCATGTACAGTATAAAGTAAAAAAGTCTGTTATGTAAAGTACATGCCCTTAGGGACTTTAGATGCTCTTTCTCTTATGATTCTAAGCTTGGAACTGTGTTTTATGGTAACATATATCATAACGTATACCTTAATGCTCAGAATAACAAATCCACCAGCTGAGTCTGCTGATGTTCTAGAAATAGATATCAGAGCAAACAGGGTGCTGGAAAATATTGTTACTTTCAAAAGTCATTGCCTTACATGGTTGCTAAAAGAGTTCAGTGAAGGTCAATAGAGAAACAAATTACACCCTGTTGGGTCAAAGGAAGAGAATGTGTAATTTAGGACTCCACAGTCTGTTGCACAGCCACTTTTCTCATAGTCTGATATCATATCCAGCATGGGGCCAAAATGCATGCTGGTAATCAGTGCCTTTTTGGGGGTGAGGGTAACAAATGAGGTGCCAGTCCCCATACCTGGATAAATGTGACATGGGTGTCTGCACAAACTGGCTGGAGGGAATTCATTTCCCCTTAGCTGTGCACTATTTTTGATGTAAAACATTACCTTCACTTGGCCCTGCTTTATACATAATGGTGCTGCCCTGCCATATCTTACCAGGCCCTCTGCTTGACCTGATAGGTCAATGTGGCCTTCCTGAACACCACCCTACGGTTGCATAGGTACCTATTTATCTACTTGCACTGGCAGGCTTTCGAACTGCTGGGTTGGCAGGAGGGTTGCAGATACATGCATGGGTGAAAGAGATGGCGGGGCCAAAGGAAATGGGTAGTGATATATGAGTTTTGTGCCTCCCCTGAGACAGGAGCAAGGGAGGAAGGACAGAATGTACCAGAAGCTGAGGGAGAAATGGTGCTTGAAGGGAGGGAGCTTTCAGAATCCCCTCGGTCCCCTCCCCTGCTGTCTCCCAGGACCAGGAGGGGCGTGAGGAGACAGGCACAGTGACAACTCCTGTGTTGAAGGAGTCACAGGTTGTTTGCCCTTGTGCTGTTGGAGGAGGGTACTTAAGTTTGGGGTTGAGGGCTGACCCCCCACTACTCCATCAGTCCACTCTGGAGCATAAGCTCAGGGAGGGGCTCTAGCTGCTTAGCCACCAGAAGTGTGTGTATGCATATTTGGTGCACCTGTGGAGCTACTAGAAGTTCATGATTTGTCAGTAAAGAATTAAACTCCCAGCCATTTGTCCTCCTTGGGCTGGGTATGCTCAGGACAGCTGATGATGTCTTTCTTTGCAGTGGCCTGCATAAGTTTTGATTGTGTGCTCAGATACTGAATGTTGAAGGTATCTTCAACATTCATTCCAGTTAGCTGTATAAATTCATCACTGAGAGATAGAAGTAAATGTGGAAAATTTTACAAGACAGTCCATGGTGTCTGGAGATTTTCTGAAAGTTGCATTGATTCCACTGGGGAAAAGACTCACAAAGCTCTTGAATATTAAAATAACCTTCAAAATTAAAACAATTCAGATACAATTTATTGGAGTGTGATTAGTGGTGCCTCAGCATCTCCTACCTGACTGTATAAAAGTCAGACAGTGTCAAATCTCCAAAAAGCCTAGCGCTTAAGCAATAATTAGCCACAGTTAAAGAGCTAGCTTAATCCATGTTGTATCAGCTTTTGTTAATATCATTGTTGATGTGTTTTATTTTTAGCATTGTTTGCTGGTAAAATACTCAGCAAGTAAAAAAGGAGGAACTGGATCAATCAAATGCATTTATTAAGTATCAACAACTAGGTTTTTATTGGTGAATAAGGACAGAACAGGTCAAAAGGCCAGGATCTAGATCAAGTGGACTGCTGGCATGTTCAAGTATCACTTCTCATCTTTGTGATCTCTGAATTAGGGAGGAGAATAGGAAGGGCAACCTTGAAAAGCACCAGCAAAATGCCACCATTTTCTCTCTAGCATGTCCTAATGCTGAATCTTCCTTCTAATCCACCTTCCAACCTGGAAAGCGGAGTAGTTAAAAGACTGGGGCATGTTAGAGAGAGGGTGACTGTACTTCCTTCATTATTTGTGTGTCTCAATTTGACCCTTCTCAGATATTTATTACTGTCCCTGGAGGAAGATGGGCAATACGTAATCATTTCAAGTATACCAAGAAGATAAATTTTTATTCTCTTCCTGGGTAACCCCTGTCTCACCAGTCTTTTTGCTGCTTCTCCTATTTCCTGGGCAAAGGAAGAGTCAATCTAAGGGTGTGCCAAAGGGTAGAGGCATGCCTTGGCTTCTGCCTCTTCCTTTCCATTTACCACCCAGGAGAAAGGAAGGCAAGAGAGAAGGAATGTTTAGCACCTAGGAAAGGTGGCCCCATCCCTTTGCTTCCATGTCATGGCAAGTATTTGTCTTCTCATCTGATGTATGATGGAGAAAGAGAGGCTTTAATCCTTTGCCTCCCCCGCCCCCCCCGTCATTTGCATTAGGAAGGAAATTCCCATTTGCACCAATAGGAGTGCGAAAGAGTCAGGAGAGAGAGCTTACTTGCAGTCTTTGGCTAAATACCATCTCACTCACCTTTCCTATTACATCTGTTAGCATCTTCAGTGCACATTCATCATGAACAAGTGAATCTGTGTAGAATGAACCAAGGTATTTTTTTGGATCAATGTTATTATCTACTGCACACAAGTCAGGCCGCACATTGAATCCATGGGAAATGCGCCCCACTGTATAAGGGAAAGAGCCACCTAAAAAGAAAGATGTGTTGTAAATTACTTTGCCTGAATGAATATATCTAGGAGTACCATTAAACACTGTGAAATGATATAGACATTGTTGATATATTCAAGTTGGGGATTGAATCTGGGACTTTCTGCATATGAAATGCACATGCAGTGATCCCTGCCTCCCCATCCGCATTCCTAACAGCTATTTCCTGATATTGACCTTGAAAGGTCTAATCTGGCTCTATACCTGGAGTGCTGCCCTTGCCTCTACCATGCCTTAGACATCCCCAGCTGAATTAACCTAAGCGTGTAATGCCCAATAGCTTAAATGGGCTGACTTTGAGTAGGGCTAGTGTTGAATTACCACCCCATCACTAGTGTGTGTTGGCGCAAAGAGTTGTATACTGATGATTTCTGTGTGTCCTCCAGCCTTCCTGCTCTCAGATACTTACCTCCATGGGCAAAGCAAACTCTTAGTTTGGGAAACAATTCAAATACCCCTCCCATAATCATGGAGCAAATAGCGATGGTTGTTTCCGAGGGCATTCCTAAAAGCAAGAAAGAGTTATTAATTATTTCTACAGTACTTCTATGCATAATAGTTTTGTAAAAAAAAATTATCACAATTATTGTGAAATTCACTGTGTATAATTGAAGAACTGATACTCCAACTTTACTTTACCAGGTCCCTGATTCATATTTTACCAGTAACACCTAAGAAAAGATGACATATGCTATAACATGATCACACAAAGAGTTTCCTTGCTCCCTTTCCACTTTATTAGCAGCTAATTGCCAGGAAAATGAGTGTGATGGTGTCATGTCACATAGATGTTCCTGAGAGATGTGAATCAGAAACACAGATTAGGGGCCACAAGACACCCCTACATTATTATTGTTGTTTCTTTTAATTTATATACAGCTTACATGCCTTATCAAGTGATTGATAAGTATTACATCCATTATAAAATTGTCACACATACTGTAGTTAAATACACAATAAAAAGCCTGCTAAAAGCACAACAATTAAAAAAGTTAAAAGGGCAATTAAAACAATTAGATCAGAAAGTTACAGTTCGGGGGAATACTTGTCTAAGTATGTTAGTCACACTCAAAGTAGATCTATTGAAATTGATGGGCGTGACTAATTTAAGTTCAAAGGAGGAATTCAACACCATGCTCTTCTTATTGTTCAATCAGCATTTGGTTTGCCAGATGGAGCGATCCCCCTCTCCTCTCCTCACCTGCTGTTCTAGGTGTTCTCCAACACACACCCCTTGCCAATTTCAGGGGACACTGGGGACGAAAAGGGAGGAACCCAATTGTGCAAGTGGAAGTCCTTACAAAGGGCTTATGCTGATGGGCCTCGTTAGTTGAATCCCACCCAGTGAGTCTACTCTGACTAAAACTTAGTTGGAAACAACACGACAGCTGTAATTTGATAGGGCACCCTATCACATTGATAATGAACCCACATTGCATGGAGTCTCTCTGCACCAGAGCAAGTCACTTCCAAGAATGTGCAGTGTGACAGATGTGGAACCTTCCCGTATGAAAGTCTACTCCATTCTTTCCTTTCTCTTCTTCAGATATTTGATTCCCAACTCCCATGAGCCCCACTCAGCATAGAGATGATGGGAGTTGTAGTTCAAAATATCTGGAGGGCACTAGGTTGGGGAAGGCTTGCCTGCTCCATATGGGTGTGAGCCGTTCTAATTCATTGTGGTGACCATGTAGAGTTGCTACTATACAGAAGAATGGTGCTTTGTTGCCCCTTGAGATAATTAGATAATACTGTACATTGTTGTATGAATGCATATGATGAGTTTACACAACATATGTATGTATTTTTCTGTTTTTATACTGTAAACCACTCTGTGATCCTCAGGTGAAGGGTGGTATATAAATTCAATTTAAAAAAAAATCTATATTTGTGGTGGGGAACAGAAATCTGCATGCTTCATTGACTTCCTCCCCTCCCCTTGCCTATACACCTCTCTCAACTTCGGTTGATGTTGTAATACTGTGCAATGCTGATATTTCACCGCTAGGTACTTAAAATAAAAACAAATTAATAGGTGCAGCTATGGTGCACTTCTCAGTGCCAGTTATAAGCAAGCAAGTTAAAAGGTAGCAACATTTTCCTGATAAGGTTTTGTTACAAGTACAGCACTTAGCCTGTTTACATACACATTGCCATATCCTCAAGTGTAACACTACAGATCTTTTTTCATTTATAAAAAGTGGAAAGAATTCCCAACTGGCTTGAGAGAAGTTTTACCAGCACCTTTAGGGAACCTTGGTACCTGGGGTTATAGTCCTCTGCTTCCATCTTCAGTGGTTACAACCAAGGATCTTTCCTCCCCTGAATTTTCCCTAATGTGCCATATATGTGTCTCTCTCTTCCAATTAATGGGAATAAGGTTGCCCATAAGGAAGAGTGAATGGACAATATGCTTTTTAAAAATTTCTCAAGCAATCGAGCAGGCAGGCCAGGCCACAGGTGGCTCAGCAACTGCTCTCTCAACTCTCACTCATTCCCCTTTCCACCTCCCTTCATTTTCTGCCTGTGATATTCTTTTTCCAGCAAATCACTGGCCCTGGAAGTTGGAATCAAGCCCTGTATTGACTACCTTCACTCACAGGAAGTACAGATTATCATATCAGTGACTGGCTGGTTGCAAATAATCCCCATGGAAGGAAGAAAGAGAGATGACAATTCAGTTTAAAAATAGCTGATCTTCTCATCGCTACTTTTATTCTTGAAAATAAATTTCATTTTCATTTGAGGGAGAATGAACAATGTAGTATAAACAAAGAGCTATGGCAGAGAAGGCAGATATGCTTCTGCTTCTGTAAAGACATTCAGAACATTAGGAGTATCCTAAGATGTGGCAGGAGACATTTGGTCCCATGTGGGCTTAAGTAGAAAAAAATGTTGAAGACCCATGTGGAGTAAAGGGGGGGGGCGGAGTTTGAGATCACACTGCTATTGAGATTGAATCTTGAGATCTGACAAAGCTAGCAAATTTCTATCATGTGTTAATTACAAGCATCTTATTCCTATCTGCAATGTCTTTTGTGACTTCCGATGGGAAAAAAGGAAAGCAAAAGCGATTTATGCACCTTCATTTCATGCTTCCAAGTAGCATCCAAGGTGGTAACATACTTATTCAAGGATAATGCACAATCTATGCTTAGTTATCTCATAATGGTGGGTGTGGGGGTGTAAATTGCCACAATTTGCCACCACCCAGAGGCATGTGGCAGCAAGGCATTACATATGTGGAAATTTATATATCCCCCTTTCAGTACTTCTCAGGGTGATAGTTAAAGCCATTTTAAGAGGACTGCTGTATTAGGGAACTTAGAACAATCAACGGCATCCTGATTAAAGCCCCTCGATGCAAACTTCATGGATGTGAATAGATTTAAGGAACTGTAAGAAAAGTTGTGCAAATCTTCCTTGTACATTTTCAGCTGTGTCTCCTGCATTGTTTCATTTATAGCCCACTTTTCCCCATCTCCATTTTATCCCTATAAAAACCCCCTGTGAGATAGGTTGGGCTGGGAGATGGCGAATAGCCAAATGTCACGCAGGGAGTTTCAGGTTGAGTGAGAATTTGAACTTGGGTCTGACACCCTGACTACTATGCCAAATTGGCTCATTGCTGTTACTCACAAACAAAATGAATGAATGTCTTTTAAGAATTGTAAGTGCTACTGACCTACGAGCCAGGGAAGCCAGTATTTAGACATCCTTCCATCTGTCTGCATGTCCCAGGGATGCACAAAGAGGCAGCAGTTTAATTGTTCAGCAGCCTTAAAATCAGAGGCAGTAGGGAAGAGTTTATTAAAAAGTCAACCAAAAATTATGACATTTCAAGTAATACAATTGCCAATGTTTAAACGTAAGAGTCTGGTATTTTTATAACACAAGAGTAAGACATCTAAGAGCAATAATCATAGAATCTTATAATTGTAGAAATAGAAGGGATCCTATGGTCATCAAGTCAAACCCTCTGCAATGCAGGAATCTCAACTAAAGAATTCAGTCTCAGCTGCTCACTTTAAATTCCTCACTCATGCTTCTGTGGACTGAGGACAGAAAGCACAGTCATGTTTCAGCCCAACCTACCTCACCGGGTTGTTGTGAAGATATGAAATGGTGCTGGGGTGGGGTAGAAAGAGATATACTGTTTCCTGAGCTCCTTGGAGGAAGGTTGTGATAAAAATATAACAAATAATTGCTAGTCTTAGGAGGATCTATAAGTCAGTTAATGGGCTTCTCCAATGGGCTGGAATCTCCATCAGCCAGTGCCTGGGTCCATTTGCAGCATTTAGATGTACATACATGTACTATCCCCCTCCTTTTCTTATTAATTTCCATCTTGTCTTCATTTATATTGTGACCCTTTAGGTAGGTGCAGGCCCTTTTTAAAATTCTGTGTGAAGCACTTCAATTATTTTAAGTGCAAAATGAATGATTCATTGTTATTATTAGTAGCATTAAGAATTTTATATGGGAGTAACCCTTGTTCATGATTCAGAATCATGGCATGGACTTCCATACCTGGTCTCCTGATTAAGTTGGTATGTCAGGGTACACAGCATTTACATGTACAGGAACTACCAAGTTCATAGCATCTACATATACATCTACAAGATCCACCAGCATCTGCACTGGGTCCCTGTTGTCTTCCAGGTTCAATTCACAGCACTGTGTTGGTTATTATTTTTAGAACTCCAGTCACTCTAAGCTTCAACATACGTGAGACACTACTACTATCTCCATTTAAGATCCCATTCCTACATGCTTCCCTTCTTCCTCAGTGAAAGATAAGATGCTATCTGTAGTTTACAGCTCATGTAGACTTCCACATCTCCTTTAGGGAAGTTTTTTATGTTTGATGTTTTATTCTGTTTTTAATCTGCTGGTAGCTGCCCAGGGTGGCTGGGGAAACCCAGCCGGATGGATGGGGTTTAAATAATAAATTTTACTACTACTACTATTATTAGAAACAAGGGAATGTCTACTCACAGCATAGACTGGAAAGAGTTCTGGGGCATTCAGGTTCCAGTTGTTGATATGAGATCCTATCTGCACACCGGGAAATCCAAGCTCTTTCACACAACGATGCAATTCCTTCACAGCCAAGTCTGGAGCTTGCATGGGGAGGGTGCCAAGGCCAATAAACCTCTTTGGGAACTTCTTCACAGTAGTGGCTAAGTCATTATTTAAAAATTGGCACAGGTCTAGAGTATCCTTTGGTTTGGCCTGGTAAGAATCATTAAAGGAAGAAAGAATTAACATGTGGTTTTCAAATCGGGAGAGAAACAAAAGTTGGTTGTGTAAATAACCTTTAGGTGGAGTCTCAAAGAACAGTGCATATGCAGAACTCTAGAATTTAAGTCCCTTTGCTTCACAGAACAACTAAATAGGATAGCTTAGCTAGGAACCTATGGTCTCTTAGCAGGACAATTAAGAAGAAAAAAGGAGCACAAACACTAGAGGTGGTCTACTTTTCCTTTGCTGAGGCACCAATCCATGAAAACAACCTAATGCACCATACACACAAAGTACAACCTGGAAAACACACAGATACTACAAAATTCTTTGCAACTGCTACTGTTGTGTAACACACAGCAATCATCCAGAAAATGAGATCCTTCCCTACAGACAGGAATTCAACTCCTTATACACACAGATACTGCTAATTAGTTAAAGTCCTGCTGGGGTAGCAATATATATATTTGATGGGCCCCACCCCTTTTCAGTGCAGGAGGTCATGGGTTGAAACTCTGGATGTGATTTTCCACTAGATGTAGCGCCAAATACAAAAGCTCTTTAGCCACCACCATAACTGGAGCAGATGCCTGCATTGTTAGTGTTGCTCTTTGATGCCTCTGATGCACAAGTAGAACAAAAATGGAACCTGAATGGCAAATGCTAAATTCCATTCTATCACCTAGAACTAGTCATCCAGACTAGTTCTGGTTTCTGAGCCCTCACTGGACACATTGCCCATCTGGCTCCTAAGAATTTATTCACAATCATGTAGGTTGGGAGAAGCCAATTTTAAAATTAAAGTTAAGCTTTAGTATTAGAGTAAAGCAACTAATTTTGTTATAACGAGCAATATTCAGATATGTTATTAATAATTAGCTTCCATCCATTATCAATATATCTGAGAAATAAGACAAATATATTCAGCTTTATACACAATTATTTATAATCCATCAGACCTCATCTGTACAATGACATCTGTTGACATTCTTTAGTCTCCTGAGCCTTCTGTCACTGCAAAGTATCTGATTAATCAGAAGGATTTCTGCCTTCCTTTTTGCATGTGGAGTTCATGGTTGCTTGATTTTTATGATACAAAAATGCTGTAGTTCTTTTCCTTGACTTGACTTACCCAGTAACTAAACATGACAGGAACTGTAGAAAGGGCCTGGACAGTGACTCCTATAGAACAAAATTAGTAAAAGTTGTTTTATAAATGCCATTACATATTTTTTTTTAAAAAAAATAAGCAAACTATTCCAGAGTAGTTTGTTTATGAGCAATGAGGACTACTGGGGGGGGGGGGACAGATTTGGGATTGTTTTCTTCACTACATAGCAATCAACTACTTTAGAAATAAACTTGAACCTGTTTTCCTGGAGGGAGGCAATTAATGAATATTTTTGAAAAATAACCCACTACAAGTGAATGGCTCTTCAAGAGGAACACTTGAACTGTTACTTTGGTGCTTCCAGGTTTGAATGTAGATGGAAATTTATCGGTGCATTTCTGTAGTAATATATTTTGCAGTCTGCTTTAGCTCTTCTTACTCAACAAAAATGCAATATATATTCTGAAAATCAATTGTTAATGCTTTGCAAAAGCATCTTTTAAGAGCTACTGTTGCCATACTGGACGTCTGCATAGTACACATCCATACTGATAGTACCTGATTGGTTCATCTGTTTAATCCGAACCTCTGGATCCCAACAATTCTCTTGGATAACTCTGAAAAGTTTCCCATCTTTCATCATTTTGGCTTCCCTCTGTAAAAAATGGGGAACAGTTATTAAGGTAAATGTTATTATATTTCCTTTTAAAGGAATATTTTCATGTATTTCCTGTCTGTTATTTATTAATCTAGTACCCAATGCCTTTTGCTGACCTGATCTTTTTAACATAACAGCAGTTTACTGTGACACATAGGTAATGCTAGAAAATTGGGGCCATATGGCAGGAATCCATGCTGTATTTAATTTCCATGATTGTGATGGATCATAAGGGTGAGCTAAATGCAGGGTAGCCAATTTGACACCCTACAGATGTTGCTGGACTACAGCTCCCATCACTTGAAGTTGAGGCTGATAGAAGTTTTTTATTTATTAATTTTATATCCTGCTCTCCTTCCCAAAGGAGCCTAGACTCTTCATTTGTTTAAAAAAACACACACTATTAAAACACATTTTAAAACGGTTTATAATGTAAAAAATCTTTAAGAAAAGATATAGCAAAGCCATGTGTCTGTAAATAGTAGTTCATAACATATGGACGATACTACTTCAGCTATTCTTGGACTAAATATATTTATTTATTTTAAAAAACTTCATAGCTCTTAATCAACAAAAACATCTAAGAGGTTTACATAAAAAATATAAAATACTCCATTAAAAATAAAGATAAAATCAAATGTTAAAAGCAAGTTGACACATTTTTTTATCAAAATGTAAATAAAAACAGCAGTTTCAAACCAAATATCTGTATTATAATTACACATTATGTATTACACGTTACAAATTCACGTCCGGTTAGGCTTCCTTAAACAAAGAAGTTTTAGCGGGTGTTGAAAGCAATACAGTACAGCAATTCTGCCTGCCTAAAAAGTAATCTGCACCTTCACAACTTTGTGTTTTGACCCAGTGGGTTTCTTGCAAGTTCTTAATAAAGCCATGAGACCAAGGACATTTTAAACCTTGAATATGTTACTAGCCTCATACATCATTCATAACAACTGATAAATATTTTAAAACCTCAATTCTACCCCCACCCCCCAAATTTCATTGTGACTATATTTTGGCAGGCTCCTGGAATGACTTGGCAGCTGCGTCACAATTCAAGAAAATTGCTCCAAATATCACAAGCTATAATTACAGTGCCGCCATCTGATTCCTCTGGCAAATATAGTTCAAGAATTTATTTTCCAAAGTGCCAGGAGGGAAGAACTTAAGCATATATTCCTACAGAGTATGGATATATGAGTCCTCTGTTGACTTTTACATAACAGACACCAAACGGTTTAGAGAAGATGGAAATGACCTGGTGGAATCAAGCATCTTGTTGTATAAAAATAGATGATAGGGATTCATTTTGTTATGATCAGTGGGAATATTTTTTTGGTATGCACAGTAAGTTGTGCTGTTCTTTGGCTGGCAGATTGTTATATGGAATCATTGCAGTACTGAAACAATACTAAAAAGACTATAATTTCTCTAGGGGTTCTCCTTTAAACCCTCATAAATAAATGCCGACTGTAGCAAGAGAAATAATAGCCTTTCCAATGGCCTGAAGGGTTATGCTATGAGATGGAATCTCCAATGAGCAATGTCCTAATTAAAAACAGTGGCTCCCCCACTCCATCTGCATTAGTGATGTGCAGACTATAGCAAGCCCGATGCAGAACGAAAACAAATCTGCTTAGTTCAATTAGATGGACGGAGGTAGCTCTTTCCTCATTAAAAGGTGTGGGCTTAAATCACATAGTCATTCTATCATCAGCATGAACACACATGACCCAGATATATTTAATACATGCATTTATTTGCTGGATCTGTAGTTAAAATTAATTTGGAGCTGATTCTCAGAGGCTTTGCAGTTAATTATTCGACACACATGGATCCAGAGAAAATTAGTTTTCCACTGCAAGCTACGACTGCCACACTGAGTTCTTCATAAAGTTAATCTAAGGCTTCCTTTCTTGATGCTAAATCTTTGTTTTATAACATAAACAGTGGGTTATATTACAGTGTTTCCCAACATCTATTGATATTGACTTCCATAAATTCTAGCAAAAAACAAGAAAATACCATTTTAGTCAGATGATGATGATGATGAAACTGAACCTCAATATATGCCTGTTGGGTTTTTTTTGCATAAAATGTTTTGAGGAAATAATATATGATATAGTAAAACTGAAGCAAAGTGTGTTTTTCTTTTTTCATTTTAATGTTGTGTAATGGGAGATGGTATTTGCTACCTAAGGGAAAACAAGCTTCCCTTGATGTGGTAAGCCTGAGCTCTCACCACATAGCAGTGCATTCCAATGAAATAATTACTGAATGAAAAATGATGTGGTCAAGGCACCCTATGGTGGCTTTACCAAGCCAAAAAAATAAATAAAGCTAGTAACTCAAATTACCTTTAACCAAAAAAAGTAACTCTGTAATATATCAAATGGAAAACCTAAAATATAAACCTTCCCAAGGATTGAGTGTCTTGGAAGCCCTGCTCTAAGCTGCCTCACCTTCTGAAGTGACAGGAGCCAGTTGCCTGAGAAATAGGGCAAGTTGGTGCCTTCTCTTCCATGTACAGAAGTCAAGCAGACCGGTGGCTGATCACTTCAGCACTGGTGAGCGGACAGCATCCTCCACTGTACCAAAGCAGTATGCTTGTTTAGGGCAGTGTTTTACAACCACTGTTCCGTGGCACGCTAGTGTGCCGCGAGATGTTGCCTGGTGTGCCGTGGGAAAAATTGAAAAATTCAAAAGATTTTAAAAAAAAAAATCGAATTTTCGCCCACTAGGCGGGTGCCGGACTGTGTCCTGGGTATGGGGGGTGGGGTTTTTGACCCCACCCTCGGCCAGCAGGGGCGCCGATTGGCACTCCTCAGGGGGACACCCTCCACTTTTCTGATGTCCGGGCTGTGATTGGTCCAGACTCCAGCCTGGACCTATCACAGTAGGACATCATCTTCCGACTTCCTTCCCGCCCGAGCACAGTGTGCGCAGAAGCGGAGAGAAGAAGACGTCGCGACTCGAGTCACCAGGAGGACCGGAGAAGTTGTCATTTTATTTCTCTTCAGTCTCCACTGAATGCCTTGACTGGGTTAGGGATCCTTATAGCTCAGCATCAGTTGGTGGAAAGGACATGACTTTACAGGAGCAGGAGGAACTAACTGAACTGAGACAAAATCGTGGTTTCAAGCTAAGATTTGCTGATCTACCTCTGGACAGTTTTTGGTTGGATACTGCCAAGGAGTTCCCCCTTCTGGCAAACAAAGCTATTTTGACATTGCTCCCATTTTCCACTACATATCTGTGTGAGATGAGCTTTTCAAGCATGATTGCTATAAAAACTAAATACAGAGAGAGACTGAGAGCTGTTGACGAAGAGCTACGTGTGTGTCTTTCTTCGATTCCAGCCATAATATCAGCTTTGTGTTCAGCCAAACAGGCCCAGGTTGCGCACTGAATAAAGTATTTTATAATTTTTCATATTTCTGTTTACTTACTATTTCATAATAAAGTAATTATAAAATACTTTCTTTGTGTTTATGTGATTCCTATTCAAGAGAATTACTTTATATATAGTCAATATAGGCACAGAGTTAATTTTTTTAACATTTTCTAATGGTGGTGTGCCTCGTGATTTTTTTCATGAAACAAGTGTGCCTTTGCCCAAAAAAGGTTGAAAAACACTGGTTTAGGGTGCACAAAACCAGTTGTGAGAGCTCTTTGCCCTCATATCCCTGAAGTGAAGACTCATGATGAGACATGTGTTTGGTGTAAAATAATGACTGTAAAACATCTGCAGCAAAGTGTCCACCACCATAAACACTAACAGGCATAGAAATTGCACAGGAATGTGGGGGACGGGACGGACAACAACAACTCCACATGCCTTTATCTTACAGGGTTGGAGGGTGAGTTGCTGTCAAAGCCATCTGAGGGTGGTGCTTCCCCTATAAAGGCAGCCACTACCCTCACCCCATTGGCCACTGCAGTGGTGTGACTCCTTGCACCACTACCTTCATGCAAGGAGTGGGCCCCAGAGCCTTTCTCTGACTATGGGGTGGGTGGGGCAAATGTAGCCTCCATGGTGGAGCAGCCATCTTCTAACACTGTACCTTCACTCTCCAGCATCTACCTCATGAATGCTGAATATTATGATTAACAGACAAGGTATTTTTAATTAGCAGTACGTTCTTTATCCAGTACATTCTTTTAACACTTGATTGTTATGGAGATCACTAAATTGCTGTCACTGCATCTTAGGTATAAATGATAAAAAATAACATTTTTTAAAGCTGCTGTTTCAGGTGTTTAACCTTACAAAATTATTATGAGACAGCTGTATCTGATTTCCAGAGAGGCAGAAATATAGGCCAGCTTTTAGGACATGTACAATAATTTTTCATTCTACTGAGGTGATGGCAAATTTGAGATGTGATCCTTGAGCTTGTTAAAAGTTGCTTTTCAGAGGGAATGAGCTTTAGGCAGTGGTTGTTATGGAGACATGAAGAAAATGATTCAGACAAAGATTCAGAGGGCAAAAGTGAAGAAAGCAAAATTCTTAAAAGGTTTCCAGAGTTTGGGATATTGTATTTGTTCAGATCTATACAATGGTTCTTATTTTTTCCGCAGTTACTTTTGGGGCAAACTGAAAAGGGCATAATTTCACTTTTTCTCTATATAATAGCTCTAAATAACCATGGGTTATTTAAAAACCATGTGAGTTTTTAACTGCTCCTTAGTCCTTTGCTTTTTAGCTAAGAGCTGTGGGATTTCCCCTCTCTGTACATATTATTTAATCAGAATTTTCTCTCCGCAGGCTTCAGTTTACAGGCAGTGTAGGAATGGCCTTGAAGTAATTACTTACTCCTGGGAAGCAGAAATAAGCTAATGAGCTTGCTTGAGGCCAGATTAATTTCATTTAAAATGGGTTGGACTGAGTTCAGGACCTGGACCTCCATTAAATATTTTGTGAATGGAACAAATCAGGTATAGGAAAGGGTTTGCATGTACAGAAAGGTGTCATTGCTCATGTCATGACTTCCATTAAAATAAGGCACAGTAACATGTTATGAATGAGAGAGTTAGTTGCTCAAAGTGCCTTCCCTCCAGATATACGTATATTTTCTGTCTTTCAGGCACATTAAGTAGACAAACATATTCTTGCAATTTTCACCATTCAGTTTGCTAAGTGCCACATGGCTCATGTCCATAACACCACCTGGTTTTGTAAATGTGTACGGTATTTGTACATATTTCTCAATATAAACAGTTTGAAAGATAACGTGTTCGTGAACTGGTGGTCACTGACCATGACCGAGGCATTGATGTCATAGTAGATGGCTTGATGAAGATGTTGACCCAGTGTGCAACAGCTGTGAAAAAGGCAAATTCCATGCTTGGAAACCACCAATATCCCATTATACAAATCTATGTTGTAATCACATTTGGAATACTGTGCCCTGTTCTGACTGCCTTACCTCAAAAATAATATTATAGAGTTGGAAGATTCAGGACAGATAAAATAAAGTACCTCTTCATAGTTAAACTATGGAACTTGCTTCCACGGGAGGCAGTGATGGCCACCAATTTGGATGACCTTAAAAGAGGATTAGACAAATTCATGGAGGATTAGGCTATTAATGGCTACTTACTGAAAAGTGCTTTTGTGTTCAGGTCCTACTTGAAGGTTTCCCACAGGCATCTGGGTGGCCACTGTGAGGTGCAGGGCTAGATGGGTCATTGCCTGATTCAGCAGACTCTTCTTATGTTCTTATGTGTATGAGAGTGAGCTTTCAAATTTATATTTGAAAAAGGACAGCCAAAAGAAGGTACACCTCCATACAGGACCTAATTAATTAATAGGATTCATTGTCACAATATGTGGTGATGGATATTTGTTTAGATTTAAAGGGCGGGTAGTCAGTATAATGGAGGATCAGTCTATTAGTTAAGTTCTGAATCAGTATCATTTTTCAATACCTCAACTGGAAGGGGCATCAGCAGTAGAGGGCTGTTGCCTTCATGTGTTGCTTGTGGGCTTCCCGGAAGCATATGGCTGGCCACTGTGAAAAATCTGAAGCTGAATTTGATGAATCTTTGGACTAATTCAGTAGGGTTTATTCATATAGATTTTTCCATAATTTTAATATGTATTCCTTGATAATCTTTTATTCATGGGTCACATAGGTCAGAAACACAGCTTACCTCACAATGTTCCTCCAGCTGAATCCATCCACCATAGCCATATCTCTAGGAGGAGAAGTATACATATGGTTAAATCCATAGCCATGGAAACAGGAGTTAAGGATATAATGTGAAGAACTATTCTGACTAGAGCCAAATCGTGACCATAGGGATGTAGGGCTATTTTGGGGGTTTCCAAAAATTTCTCTTAGCTATGGAGCCCTGTTTCAAATATATGGCTACTTAACAAATGTTAAGTCAATAATAGAGTGGTTGCACATTTATATCTGTTGTGTTCAGGCTCTGTTTATGTAGTCCAGGAGGCAGCCAGCCCTTATTAGAAATAGAGTGCTGAACTAGCTGAACATTAGACTAGACCTGATGGACTGGATCTCTTAGGACTAGTCTTCCAATGCTTAAGGTAGCTTCCAGCAGAATAAATAATTAACAAAAAAACATGTTGAAAGCAATAATCTATGGGTTCTACCCACAGCAATTTAATTGCACCTGGGTCCCATTGCAATTGTGACTTGGGCTGCAATCCTAACCCCATTTACTTGTGACTAAAGTCCACTTCTATTGGATTCAGTAGTACTTCCTTTTGACGACACATGGTTAGGACTGTGTTCTAATGGAACCTACTGCAATTGAACTTTGTTAAGGTTCTAGCACAATGAGTGCTGTAATGACCAGCACAAGAGCTGCAATGCTTTGCTCCAATGCTGGGGTCAAAAACACCAACAACCACTGACCCTGTTTTATTGATATAGAAGCTGACACAAGAGGACAGAGGGCCTTTTCATTTCTGGATAAAAGCAGCCCATGGTGGCATAAAAGACAGGAAATCTGCACTTTTCCTCCCAGAACCTCAAGGTGGCATACATAGTTCTCCCCATCCTCATTTTATCTTCACAACAATCCTGTGAAGTAGGTTGGACAGAAGGACAGTGACTAGCCCAAGGTCATACAGAGTGTTTCCTGGCTGAGTGGAGATTTGAACCCTGGTCTCTCAATACTAGTAGCCCAACATTCTAACCGCTATACCACCCTTGATTTCTTTCTTCTTGGGGCAGTTCCATTTTTAAAGCACACAGAATGTTAGCTGTCCTGTAGTTGAATGGTCCAGGACAGTACTGTCCAGCTGCTTGTCCTCTGATGTCCATAGTGGTGCCACATCTGCAATGGAGATGGGCTACCACCAGGATGAATTTTGTTATGATCTAAGAAAATATCTACTTCCCATTCCACCAAAATGGACTTTTACAGCACAATGCAGGATACTCGGAATTGTGTTCCACTGAGTTCAGTGGGGCTTATTCCCAAGTATGTGTGCATTTAATGCTAAGCCTTTATTATGAAACCAGGAGTAAAATCTTGGGTTTGTGATAAAAAAAATAAAAATCTGCTGAGCTGTAATTAGTTAATCATTAGTGTAGGCATATATTGATTCTCCCTTTCAGCCTCTATGCTTCAGAAGCGGGGTGAAGGTCACCTTCTTTTATTAATATTTAAAGAGCAGAGAAAAGCTTCAAATACACAAGTGAAATGTCCATTGATTCTCCCAGAGAGGTTTAAAACTCTTCTAATATCTGGGGGTTGGGGATTGCAGATGAAAGAAAGGCAGCTTTCTTTTATTTCAAAGATTCTTGGGTTTGAAATATCTCATTATGAGAGACTGAAAGAGTACTCTGAAATAGCCAGTATAACTAGTTCACATAGAGGCAACTTTAATGCATCTGCATGAATAACCTAGCACAAAACCTGCAATTTTTGTTTTCCATTGATGTCAAACTGTACTTTGCATGGACTATCCCCCGCAACACCCCTCTGCAGAATCAAGTTCTTTTTGTAAGTGATGTGCTTATGCACTGATTACCACCAGTTTAAGATAAGGTTAGTAAAAAGAGTTACCCAACTCTTAGTTCATAGTGTGCCCAATCAAAGTATTGTTTTAATGTGAACTTCTCAGTTTTGCTGAAAATAACTAAAGACCAGATATAGACCCCAGAAACAGTCAAATTATAGGTTGAAATAAATAGTTTGACTGATAGATTGGAAGAGGAACAGGGGGAGTACATCTCTATTATTCTTCCTTGATCGCTCAGCTGCTTTTAATGCCATTGACCATAGTATCCTTCTGAGCCAACTTAGTGGGCTGGGCATTTTCTAGGGGACTACAGCTATATACATCTAAGACATTCAGAGGTATGTCTTGTTGAGTTCAGTGAGGTTTACTCCCTCCCAGGTAAGTGTCATTTCCTGCAGCATCGTGTATGCTACTGGGTTGTTTAATAACCCAGTGCAAGTAGCACAAATTCTCAAACTTTTGTTTTTTTCTAATGCTGAGTGGTATCCAGTCTAAGTCACACTGTGATTAGACCAACTGACATTAATGGGCTTAGCTTTTAACTTCAGTAATATCAATGGGTTTACTTCAAGTAGGACTAATACTAGATATCACCCAATATAACAATATTTGATTTATTCTGATAAATTAACTAGCTCTATGCATTTAAATACATTGGCTGCAATGCTAGATATATTTGCTAGGGAGTAAGTCCCACTGAGCCTATGAGTCCCATGCTGGCCACATGACCCGGATGCTGTACGCCGGCTCCCTCGGCCAATAAAGCGAGATGAGCGCCGCAACCCCAGAGTCGGCCACGACTGGACCTAATGGTCAGGGGTCCCTTTACCTTTACAAGTCCCACTGAATGGTAGCACTTCTGAATAAAAATGCTTAGGATTGCACCGTATACCAATAACTCAATGATGCCTTCAGTGGATGAAGAAAGATGCCAATAAGGGGTATGTTCACATTACAGCTTACTCTGCATCCAGAGCGCTCCCACTGCTAGTTTTACAAGCTGCATACACATAACTTCGGCCACAGTACCGATCGTGTAGTTTATTGAGAAACTCTTCTTTGATGCATTTCCCCCCCTCAAACCAGCTTCAATCTGAGTAGAAAACATAAGCTGCATTCAGTTCATACTTAAGCAGGGTCTGTGTTTGTGATACAGCCATCATGTAGGTGCAGATGGCAACTTAGTTAATTAGAATTCTGGGTTGTTGTTTTTCCAGGGTTGGGGAAACCAAAAAGGCCATGCGTGTGAAGACATCCCCATCCCCTCTCCCAAAGTGCAACACTGCAAATGTGGCTTGAAACAAGTGGAGGGGGGGGAGAAGACAACCTCACTGAACACTATCCAAACCCACTGTGTTTTGATTCACAGCAATGCAGCTGAAAACTTTATATTTTTATTAAAAGGTGAAAAAGAAAAGGGACATTTTCCTGTCAGAATTTTTTTAAAAAACAACACACAGAGAACCCTGTCTGCTTTACCCAGCAACTATCAGAACATCTTTGTTTAATGGATTCAAATTAATGGAATAGTCAAAATGCCCTCTGGCAAACGCTAGGGGGCCAGGAGCATTTGGAGCTTAAGATCAGTCATCTTCTTCTTTAAGAGTTCAGCCTAAAAAAATATACCCAGAAGGGAGTTCTCAGAGCCCAGAAGTATGAGAGATAAAGCTCAGCTGAAAACATTCATAGCAATCAGAAGCAATACTTGTACCTAGAGCTTTTGTACCAAATATCCCGTCTAGCTATTACCTGTTTTAGATCAGGCCACTCCTTAGGCAGAATGTGACTATGAATGTCAATTTTCATTTCTGTAGGTTCACCTGAAGATTAGTTTCAACAAAGGCTTGCCCCCGATAAACTTAATTGTGCTTTTGTACTGCCTGCCCTTGGAGTAGTAGTTTTTCATTAACTTAAATTGGTGTTCAAGTCCTCCCACTAACCTATCAGGCTACAGTAACCAATCAGATAGCCAGTATTTCAGGAGAGCTGAGCAGTGCAAAACTATACAACATGAATAGAGTGTACAAGCTGGATAGTGTTCAGAAAGAGTTGTGCAACAGTGAAATGACTCCTCCAGGTGCCTTTTATATTGTGCATTCATGCTGAGTTGTGCCTGTGGGGATATTAAGATTGTTATACGTGATCCAGTTTTCATACTATTTGTGCCTGCAAAAAGTCTGGGGTGGACATACTGCCTTGTTTCCCATCAGTGCATGCCCTATAACTTCATTCTTTAATCCTGTAACTTTTTAATACCACAAATATACCAGAGTGGGGGGGGGTTGGGTCCCACTTTTGTTGCAGTCTAGTGCAAGACTACCCCTTCATACAGCAATAACACAGCAACATCAAGAAAGCCTCACAGAACAACTAATAAAGTGGATTGATGTGTGAACGATCCAGTATAAACCCACCGCTAAAGCACTGCATCAATGACTTTTTATAGAATGCACCTGCCAAAAAACAAACAAGAAATGTGCCATTTCCAGACTGTTGTTATTTTTAGGTGGGATTTAGTCACACACTGGCTAATTCAGGTTGCACAATGAAAAGTGATTTAGAGCAACAAACTCACTTTCCCAAGACATCAGAGTTTTTACAATGAGGAAAGTATGGGGAACTGCAGTAGAAAGAGTGATAGCATGCCATCTTGCCTCCCCATGAAAAAATCAGACTGAATGCTCATTAAATAGCCAACAGCATCTAATCTCCCTTCAAACATATCAGAATGAATGCTCAAAATGGAGGGAAAGTGGCATATACATGTAATAAACAAACAAAGCAGTCCTATCATGGTGCTCCCAGTCTGCACCCCCCCCATATAAATTCTGTAAGTGGGACCTGTGATAAAATAGTATTTTCAGAGACTCCATTCTATTATCCCTGTGCCCGCAGTTTTCCATTCCCACCGACAACTGTCAGCATGCTCAGTCTTCATTGCACTACTTTTTTGCGGGGTAGTGGGGAGATAGTCCTCCTGAAAGGTTTCTTTGCATGTTGGGTTTTCTCCAAGTCTGCCTGTAGCGTGTGGATGATGCCATTTTGGTTACATAAGAACTGGCACTCAGAGAATTGAGATACGTACCTCTTAATGTATAAAATCTATTAGGGGAGTTTGAGAGGGCTTTGCTTGCTCATCTGTTAACAGATTTGTTTCCTAAGGATGAGTTCCTTTGTCTATGCCTATGGATAAAAGCACCTCCAAAGCTCTGCTTTTAATTTTGCAAAATGAATTAAGCATTTCTGCCATTCATTCAACAGCCAGCAGTGAGAAATTTTCACACAATGAACAATTAGGTTTAGTTCTACCAGTCTACGCATAGTGAGTGACTGTATTACTGGAAAATCTCCTTCTCCTGCAACATTTTTGTCCAATGAACCCTGTCAGGCAGTATATAATATGAATTAGTCTAATAAGGTATATTTGCTAGTAATGAATATTTTCACAGAATCGTAGAGCTGAAAGGGACCCTGAGGGTCATCTAGTCCAACCCCATGCAATGCAGGAATCTCAACTAAAGCATCCATGACATCCAAACTCTGCTTAAAAACATCCACCCCAGTGGGCAAACAGCTAGCTGCGGGTGGTAAGGAATCTCGAATGAAACTGCAGTAGAAAGAAATAAGTTACATTGCCCCTGCACAAGCCATGGTCTCAAGCTGAATCATCCTCCCTGGATGCTATTTAGGAAATAAAAACCAAGTGCACAAGGTCCAATCACATGCTTAACTTAAGATCTAGTTTGCCCTTTCAATTAGCTTCAAGGATAGCAAATCCCTTTCTTTCTTTCTTTCTTTCTTTCTTTCTTTGAATGAACAAAGAGAATGGATATAAAAACTATTGGAACTCTCCAACAATCTTCGTTCAAGGCAAGCTTATTGTGGAGATAGACTAAGTGATTAAGAGAGCTACAAAATAATCTGGTGGAGAAGAGGCAATGCAAATGTTGTTGCTATGGAGAAAAAGCCAAGGAACGTGACTAGGCAGCAGAGCATGCTTGATTCTGCATGGCAGGAAAAGGTGTTTCCATGCCACCTGAGGGCAGTTTAGGGCAAAGTAACAAATCTGGATTTGTGCACCTTATGGGGGGAAAGTATCATCCACTGAACCAGCCAATTGATTATTGATTTGTTTATGCAGCTGGCATGATTGATGTGGTGGCACCAATAAGGACCCTAAACACATGCCTGTTCTGTAATGTTGCCCTTCATAGAACAGATGGTGATTTCACTGAAACAAGATTTAACCCAGTCATTGGTTGTGAGCTTTCCTTTCTCTCTCTGTATGTGTGTGTGTATAATGTGAGAATCTGTAAGAATAATGGTCTAGTCCTTTGAGCTGCTGCTGTGTGGTGTGCATGTGTATATAATTCCAGCTTTACAGCAGAGATTACATCATGTGTGTGCTTGTTTTGTTATTGCTATCTCATATCTTCAGTAAAAAACCTTGAATCAGGATACAGTGAAGAAGTGCATAACTTTAAAAATATATAGTCCACTACATTTTACTTTCTGTCAAGTTTAAGGTCATGACAGAAAGTACCGTATTTAATCTTTGCAGTTAATGGATGATGCCATCTAGTGGCAAAGCCCCTAAGCAAACTTTTGAGGCTGCCTTTATGTTTGATTAAATCAAGGCACCTCTAGGTGGCAGTTCCTCCAGTAACCTGAGTGGTAGCAACACAGTAAGTACATCAAATAAGTGCTTTCTTGTAGAAATGGCTAGAAATTGAATGGCTGGTTAGGTACTACTGTTACTGTGGTGTTTGTTTGGACCAGTAGCACCACTGTTTTTTTGATAACAGCACCCATCTGGTGTGCTAATCTGTGAACATGTGGCTTGCTGAAGCACTAGGGAAATCAGTCTACAGTGGTACCTTGGGTTACAGACGCTTCAGGTTACATACTCCGCTAAACCAGAAATAGTACCTCGGGTTAAGAACTTTGCTTCAGGATGAGAACAGAAATCGTGCGGCGGTGGCGCAGCGGCAGCGGGAGGCCCCATTAGCTAAAGTGGTACCTCGGGTTCAGAACAGTTTCAGGTTAAGAACGGACCTCCAGAATGAATTAAGTTCTTAACTAGAGGTACCACTGTACTGGAAATGCAACAATACTCCTAAGAACATAAGAACAGCTCTGCTAGATCAGGTCAAAGGCCTATCTAGCTTAGCATCGTGTTTTCATATTGGCAAACCAGGTGCCTAAAGGAAGCCCATAAGGATGACCCTGAGTGTGACAGCACCAATCAGCAGTCTCATCAGATGCTCTAATATTTTGTGTAGAAACAATATACCATTGTTAATTTCTCTCTCTCATAGTTTCCACTTCATATTTAAAAAGGATGTTGGCATTTCAGAAATATTTTGACCTTCAGTACCAACCAACAAACTTGAATCTCAGCAAATTTATGTTTACAAATTAATGATGAGTAGAAGACAAATTCATGCCTTCAGGTTATCTTTTTTTCTGACTCACCTATAATAGCCATCAGCGCAGAGACAGAGATTAAGTGGTATTGTTAACGGACGTTTTTAATGTTTAATATTTTATTGTGTTTTTAATATTCTGTTGGGAGCTACTCAGAATGGCTGAGGGAACCCAGCCAGATAGGTGGGGTATAAGTAATAAATTGTTGTTGTTGTTGTTGTTGTTATATCTCACACAGTCATGTTCAGTTGTATAGACTGAAATCTTATACAGTTAAGTTGGGACCACTGAACAGAGGGGCTGTCACTTCCATGTAAATATTACATAGATTAAACTGTATCATTTGTTCCTTCTTCCATCTAGGTTAATTTAAGTGCCAGTAATTCGGTTTGCCTGATGCTGTAGGTTAAGGTATGAATCAAATTCACTCACTTAAGCTTTGTGCAGCAATGCAGCAGTGAAACAGTGAGAAGCCTTGAGCAGGATGCAGCACACAAAAAGGTACACATCTGCTGTGTATTCAGCAGTAACCATTTTCTAAATTCTGAATTTAGCTCAGCCTGTCTAGCTTGGGACATTGTCTTGTGGCAGCTTGTTTAGATTTCTAAAAGCTTGTTAATTTTTTAACTTTTAAAAACATTCTCACAGGTACATATACCACGTGCTGCTTTCACATTTAATTAAATGAAAATTGAGGGCAAGTTAATCCATTGCAAATTAGGCTTTGTGGGTGCGTGTTGCCAGCATAAGTCACACACTCAGTGTTTATGGCACTTCTGCTGTTATCCTTTTCAAATTTTAACAAGTGTGGTGCCAAGAGGAAGAGAGGAAGGAACAAGCAGCCTGACAAAACAAGAAATGGAAACTAAGAGATGCAGCATCTAAAGTAAAAGGTTGAATGAATTGGAAGCTACATTTTTAAGGACAGGTGATGCACGCAGAAGAGACACTAGTTTTGTTTTTAAAGCCTAGGTCAAGAACAGGGGTAGGCAACCCAAGGATGCGGCCCAATTGCCTTCTCAATCCAGCCCGTGGATGGTCCGGGAATCAGCATATTTTACATGAGTAGAATGTGTCCCTTTTTAAAAAATGCAACTCTGGGTTATTTGTGGAGCCTGCCTGGTGTTTTTACATGAGTAGAATGTGTGCTTTTATTTAAAATGCAGCTCTGAGTTATTTGTGTGGCATAGGAATCCGTTCATCCCCCCCCCCCAAAAAAAATAGTCCGGCCCACCACATGGTCTGAGGGACGGTGGACCAGCCCACGGCTGAAAAAGGTTGCTGACCCCTGGTCAAGAAGGTCATGATGAACAGCTAAAAGAGAAGTCTTAAAAAGCAGCAGACAGTGTAAAATGAAAATATAGCTAAGTAACAAATATAGCTAAGTAACAACTAAGATGCACCTGTTGTGCATTGGACTG